CCTCTGAACTGCACCTGGATTCTACGTACCCCAACCCCATGTAACGAGGTACAGCGATGGCGGGGTGGTTCGTACACGTTACCACCAGATCAAGCTCCAAGGTCGGTCACGCCTCGTGGTGGTTACTGCCCCGGAATCGCCGGCGTGGGATAATGCGGCGCTCGGCTCTCGGTGTCGGCGACCCGAGCGACGATGACACAGGACGGAGGACGGAACCTCCCTCGTATGCAAACGGCCTACGCACCTCCTCCATGCACGGGCATTCAATGTTGGGATACAGTGACGAGTGTCACCGAGGGAATGATGTCCTCGAGCGGCGTCTCGTTCCGCATGCATCACCTGTTTGTGTTGTGACGACTCTTGTTCATGAATTGCAGCCGACGGACTAACACACCCACGATGCGTGAATGTGGTCTGATTCCTGCATGTTTCCCACTCCAGTGGGCCAGCATGTGGTTCAGTTTACCGTATTTCCAGCTTTGGACAGCGTTTGGTCAACCAAGGTGACAGCAGCGCGAAAAACTTAAGAAAAAGGTTAACAGAATTGATGTTGTAAGGTCGAAATCAAAAACTCAAAGCTGAAGCGCACCCTTACCATGGCCCCGTATCGACATCGCCTTGTGCCATGCCGAGCAGCCGGCCTGCCGTCCTGCAGCTTTCAGGCTGACTTGGTTCTGGCCCACCAGCCAACAGGGAATGCAGGCACCGTGGAGAAAAACGCGATAACGGATTAAATGGGCCCAAATGCTCCAGGCACGTTTTATACTCGGACCCATGAACTGTAACTGTAACGCCACACTATTCGGTGCAGTACATCAGGAACGCGCAGGACCCGCAGAATACGAGAGGTTTTGAGAAGCGTTTCCTTAATTTTCAGCGTTTCGGTGGGTAGGAGGGTGATCCTGAAGACCTGACGAGCGGTGACCGAGTACCAGCAACTGGGCAGCAGGCACCAGCAAAGGGGTCCGTCAGAGTCTGGAAGTGGCAGGACTCATGGGATTGCGAGGATCACAAGAGGCATTGAAGGGAGTGGTAGCGAGTTACACATAGAGGGAAAAGGGGCCTTGTTGGAATGCTGTTGGAATGAGGTCGTGTTTCGTGTTGACTGTCGTTGGCTCTGGGCCGCGACCCGTCGTTGCTTCCAGCGCAGCATTACGAGAGTTCCTGCGCCGAACGTACCTCTGGAAGAGCTACGACCTCCATGCCCGCTCAGGACACCGCAGAACATACTTTCCACTGCTTCAAACGTGCACGTCGGAACCTTCTCTCCAGCAAATCATGTGCTTCTGTGGCTGGCGCGTCGAGGCATGACAGCTCGTCTCGCCCCGGATCGCTTTAGAGTGCAGCTCGTATCTCGTGCCGTGCGTACCGAGCAATTCAAGTTGGGTTTGTTGATGTTTTTGCGCTCAATCTCCACGTGCTCCCGTCTTCTTTCGTGAGCTTGAGAGAGATTGGTCGCCCCCGACGCTCGCGACGGCAGTACAGGCTTCACACAGGACAGAACAGGGCAGGTGTTCGCATGATTGTGTCTCTCAATGTGGCAACGAGTACGACGTGAGTGGCAGTCGGTCCGGATCGACGGCATTGCGTACTCCTCCTCACGGAGCACTGTGCCATTGAATCAACCTTGTATGCCTGAGCCGTCATCGTCCGATCGACTTTTGTTGCTCACGTCGCCTCCTCATTCGTGCTCACTATTGCTTGTTCAGGCAGCGTTATGCCAAGCTCGGGGCTCGGCTGTCAGGACGAGGCACAACCCACCTCTCCACTGACATGCGACGACAGTTGATCGGGTGATGCCACAACAAGTACGTGCCACTTCTGTCGAGCTCTGGACGTCGCCTGCCGCCAAAGCGAGCCCAGGGGGCACCGCAAGTGGGTGCCGATACCGGGATGGCGTTTAGGATCCAGAGGAACAAGCGGAGGCACACAGGGAGGCAGCAAACTCCAGCTTTCTGCACGCAGACCAGAGCTCAGAGCCCGACGCCTCACCTTAAACATCGTCGTTCGATGCCGGCGTCCGACGCCGTCAATTGACGAACGAGTAGACGGTTGGTGGGTCTGATGAGCTCATGGCATACGCATGGGGCTTCATTCCTCGGTGACAGAATTTACTTTACGTTGCCGGTGCTGCGATGCAGTAAGTGCTGACGGCGCCTTACGAAAACATACTGGCCCATAATAATGGCGTTCATGAGTGCCTGTCTGTCGCCGATCGTTCGAGCATGGCGTACAGGGCGCGCTGGGAGTGCAATACGACGACGGCTCGTCAACTCTGCACAGGTTGCACCGCTCATCACACATGTGCTGGGCGCATGTGCTCCTCCGCCGATTGCAGTGGGTGACACTTGGGCATCGCCGATCCGAGCGATTGCGTGAGAACTCGAGGAGGTTCCGCGACGATGCGTCAGTGGCCATGAGATGATCAACACTTCGGGGCGGTGCTTCCTAGATCCCAGATCGATGGGCTGATGAGCAGAAGGGCCTGCTGATTCTCGTCACAATTCCCACACGGTGGTACCCGCCGGTCCGACGCGGCCGAGGATCAGGCCGGGCGTTGACGATTCGCTCTGTGGTCTGACACAGGCAGAAGTCAGTCAATTTTGCTGCACACATTGGCGCACAACACAGTGATTGCAAGGCCGTCGATCGACAAATTCTTCATGAAGAGGCTGAGGACAGCGCTGGTCGCAGCGGTGGAGCGGATTGGCTTGACTGTGGCCCCCGTCCATAAGCCGCAAGTGTGTGCTGATGCTTGTGGGTGCGCTAGGCTGCCTGTCAACCCCGCATCAAGTCCATCCTTTGCCTCATGCAAGTGTTACGCCTGATCACTCGTGTCGCAGCCAGTCAGGCATGGACTAGCGCCGCAGCCAGAGTGCTTTCCGCTCGGCAGCGGCTCCGTGACTGGTCTCAGTCACAGTCTCCGATACCAGTCACATCACATGGTATACCGCACCAACGTTCCAGACTTTCGGGAGCACCTCAAAGGACGCCCAACCGTCGCCTAGTGACACTGTTCGCGAATTATCGCCATGCCCGATGCTACTGCGGCCTCAGCGCCCTTGATTCGTTACGGAGCTCGGACGCTGTGGCACCGTCGGTGCTCTGCTTCCGGGGTACGTCCGAGAGCCGAACAAGGCCCGCTACCCCGTTTCGCCTTATTGCAGTGCTATGAATCCTGCCCTGGCAACCGAGCGACTAGTGGCACCTGACTGCGTCGGAGTGCTGGAATGCAGAGGACGTGGTGGACCGGGGTCGTTCCGACGAGCTAGCGGCGCATGAGTAAGTGTTGCTGCAGTCGGTCGACGCGATGAGGAGCAATGAGGAGAATCGGTTAGTTAGTGCGTTCGACTTCGCATGGACGTCCACGCCTTGGGCGGTAGCTGCCACTCACATCTTCAGTCTCTTCTACATGGCACAAGCTGGCGCGCCTGTTCTTCAGTTGACTCCAGTGCAGTCTCTGACGTGAAAAGAAGGGTGGGCCGCCTCACGTGTGAGCCTGCCCACGAACATGCTCTAGCTCCCAGCCCCTGGTGGTGTGACCTTCGACCAGGCCACATCCATTTCCTTGTGGCACCTTCAAAGCCAAGAGATCACAGTCCAACTTGGAAGACAAGACTGCTCGGAAACTAGTCTGGATAGACAGAAAGGCTGCCACAAATCCGAGGTCAGCCTCGGCTGAGCGAAAGTGGCAGTTGTGGGCGGGCGCTCTCCGCTGAACGCACAGACAAAAGCCCAATGCCGGGCGTCGAGTCGTCGAGGCAGAAATGAATCACAGGCTACAGTACCAGATCGGACTTCGAACACTACACGTAGTCGCTCAAGGCCTTCATGAAGGTGCCCACAATCACCAAGCGAGGGCTCTGTCGCATCGAATCGGTCCCCCAGGCGTCCCAATGTGAGGCAAGCAGTACTGTCTTTCTACATAACCAAATGCCATGGAGCCGACTACATGTAGTCTCTCCTTCGCTGGCGCCGTGTAAGCCGTTGATGACGTATCCCCCGACTCCCGAGGTTTCGACCGTCATGCCAGTATCCGCCAATATCTATCAATGCACCCGCGGTATCTGACTCTACACAGCTCAGACATGCGAAATTCGGCCGCTCTCGGGGCCTCCGCATCGGCTTACATCGAAGAGGATGTTTTCCGATGCCCATGAGACTCTCGAACACCGCCAGTGTGAGTCGAAAGGCGAAAGGCACGGACATAACGACGCGGCTCAAGGTCGACGACACTCAATCCGCCACGACTATTACCACCCCTTCGTAGCCACCGGCCCAGGACGAACCGCCACACAGCCCACCCTGCCATGGCACCCGGCTTGCATCCGCGCAGCCACTGACACATCGTGGAGTGCACCTTGCATCATCTCTTGTACCGAGACCTGATCCCGGCTCTTTCATCAGTCCGTGCATGGTCGGAGTAGCCGACAAGTTCATTGCCGGGGACGACCCCGTAATCAAGGAGCCGACGGATGAGTTGGCGGGTCGCCCTCACGTTGCCTGAACGAAGTCGGTACAACTGGCATCAGGGCGTACCCGGGCTGCTCCACCTCGGCAGCGCAACGGGCTATGACTCTGACGCTTCTTAGTCAGGCGCAGGCTCGGGTGACAGTGACGCCTGACACGCCCCCATTGCCATCCAAGGCAGACCGTTGGTCGGGGAGCTGTGATAGCTGGCCAGCAGAACTGAGGAGGAGCGAGCGGGGCATCTCATGCGTGGTTCCCGGCTGAAGCATGTGGGCAATCCAGACACAGCCCACCGACAAGGTGAAAGGGGAGCGATTCAGCTTGCAGGAGACCTGTGGCCACCTCGTCTGTCTCGGTCAGTCTCTGACAGCGACCTGGATGTTCTGAGGTGCGACCTGGCTGTTCTGAGGTGCCCCTGCGACGGAGCTTGAAATACTGCGTCGCCCCAAGACGAAGCAGCGCCGCCATCACGCCCTCGGCCCTCGGCGCCCTCAGCGCCCGCGGCGGCGTGCTCACCATCAAACAGCGTCTCTTCGCTAGTATATCGGTTAGTATAATCGCCTCTCAAGAGAGAGCAGCTGAGGCTCAAACGAGCTTCCAATGATCGCGATAGAGCAGGGTTCGACTCCCTGGCGGAGAATGAGGCGGAAACGCCTGTCCTTTTGGACGTTTTGCTCGTTCTCTGCATGGAAGGAAGACACGTGAACGCTGTACCAGAGGGAGGCATGGAGGGACCGTCGACAACCGCGGAGATCGGCCTGAGGTCTGTCAGTGTGATTGAGGAGAGGCCAGACGATGGTCAGTGGCATTAGTCCTTTCGTGTACAGAAGTAGAAAGATGCATGTTACAAACCCAGATCAACCCAGAAAGTACAGTTTGTCAGGCCTTACTCGAGCGCAGCCCTTCGTTTCCGCTTGCGGCCCTTGCTCTTGTCCGAGTCGATCTGCTGGTCCACGGACGCAAGCAGCGCCTCGGCGTCGGCCATCTCGACGTCTTCTCCGGATCCTCCTTCCTCTTCCTCCTCGTCCTCTTCATCGTCCCCCTCTTCCTCCTCGTCCTCATCCTCCTCGTCCTCATCCTCCTCGTCCTCATCCTCCTCGTCGTCCTCGTCCTCATCGTCTTCCACCTCCTCGTCGCTGTCAGCGGCGCCGGGGACTATCCGCTCCGTCTCCTGCGCGACGTGCTTGAATCGACTCGGCCGTCCAATGGCAGCCTCAGCCTGGCGCTGCGCAACAGCGGCAGCGGACGTGCTCGCCTCAGCAGCCTCGTCTGAGGACTGCGTCTTGAACTTGGACTTCTGCAGATGCGGGAGATTACCGATGACGAAACGGTGCGCGGCGTCGGCGTCGATCTTGGAGCGGCCTGAATGTCAGCTGGAATTCGAAGCTCGATAAGCTGTGATGACAGGTGCGGTGGGTGAAGCACCCCCCTGCGATCCCTGCGACCCCTGCGACCCCTGCGAGGAGGAGCAGTCCACCAGCGAGACCGCTCATCCGTCCTAGACCTTCCTTGAGAGGAAGACTGCACTCACGAGTCGAAACTCCGGACTCGGCGTCGCGGACCTTGGCGTAGTACGTCTTGATACGGTCCTGGAGGTCAGCTTACGGCTCCGGGAATTACACAGCTACGGGGAAGGAGCGGACACTGATAGTCCATGGCAACGTCACGAGCGCGGGTGATCGGCACCCTCGTACGCCGATCGCATCCTTTGCCCACAGCTCGCAGCACTCACCAGCTCCTTCGTCACGTCGTGGTCATCCGGGTTAGCACCTCTCGTCTTGAGATACACTGTACGTCAGCTATGTCACAACACACATGCGAGCTGCCCGACCGAGTGCCCGATGCGAGGAAGGCGAAGCACTACTGCTAAGCGTAGTAGCCCTGCGATCGCCAACAGAAAGCAGAGATAGTTCCCTGCCACCACAGCCAGGCATACCAATCACTCACTCCAGACAAGGTTGTTGATAGTGTACGCAAGCAGCACATCGAGCTTGGCACGGTCGATACCGCCCAGCCCGTCCCGGAGCGAGTTCAGGCTCTGGTCGAACAGGGGCGCGACGGCGGTCTCGAGCGCGGACAACGTCGAGTCGAACGACTTGAGGGAGGCAGAAGGGTCATCCATCTTGCCTTTCTGTCCTGAGCTGTGCTTCCAGTCGGGGAAGGAAGCGGAGTTGCTCGCGGCGGGGAGGTGGTGAAGGAGGGAAGGTAGTGAGGACGGTCGTGTGAGAGCTCCACAGGGCTAGCGAGTGTCGATTCCGGTCCAGCAGCAATCCCGGTCGCTTACTGAGGCTTAAGGGGGTGTAAAAGCTGAACGACGAGGAAGGCAGCGAAAGACGAGGGTTGTGTAGATGTCGCAGCTGACTGTTGTTGACGAGTCTCAGACCTCGCATCCGAAACTTCCAAAATCTCGATCTTCTGCGTCACAGAAGTGGAGGTGCCTTGGCACGTGGCCCAAGTCACATGACCTGCTGGGGGAGCAGACCTTCTTAGCTGGAGGGAACACATAGGTGATCGCGAGTGATCTCTGCACGTGACAACACTGGCGGTAAGCATCCGAGGAAACGCCAAGTGTCCTGTGCAGGCCTAATCAGAAGGTTGTCGACGGGCCTATCGCCTGGGTGAGACATCACGCGACTCTCACGCGGTGGAATTCGTAATTGTCAAGTTATTCGAAATGGGCCTGCTCCCGCATGGGCTTGACGATCCGGCCCTACGGCCCTTGACCGGTCGCCTCGCTCGCTTACCTGGATCTGAGTCAACCCACCATATCACCATTCTGCCGTCTGCGGCGCGGGCGCTCGCAGCGAAGGCCGTCGCATTTGATCCCGTCAAGCCTGTCCAGCCTGGGCGCGGGGCTAGCCCACCCAGACTCATAGACGCGTGCGGTAGCAGGTTTGTGGTGGCTGGTCGTAATGAAGCGCGACCCTTCGCGGCAGCGCCTGCGCGCCCGGCCGCCCTCGGCTGCACGCGTGTACCGATCCAGAGTGGAGGGCGCTCGCTTCGGACACTCAGCCGCCTGTGGCAGTTGAGTGATTTGTTTTTGCCAACGTCGCCCTCATGCGAGAGTGTGAACCACCCCGTGCGACTGGCTTTGCTCCCATCCCCTTACCACCGTCATGCATGTTGCACCCGTCCATCTGAGCGACTGCGACGGAGGCGCGCTTGCTCTTCTTCCCCCTCCCTCCGATCTTCCCCTTGCTCCACCACCAATTGACTTTCCCATGCATTCACCGTTCCCGCGAACAAGAACTCAACCGAACAATGGAAAGAGACTGGTGTGCTCAATTTGATGCATTCGATACAAAACTACAATACATGGCTTTTGGCTTGGTCGTCATTGGTGCCATGGCCGGCGGGGGGCTCGCAAGCTGCCCGCAGCAGAGGGCGCACACCGGCGCTGCCTCCGCTCGTCTGGGGTCGGGATATCGCTTGAACTGCTTGCAACGCAGAGTTCAAGGGAGGGGGTGATGGAGGATTGGTTGATGATAGATGTGCGGGAGATCGGGTTCAGTTCGTCGTCTTCTTCGAGGCAGAGTCCAGCTACGCTCGTCGAGTTCGAGTTCACTTGGCCATCTCCATGGCCCCGCAATCCTGGCAAACGGTCCAGAGGCTCCGCTCGCCAGTGATCGCGTTCGGGTAGTCGCTCATGCGCAGCTTGGGAATGCTGGTGCAGTGGGGGCCGTGCTGGGCGCGCGCGCGCTCAACGGCAGTCGCGTCGTCGGCGAGGGGGGCAGACACAGCGGGCTGCATCAGGCCGGCACCCTTGGGAGCCTCGAGGTTCTGGGCGTAGGGCTGGGCGTTCCAGGCCGTCGGAGACACGGGGGCGGACGCGCTAGAGGGGAAGGCTGTGTTCGGCGCATTGGTGGGGTGGGCATACATGGAGGGGTAGAACGAGGATGAGAAGTCATCGTCGTCAGTAAGCTCGTCTTCATCGGCACCGGGGCCGAATCCGAACCCACCAGAGCCGCCCTCGGCGTAGCTGTACTGCTTCTGAGGCGGAACGTAGCTCGCGTCGTCCATCTCAAAGTCCATGTCGTTGTCCATGCGGTCGGACTCGGAGACAGAGGCGGAAGTGGCTGACGAAGGGATGAGGTCGGGAGGGAACGCGAAGCCGTTGGGGCCCTCAACGGAGGGAGGAAGGACACGGAGGTGCTGCGCATATGTCAACAAGTGCTCTCTCAAAACGCGTCATTGTTGTTAACCTACCTTCTCGAAAGCCTCCTCTTCCATGTCTACGGACGCATCACGCTTGCGCTTGGGCTTGTAACCAGAGGTGGAGGCGACAGGCTGGGGAGCCTGCTGGGGAACGTAGGACATGAAGGCGGAAGTGGCCATGGTGATTGTGTTGGTTGATGGATGGGATGGGATGGTAGAGCACACTGATGAGGTCGGACGAGTCGACGCCAGGTCGATCGACAGGCACGCGATGGAAAGTAAAGATGGGCTGGTTAGTCGCGGTAGTGCGCGACAGCGAAATCGAAGGTGGTGATGGTGGTAGTGGTGAAGGGTCGAAGAGGTGCCGACGGGCGGTGGAAAGGAAAGATGAATGAGAAGTGGAAGAGAAGAAGTGGACGAGACGAGTCGGTGACCAAAGTGGGGTAGGTCGGTGGTTGGTAGGGGAGGAAGGAAGAAGACGGTTGGCGAGGATGCGTCCGTCTTTTGAAGGTAAGGTTGATCCGTTGTGGCAGTTGACTGGAGGATTGGGGTACACAAATGACTCTCGAAAACGGCAGGTACAGGGAACGACAAGCCGTCAGGCCCGGAAAACACTCGGACTGGTCCCAGATCCCAATAGCGCACAAAAGCCCAGGATGACCCGGGAGGATCACGTATGAGCCCACAGGGCACGGCACCAGAGCCCAGGAAAACAACTCAAGCTGCGCCGTACACAGGGTCCTCGGCGGCTCGGCGGCCTGGCACGGCCGTGTTCATCCTGGGTTCAGCCTAACCCTTCCTTGGTTCAGAGGGATCTACTTCAGATTACATAATGCACACATTACAACGGTGTTAAGGAAGCAATTTTTCGTTCCCCTACCTGCCATAGTGACTTTCCTTAATCGGCATAAACGCGCCCCGTCCGACGAGCAAGCTACATTACAATACCCCCCTTTTCCAATTTCCCCTAAACCATACGGCTCACCTCGCTCATCGCTCACGCCTTACGCCTCTCCAACACGGTCGTCTCGGAGGCACCGTGAGGCACGAACGAGGCTGCCTTGAGCCTATGCACAACCCTCCTCCTGCTCACCTTGGAACCCGTTAGGCGTACGCACGAACAAAAGCAGATGGGATCTGAAGCCCTTGGGTCTGACGCCTTATGGCACCAGTGGCTTACCCTGCACCGCCCCTCAGGCCTGATGCCCTTGTCTGCACTCACACACGCGCGCACACGTATCCGGATCCTCTGTGTACCATTTGCCCGTCCCTGACCCAGACCCTTGTTAGCGGCTGGTAAGCCGTCTACCAGGTCCTCAGGCTCTGTCCGCGCGCGCTGGTCTGCACAACTCGCAGCCCTAAGTCCGCAATGTCAGCCCTGATTAAGAACTCGTGCCCAGGCCGAAGCCACTCACCCCATGGAGCGCCGGAACCAATACCAGCGCTGGTGTTGCCGCCGGAACCAGAGGGTAGAGATGAACTTTCACGATTGTCCGTGCCGGAGCCGGAGCTCCCGACTGCCGAAGCGCCGCCCTGCCCCGCACCCTCGGTTTCGTCACCTTGGCTTCCACGTTCAGCCTCGAGACTCCATCCCAATCCGTAGCCGACGCCGTCCGGGCGCACAAGGAGCAGGGGTAGCGAGGCGAGGAGTTTCTTCGGAGCAACTTCGGGCTTGTGGAGCTGGAGGGTGCCGGGGGCCGAGAAGACGTCGTTTTCTCCAGAGGCAGCTGCCTCCGCGGCCGCTTCCTCGAGAGATCCATCGATAAGGGTATTCGGGAGCTGTTCAAATTTGAATTCCTCGTCTCCGACCTTGGGAATCTCCGCAGATCCCACGTGAGATCCGAGCACCTCTGAGATGTTATGCTCGGGTGCATGATTCTTGCCAGCATTCTGGAGAGCCTCCTGAATGGTGAGTTCACCGGCAGGGCCCATGGCTCCCAGCCATGCGTCATCAGCGTTGGTCTGGTCCCCTGTCTCAGGCTGTTGCTGTTCGCTGGATCCGACGACCGGCGCCTGCTCGCCAGCGGGCTGCTCCACTGCTGTGGGCTCAGGCGTTGCCGCCTCCCCTTTCGCACACTCCTTCATGACGCGCACAATTTCCTCCATGCCCGGAAGCTCGACCTTAGCGATGGTGTGAGGGATGTTGAAGGGGAAGTTGCTGTACACGCGCTCGCCCTCAGGCAGTGGCGGCTCCTCGTCTGACCCGTTATACGGCACAGCCGGATAGAGGGCACCTGGGTCAAAGTATTTCTCCTTGGGTGCAACTGAGCGCCAGGTGGTCACGCGTAGCGGACCGATGGGCCCGATGTAGAGGCTGAGGGGTTGAGGCTGGGCCTGGTCGTTGTCGATGAAGAAGTACGACAGCGTCAGGTCCAGGGTGTTCTGGTCGGGCTTGAACACTGGATCAACGAGCAAACGAGGAACGGGGTCGAGAGCCGCCTTCGGCAGAGCCTCTGCGTCTCCCAAACCGTTGAAGAACGAGTAGGAGAAGCACCCTGGTGGTCAGCGGGTTGAACGTGACTGCTTTACTTACAGACGCCACCGAGCGTCCAGCTCATCCAATCATCGACCGTCTCAATGCTGGCGGGCCGAGCGGTGGCGACCTTGCCCTCGGTGACGATGTGGGTACCCTGGCGACGTTTCGCCTGGTGCCACACAAGCCCCGCGGCCGCGTTTCCGCTCTCCTCCTCGTTGATCGCAGCACGGGCAAGGGAGTGGCGCTTCGTCTTGCGCTTGCGCTTGGATTCGCTAACGGGCGTGTTGGTCGTGCTGTCCGCACCGTTATCCAGGGAATCGAGGCCGCCGAGGGTTTCAGGCACAGATTCGGGATTGCCTGCAGCGTCTTTGATAGCATTGCGCGAGCCAGGCCGAGCCCTGGTGACGCCCACCTCGCCTGCGCCGGCAACTGCGCCAGGGGCCGAGAGATACCAGCGCGCACCGCCTGTCTCATCATCGACGCCGTCGACGACGCGGACGAGGCCGATACGCTGGAGCTCACTGACTGGGTGGCCCTCGTCCTCACCAACGATGGCCTCATTCTTGTCGACACGCACCAGACGTACCGGGTCGGAACGAATGCCGCTGTTGACGTCGACGAGTTGAACAATAGAACCATACGTGATGATACTGGCCTCCCTGTCGTTGTCAAGCTTGAAGCGAGCACGAGATGACTTGTCCTCGGGCTCAGGCGGCGAAGCGCGAGAGATAACGTGGAAACGGCAGGGCGACCACTTGCCAGTCCTGGCCGTGAGGATGGGGGCGCCATCGACCTCGTCCATCTTCATGTACTTGGTGCGGACCGTTTGAGCGTTGACGCGAACGTACAGAGCGAAGGCGTCGGCAGTTGACAGACAGCTGGCCATTGAGCGAGCCTTGGCTGTCTTCTGCGAGGGTTTGGACACAATGGTGAGAGGCTCGGAGACGAACGTCGCCCAGGGCTTGGGAGGCTCGGGCGGCTGCGTCTGCTGTTGCGTCTGCGTCTGAGTCTCATTCTGCTCCGTCTGCTGCGTCTCCGTGGCCGAGTCCAGCGTCTGCTCCATGGAAGGTTCCAACTCGACGAGGCGATCCTTGCTGTCCTCTGCCTCTAGGCCCATCAGAGGCTCTACTCCTGCCGCGAGAACACGACGCAGCGCAGCCTCATCGATGGGTTCAACGTCCTTGTTCTCAGCGGGTACAGCGGCAGCGGGGTCGTTCTCCACTCCCGGGGTGCCAACACTGAGCTCGAGACGGAACTCCTTGTTCTTCCCCGTCTCCTCACCAATCCACAGTCCAGGGAAGGTCAATCCGGTGGTGAGCTCGGAGCGGTCGCGGGTGTCGCTGCGGCTGCGTTCCCACGGTAGCGAGCCACCCCAGCCAGTCCTGGAGGCAGCCTGACGCATCTGGCGACGCTTCTCGTCGCGCTCCGCCTTCTTCGTTTTGGGAAGGGACGACTCTTCAGCCGGAGCATTATTCAAGGCCAGGCGATGAGACTGAGAGGAGAAAGTAATGCTGCCGGTGGGAGGGTCGGGATTGGGGTGTGTGCTGAGAGAAACTTGGGTGAGCTGCGGAAGTAGCGGACCAGAGACACGGAGCGTGGGAGGCGGCTGAATAATGCTGGTCCGATCAGCTATTACACAAGTCAAGCCAGCTTACCGTCTCTCCTTTCCGTAACTCTTCTGTCCAGTCTTAGGATGCCAGACCTCTACGGTGGTGAAAGCGCGTCCACGTGTGTTCTTGCCGAAGTGGGAAGAGAGAGTACGCGTGATCTTCGAAAGACGGTGGGGGCCTTCCTCGGACCCATCCTCGTCATCACGAACGCGTTTCTTGCTCAAATCGTCACCGGCGTCGTTGCCAGATGCCGCTCCGTTCTCGGCGCCATCGTTCGTGGTAGACGCGTTGCCTTCCCCGCCGTTCTCGCCCAGGTAGTCTGGGTCGTCCGCGGAACCGCCAGCCTGGGGGAAAAGGTTACTCGTACCCGAGATCGCGTTTAAGAGGAGATCGAGAGGCGTTGTGGACGGGTTGTCGTCCAGCAGCGGCAGGTCCGACATGGTTGTTGTTGTTGTTGAGCGTGTGGACCTCGAAGATGGAGGTGATTCTCCCACGGTGCGGTGACGTTGAGGGGATGGAATGATGTGAGCTCGTGGGAGAATGTAGCACTGCGGCCAGCGTGGGAATTCTGCGCACACAGAACCATACGTGGAATTTACTCCCGCTGTTATCAGTCGCCCCTCGCACCCACCTGCCGTCACCAAAACTTGTGAGCATCTTGCGATTTTTCTGAACTCATCACCTCTTCTCCCCTCATCTTTGCTCTCCACGAGCTCGACATTCGACACCGACATGCAGGACGTTGACCATCGACCCCCTACTAACATCACTTCTGACATGCAGCTCTGCTTCGAGCTGCGAGCTCCTTCCCCTCACCTATCCTTCCCTTCCTCCCTCCTCTCTCAATCCTACCGGGTACCCTATGATGAGAATTGCCAACACAATTAGAGTCAAGCTCATAAACCTGCTATACGTAGCCAGGTGTTGTTGAGTGTCGGCCTGTTTGACAGTTACACTGAGGGCCACCTACCAATCCCCATTTCTTTATTTCACGTAGCAGTTACTACCCTATCCTATCTTTATCGTGATGTCACCTCTTGCTTCTAAACTCGTCTTGTGCAACCCTTGGCAGTGGCTCTATGCTTCGTATCGTTCAGGTCATAAGTTGCTTTTATGTCTATCACTTAGCAGGTACTTGCTCGAGTGACGCGCGCACGCTGCTCTTTTGCTGTATCTGGTATCTACGGGTCACATGCAAAAATTCTACTGGGGGGGCTTGTTGTACTCGTACTTCTCACCACGGGCGTCCATGCGGGCCTTGGCCTCCTGGAGGGCCCAGGTCTGGATGCTGGTGTCGGGCTTGTAGATGTAGACGACGGTGGCGAGAGCCATGCCACCGAACATGCCGACGTAGAAGAGGGTCCTGTGGTGGTCAGCTTTCCGAGACACAAACAGTCCATAAACGTCATCGTGCGGATAACAGTCGATCACCTCCAAGGGCAGGCGCGTGTGGTTGACAGCTCCTTGCAGCCTTAACTGATCCCATCGCCTCGATCGCGCAACGACAAAGAGGCTCGAACCTCGCTTATCGTGTCGCAGCATCGAACGAGGCACGGTAACAGCATGCCGCGATCGGAAGATGTCTGCCCCACAACGTCCATCCTTATCGAGGTGACACGGGTCGCAATTTGGCGAAACACAGGATCGTCTACGCGCAGCTGTGCATCTAGCTGATGCACGCTGGGGCGTTCGCGACTCGATCCAAACGTGCTACCCGGTCCCAACAATGTCGCACGTTCGCAGTCCGCTCGCGGTATACTCACTCCCACGACTCGCGTTGGCGCTTCTGGCCCTTGGGGATCTGGAGTCAGCTCAAGCAATGAAATCAGCTTAGCTCGCATGAGAGAACGTCGAGAGCGCAGGATCTGGGCGACAACACGGTGCGAATGACGGGCGACGACTAGCGTAGCGCAAGTGCACTCCACTTCGGACAGTCCGCTTTCCGATAACCGGACCAGTACTTCGATGTTATCGAAATGGCCATCTTCGAAGTCCCCGACACCGACAAGACGAGCGCAAAGGCAGGTGGGCGGCACTTCGTGGCTTATGGAGCGGCGCTTCGGCTGATGTGGGCTGGCGAACGTGTGCGTTACACAATTGCCCGCGAGCGGAGTGCGCTGCGGACTGTCCACAACGGCACCGACTTCAACCCCGAGCGCGTCCCAGCGTCCTCGCTGCCTTCCGTCGCTGTCCTTCCGTGTGTCCTCGCCCTGTCGATCCTCTGCAGCTGCACCAAGTCGATTCCGAGAGGAGTGGCAGCATGACGATCCTCCGATCCTCCCGTCGAGCTTAAATTAGGCGAGATTCAACTAACCTGCTCGCCGAACACGTAGCCGGACGGCTGGTTGTAGGTGGGTCCGTGGGAGGCGTAGCGGCGCTGTGCCCGGAGGGCGGGGCGGGCGAGTCGGAGTGCTGGCTGGCCGAGCATGGTGTCTGAGTGGTGCTAACGATGAAGGCTCACCAACGTTCAACTCGGCGAGCGCTCGGGATGGTGCTGCCGCACAACCAGCCAGCGGCCAGGGCATTGCCTCCGCCCAGCCTGGCTGGCGGAACCAGACGGCGAAATGCCGTGTGGCGGTCAACCCTCGCCACCCGGGTGGAGGTGATCAGGCACGACGCCTGCTGGATTCCTCGATCCTCGAGGCTTCGGTTCATGTTGTCCAAGTCGCCGGATGCGCCAGCACATGCGCTCGCTCCCACTTAGCTCATCGACTATCAGCTAGCCCTATCGCGGCGGCGCGACATTACTCTCACCGTCTTCCCGCAATGTCGTCCACACTGGTAGCGTCGACCGTCATGTCGCAGGTCACGGACGCGGCTGCGACTCCGACGCAGGAGCCGTCCAAGACAACAGTGCACGACAAGGGATATCAGACCGAGAACGGCAAGAAGACAGCGACGACCACAATTCCAGCGACCAAGGAGACCATCACGTCCACGGAAGGCTTCGGGTACAAGTATAACTCGGGCTTAATCGTCCGCGTCGCCATCGCTGCCGGTATTATCGTCATGGCCGTGCTCGTCATCATTCTCTTCTTGAAGGTGCGCAGCTTTCGAAATCCAGTGGTATATGGCTAACATCAGATCTCCGGCTGGCTTCGTTATCACCAGCGACTGCGACGAGAGACCATCTTGTCGGCGCAGCTTGAGGAGGAGGAGAAGAAGCGCGGCTTTGAGTCTGCTGCTTGGTCGGACACACCAGGACAGGCGCCCGTGTTCCCGAATGCGGCGACTGAGAAGCGGCCATGGTGGAAGCGGAAGAAGGCTAAGGGTCTCCGCGGACGTGGGCAGATGAATGCGTACGCAGTGTACGAGTGGGAAGGAGTACCGGCGTAAAGTCCTCCCAACCACACACAAACAACTTGTACTATATGCTGTTCTCTCCTGTTATCCCAGTTGTACGTCTTGTAACTAGCCATACTCCACTGCATTAGCATGTCATTACGACCTCTTGTCATATAGAGAAAATGATCCATCTAGATATGCCTAAAAGTGCACCTATGCTCCTACTCATTACAATAACGCCGGGTTTACTTCTTGGCAGCGAACTTGCCGCGGCCCATGACGCGATCCCGCGCCTCCTCGTACTTCGACTTGGTCTCGGCGACAACGTCCTCGGGGAGGGTGACGTCCTCCTTGCCCTTGAGGTTCTCCTTGATGAGCCAGTCACGGAGGTACTGCTTGTCGAAGGAGGGCTGGGGCTTGCCGGCCTCGTAGTCGGCGGCCGCCCAGTAGCGCGACGAGTCGGGGGTGAGCGCCTCGTCGATGAGGATGAGCTGCTTGCCGTTGGGCGTGTCGAGGAGACCAAACTCGAACTTGGTGTCAGCGAGGATGAGGCCGCGCTCGAGGGCGTAGGCGGCAGCCTCGTTGTAGAGGGCAAGGGCGACGCGCTCGATCTCGGCGGCGAGCTCGGGGCCGCAGATGTCCTTGACCTTGTCGGGGTGGATGTTCTCGTCGTGGTCGCCGAGGTCAGCCTTGGTTGATGGGGTGAAGATGGCCTTGGGGAGCTTTTGGCTCTCGACGAGACCGGCGGGCATGGGGATGCCGTGGACGGTCTGGCTCTTCTTGTACTCGGACCAGGCGGAGCCAGTAATGTAGCCACGGACGATAGCCTCAATCTTGACAACCTCGCACTTCTTGACGATCATGCTCCTTCCCTCGAGCTGGTCACGGTACTCGTCGAGGGAGCGGGGGAACTCCTCCCAGGCGGTGGCACCGTTGAGAGCGGCGGGAGAAGCACCCTCGAGGCTGGGGGTGAGAACGTGGTTGGGGATGACGTTGCGGAGCTTGTGGAACCAGAAGAGGGACAGCTCAGTCAGGGTGGCACCCTTCTGGGGAATGCCGTTGTTCATGATCACGTCGAAGGCGCTCATGCGGTCAGTCGCGACGAAGAGGAGCTTGTCGGCATCCTTCTCGTCGGGGAGGGCGTAGATGTCACGAACCTTGCCCTTCGAAAGGAGCTTGAGCTTGGGCATCTCGGTGTTGAGGATGGTACGGCTGGGGCCAGCGGCGGCACCAGCAGCGGCACCGGCAGCAGCACCAGCGGCACCTCCAGCAGCGGCAGCCTTGGCAGCAGCCTTAGCAGCCTTCTGCTTCTCCTTCTCGGCGCGAAGCTTGATGAGCTCCTCCTCGGTGGGGGGCTTGTTGCTCTTCTGGGGCTTCTTAGCCTTAGGCTCCTTCTTCGCGGGGGCGGCACCGGCAGCGACAGAGGCGTTGGGGTAGCCGAGCTTCTCGGCCTCCTGCCACTCGGGAGAAGCGTCGAAGACCTTGCGGATGGGGCCAAGGAGGCTGGTGAGAGCCTCGGTGACACCGGCCTTGAGGTCTCCGGGGTGGAGCTCCTCCTTGGCGTAGGCGTCCTCGAGAGCCTGGTACGAGGAGAAGTGCATGTCGCCGCCGTACTTCTCCGGACGGGGAATCGAGAAGAGAGTTCCGACAGGCGAGTCAGCCTTGGCGAAGCTGCCCTCGCCCTTGTAGCGCTCCTCTCCACGGGCACGAGCCTGTTCCTCGCGCAGCTCCTGAACAGGGATCAGGACAGTCTTGAGGAAAGCGAGGACACCGTTGCCCTCAACCTCTCCCGGAGTACACAGAGCGGCCTTGAGCTTCGACTTGATCTCAGCCGGCGTGTCGAGGAAGTCAATCTTCGACTTGGCGTCCGATGACGACATCTTGCCTCCAGAGAGACCAGGAACCATCGCGTTCATGAGGTGGGCACGCTTAGCGTAGCCCATTCGGGGAAGGAAGTGGGCAGCGTACATGAAGATTTTGCGCTGCCATTAGCTATCATCAGTTCTTTCGGAGCTTACCTGGTCGACACCACCGAACTGGATGTGGACGTCGAGGTACTCCTCGTCAAGAGCCTGGAGGCCGGGGTAGAGGAGCGAGCACATGAGGGGCGACTCAGACTCCTTGACGACGTCGGCACCGGCGTGCTCGGCAGCCTTGACGGTTGTGAGGGCGTGGAACTTGTACATGTCCATGGTGTACTTGGGAGTGAGCTGGTAGCTGGAACCAGTCACGAACTCGAGCTTGTCAGTCGGGACACCGAGGGTGGTGAAGACGGCGTGGAGGAGGTGAGAGTAGTACTGGACACGGTACTGGAGGACCTCCATGGTCGACTTGTTGGCGTCGAGGAAGGCGTGCAGGTCAGCAAGGAGGATCTTGACGTGGACACCGGCGTTCAGGAAGTCGGCGATCTTCATGAGCGGAACGCAGTATGCGATGTGGGGACGACCAGTGGTCGCGGTGCCCCAGTAGAGACGGGGAGTCTCTCCATCGGAGAGGACCTTGCGGATAATGTCACCGCTAGTGACCTCCTGGAGGTTGCGGGTGATGCGGTTGAAGCGCTCCTCGGCCTCAGGCGAGAGAGGAATGGCGGGAGCCTTGTCCTCCTGGACCTGAGCAAACGCGAGCTCAGCAGCAGACATTTTTAGATTGTAGGTGGGCGAGGGGAGGGTCGGAGTAGTAGAGGTCGGAGACGTTCAGGTCGTTGTCGCGATAACGATCCTGTCGAGCAGCTGCTGCGAGGGTGCTGGAGTCCGGTTTGCTCGAGGCGAGCGTGAATGAGATGCAAGTTATCGCAAGTCAGCCGTTGACACTCGGACAAGGGCGTGCGGTGCGCCGCCAGCCAGCACCTAGGCTTTGCTTTGACTTCCAACATTTCGATTCACCCGTGCCTTGAACAGTCCAGAGCGTGAGGTGCGCATGGCTCTCACGCGGCTGCACCCTGAGCAATGCCGCCGCTTAAGCGTTTGCCCCTTTAGCCGCGCATTAACACCGTAGGCAGTGGCGTGCCTGGAAGTTTTGAGCAAGTCGCGCCATTGGTGAATTGGGACGGACCGATGGACGGCCGATAGCCCGCTGCCAGCATTCGCTGCCCCAAGCTGCCCTTGACTGGCCCTCGACCTCCCCTCAGACCCCCCTCTCCGCACCTCCGCTTGCTGAGCCCCTGCGTCCTGCATACCGCTGTCGTTTCTCTACTTAAATCCAGCTTTGTGATTTCTCAATCCCCCACACTCCCCACTCTCTCTCGTGTACTCGTGTAAAAGTAAAAGTAGAATCTAGCCACAATGGTAAGTGTCTACTGCCACCGCCACACATCGACGACCTCGACCTTCGCGACGACTTTGACGACCTCGACTTGAAGCTTTTCGCGCTCCCCTTCACTGTGCGACACGCCGCCCAGACCACATCCTCCCCCTCCTCCTATCCGCGTTGTTTTCGCATATGTCTGACCAGCTCAGTCTGCCTTCGCCAAGATCAAGAAGCACGTCCCCACCGAGACCCTCCCTATCGTCACCATTGTCACTGGTGCCGTTATGGGTGCTGGCTACTACCTTTACCGCCTCTCGCAGGGCTCTGAGGTCGTCTGGAACCGTCACGGTGACCAGCGCCCTTGGGACAAGATCAAGCAGCACGAGAACATCAAGTTCGTGAGTATCAATGGGCACTCAACCGTTTGCCGAGTCAGTTCGCTAACCCCTTCAGCTCTCTTACAACCCCGACTTCTGGGCCAAGCGCAAGGAGGAGGCCGCCCAGAAGGCCTCTGCTTAAACGCCGCATTCGGCTTGACGAGGTCGCCGCCCATGGGACCTCTCCTGTTGTCCTTGTAGAACTGCATTGCGTGCCTACACGAGATGTACATATTAGACCATGTCTTTTGGTTTGGTTCGGGAGGGTCATCGAAATCGGATCAACAAAAAAACTACTGGTACGGGTACGGGTACGCGTGGCTGACTCGGAGTGACTGACCGGGGTTGTACCTCGTCAAAATTGTTTCTAACCCGGCATCACCATGCCGGCCCAGCTAAACCCTCAGCCGCAAGACCCGAGGAATGGGTTCATCCTTTATCATCTCCGACTGTTCCCGACGCTCAGCCCGCCCCAGCACGCTCAGCTCCAAAATTCACAGGCACATCGATCGGTTTAAACTACGGCGCCACGGCTTTGGAATGCGCTCGGATCGGCAGAGAAAATGCATGGGGACGCCTGCTTGCGCGCTCGGCTCGGTGGGAATGTGATAACTGGACGCAACCGTGCCGCCGGCAAGAGCGAGGAACCGCTGGAAACTGCAATACACCGAGACCCGAGCTCTGGCATCGCACTGAGCACGACAGCGTAATCGTTGCCAAGATAACGGAGCGAACGCGTGTGCGCTAGTGCACTGGGGCGCCGGAACCCGTCAGCGGAGCTGGGCGGAGCAGGGGCATGCGTGAGCGGCGCAAAGCGCGCGGGCGAGAGCGCAGAAGGGCAGCGATTGGGGCACCAGATAGACAGACACAGAGCGATATGCATGCATTCCACACGCACACGAGCCAGCATGGAGCACCAGACGCTTGCCCGCTTCATCTATGCAGGCCGTTACAAATAAGTCGCGGGTCATTCGCCCCAGCGAGGACCGTGATTGCACCAGATAGCCAGATAGGCGAAGCGAGGTGTGGTGGGCGGTCTGGCGGGCTGGGGTGTGTGCCTTGAGATCAAAGTTTGGGCCCTCACTTGGGCTGCGCGTGCGCAAGCAAGGTCTCAGTGGAGATATGGCGGGTGTCCGCGCTCGGCCTGAGATTTCGGGCACTCGCAATCTCGACGATCATCCATCCGGCCTGCGAGGCACCGACTTTGCACTCCGCACACACCAGCTCACCACGCACCACCCATGTCTCTGCGCGGCCTCAGCACGGCCACGGCAGCTATCCGACCTGCTGTCCGCCCGGCAGTTCGCCCCACAATCTGCGCCCGAGCGTTCTCGCAATCAACCCGACTTGACGCCCTTCCCCGCTCCGCGATCCCGACAGGAAAGAGCGGGGCCAGCGGCGCCTCAGGCAGCAGCGGACCGAAGGGGAGCGGCGAGTCGGACTCGCGGCGGCGCGCGACGCGCATCCAGAAGACGATCATGTGGGCGTCCCTCCTGCCCATTATCGGGTACTGGTTCTTCCCGCAGCGGCGGGTCCTGAACCCAGCGCAGTACTCGGAGCACACGATCGACAGCGTGCAGCTCCTGTCGCCGCGGCATGCCGAGCTCTCTGTGCGCCTCCTGCCGCAGGAGACGCGGCAGTTCGGCAAGGGGGCCTTCCCCTTCCCCTACGTCGGGTACACGGGGAGCATCTACTCCGTCTCGCCGCAGATGTACGAGGCCCTCGTGGCGCAGACGCAGGACGAGACGCCCGACGACGGATCAGTCGTCGTGCAGCACGTCATGCTGCGCAACCCCGACATTCAGATCGAGCGGCACTACACGCCCGTCAACGACGTGGCGCGCGACGGACGCATGAACCTCGTCGTCAAGAAGGTGCGCAATGGCGAGCTTGGCCGGATGGTGTTTGGGCTCAAGAAGGGAGACCAGGCCGGATTCCGCGGACCCATCACCACGTTCTCGATTAAGCCCGACGAGTACGACACGGTCGTCATGGTCTCCACTGGCACGGCTGTTGCACCCTTCCTCCAGCTCCTGGACAAGGCCAAGGTCGGAAACACCAAGTACAAGCTCCTCCAGGCACAGGCTCCTGAGCGGGACGACTGGAGCGCAAAGCTCATCAAGAAGCACCAGCAGAAGTACGGTGACAAGCTTGACGTCAACCGCATTCCGCAGGGAGAGGTGCAGAAGGAGGACATTGCCGATGCGCTCGCCGACGCCGGCCGGGTGTGCGTCCTCGTCTGCCTGCCGCCGAAGCTCATGGGCCCATTCTGTGGTCCCCTCACACCGACGCTCGAGCAGGGTCCCCTGACCGGCACGCTGAAGGAGCTGGGTCTCAACTCGAAACAGGTCTGGAAGCTCGAGTGAGCTCATCCCAACCTCAAAATAGAACTATAGATGATTGTGCATGCCTTATTGTTGTTATATGCAGGGTATTGTATCTAGATCGTGTCGTTTCAAGTACAACTGGTTCCTTCGCTCCGTCATCCGTTAGGTCGTTGCTTCGTTCGGGGTGCCAGGCAGTGGCGGCAGGTGCAGCTCCTTCGATGCCGATTCTGGCGGCGCCGTCTGCTCCGGCTTCTCGGTGAGAGGGTCGCTGACCGCCGATTCAGACTCCAAGGGCTCCTTCTCGTTCAGCTCCAGATCGCTCACTTTCTCGTCGATGTCTCCCTCGTCAACAACGACGGGCGGGATCTTCGCCATGGCATCGAGGTATCGCGCCGAAGTCTGATGTCAGTTCAGCTTATCGGATATGAAACTCACCTCCAAATTCTGTCCAGCTGAGGCGGCCTTCAAAACCTGCCATGTGGTGCGCTCGTGGAGCAAGCGTCGGTAAGAGCGTGTGTAGAAAGTGTTGATGGCGTCCAGCGGCCACTCCTTCGGCGCCATGTCCAGCACCTCCTTGACGTCGAGATGGACGCCTTGGGCAGACAGGAGCTGCTGCGCCCGGGCAGCACCGTCCGAAATACCAGTCGTCTTCTTGCCTCGCGGAGCAGGCGTGCGCATGTAGGCACGCAAAAGCTCGACGACCAACTTGTGCTGCGTTTGCGCGTCAACAGGCGGGCGATCACCAGTGTACAAGTCGGTCCACGCCGCGAGCGACGGCATCTTGGAAGCAATGACGTGCGCAACTTTAGGCGGCACGATCTCTCCACCCTGCGTGCAGTACGTCTGCGCAGACATGGGGTCGGCGAGCTCAGAGGCGAGCACTCTCATGGCTCCCTCATGACGGCCAAGCCTGCCGAGGACAATCGCCCGCTCCAGCGTCAGCGACGGGCATTCCTCGAGACGAGCGAGGGTAATGTTCAAGTTGTAATGTGTGCTAGTCTGCAGGAACAGCATCAGCTTGAGTCGGAAGGACTTGAACGGCGTTTCCGGAGCAATGTCGGCAAAGAAGACCGCGTAGGCTTGCGAGCCTGCCTGAAGTCGGTACTCGGCGTCTAATGTCAGCTCCCACTCCATTACGCGAAGCTCACCAAGTTCCTCTAAATGATACTTGATACCGTCATCCTTAAGCAGCTCCTCAACACTGTCCAACAGCCACTTCAACAGAGCCTCGTGAAGCTCAGGATCGGTCGACTTCTTGTCGATGACGACGTGCTCCAGGTATCGGTTGGCAGCGTCCTGGTTGACGGCGGTAATATCTTGCACAATCTGCGCATCGTCGGTATTGAGTTTCGTTCCCTTTGAAAGGAGGAGCTTTCATTAGCTTGGGGTCCTCCAGATAGCTCACGTTCAGGCCCTTATCGGCATCGCGGCGAATCAGCCATAGGATGTAGTCTCGAAGCTGCTCCGGATCATCGATGCTATTGAGATGCTGAACTAGCTCCCCGACAGGGTCGGGACACAGCGGGTCGGGAGTGGGATCCTCTGCAATTCTAATGTCAGTCTTGACTCAGTGGGATAACTCACTCCTTGAGAAGCTCTAGCACACGGTCGATGCGGCCCTGCTGTAACAGCACGGTGCAGAGAATATACTTCCGCTTGTACAAGAACGGCTCCAGCTCCGAAAAGACAACCTCGTTGACAGACCCAAGGAGCGAAAGGAGTTCGTCGGTGGTACCGTCCTCAGCCAGCAGCTTCGCGAGCGTCGTATCCACGACCATGTCTACTTTGCGGGCATCGATGGTCGACGAGGCGCCCTTGTTCAACCGGGTGTTTCTGGTTTTCTTGAGGAAATCCATGAAGACCTCCTTGGCACTGTCATACAGCGCATCGTTCACCCCAGAGTCGATCGTGCCACCCTCTGCACTCCGAGCAATGAAGTCGGCAACTGACCGGTGAGCTTGAGGACTGAGAAGCGAAAGCCTACGACTCACTGATGTCTTCAATGGTACTCATGTTCTCCAATGTGGACCGCAGGCCGTCAAAGATCTCGACCTCCTCTGCAGTTCCGATCAACTTCCCCTTATACCTCGGGAATATCCGAACGAGGAGACGGGGGTCTATCTTCGCTCGGAGGAAATAGTCCTCGGCCCTTTCGAAGACGGTCTCGAAGAGAAGATGGAAAGCAAGATAGCCATGGAGCAGCTTCATGGTCAATGTGTGTGTCGCCTGATGTCAGCTGAAGGTCAGGCGTCCCTAAGCTCACCTTGTCGGCTTCAATTTCTCCGCGCCTTCCCTTCCGGCGCTCGTCGTCCACGAGGGACATCGCCTCGTCCATCCTCCGCTCCGCGCATAGCTGTTCAAGCCGAACGACCGCTGGCGTCGGAGTGAGGCCGCAAACCGAGTGAGGGCCGATCAACAGAGTCTCAGCGATAGCAGATGAGAACTGGGAGCCTCTGGCAGCCCCCGCCTGTGACAGCAGCGAGGAGTTCTTGGGAGCAACGATCGGCTGTCGTTGGAACTTGGGTGACGACGGCGGGGTAAGACCTGATCCAGCCTCTGGCTCCTCAGTTGGAGGCTCAGCGCGCTGAATCTCCGGCCGAGTAGTAACGTTAGGCGGAGTCTCTGATCTGGGGTCCGGGGACCTGACGCTTCCGGCTGGGCTCTTGTCCGTGAGCGAGGGCGTCAGCTTGCCGCTGAGCAAAGTGAACGGCGAAGTCGATAGCCGTTCGTCGCGAATGACGTCGCGGATCGAGATACCGTATGGGGAATAGCTGAGCGAACGGATACCGAGCGCAGGGTCGAGTGCTATCGTCTGTGCCGGCTGTTCAAGGTCATTCAAAGAGTGAACGCTAATTGTGTTATTGCGGAGAAGGGCAATGATGAAACCAGACTCCACGGCTGAACGTCAGTCTTCCTCCGATCCAAACCAACTCACTGATCGAGGTGGGATGACTCTGCCACTCGATGGTACCTCTTTCTGGATCACCTTGTCCATTCAGAAACACTCCCATGGTGTTGGCGCCAGTGTAACTCGTGACCAGGAACTGGTTTTCCCCAGGGATCACAACCACATTCGGATTCGGCGTCCAATTTTCTTCTTCCGGCGGAACCTGCATGACTGGCAGAACTTCCGTCATAGAGGCATCGGAGATGTCGATCAGGCTGTACGTAAGCCCGCCTCCTTCTGAAGGGGCAGCCACGCAAAGGACGGTTGAGAAAAAGGCGTGATAGCGTGGAGGCGCCGGAAGCGGAATCTCCTTCATGAGCATCATTCGCGAGCCAAGTCGATAGATGGCTAGGCCCTTGCGTCGGACGACGACCACCGTCATGTCCGTGACTCCGTCTCCATCCTTTCCCGCGAGATCAAGCTCGTCGTCATTAAGGACGATGGAAACGACGCCTCGAATGGGAGTAATGACGCTCGGAGGCAGCGGCTCCAGATTCGGAAGACTCAGCGGGTGCAGGATGCCCTCAGCAAGGACGAGTGCCCGCGACACCTTAGGCAGGAGCATGATCTTGCTGATAGGTCGTCGCGGGTTCACAGTTTGCTTATGCCGAAGCTTCCAGCCGCGGTTCTGGCGTGAGCTGTGTAGACGCAGAACATGACCCACCTCGCTGGTGCCGGGCGAACCGTCGTACACCCACCACTCCAGTACGCCATCCGAGCCGCCGACGTAAAGGTTGTTGGAGTAGCCTTCGACACATCGGACCTCGGGCTTGTGCTCTTCGGGGCTTGTCGGTGCCGTCCGGTTGGGGGAGCTAGACTGAGGTGCACCTGCCTTCTGCGGGGACGATGAGAGCGGGGTGCTGTCGCCTGATGACGGAGATGCGCGGTGGGTAACGCCAGCCGCGAGTTGGGAGACTGACGAGAATAAGTTGCTGGCTACTGTGTGAGCCGTCGTTTGCGTTGGCGAGGCTGTGGATCAGCGATTGCTCCAGTCGACCAACTCACATGACGTGAGATCGAGCAGATCATGAGAGACGAAGATGTCGGAGAGCACCGGTTGGATCTGGAAGGGATCCCCTTGGGACGACATGTCGCCAAAGTTCGTTTCGGGTGTGATCTCGAAGACGTCGTCAAAGTCAATGCGCTGCAAGGAATCAAGAGAGGATGAAGGATGCAACAGAGATCGAGCTCACGCCACGCCCATCAACGTCACCGCTTGAGCCCAGGCGCTTGTCGGTCGTCTAAGGCTTGGGCGCCGGTCAGGGGCGCTGATAAGAGCGGGGTAGAGGTGGAGGCCACGTGGGTTTTATGACGTGTACGCCAAAAGTTGCCGCTCGTCATGAGATTTCTGGAGCCCAGAATTATCTCGCGCGGAAGGCAATAACATAGGAAGTCTTGGGATCTCCAGCTTATAACTCTACACACACTCAAACTAGACGAAAAGCAGCTAGACAGACAAAATGAGCGACCCCCGTTTTGCTCGACTACAGACAGACCCGCGCTTCAGGCGCCCCAAACAGAAGCAGCTCAAAACCGAAATCGACGACCGTTTCAAGGATGTGCTGTCCGAAGACTTCGGCAAGATCAAGGGCAAAGGTGAGCAGGGCAAAATTTCGACAGGAATACAGAAGCTGATGTCAGCTCGCGTTGACAAACGTGGACGCGCCCTTGCCTCGACCAGCGGTGCGGACGAGATGAAGCGATTCTACCGTCTCAAGTCCCCGGAGGGAGATGAGGAGGAGAAGAAGCCAATCGACTACGCCCGTGGAGAAGGTTACCTTTCTTCTTCCGGATCTGAAGATGAGGACAGCGAGGACGAGGAGTCCGAGATTGAGGAGGACGTCATCGAGATTGGTGGCAAGCAGCGGTTACGGCCACATCAGCTTCAGGCCGACAGTGAATCTGACTCGGACGACGACCAGCTGAAGGTCGACCTATCCGAGGACGAGGGAGGCATCAACCTTGACGAGGACGAAGAGGAGGATGAGGAGGAGGAGGACGAAGGGCCCGGCGTTGACCCCACGACGCGTCTCGCTGCCGTCAACCTCGACTGGGACAACATGCGCGCCGACGACCTGTTCATTCTGTTCAACTCGTTCCTGACGCCCGTCGTTCGCAAGGGCGAGGCCGCTCCTCCGCCGCCCGGCAAGCTTCTCAGCGTGAAAATTTACCCTTCGGAGTTCGGCAAGCAGCGCATGGCCAAGGAGGATGCGGCCGGACCGGGCGGAGGTATCTTCAAGGTCGCCGAGAAGAAGAAGAGCAAGACGCCTCAGCGTAAGCATAAGCCCGAGAGCTCGGATGAGGAAGACAGTGACGACGAGGAGGACGAGGAGATGAGCGAGGACGAAGAGGGCTCCGACGACGAGGAACTGGAGGACGACGGGTTGGACGCCGAAATCGACAATCTCGAGATCGTGTCCGACGTGGAGTCCGTCAACGGGGAGGAGGACATTGACATGGACAAGCTCCGCCAGTACCAGCTCGAGCGACTCCGTTACTACTACGCCATCGCGACGTTCTCGACTGTTGAGGCTGCCCAAGCCGTCCACGATGAGCTGAATGGTTCCGAGTTCGAGCGCACCGCCAACATCCTCGATCTCAGCTACGTGCCCGAGGACATGACCTTCGCCGAGGACGAGGTCCACGATGAGGCCACGAAGGAGTCCAAGTCCTACAAGGGCAACGACTTCGTGACCGACGCTCTGCGCCACTCCAAGGTGAAGCTCACCTGGGACCAGGACGACCCGAACCGTGCCAAGATGACGCGCCGTGCTCTCACGCGTGAGGAGATCGAGGACGCGGACTTTGGCAATCTCGTCGCCGCCTCAAGTGACGAGGAAGTCGAGGAGGAGGAGCCCGAGGACGAGATGCCCGCCGAGAAGAAGTCGAAGAAGGCCAAGGCCAAGGAGCGCAAGGAGAAGCTGCGCTCGCTACTGCTGCAGGCCGATGACGAAAACGGCGACATCTGGGGTAAGCAGGGCACTGCCTGGCAGGAGGAGCTTGCGGACATCAAGGGCGACAAGGCGGCGAAGGAGGAGGCTGTCGAGATTACTTTCAAGCCCGGACTCAGCAAGGATGCCGAGGACGAGAACCTGACGAGTCTCGAGCGGTATAAGCTCCGCATGAAGGAGAAGAAGCGGGAGAAGAAGGAGAAGATGGAGCTGAAGCGTGCCGAGAAGGACGACGGCAAGAAGTCCAAGCCCAAGGACGACTTCTTCGGCGACAGTGACTCGGAGAGCGAGGTCGAGGTCGAGACCAAGCCCAAGAAGGGCAAGGAGGCCAAGGGCAAGTCCAAGGCCAAGGCTGAGAAACCCGTCGAGGACGACGACAACGGCATGGACGGTATCGTTGAGGACGACGTCCACCACCACTTCAGCATGAAGGACGTTCTCGCCGCTGAGAAGGAGAAGAAGGCCGGCAAGAAGCGCAGCAGAAAACGCAAGGGCAAGGCTGGACCTGACCACGTCCCCGAGCTTGGTCCCGATGGCTTCAAGGTCGACGTTTCCGATCCCCGTTTCTCTGCCATGTACTCTGAGCCCGCGTTCGCCCTCGACCCGACACACTCCAAGTTCACGGATATCCCGGCGAACCGTGAGATCCTCAAGAAGACCCGTGAGGCCCACTCTGCTGCTCGAGGAGGAGCGGCCAACGGCACCGACGGAGGGGAGAGCAAGGGTCTCGGCGACCTCGTTCAGAGCGTCAAGCGCAAGGCCGAGGGAAGCGGAAGGCATCGTAAGCGCTCAAGAAAGTAGATTAGATGCGTGTAGGAACTCTATCATGTACATTTATTTCACAATTGTGGTATGGCTTCTAAACTTATCAGCTCGACGAGGGAGCGGTCTCCTCTCCCTCTGGGGTCGGTTCTCGATGCAGGGTATCGACCAAATCCTTGTCCTTCCGGACATAACACAGCAGTGCGGGGCTCACTCCCTGCGCTGATTTGTCGCAGAAGACATCGCCAGACGGCACCTCCTTCACGGTGTCGTCCGAGTAGTAGAAGAACTTGTTGCCGTCCTTGGGAAGATCCGCCTGATACGTCCAGTAGTGGCCGCCAGTTCCGGTTCCTCCGTGCACGAACACGGAAACCAGCTCGTACTCGACCGAATTACATTCGGCCCAAATTGCCTCCAGTTCCTCCTTCGCGCGAGGCATCGCAGCCTCCAGCGCGGCAATTTCGGCGTCGGCATCCTCGCCCTCCTTCGCGAGCGCATCGAGAAGATCCTGAGTGATATCCTCCGAAGTCAAGTCGACGTCGCCATCGTCCGACTGCTCAGAGAGGGCTTTCGCCGTCTGCTCGGTGGCCAGAGCATCACGAATGAAGCGGAAGGTGTCAGGGATCGACATAGGCTTGTGGTTCTTCAGCTCGTGGCGACGAGTCCTCATCCTCATGATCTCGCGAGTCAGCGCGATCGAACGCTCACGCTTTGCTGGGTCGGCATTGGCTAAGAACCGATCCATGGCCAAGCATCGCTCAAACGGCACGTGGGTGTTGATCTTGACTTGCCGTCCCTTGACGGGATCGTACTGCGACCGACGCATCTGGATGTAGAGCACTGGCGGAAGCTTCTCGACGAGGTCCATCTTGAAGCCCTTCTTGCCATCGTACTCGATCTCGGCCCCTCCAAGATACAACTCGCTGAGACAGTCGTACAGATCCTTGCCGTCCTCTTCAACACCAATGATAGGGTGCACGAACACAGACTCAACGGGAGGGTGAGCCTTATCGGGAGTACCGTCGGCATTGTGCAAAAGCATTTGCTGTTGGAACTTGGATGAGAACAATCTGGAACGTCAGTTCGAAGCTCCATGGAACCAGCCTACTCTTTGATCAGATTTGCGCCCTTGGAATCACCGTCAGTGGGCTTATCGAACGCATATTCCAGCTGCGCCAGAACGTTGATCAGAATCTCGGCGGCGTCCTGCTGCAGACCTGTCCTGTTAGCTTGGCAACGGATGTCCAATGCTCACCAAACTTCTCAGCCGCAACGAGAGCCATGGACTTCCTCCGCGGAGGGAGAGGAGGAGGGGGAGCTGTTGGGGGCGCCAGCTCTTCGGTGGCACGGGCTTCCTTGACAGGAGAAGCTGGTGCCTCGTCAGAAACGCCTTGGGGTCTCGATAACGGTGACGCGAGATCAAGCTGAGATAGATCCGCCGCAGGAGCTGTGAGCTCGCTGTCCTCGCGATCGCGACCGTTGACTGGGCCGCTCTGGGAGCGCGTCGGAGTCGAAGGGCCCGAGTCTTCAAGATCGATCAAGTTGTCAGACATGCCCGTTGGGCGGCGCGGGCGCTCTTCAGAGCTGCCAAACACTGAGTCTCGGTCTTCGCTGGCGCGCTTGCCCAACACGGATCCTCGGCGCTCAGACCAAAGCGGCGTCGTCGTGGAGGGCGGAGACTCTGCTAAGACGGGAGTGTTCGGAACGGTGTCGTTTGCGGTCGCTGCTCCAGACGAGCCGGGTGACGAGATCGGCGACAACACTGTGGGAAGCGAGTCGATTGTGACCCGATTCTTCACAGGGGGCAGGATTGAGTCCTTCCTCTCTGACACTAGATCGATGGGCAGAATTGCAAGCCGTGCCAGTTCCTCTCGGGGAGTGACAGCTGCGTTGGTGGTCTTGTACATCTCGTTGAAGAGCTCTCGCAGAAGAATGACGACTACATGTTAGCTTCCAACAAACAGCTCCACGCTCGATCACTCACAGTGCTTTGACGTCTGCAGTTTGACTTTCCTCTCGGCCGCGTTCTCAGACTCGCCGGATGCGTCCGACGCTGGTGAGGAACCGTCGTCCGTGAAGGTCATGACAGCATCTCGGACAGGTTTCAGTGCGTAGAGAAGCTGTAGAACCGAATTGAGATAGCACGTGTTGCCGATGTTGCGCAACCCCACCGGGATGTCCAATCGTGGCGGTGGTTGGAACTCAGAGACTGGCGTCAGAGACAGCTATGATGATTGACTCACTGTCTTTTCCCTCGAGATATGCGCGAAGCGCTGGCCGCTCTTCGCCAGGGGCGGTGGCGATCACCGAGATGGCTCGACGGTAATGGTCACTGCGAGACGGTCGATCTTGGATCCAGGTCTCGTATTGCCTGACGTCAGCCATCACCATGCTTGGCGTCTTTTGACACGGCGACACTCACAAAATGAGGAGCTCATCGTCGATGTTGCTATCCCGGCTGAGTCCAAACTCCTTGTACGCATCGTCCAGGGAGAGGAAGGCTTCTCCAGAACGCCCCAGCTCCATAAGCTGCTCGTTGTTTCGCTCTTGTCCGATCAGAAGAAGCGCACGGCTCAGCTCAGCGCGAGATGTGGAATCGAACACCTTGTTCATTGCTTCACGATGCTGTGACAAGATGTAGTCAATCGGAATGTCTTCTCGAGGCACCGCGATCGCCTCGACCTCATTTCGTCCGAGGCCGATCTTCTCATACGCTGAGTCCAGGTCATCTGTCGTTAGTGGTGTCCGTAACACAGGCTGAGACGCACTTATTGTATAACGATCAAGTGATTTCTCCGTAGCGACCTTGATCTGCAGTGTTTCGTGACCGGGGACCAGAACATGAGACAGCCGCGTCAGGGCGCCCAAATATATGGGACAGTTGGCGAGATCATCTGAGACTTGCAAGTCGTATGCCTCTGCGACAGTGGACGGTGTATCGTATCGGGACACTCCAAGAACATGCAGTGCAGCCTCATTATCGAGAGAGTATGGCGGATACACTACAGTCAGTTCAACGCATGAGTGGACACCTACGCTCAGGAATTTGAATGACGTGCAAGAACCCCTCTAGAATTTCGCCCAGAGTTTGACCTCGCACGAAGAGCTTCGATTCCATAGGGGACCAGCCTGCAGCCGCTGCAGAGTCAGCGTTGAACCTTCCCGTCCGCTCACCAGCTCGTGTACGATAGTCCATGAGTCCGAGAGAGATCTCAACCCAAGCTCGTGCGAGATACCGATTCATGTGGCGAACGTCTTCCGCAGATGCGTCGCTGGGGTTGAGAGGCCCAACGAGATACCCATCGTCGTTCTGCTTGCAAATGAAGCCTAGTCGATAGAGAAGGTGGGATCTGGTTTGCCGTCAGCTCTCTGCGGTGATGAAGATAACGTACGATATCAGTGACGCGCCAATTTGCTTGCTGAACGTCTTGCTATCAAGCTTGAAGCAGCCGCGTTGGTTGCGGAACAGAGGGTTTTGAAGGAGCCTGAGACTGTTAGATTGGACTAGAAGACGAACTTACGTGAGCAGCAGATTCCACGCCGTGACCACACTGTCATCACCGGTGGCCCCGACGTTCGGGTTGTCCTTCTTCTCTGCAATGAAACCCTTCACGAGTCCGATCGGTATTTGGCCGGAAACTGGGCCCTTGTCCACAAATATCCAGACATCCGATGCGCAGCTGACATAGAGCACGGCGTTGCGATTACTGTCATGAACATACCGAGTCAAGTCGGGAGGAGACTCTCCGTAGCTTCGGTCGTGGGCAGAGAAGGCGTCTAGATGTGAGGGGACCTTCACCCGCTCCAGTCGGTGCTCCTTCGTGGCTGGGATGAGGCCCTCAAAGGCATGAAGATGGTGAGCAGTCTTCTCTGCCGTGGATCGGGACTCCTCCAAGCTCTCAAACCTCTTCATCGTCTCCTGCCTGTGCGTGCGCGCAGCGTCCTTCTCCTCTGGTGTCCGGAAACTGGCAGTCTTATCCCACTCCTCCAAAGAGGGAACGGTGGGTAAGTCACCCTTACCGACGAGCACATGGATCCAACCCCAACACTGGGGGCAGAAGTACCAGTTCTGATGATCCTCCTTCCCTCCCGGTAGAGACTCCCACACGTCGTCCAAAGTGAAGGGGGGAGGCATCTCGGGCTCGGAGTCCTCGGCAGCTGTCATCGGTTCAACGGACTTGAGCGGAGTGGCTGGGCTACTAGGCGACTTCGGTTCCTTAGGCCGGGGCAGGTCGTCGATCAGCGGCCGCCAGAGCTTGTGGGGATGGATCTGATCCAACCAGAGTTTTGGTAGGACACCTGGGCTGATCTGTGGACGTCGGGGCACGTCCGGCACGGAAGGCATGGTGGCCATGCTTGGATCGATATCCATCTTCGAGTCACTCCTGCTGATCGGCGGCACAGCACCGTATGACCAGTTAGTGTCCCATTCAGACTGCGGAATATCGTCGTCTCCCAAATGCTCGGCCAGAACGCCAGGTGGAAGGTTCGAGTCGTTCGGTTCAACATAGTGCTCCACGACCGCCTCCGGTGACCGGTACTCGTAGGGGGGAAGAGCGTCGCCGGAAGTCGGTCCCGAAGCAGAAGTCGAAGGACGACTGACTGCGCCGCCAGAGATTAGCGTGGGCGCAGGTGACTGGTTTCCAGAGACGACCGTGCTCGGGGCGCTGTCGACCGAGGACAATGTCGAGGTCGATGCTGCCGCAGCGTCATACGGTGGGAGCGGAGAAGAGGTCGCATTTCCAGCAGTGTCCGAGTGGCTCGTACGGCGCAAGCCTCCTGTGGGAAGAGGCGGCAAGGGACGCCTAGACGCTGATGAAGATGGGCGGGAACTTGCAACTGACTGCTGAGAGACCGACGCCACCGACTCACGTCTGGAGGGCGCCGAGGTCGGGGAGACCGTTGATGACCTTCTCGATGGCGGGGACATGGGCTGGTCTGACCCGCCTGGCGCGTTGTGAGCCATGGTCCGCCGCTACTCAACGTCGATCAGAGGGCGATGTTCAGTGTCGGATTCGGGGTTGATGAGGGCGTGATGGTTGCTGGTGCTCTCCTGCTGGGACCCAGGACGGGAGTAGCGGAGTGCAAGAGGGCGATGGTCGAAAGGCCTCAACCGGCCGTTTATAAGGTCTCCAGGTCTGGCGATTCTAGAGTTACGCGTCGTTGATGGAGGTGTGAACGCGGTGTGGTCGGGCACTGATACAATAATGGACCGCTTTGTCAGTTGTCGCAGTCTCAGCGTCACTGTCGTCACCACATTGCCGCTCAGGCGTCCGCGTCCATTCGGTCATTTCCACGGATCCAATCCCACGTGGCATGATCTCCATCATTTCTGTTCCTCAACACTCGATCTCCGGCCTCCATTCCTGGGTTGGGCCTGAGCAACGGCATTGAGGCTTTGTCCGTTCTTTGTTCAACACTTGCATCCACCGACGAGTACCACTCGATCTCGAAGACCGGATCAACGCAAAAATGGGAAAGCGCGGAGCCGACGACCAGCTCACGAAGGACGATGTCTCGTCAGGCGATGAGGTAGACGTACGTCCACCTCCAGAAGATTCACGCACTAACTACAGCCCGGCGTTCGCACGGCGGCTCTCGCTCCTGTAGAGGGACGCAAGTGAGTACTCCCAATTTCTGACTGGAAGATCTCTGCTGACACGGCAGGATTCGCGGCATGCCAAAGCGAAAGGGATTGGCAGCGGTAAGTGTAGGGAGCTCTTTTATTGTTGTGGCATGTCATGGAGTCTTACAATTCAGGCTGCTCCAGCACCTGCCCCTCCGGCAGCTGGCGCTTCAGGAGGGTTCTCGTTCGGTTCATCATCAGCTACGCCGGCATTTGGTGGCTTTGGAGCCAGTTCATCTGCTGGTGCTGCTGCTCCGGCTTCCTCTTCGCCTTTTGGAGGGTTCTCCTTCGGCAAGCCTGCTTCGAGTGATGCTCAGCCATCCGCATCCTCGTCTACCCCTGCCCCGTCGGCTCCTTTCGGTGGATTCTCTTTCGGAGCGAAGCCAGCGGACTCGTCGAAAGACACACCGGCGGCGGCACCCGCTCCTGCGGCCCCCAAGCCGGCGTTCGGCGGATTCTCGTTTGGACAGAAGAATGGCGAGTCATCAACTGCGTCCACCTCGACTCCTGCTGCGCCGGCAGCCGAGTCTTCTTCCTCTGGTGCCTCGTCCGCTCCCCCGAAGCCATTCGGTGGATTCTCGTTCGGTGCGCCAAAGACGACACCGGCTGCGACTCAGCGAGTACCGGCGTCAAAGGGGCCTGCCCCCGCTGCTCCCGCGGCCTCCATCGCGCGCGCTACCTCAGGCTCTGGCCCATCCCAGCAGAAGCCTCCTGACTCGCGTGAAGTGTCCTACTACACCTCGCTCCGTGGCTTGAACGCGTCCTTCCTTTCGTTCTTATCCAACTCTCTGAACACGAACGAGTTCTTGGATCTGACGACGGTCGTGCCGGATCTGCTGTCGCAGTATGAGAAGTACCTTCAGGATGCGGAAAAGAAGGCGGGATGGAAGCCGGAACCTGCCCCTGCGGTGACCAAGTCCAACGGCGGCTCTCTGGCCGCGCCGTCAACGTCCGCCGCCAAGCCTCCTTCCTTCTCCGCCCCTGCTCCCCAGACGACGGCGCCTGCGGCCACTGCCCCTGCAGCGACGCCGAAGAAGTCCTCGGACGCTGTGAACAAGATCGTCGCCGACGTTCTTGCTGAGGACGACAAGATGGAGGGAGAGAAGAAGGATGACGACAAGAAGGACGAGAAGAAAGATGAGACGCCGAAATTCTCGTTCGGCTCCAAGCCCGCTTCCGGTGGGCTCTTCTCCTTTGCCCCATCTGGACCGCTGGCTGCGACGACGCCAGAGAGCAAGAAGTTCACCTCTACATCGACCGAGCCTCCAGCCAAGCTTGGCAAGTTTGGACCTGACGGCACGACGCCTCAGCTGCCCTTCGGCGGAGCAAAGGGTTCGTCAAGCCCCGCGCCGGCTTCGAAGGGATTCAGCTTTGGTGCTTCTTCGTCGTCTTCGCCATCGTTCAGCTTCGGGGCGTCCGGATCACCTACAAAGGAGAAGGAGGGAGCCTCCTCGTCGGCGCCGTCCTTCTCCTTTGGCACTTCCCCGTCAAAGACCGATGACGCCGGCAAGTCTGCGCCTTCCTTCTCCTTTGGCAGTACCTCCACTCCTTCGGGAGACTCTGGAGCGTCAAAACCTGCCTTCTCGTTTGGAACGACCTCGGCCCAACCTGCCGCTGGAGCCGCCAAGCCGTTCTCCTTTGGATCCACCGCCCCCTCTTCTTCTGGCTTCTCCTTTGGGGCTCCGGCGTCTTCTGCCTCGACGCCGGCGGCCTCCTCCTCAACAACACCGGCACCTGCCGAGGGTGAGGCGCAGGATGCCGAGCCGTCGAAGAACCTGGCCGAGGCGAGCGGAGCGGGTGAGGAGGACGAGGAGACGGTGAAGGAGCAGCGCGGCAAGCTGCACAAGCTCGAGGACGGAAAGTACACCGTCGTCGGTCTGGGACAGTTCAAGCTGAAGCACAACACGAAGACGGACAAGCGACGTCTCCTGATGCGTGCCGACGGAAGCGGCGCAGTGGTCTTTGTGAGTTGAAGCTACTATTGCGTGGACGGAAGCTGACAGATCAGAACATGATGCTGCACAAGGCGTTCAAGCCGACGGTCGATGGCAACAACATCAAGTTCCCCGGCTTCGACAACGAGGGCAACATGAAGCCATACCTCCTGAAGGTCAAGACGAAGGATGTCGCCGAGGAGCTGGCCAAGACGCTGACGGACGAGGCTGCCAAGTGCTAGTGGCTGTAATCGGGTAGAGCATATGGAGCATGTACGCATTGTCTGGGTATCCTGCCGCCGGAGATCTTTCTCGACCGACGCATGCTCAATTGGACTGAGAGGCTCAAAGCAGGCTCAAAGCAAACCAAGGAGTTTGAAGCTTACTCCTCGTTTCTCCTAGTGTAGCATCCATGGTCATGTGCGTTTCGGAAGGTCTCGTCGCAATCAGTGGTCATAATGGATGGCTCAATGGGTGGGAGTCTGAACAGTGGGATGAAATGCTCACCCACTCGAGCTCCTCTGGCCACAGATGGGCTGGCCGGGGCTGATTAAACTGGGCGACATGGCTTATGGCGTTTTGAATTACTGAATTGACGCTCACACCATCGTTTACCCAAGTTACCCACACGCCCAGGCCCAAACCGCAGGAGCGCAGGAGGGTAACCAGTAGTGTGGGTGCACGGTTCCTATACGTTCCTGGTGAATCCTGGAGATGGCTAGGCACGGTGGACGTGCAGGGCAAGCAGGGTTGCAATCTAAAAGTGTCCACTCATGCGAGCAGTGCACTGCACCGCAAGCCCGAAGCCATGCTCTTGAGCTCGTGACTTGACGACCCCGAGGGCGAGAGGACTCCGAGTATCCCGAAAGCGGCGGTCATGGCTCGGCGAGACGGGCGAGGATGAGAGTTTCGCTGGGAGTCGGCGTCGGTAGCGGCCGCTTCCACCCAGGTCCTCTCCCGATCCACCACTACTCGCCAGGATATAGGGTTGAAGTTGACGAGTGTATGACTCCTTTGCACCACTCCAACGACTATAATAGCACCGCCGCACCGCTGGCTCCGTCGCCTTCTCCATAGTCCGGGTCCGAAGGAGTACGACGGGACCGCTAGTTGTTTGGCATGTTTGGAGCCACGCTCTTTGTTTACATCTGTCTCATGCATGCAACGGTGGCCCCGGGCGGGTTCGCGGATCGCACGGCGGATCCAGCGGAAGTGGATGGAGAGTATGATACCAAGTAGTCCAAGACGACTGCCCATCAGAAACAGATGGCCAGACGGGGTGAGGGGTGAGGGGTATGAGAGGGGTTGAGTGGGAGAGTGAGATGCAAGTGGCTTGGGCGAGGGCTGTCTGGCTGCCAGGGCCGAGGATTGAAACGTGCACTCGAGGACCTGGACCCTTAGATAGTGACGCAACGTCGCTCTTCTCTCTCGGCATTTCGACGAGCCCTTAAGCCATCCCTTGCTGCCTGGAGCTGCCCCTCCTGGAGCTTGTCGTCGAGCTGGTTGGTACTCGGCGGACATTGCTCGCCCTGCTCTCCTTGATCGTCCCTTGTCTACCCCTTTCCCACGTATCACACTGACGCACCAGAACGAAGGGAAGCCGACCCCTCCCCGCGGCCGTTCGAGTGTCGTGCGTTCCCAATCTCTTGTGCACCGTCCTGGCGTCCAACCACAATGCAGCCAGCCCCGCTGCCCCCGTGCCAAGTCGAGCAGTGCTTGCTGGCGTAGCTGGCGTCTCTGGCGTCGTCCTCGCTCCTGCGATCCTGGCAATCTGGCAATCCTGGCATTCGATGCTGTGCCCGTCCCTGGCGATTGTCGCTCGTCGCTCGGTCCTGCACGATCCTGCGTCTCCTGCGTCTCCTGCGGTCAGGCGTACATACGTTTCTAGGTTCAAAGGCTAAGGGCTCGCCGCACTCAGCCCAGCGGCCAGCGGCCACCCACCGCACCAGCGCACCGACCGATTGCTAGCCTGCCTGCCTCCCTGCTCCCTGTCCGCTGCATGCAATGACACAACGACCGACCGAATCTTGTTGCAACCGTCCCTCCACACTTCCTCTTTGCACACTCCTCATCGGCGCAAACTACACACCTGCGAAAAGCACTCGCGGAGACGTGCTTCATGGTGCTGTCCGCTGTCCGCCCACCGCTCCGCCTGGACTGAAGACTCACCGACTTTGCACTAGCGCCTTTTTCCGACTGTTCGATTACCCTCGCCTCCACTGAAAAAGTAATATAACCTCGACCCCCCTTCGGCCCAGTCGAAAGTGCGCGCGCCCGGAACCCCACTGGTCTCGCTTCTCACTTCCATTCCAAGTGCGATTTCTGTGATTCTCCTCCCCACCATCACCGGTGCACCTTCCGGCGTCGGGCCAGCTCGCTCAGCTCGCAACGCGCATCGAGGAGTATGCGGGCGACCCTCTTCGTAGGCCTCCTGGCCGCGGCGGTCACGCAATTCCAGCTCGCTTACGCTACCATTTACGTCGCCGAGTGGACAAGCTGTCTCAAGCACTACTCACCGGTCGCCCCAGAGAACGAGCAGCTCAAGGCCGAGCAAGTCTACGCCGAAATCGTTCCCTCCAAGGACACGGCGTCTCGCAATCTCGCCGATGACCATGACACGCTCCGCCTGGACGTTGTGGGGACCCTGGGCTCCAAGTTGAACGGTTACAACGAGTCCAACAATCGTGTCGGTGAGTCCCACTCCCGTGGATCTGTGTGAACATTCCCCAGCTAGAAGCGGTAGTGCAATCCACACCACCCACACTTTGCCTCTAGTGTGTCAAACTAATGCATAGCTACCTTGTTCGTCGAGACATACGAAGCCGGCGTCAAGCAGTGGACGACAGCCTCATGGGTGTGCGCTTCCATGTGGCCGGGCAAGCTGCCCAAGCCCTACCCGCTCGAGAACGCAGCGACGTACTGCCCGATCGACGCCGGACCGTTCGGCCTCAACGTCACCGTCCCGCTCTACAACGTGCATGCGCTGACGACGCTCTCAACCCGCATCCGCATCGTGGACACCCGCGACTTCCCGCTCACGCAGACGCTCGGCTGCTACAATGTCCGCGTCACGCCATATGAGGCCGAGTCATGGCCATACCGGCTGTTCCTCTGGTTCCCCGCTGCGCTCGCTATCGGCTACTTCATCGTGACCTGGGCCGCCCGCTTCGCCGCCGGCTGGGTCATCGGCGTCGACCGTGCCGGCACTGGAAGGCGTGAGACGGCCATGATCAAGTGGGCGACCATGCTTATCAGTGGACTTAGCGGCGAGCGCTTCAGTGTTAGTGCGGCGCTGATCCGCTTCGTGACCCCCGGACTCCGCGATATCATCTACCACATCCAGTTCGTCACCATGCTCGGCATGCTCGCCGTTCACTGGCCCAAGTTCTTCTACCCCATCGTCGGCAAGAGCGCCTGGGCTGATCTTGTGTGGAGTGAGTTAAGAGGCCCTCACATCTAACTGACGTCGCAGACACTACGCTTGTCGCGAACAGCTTCCAAAGCGTCTACCCGCCGAACAACTTTACGGCCGACCCGGCTCTGGCGGCTCAGATCAACGACCCGAAGTACCCGCTTTACCTGAACAACTCTGCTCCGGACCATATTCTCGACCTTAAGGGCTCAAAGGACGGCATGGAATCGTTCGCGCGTGTTGTGGGCCTGTACCCGCAGGACCTGTTTGGCACCTGCCTTGCTCTGTTCCTCTGCCTCGCGGCTGGAATCATCGTCGTGCACCTGTTCCTCTGGCTCGCGCACCTCCTCACCGAGTTCTTCGGCAAGAGCAACAAGGCCGACCAAGCTGCCCGAGCGCTGTACCGCAACAGCCTGCAGAGCACCGCCGCGACCTCTGCTAGCAGCAAGGAGTGGCTCGACAGCCGGCGATCGCAGTCGACCGACTACGCGAATCTGAATCTGCCCGAAGCGTATCACACACAGGCCCAGGCCCAGCCCCGCGCGATCCCCGTGAAGAAGCTCAGCGCCCCCTCCAAGTGGCATCGTATCCGGACCCGCTTCTCACTCAGGGGCGAGGCCGGTGCCTTCCACTTTGCGGCGCTGTACGGCAACCTGCTCCGGCTGCTGTTCTCGTTCCACTTCCCCATCACGGCGTTCTCGATGTACCAGCTCACGCTGACGCATGCCTCGGTCGTTTCTCGAGTGTTTGCGGGCCTCGCGTTCGGATTCATCTCGATCCTCCTCCCGGCTGCGATCATGTACAAGATTTCGCGCACGCCGACCCGAAAACTGTATGACGCCGCGCGCACGTTACTGTCCCTCGGGACAGTGTACAACGAGTACGAGCAGGAGAAGCAGATGTACCGCGTCTTGCCTCTCCTGGCGAGTCTCGTGTCCGGCATTGCAATCGGTGCTGGCCAGGATAGCGGCCTGGCCCAAGCCATCGTCATCGTGGTCGTTGAGATCTGCACCTTCCTTGCGACAACGTTCTGGTCCCCGTGGGCACAGGGAGCGAGCATGGGTGCCCCGATCACGGTCATCTCGATCGCGCGTATCGCCTCTGTCGTTCTTGCGATCGTCTGCTCGCACGCCGTGCACCTCGATGAGGTTTCGCGCGAGTGGTTAGCTTACATCGTGCTCCTGATCCAGGCTATCGTGTTCGTCTTCTTCGCCCTCATGCTCATCACGAAGATTACGGAAGGTCTCATCCGCCTCTTCGGACGCGCGCCCTTCGACGAGTCAAAGCACCCTATTGACGGCGGTATCTTCGCTGCCATCATGGATCTGGACATGTTCAACGGCGACCGCGGAGGCAAGGCGGCCGAGCGTCGTCGTCGCAAGCAGGACTCGCAGGCCCTGCAGCAGAACGTCAACATGGCCGGATCCCTCACGACGCAGATGATTCTCGACCGACACTCGCGCGGTGTTGATCGCGAGGGCTATCCTATCTTATCGCCCGCCAGCGACTCGGAGCATCGTGGCGCGTACCTTCCCGTCCCAGGCAAGGGTGCTAGTAGCGTTAGCGTCAACTCCTCGGACGAGAGCCGCGTCATGGAGAGCCGCATCATGGACGCCTGGAAGCCGCGCACGTCGTACGAGACGACGCACTACAACGACGTTGTGCCGCCGCAATCGCCGCCGGCGGAGGAGAAGAGCGAGATGCTCATGTCGCCGCGACAAGTTGAGCGCCAGTTCCGCAGCGCCTCGCCGCCCGACATTTACGTCACGGGAGCGTCGGTCTCCTCACGCGACGACTGGCGAGGACACGGACGAACGCAGTCTTCTCCTCAAGTCCTCGAGGGCGGAAGCAACAGCCAGGCGTCGTCCCCCGGACACCCGACGTTCCGATCACTGTCGACATCCCCGCGCCCTCTGGACAGCTACCCGCCATCATTCGATGCACAGGGTGCTTACCACCCGCAGCTGAACGAGCGCAACCGCCCGCCGCCACTAACGATCCCGGGTCGCCGCAACAGCTTGAACGAGATCCCGGCCGACACGGGACGAGGCAAGAAGCGACGATCATGGTTCGGGCGGTCAGGACGCAACAATTCCGAGGACTCGGACGACGACGACGACTTTGTGGACGACGACTGGCCCGAGCCGCAGGAGCCCGCGCGCAGCTGGCGCAACATCTTCCGCAAGCGGCGCACGCTCGATGACCGGGAACGAGACGAGAACTCGGCACGCAAGGCGGCGCAGGTCAACAAGAACGCCGCCCAGCTGGCTGGTATCGCGACCCCAGCGTCTGCGACATCGACGAGTACGGCTGCGACTGGCACCGGGTTCCGCGTACACCACAAGCGTCCGACCCATCAGCAGCGCTCGAGCGCCGAGCCTCTTCTCCTCTCGGCGCGTCCGGAGCCGCGCGAGGGCCGCTCCCGCCCCGAGTCGCAGGCGACCGAGCCGCCCACACCCATGTCGCTCAATACGCCCATGGTCCCCACCGACGGCAGCTTCCGCGTCGTGCGGCCGCGCCAAACGCCGCAGGTCTCCGAGCCCGCTGCCGTGCACCACGGCGAGGTCTCGTACAACCCCTCGGGCTACACGCCCAACATGTTTGTGCCTCTCAAGGACGATGACTAGATACACGGAACGATTTCTTAACAGCAAACTTTACATCTCCTTCATGCCCCACCCCCACGCCCCACACCAACACAATACTCCGCATCTTCTGCTCGCAAACGATCAAGCTCACTCATCTGTTCTCGTTCATTTCTCCGACTTGTATCAAATCAAAACGTAGTGGTCTTCCGATTCTGTCAAATCATAGCATGGATGCATCGTGGTTAACGCTTATATCTGCACTGCTTCTTGGTCAGCCTGGATCTGGTGGCTGCCTCTTTGCCTGGGGTTGCTGACAGAATGCGATCGGATCGGACAGGCAGGTCCGGTGGTGGCGCCCAGTCTGGAGCAAAAGTGATGTAGGAGGCGTTCTCACACGACCACCTATCGGGCCGAATGCTTCTTCCCCACTCTGCACCGCAGGTGCATCTTACGTGCTTGCGTGCTGCCGGATGTACGAGGGAATCGAGTGTAAGCATACAGCTGTACCCTAGACGTTCCTGCATCCACTAGCGCCCTGCTTACACACGATGATGTGTGCATAGGGTGTGGACGGTCAGCGAAAGTGCCATACCTCGGAGCAATGAGAGCGATGAGCGACCATGTGACGTCAACGGATGTTTCTCACATCGAAGGCGTGTTATGGCCGATCCGCACTGAACTGATAAAGCGGCCTTCCTTCCCCAACTTGACTTCCCACACTTGTCAACAACACAGCAAACATGTCGAAGAAGCCTGGTGAGTCCGTCAACGACGAGCAGCAAGGTGCTCTTGCTCTACACCGCAGCCTGCTCCCCATGGGCACTGGCAGGACGGATGTCATGGGGTCAATGACGGCTACGGATGCCTTCCCTCTCCCTGTTCTCGAGTCTTCCCTGGTATTCTCTCCATCACGGGACAGTGGCCAAGGCTCAGTCATCCGCTGCCTCTCGTACCTGAAGTCCATGCAGCTGACAGCAGTTCTATACTCTTTCGGTGGCTCCGCCTGGGCCCAGGTCCCCCGCCTCGCCATTGTCGAGGGCGGCTACGCCGACGGCGACATTGAGATCAAGGAGGTGAACCTCGCCGAGGGCGCAAACTTCAACCCCGAGTACCTCAAGATCAACGCGCAAGGTACCGTCCCCGCGCTCGTCGACGAGAAGGGCCATAAGTGAGTCACGCGGGCCTTCCCCACTTCGTCCTTCCTTCTGCGCTAAGCTGGGCTTTTAGCTTTCATCTTGTAGGATTTACAGCTAACAGCAGGTACGATTCTAGCACCACTGCGACGCAGCAGATCTCGAAGCATGCGCCCAAGCCGCCCAAGACTGCGTCGAGCGAGCACCACGAGCTTAAGAAGTTCATCGAGACCGTTCACCTCGACAGCCACGACCCTAACGACCTCTTCATTCTCCCCACGAGCGAGCAGGACCGCAAGACTAAGGGGGAGGGCATGGTCGGTGGATTCCTGAAGGGCCGCCAGGATGCGCTTGACAAGTGAGTGCTGGTCCCAGGCCGCTTTTCAGCTAATTTCTTGAACTTCATGAGCTGACACCCCAGGTACTCCACTTCTGCTCCCGACGACGTCAAGGAGTTCTTGAAGCAGAAGCAGACGGCGAACAAGCAGATCCTGGACTTCATGACGGGCTCTCCTTCGCAGGAGGAGCAGACCAAGATTTACCAGAAGGCGAACGAGGAGTGGCGTTCGGCCGGCGAGCTGCTCCGCGGCCAGGCGCACCACCTGCTCAAGAAGGCAGGCCAGGGCAAGTTCCTCGGCGGCGACGACGAGCCCAACGAGGCCGACTTCCACTTCGTCACGTGGCTTGCGCGCATCGCGTCCAACGCGGGTGCTTCTCCCGGCGCTCCTGGCAAGGATATCCTGCACCTCATCTCGGTCAAGGCCGAGGGAGGCGAGATCCCCGCCCTCATCGGCGAATACTGGGACCAGTGGAGGCAGCGCCCTTCGTTCAGCAAGGTCGGCCTCAAGTAATGGTTTAGCCGTGATCTATCATTCCCAGGGACATCGGCGCCCGAAAGAGCATAAGTGGAGATGTATCAGAAGTGACTTGTGAAGCTGCTGCATGTGTACTAAGCGCCCTCGTTCGCTTGCCTATTTCGGCGCCCATCTCAAGGTTTCGTGCGATCTCGGCCTTTGCTTTTGGGGAGCGCTCAGTCAGCAGTCCGTGAAGATCCATGAGACGACTAGTTGCTTGCATTGAAAAGAGTGACTTTCAGAGTTACCGACTGATATCGGGTATTTGATAAACGCCGCAGGGCGGCGCACATGCCGGCCCCGGTGTCATAGCGGAGGCAGATGGTGTGACCGCCCCTTCGCTCATATCCGCCTCCATTAGCCCCAAATAGCTCCATGGCGCCATCGATTGGCTTGTTTTATCAGCCCCTCGTTTGGACTTCTTCGGGTGGCCAATTCGACTCTTGATAACGACCTATCTGCCCACCGACGACTCTACATCTTTACACTTTGCGAACCACTGAGCTCTTCGAGTTCAGCACCAGCCTGCTTGCGGAATGGGGACCTTTGATTTCTGGCACGTCGCCAGCGCGGCCTGCGGCGTCATCTACTTCACAGCGTGGAGTGCGTCCTTCTACCCGCAGCTGATCAAGAACTACAAGCGGAAGAAGTGAGCTCGCCGAAGTTCACCAATAGCTAACAAGCAGCACGCTCGGTCTGTCGCCCGACTTTGTCGTTGTGAACCCGATAGGTTTTTTCTGTCTTGCGCTGTGGAACTGGGGCGCCTACTTCTCCCCGACCGCGCGGCGGGAGTACGCCGAGCGGCACGAGGGGCACTACCCGCAGATCTCGATTTCGGACCTCGTGTTCAGCGCGCACGCCCTGCTCCTCAGCACGATTACGCTCGTCCAGGTCTGGTACTACCACCGCGCGACGCAGAAGTTGAAGACCGGCCCTGCCGCCGGCGAAGTGCGCTGGACGGGGCCGGCGGAGGAGACGCCGCTCCTTTCCGCCGAGGGCGTGGACGACGGCGTGCTCCGCGCGCCGACGACGATGAGTCTGGCCGGCCGCATCTGCCTAGCCCTCATTGCAGTTAGTGCGCTCTGGGAGCTGTCCGCGCTGCATCTCGGCCGCATCCAACTGCTCGACTTCCTATACTATGTCTCCAGCATCAAGCTCGTCATCACGGTCCTGAAATACCTGCCGCAGATGGCGCTGCACTTCTTCATCAAGGACACGAGCGGGTTCAGCATCGGCGCCATCTTCTGCGACTTTACCGGAGGCATGTTCTCGCTCCTCCAGCTCGTCATCCAGGCCGTGTTCATCGATGGCCAGCCCGCTGGTATTTGGGCCAACCCCGCTAAGCTCGGCCTGTCCCTGCTCACGCTCGGGTTCGACCTCATCTTCATGTTCCAGCGTTACGTCCTGTACCCGGTCAACTAGACATAGACTTGGGACTGGTGGTTTGCGGTTGTTGGTATGCATCTTAGAGGAAACTGCTAGAAATAATGACTGGTATACGGTGTGCGTGCGCGACTCAACTAGAGCTGCGACCTCCTCGAGCTGCTCGAGCTGCTGCCCATCAACTCCCTGTTCCCCACTCCTGATCCGGACCCACTCACAGGTCCCAGAAGAGGCCGATGTCACTCTTGTCTCCGAAGCCTGATCCCTCAGCGCCGACCTCGCCGTAAGCCGCGCGCAGGGGGGTCACACTCGTATATCCGTTCTGGAACGCCCACGCGTCAGTGCCCTTGGGGACGTCTTTCGGGTCCGGATTCAGGATCTTCTGGAAGCTCGGCTTGAACTCGAAGCGGAGCTGGCCGTCGTGCCGCTCCGGCTGCGGGCCGCGGTGCTGCGTCGGGTTGTACACGTCGTTGGTGATCTTGTCCGTCTCCTCAAACAGCTTGCCGTACGTGTTGCGGTAGAGCGTCGTGAAGCACACGCGCCGGTTCTCCGGCGCCAGGTGCTCGGGAACAAGGGGAATGTTGACGCTGTACAGCTGCACGGGCCGCTTGTGCTCGGCGTCCTCCCAGCCCCAGTCCTCGAAGAGCCGCCGGCACACCTCGACGGCAATGTCGGCCGCCATCTCCATGCACCCCTCTGGCACTGGGCGCGTCACGACGCCGTACGACACGGCAATGCTCGGCATGTTGTGCACGTGCAGCGAAGCTTGCGACGGAGGTCCCTCGATCGGCACACTCAGTGCTCCGGCGAGCGCAGCGCCGATCGTGCCCGACGACATGGCAAAGGCCGCAGACGAGTTTCGTCCGTCTGCACACATGTCAGCGACCCAGATAAGGGCACAATACTCACGGTTCGGTCCAGAAATCACCAGATCAATCTCCCCCGGGTAGAGGTTGTGCAACGCAATGTTGGTGCAGGTCGCGGGCGTCTGGAAGTCAGTTCTCATTCCGAATCGTAGAACTCACGCCGCCAAGGAGCACCCATTCTGACGTCTCGCCCTCCTTCAGCGGCCTCCGCTTTGTCGTGATCTCGCCCGTCAGTCCGTCCGGTTCTGCTGTTAGCTTGCGCCAGGTACTTGTAGCTCACCTTGCGGATAGAAGAACTGGGCCTCGATGATGCGGTGGATCGCGTACGCCTTGCCGACCCTGCCTGTCAGCTTCATGCACGGAAAGCTGACTCACCAGCTGTTCTGTCCGTCCGGCACCACCACGCGCACGTCCCAACCGAGCTTCTCCCGGAGCAGCTTGCTGAAGGCGTAGATGTTCGGCGAGTGCTCGGCGGGCGGTCCGTCGTCATTCTGCTGTTAGCTTACAAATGCGGACCACCATAGCTTACCGTCAGTAGAACGACCGGACGCTTTCCGTAGGTGGGAAGAGGGGGCATGGTGAGGTGAGGAAAGGAGGGAGGTGGTGAGGGGTGGGAGCGCGGATGAGGTGACAGATGTAATGTCGAGCGAGCAGTGACACCATCCGTCCAGGACCCAGCCAGGAGCCAGGAATCGGCTCGTCTTCTGCCGGACACAGACGCCGGTTGAATCCCGAGCCCCACGTGGCGCAAGGGCGCTCGTAGGGCGCAGGGCGCCGCCAGGGTCCAGAACGCCTTAGCAGGTCTCACATTAGTCTCGATTAGAAACTGCGCTAATGACGGAAGTCTATCAGTGCCTAATTGTGGCCTTGTGGCAATTTCAAGCCTTCATGAAAATAAAAAAGAGAACGTCTGTGCCACATGCTCGGCCTTATCGCCTGCCAGGTGAGCCTCACGCGTCTGCTTGCTGCAGGCTTGGTCACCACTCGCCACCTGATCATCTCGAATTCGATCCCAAAAGCTGATAGCTCCATCCATCTCCGACTCCCCGACCGGCATCGACAAGCGACCCAGCATGTCTGCGCCTCCAGGATTCGGCGCGCCCCCGGGCTTCCAGCCCAATGGCGAGTCCAGGATGGAGGGCAATTTCTTCGGAACGCTTTCGCCTGAAGAGATCGAGAAGAAGGCCAAGAAGTGGAGGCAGTCCCAGAAGCGGAGATTCAACGAGAAGCGCAGGAGGGGAGGCGGCGCGGGTATCGACATGGGCAAGGCTGTGAGTGGGCTCTGCCCCGGAGGCGTCCGCAGCGTTCCGGAGCTGCATACGAGCTGCATCGCGGTGACGTGATGTTGTTATGGCAGCTTCGTGTGGATGTTTACCTGGGGATTTAGTGGTGTTTTGTTGTGTGCGCGCGTGCTGACGCAATCTTTCTTTGCAGGACCTGCCTCCCGAGCACATCCGTAAGATTATGAAGGATCACGGCGACATGTCGAACCGCAAGTTCCGCAACGACAAGCGCGCGCACCTCGGAGCGCTCAAGTACGTGCCGCACGCGGTTATGAAGCTCCTCGAGAACATCCCCAACCCTTGGGAGCAGGTTCGCGAGGTCAAGGTCCTGTACCACGTTTCTGGCGCGATTACGTTCGTAAACGAGATCCCCCGTGTTATCGAGCCGGTGTACCATGCGCAGTGGTCGTCGATGTGGCTGGCGATGCGTCGTGAGAAGCGTGATCGTAGGCATTTCAAGCGTATGCGATTCCCCCCATTCGATGACGAGGAGCAGCCGATGGACTACGGCGACAACGTACTGGATGTCGAGCCGCTCGAGGCGATCCAGCTCGAGCTGGACGAGGACGACGATAAGGAGATCATCGACTGGTTCTACGACCCGAGACCGCTCGTCGACACCCCGCAGGTGAACGGACCGAGCTACAGGTTCTACCAGGTCACCCTCCCGCAGATGGCGAACTTGTACCGTATCGGACGTCAGCTCACGAGCGATTACTCGGACCGGAACGCCTTCTACCTCTTCGACAAGAAGGCGTTCTTCACAGCCAAGGCGCTCAACATCGCTCTCCCGGGAGGACCGAAGTTTGAGCCGCTGTACCGCGACACTGACCCGTACGACGAGGACTGGAACGAGTTCAACGACATCAACAAGGTCATCATCCGTGGTCTTATCCGCTCCGAGTACAAGGTCGCGTACCCGCACCTGTACAACTCGCTCCCGCGATCCGTCCACATCGACCTCTACCACGAGCCGAAGAATGTGTACATCAAGACGGACGACCCCGATCTCCCGGCGTTCTACTTTGACCCGATGATCAACCCGATTTCGCAGCGTGTCGTGACTGAGGCTCACAAGGAGCTCGTCTCCCACGAGGACCGCGTGTTCGGCTACGGCAACGAAGAGGACGATGACGAGTTTGAGCTCCCGGACGAGCTGGAGCCGTTCCTGGCGGAGAAGGAGCTTGAGAACGAGTACACGGCCGATTCGATTGCGCTGTACTGGGCGCCATACCCGTACAACCAGCGCAGTGGACGCATGCGCCGCGCCCAGGACGTCGCGATGCTGAAGAACTTCTACCTGGAGCACTGCCCGCCTGACCAGCCGGTCAAGGTTCGTGTCTCCTACCAGAAGCTCCTCAAGGTCTACGTCCTGAACGAGCTGCACAAGAAGGGCCCGAAGGCGGGTCTGAAGCGTAACCTGTTCCGCTCGCTGAAGAACACAAAGTTCTTCCAGTCGACGACGCTGGACTGGGTGGAGGCCGGTCTCCAGGTGTGCAGGCAGGGATACAACATGCTCAACCTGCTCATCCACCGCAAGAACCTCAACTACCTCCACCTCGACTACAACATGAACCTGAAGCCGATCAAGACTCTGACGACGAAGGAGCGCAAGAAGTCGCGATTCGGAAACGCGTTCCACCTGATCCGTGAAATCCTCCGTCTCACGAAGCTCATTGTCGACGCCCACGTCCAGTTCCGTCTCGGCAACGTCGACGCGTTCCAGCTCGCCGACGGTCTGCAGTACATGTTCGCGCACGTCGGTCAGCTCACCGGAATGTACCGTTACAAGTACAAGCTCATGCGTCAAATCCGTATGACCAAGGACCTGAAGCACCTCATCTACTACCGCTTCAACACCGGTCCGGTCGGCAAGGGTCCTGGTGTTGGTTTCTGGCAGCCCGGATGGCGCGTGTGGCTCTTCTTCATGCGCGGTATCATCCCGCTCCTGGAGCGCTGGCTCGGCAACTTGCTCGCCCGTCAATTCGAGGGCCGAAACTCGAAGGGTCCGGCCTCGACTGTCACGAAGCAGCGTGTCGAGTCCCACTTCGACCTCGAGCTCCGTGCCGCCGTCATGCACGACATTCTCGACATGATGCCCGAGGGTATCAAGCAGAACAAGGCCAAGACCATTCTGCAGCATCTCTCGGAGGCGTGGCGCTGGTGAGTTACATGTGTCTGTACATTTAGCTGACATTGAAGTTGGAAGGCGAACATCCCGTGGCGTGTGCCGGGAATGCCTGCTGCGATCGAGAACATTATCCTTCGTTACGTCAAGAGCAAGGCGGACTGGTGGACTTCGGTTGCGCATTACAACCGTGAGCGTATCCGTCGCGGTGCCACCGTCGACAAGGCTGTCGTGCGCAAGAACCTCGGTCGTCTCACCCGTCTCTACCTCAAGGCCGAGCAGGAGCGTCAGAACGCGTACCTCAAGGACGGACCCTACATTTCGTCGGAGGAGGCTGTGGCGATCTACACCTCCACCGTCCACTGGCTGGAGAGCCGCAAGTTTGCGCCGATCCCCTTCCCGCCCCTCTCGTACAAGCACGACACCAAGCTGCTTGTGCTTGCGCTCGAGAAGCTGAAGGAGGCGTACAGCGTGCACGGTCGTCTGAATCAGTCGCAGCGTGAAGAGCTTGCGCTGGTGGAGCAGGCTTACGACAACCCGCACGAGTGTCTTTCGCGTATCAAGCGTCTTCTGCTGACGCAGCGTGCGTTTAAGGAGGCTGGTATCGAGTTCTTCGACACGTACGAGAAGCTCATTCCTTGCTACGACATTGAGCCGGTTGAGAAGATCACTGACGCGTACCTGGACCAGTTCCTGTGGTACGAGGCCGACAAGCGCCACCTGTTCCCGGCGTGGATCAAACCTGCCGACTCGGAGCCTCCTCCTCTGCTGGTCTACAAGTGGTGCCAGGGAATCAACAACCTGACCGACGTCTGGGACACGAGCGAGGGCGAATGCGTCGTCATGATGCAGACGGTCCTCTCGAGGATGTACGAGAAGGTAGACCTGACGCTTCTTAACCGTCTCCTCCGTCTCATTCTCGACCACAACTTGGCCGACTACATCACTGCGAAGAACAACATGACCCTGACCTTCAAGGACATGACGCACATCAACGCGTACGGTCTGATCCGTGGTCTCCAGTTCTCGAGCTTCGTCGTCCAGTACTACGGTCTCGTTCTCGACCTGCTCATCCTCGGTCTGCAGCGCGCTTCCGAGATGGCCGGACCGCCCCAGGCTCCCAACGGCTTCCTGCAGTACCGCGACCGTGCGACTGAGACTCGCCACCCGATCCGCTTCTACTCGCGTTACATCGACCGCATCCACATCCTGTTCCGCTTCACCGCCGAGGAGTCGCGCGACCTCATCCAGCGCTTCCTGTCAGCGAACCCTGACCCGAACAACCAGAATGTTGTTGGTTACAACACCGTCCGCTGCTGGCCTCGCGACTGCCGCATGCGTCTCAACAAGCATGATGTCAACCTCGGACGCGCCGTGTTCTGGAACGTCAAGAACTCGCTGCCGCGCTCCCTCACGACGATCGAGTGGGAGGACACCATGTGCTCGGTCTACTCAAAGGACAACCCGCAGCTCCTCTTCTCGATGTGTGGCTTCGAGGTGCGCATCTTGCCCCGTTGCCGTACCGAGAACGGCGAGCAGTACTCGCTCGCCGACGGTTGCTGGAACCTTGTCCAGGAGAGCACCAAGGAGCGCACCGCGCAGGCGTTCCTGCGTGTGTCAGACCAGGGTATCCAGGAGTTTAATAACCGTATCCGCCAGATCCTCATGTCGTCTGGATCCGCCACGTTCTCCAAGATTATCAACAAGTGGAACACGGCTCTGATCGGTCTCATGACCTATTACCGTGAGGCGGTCGTCACGACCCCCGAGCTTCTTGATGCGCTCGTCAAGGCCGAGAACAAGGTCCAGACCCGTGTCAAGGTCGGTCTCAATTCGAAGATGCCGTCGCGTTTCCCGCCCGCAGTCTTCTACTCCCCCAAGGAGCTCGGTGGTCTCGGAATGCTCTCGATGGGCTTCGTCCTCATCCCCACCTCTGATCTGCGCTGGTCGAAACAGACTGACGGCGGCGGTATCTCGCACTTCCGTTCCGGTATGACGCACGAGACGGACCAGCTCATCCCCAACCTGTACCGCTACATCCAGCCTTGGGAGTCTGAGTTCCATGACTCGGCCCGTGTCTGGACGGACTATGCTCAGAAACGTGCCGAGGCCGCTGCTGCTAACCGTCGTCTTACGCTCGAGGACCTGGAGGACTCGTGGGACCGTGGAATTCCCCGAATTAACACGCTCTTCCAAAAGGATCGCCACACTCTCGCTTACGACAAGGGATGGCGAGTCCGAACCGCCTTCCAACAGTACCATCGTCTGCGTGCAAACCCCTTCAGCTGGACGAACAATCGCCACGACGGCAAGCTTTGGAACTTGAACTGTCGGTAAGGAGAAATGTGCATGAGCTGACAATGTAGCGTACAGAGTGGACGTTATCGCTGCTCTCGGTGGCGTCGAGGGTGTGTTGGAGCACTCGCTCTTCAAGGCGACCGGTTTCCCCAGTTGGGAGGGTCTCTTCTGGGAGAAGTCGTGTTTCGCACGCGGCACTCGCTTCATCAAGTACGACCGCTCGGAGGTCGCTGTCGAGGACGTGAAGGAGGGCGACCAGCTTCTCGGACCGGACGGTACGCCGCGTCTCGTTAAGACCGGTACTTTGGTTCAGGGCACGGAGCGCCTCTACCGTTTCACCTTCCAAAAGGGCAGTCACGTGACCGCCAGCGACCTCGTGGTCACTCACAACCACATCGTCTGTCTGCGCAGGACCTTTGAGGCGCTCATCGAGGATGTGGAGATGACTGTCGACCAGTTCGTTGCTCTGTCCAAGGAGGAGCAGAAGTCGTACAGGATGTACTACGCCGACGGCGTCGACTCTGGCAAGACAGAGCACCCCGACGAGTTCGTCATTGAGAACGTCAAGCTTGAGGACGAGGCGAGCGAGTGGTTCGGTTTCAAGGTTGACGGCGACCACAAGTTCCTGCGTCACGACTTCCTCGTCGTGCACAACTCCGGCTTCGAGGAATCGATGAAGTTCAAGAAGTTGACGAACGCTCAAAGGTAATTCTGGAGTGGCTTGCGGGTTGCTGACGCTCAGATCCGGTCTCTCGCAGATTCCCAACCGTCGTTTCACCCTCTGGGTAAGTCCGAGCATACTTTAATGTTTTTCTGATGCTTACGTAAAAGTGGAGTCCAACTATCAAGTGATTATGGCCCGGTAAACGCTTTCTTTTCACGTCCTTGAGGTGCAGAAGAGGTTTCGTGAAGAAATCTCGAAGAGTTGAGGTGTGGCGAGGTGAAACCGTGAAGTGCCACATTCACCTCCACCTCCACCTGACCTCCACCCAGCCTCCACTTCCACCGTCCACCACCTCACCACCCACTTCTTCCACCTCCTCTTTCCTTTTCCACTGCGTTTCCATCGAATACAAGCTGACTTTCTTAGCCGGGCGAACATCTATATTGGCTTTCAAGTTCAGCTGGATCTTACGGGATGCTTTATGCACGGAAAGCTGCCGACTTTGAAGGTAAGAGAAGCAACCGCTGAGTGCCACTAACCCCAGATCTCGCTCATCCAGATCTTCCGTGCGCACTTGTGGCAGAAGATCCACGAGTCTGTCGTCATGGACCTGTGTCAGGTCCTCGACCAGCAAATGGAGGCGCTCGGCATCGAGTCCGTGCAGAAGGAAACGATTCACCCGCGCAAATCGTACAAGATGAACTCCTCGGCGTCGGATATCCTTCTTTTCGCCTCACACAAGTTCATGATCACGCGCCCGTCGCTCCTCAACGACAACCGCGACACCCACGACGGCACGACATCCAACAAGTTCTGGATTGACGTTCAGCTCCGTTGGGGTGACTTCGACTCGCACGACATCGAGCGTTACGCCCGTGCCAAGTACCTCGACTACTCGAGCGACTCACAGTCGATCTACCCGTCGCCCACCGGTACTCTGATTGCCATTGACCTGGCCTACAACATCTATGCCGGTTACGGTACTTGGTTCACTGGTCTCAAGAAGCTCATGCAGGAGGCCATGGCCAAGATCATGAAGGCGAACCCTGCGCTTTATGTCCTGCGTGAGCGTATCCGCAAGGCTCTCCAGCTCTACTCTTCGGAGCCGACCGAGCCGTACCTCAACTCGTCGAACTACTCCGAGCTGTTCTCTAACCAGGTCATCTGGTTCGTCGACGACACCAACGTGTACCGTGTCACGATCCACAAGACCTTCGAGGGTAACCTTACGACCAAGCCGATCAACGGTGCGATTTTCATTTTCAACCCTCGCACCGGACAGCTCTTCCTTAAGATCATTCACACCTCGGTGTGGGCCGGTCAGAAGCGTCTCGGTCAGCTCGCCAAGTGGAAGACGGCCGAGGAGGTCGCAGCGCTTATCCGTTCGCTTCCCGTCGAGGAGCAGCCCAAGCAGATCGTCGTTACCCGTAAGGGTATGCTTGACCCTCTTGAGGTGCACCTGCTCGACTTCCCCAACATCGTCATCAAGGGTTCCGAGCTGCAGCTGCCCTTCCAGGCTACGCTCAAGCTCGAGAAGTTCGGTGACCTTATCCTCAAGGCATCGCAGCCTCAGCTCGTCCTCTTCAACCTGTACGACGACTGGCTCAAGAGCATCTCGAGTTACACCGCGTTCTCGCGTCTCATTCTTATCCTTCGTGCGCTCCATGTCAACAACGAGAAGGCCAAGATCATTCTGCGACCCGACCGCAACACTGTCACTGAGTCGTACCACATCTGGCCTACGCTTTCGGACGAGGAGTGGATGAAGGTCGAAGTCGCTCTGAAGGACGTCATTCTTACCGACTTCGGCAAGCGCAACAGCGTCAACGTCGCTTCGCTCACCGCCTCGGAGATTCGTGACATCATCCTTGGTATGGAGATCCAGGCTCCTTCGATCCAGCGTCAGCAGATGGCCGAGATCGACAAGAGCGCCGACGCTAGCGCCCAGGTCACTGCCGTCCAGACGCAGACGACCAACATCCACGGTGACGTTATCCAGACTGTCACCTCGACGCAGTACGAGCAGCAGACATTTGCGTCCAAGTCCGACTGGCGTGTGCGTGCCATCTCCGCCACCAACCTGCCTCTCCGTTGCAACCACCTTTACGTTGGCAACGACGAGGTCAAGGACGAGGCTGGCAGCTACACGTACATCCTGCCTAAGAACGTCCTCCGCACGTTCGTCGTCTCGGCCGATCTCCGTACTCAGGTCGTCGGCTACCTCTTCGGCTCCTCGCCGCCGGACAACAAGCAGGTCAAGGAGATCAAGGCCATTGCTTGGATCCCTCAGCGCGGCACCGCCAACGGTGTTGACCTCCCCCTTGCCCTGCCCAAGCACGAGTTCCTCCTCAAGGACCTCGAGCCCCTGGGATGGATCAAGACCCAGAGCCAGGAGCTCAACCACCTCTCGCCCGCCGACCTCACGACGCAGGCGAAGATCATGGCCGCGAACCCGTCCTGGGGACCGAACTCGATCTGCATCACGGCCGCATTCACCCCCGGTTCCGTGTCGTTGAACGCGTGGGAGCTCACGGTGTCCGGCTTCGAATGGGGCCGCAAGAACGAGGACGTCGTCGCCAACTCGGGCTTCAACCCGAGCATGGCCAACCGTGTCCAGCTCCTGCTGTCCGACCGCATTCTCGGCTCCACCCTCGTCCCCGAGGGCGGTGTCTGGAACTACGGTGTCGGCCTGACCCAGTCGTGGTCGGACAAGATTGCCTACACCATGACGCTGGACAAGCCTCAGCCCTTCTGGGCGCCTATCCACCGTCCGTCGGCGTTCCTCAACTTTGCCTCGCTGGAGGGAGGCGACGATGCGGCGGACGTTGAGAACGCGCTGGAGTAAGGAGGGTCAGAGTGGAAGTGTCGCATAGTCGCAAAAGAACGTTTGTGGTAATAGATAGGAAAAGGCCGCAGAGGCCGTCATTAACTCCAGGTCCGAGAGGCCCGTGTAAATGTACAATTATGCATTGAGTATCATGTTAGAACGTCTAGACGTGTAGTCCATGGGGATAGTCGAGCCGAGCTCCGCGAGTGGCAATTGCAGCTGTTGAGGCCAACGTCGGAATCGACCCCATGGGTGCATGGTTGAGAGCGCCGTGGGCCATACTTGGATACCATCCTGGGAGGTCATGCTTTTGGGCCTCGTCCAAGCCGGGTTAGTCGTCACGCTGTAAGTGGCGTTGGCTGCGGTGTCGGAACGACCGAGGAGGCTGCCGACCGAGGGCCGCCTCGTCCGAAGAGTGCCACATCGACCCGAGACAGTGTGTCACGTATGGTCACATGTCCACTGCAAGCCCCCACGCACTGTCAACCGCCTTCTCCACCGCTATCTCTCCACTTTGCGTTCACCTGTTTTCGTCCTTACGTGTAGCACCGGCAGCTTTCCACGAGCACCGTCGAAGGTTATGTGCGGTGGGTGCGAGCAGGGTCTTGGACCACTTTCCACGCCTCCCTTGAGCCAGCCGCCGCCCCGTCCACAGGGGCGGACCGAACGGTCCTACTGCAGCCTTCGCTCACTCTTGTCTTCCCCGTCACTTCAGAGCCTGGCTCGTGTAAGCTTCCCCACCCCTTTGCCGGGACCAGGTCGCGGTACGCTTGAACAGCAGATCTTATGTAGTCCGTCGAATTCCAAGGGCTGAATGACGGCGTCGGCCGTCAGAGCGACAGCAGGGTTTGCGACTCAGCATGTCCTCTCTTCCAGACCTCAGCTCCCTGTCCGGCTCTCACATGCGTAGAACTCACGATACCTGCACTCCTCCCTAGTAGACGTGGTAGCGCCGCGTTTCAAGCGTCGTGGCATCGCAACCGGTCGGTTCCCCTTCTCGCGCAGGGTGCACACCGCCGCCGTCACGGGGCCGGGGCGCAGCGTCACGAGAGTCCAAACCTTCCACAGTCACAGGAAATAGAAGCAGCTGCCCGCGAATGCAATATCGAGCGTCGAACGACCAGACCGCACAAACTCTTGAAACCATCTTCTGACGATATGGTGAACTTTGACGGACGTGCCCCCTAGCTCTTGCCCCACATCAGCGAACGCGAGTGGCCACACAGAGCACGATCCCAAACAATTTATTGGGCTCCCCCATGAGAATCAGATCGACATGCATCGCTGGTGAGGGAGGCACTTGGCGGGTGCCAACAGTCCGCGACCGGAAGTGCCACACGGAAGCGGCGGGCCCTTTTGTATCGGCGGGGTGCGGGGCAGGCAGAAGTTAACATCACCTCTCTATAGCTCAGTTGGTAGAGCGTCGGACTGTAATTGGTTAAACCATCCTCCCACCCGACCGGGTGAGAAATCCGCAGGTCCTGTGTTCGACTCACAGTGGAGAGACTCTTTTTGGACCTGTACGTGCATGCTCATCACTGACTGGGCTTCCCCTACTCCGCCAAGCTTCGCCGAGCACAGTGCTGGCCGCCGAGGCGCCGATGATCGCCAGAAGACGGAAGTTCGCGACGATCCCGGATATCGCCCCAACTTCGCCACACTGGTATACATCCTGTCACGCCGTAATTGGCAAATTCCAGTGCTTCTCGTGGATCCCAGGCGAGCTCACCGAAGCAGCGACCGAGACCCGAAGCAGGCAACACGCTGTTTGGTCAGCCAGATTCGTCACGGAGGGCATGTGTAACGGGTGGGGGACGGGGGGACGGTCGAATGCGGAGGCACGCGGCGGGCGCGGCGATGTGCGTTGATTGGGGTTGTCAAGGAACCTGCCCATGATGCCCATGATGCAGGCTGCGCGGCTGCGCTCTACGTCCGCGTGGCTCGAGTTGGATGGGTCGGTCGATCGTCGAAAACGTTATCTGATTGGTGAGTTCGTTCCTAAGTTCCGTGATCCGTTGACACTACTCTGGGCACTCTGGACACTTCAGTAGTTGCGGGGCCCGGGCCAGCCCACCACGAGAGCATCACATGCTCTGCAGTCATTGCTTTATCCGGCATCATGATTTTCGAATATCCAGTCAGGTACACGCTGGCTATGAGGCAGGCACCGACCGTTGGCGTTCTGGCGCACGATCGCAGAGGCGCGGCAAGTGTCGGCGCGGTGCTCCCCTCTGCTGAGCCCTGGGTAGCCAGGGGCTAACTGGTCGAGGACAGGCCAAGTGTCTGGGCTCGTTCCCCTCAGCCAGTCGAGTGTCTTGTTTGGTACCGAACACGGAGTGTCGCCAGGCAAGGGGTGCATGGCACAACCAAGCGATAACGACGGCTCAACGGCTGCACCGTGACTGACCCCAGTGCCCCAGCATGCCCCAGCATGCAAGCTTACGCGGGGCCGTGACAGCCGCGGCCCGAAGTCACGGCTCTCAAGTCGTACTATCGCACTTGCAATTGCGCATGCGTAAAGGCTGAAGTAGCTGGACAGCTGAATAGTCCCAGCATGCTAATCGCGCACGCGCGCAATAGTATCCGGTTCCTGGTCCAACTCTCTTTGGTTCTGGTGTGTGGGCAGGCCGGCTGGAGGCCTTCAACGCGCAGGCGGGCAGGCGGAAGGCGGGCCGGCAGCCCGCCAGGCCCGCCAAGTCGCCGGTGAGAGCTTTGCAAAACAAGACCAGTCAGCCAAAAGTTCGAAATTGTCAGTCCGCGGCCATCCAACTTTCTTCGATCGATGGGTTCTAACGGGCGCGCAGCGCTGCGGCTTGTTCTGTGTCAGCTTCCTTTCAGCTTCAGCCTGGCATTCCTGTCCTGTTCAGTAGTGTTGACTTTTCTTTGTCCTCTCCTGCTTGCATTCAGTTTCAGAGCCTAAAAGCCTTCCCAGCGGCACGGCGGACACGCGGGGCGGCGAAGGCTTGCCTGTTGCAATCCAAGAGGCAAAAGCGGCAGGGGGACAGGGAAGGGGAGGAATTGGGATTGGAATGACGGCATTCATCGACCTTGAATGCGATTCCTGGACCGAGTGGGGGCAACGAACCAAACCTAGCTAGCAAGGAATGCCATCTGTGGGGTCCCCCAATGCCCCTGCCGTGTACCGCCGGCGACCTGACAGGCCGCCACGTATCCGCGCCTGCCCGAAGGGGCTTTCGGAGCTCGCTGCTCAACAACAATAGACCGTGTTATCTTTTCGCGATACGCGCGATTTTCGAGTTCATAGGCCAGTGCGATGTGTCCGCAAGGGGCACTATCTTCTGGGGCTGATGCCATTGTGTGCTCCGTCCACGGTCGTACAACGCACTTCCGTATGCGTCTTGTCGCACTCTGTCACAGGTCACAGGCTGCAATTGGATACGCGGCTCCGATGTGTAACACCCAACTTTTTTTCGAACGACGGCAGATAAACTTATTTTAGTGCGGGCGGTACCAGCCAGGCCGGGAGAAGGGACCACCACGGCCAAAGCGATGGGGCGTGAGGCCCGAGGCCGAGCGAACGCTGCGTGTGATGCAGTCGGTCGATCCATTGAACCATGAACCAGGCAATCCGCCATAGCATGCCCTTGTTCGTGTAGCATAGTGCGAGTGGGTCACCGGGTCAAACAGTCAGCTGCTCAGTTGTGGGCCTCCTGAACACCGCTGGGCTAGCGGACTAGCGGGCAGGGCGGGCAGGAACATGCACCTGCACCAGTTGCAACGGGTGCACCACTGAGCTGACGTTTAATTACAGGCCACAATCTTTGAGATTCCAGAGATCTGCCCGTTCGAGGAGAGGGGCGGCGCGACTGTGGTGCGCAGGAGAACATATGTGTCTTGGCTTCGCTTCTGTTCTGGTTCGCGGTTCTGGGTTCTGGCGATTCGCAGAAGATCAGCGATTGCACACGCTATACGCTGCGGTGGTTGCTTGATACGGCATTCTGGCCAAGAACCGAGCAACGAGCGGCGGCGAGTCACGAGCTTCTGTGGTGGGATGGTGCTGCGATGGTCGACTCCGGAGTGTGGGATTTTCAATGCAGGGTTATGTTGACTGAACCAATAGTAATCACCGTTGACAGCGATTAGGGCCATGGACTAAGGGCCCGATCCCCTTGCGATCCCTTGCTGGCCCTGCAGCCCTGCTGGGCGCTGGGCGTTGGGCGCTGTCCCCCATCCCCCCGTCCGGGCTGCAGGCGACCCTGTACCCCAGGTGCCAGGCTGGCCGTGGCCATGGCCAGGTGCCGGGAAAGCAAGGAGAGTGACACGAGAGTATTGCAGGCGAGCAATGGCGTTGCAGAATGAGCTGCAGATGATGATGGGCCTAGGGGTGAGGTACGGCACGGTACAATCAGCACTTGCTAGCACTGCCTGCTTGGGCTCCTGGCCCGTCTGCCGCTTGGCTCGTGGCTTGCCAGGGCGGGCTGCTGCTGGCCGGACGACTGGCAGCACGATGCACGACGACTGGCTGACCAACTGGCTGAGCGCGCGCCGGGCCGCCTGGCACTGGCTGACTGACTGACTGGCGTCTGGCCACCCGCACCCCGTACACCCGTCCCACCCACACCGTACACCGCACTAGGCTCTAATGTCCCCAGACATCCAGGCATCCGTCCAACTTTCTTTAGCAGCCAATTGTTACCTCTGCACTACTCACCACTCATCACACCTCTCACCAGCCGACCTTTGCTTCTGCATTCTTCCTCGACGACACCCCCGGCTCGACCTCGACTGCATCGACTCGACCACCACCACACTACCACCTCGACCCTCCTCGTACGTCGACTTTCACCCATCACGACCACCCTGCGTCGCGCGCTGACTCGGTTATTCAGCACGAAGACGTAGCCGTCTCCGTTCAACTTTCGTCCCCGTAGCATGGCTCCCGTGAGCACTGCATTCAGTCAATGGCGCTCGCCGCCCCCGGCCCCAACGCCGGCGCTTGAGGTGAGTTGCTCGCTGTTCTCGGTGGTCGTTGCCTTGGAAATTCGTGATGGCGGGGACCGGTATTCTGATTGCCTATTGTTGCCGCCCGCCGACTTTGGCCCTCCCCATTATTTCCCTTCCCCCCTCCCCGAAAAAAGTCTGGCGGCTGTGTCACACTGCCGTTGCATCAGTCTCCCTGGCAACCATACCACCTCTTCTCGATGCGTTCCAGTGTGCTGACATGGTCTTCCACTTGCATCGATGCGCTCTTATTCAATGCACGAATCTCATCCTATTGCGATTTCCGCTGCCCGTCCTTGACCGGGAAACCCAAATTGATCATCCGTCGACGCGTCCGCCTAATTTCATTTGACTTTTGCTGCCCACCCCAAAACCAACCCCCTTGCCTGTACCCGCCGTCCAACACTCCGTACACCGGTCTCACACGATGACAGCCTGTCGACCTCCCCCAGGCATCGTCGCCGGCGCCTACCAAGGCCGACCTGCTGCACCCGAGCTTCCTGCCCCCGTGCGAGCACGCGAAGGATGGCGGAGAAATGCATGCACACGCGTTTGGTAAGTCGCCACCGCGCGCGCTTCCCCGATCGCCACCCGGTGCTCGTGCTCAATGCGCCATGCTTCCTGACACCCGCATTGTACATCGCAGTGTCCTGACCGTCACAGACCTCCTGTCCCTCGCTGCAGCGAAAGCCTCGTCCGCCGAGGCTGCCGCCTCCAACCAATCCAAGAAGGTTGAGCCTGGCTCCTCTGTCCCGGCCACTTCCTACCTTTCCGCGACCAGGCCTCCCAATGGCACGACCGGTTCGACTCCCGGCACCAAGGCGCGCCGCATGAGCTCGTCCACCACGGGCGTTCTGGGACGCGGCAAGCTCGGTCTGACTGGTGACTCGGGCCTTCTGAAGGACACGTGAGTCGGATTTCCCGCATTCTTGCGAGCATTGTGTGCTCACCCCGTTTCAGTCGCCCTACTCTTTCCTCCTCGCAGAGCGGATCGGCGATTCCCGGTCGCAGGCTGTCCAACGCCGCCCTCTCGGGGTCCCCGCAGCTCTTCGACTTCGCGAAGACCGACCGCCGCCCTGGCGCCGGAGGAAGGACCAGCAGCGCTCGCTCCAATGGTATCGCCGCCTCGCTCCCAAGCCAGGGCATTGCCGGCGGCGCCCCCATCCATGTCAACCCTCCCCCCGCTGTGGCCCCCCAGGATGACATGGAGCTGGACATGGAGTTTGACGGTGACGACGAGGACCGCTCAGGCAACCGCAGCGGCAGCGCCGAGTTCGACATGGAGATCGAGGATGAGAACGAGTACAAGGGCGAGTGGGAGAAGCTTGCGCTTGGCACTGGCTCTGGAGGTATCAAGGGGCGACGAAAGGGCATGGTCTTCAAGTGCGAGAGCTGCGCCAAGGAGTACCGTCATCCTTCGTGTCTGATCAAGCATCGCTGGGAGCACTCGCCCCACTGGCGCGAGCCCACTCAGATCTCGATGTCGAAGCACCAGCAGGTTCAGATGCTCGAGGCTGCCGCGATTCTCGCCCACATGGACCCCTCGAACGCGCACGGAAGGTCGCTCCCGAACGACAAATCGCTCTGGCCGGCCATTCTCTCGCCCTCCTCGGGCCCTTCGCCCCTCCTGCGCTCGGCCAAGTCGAGCTCTCGGGAACTTCCCCGCTCGCCCAGCGTCAACCCTCCGCCGCTCACGCCCTCCTCGCTCCGCGAGAGCTCTGTACTCAAGGACCGCAAGGCCAGCCCGGGTTCGGACTCGACCAACTCGATGGACGGTGCGGACTCGCTCGGCACCTCGCCCAACCCCAACACGCTCGGCCTCAAGGGCCACGGCCTGTCGCGCCCCATGGGCATCAACGCTACTGGACGCCGATCATCTGTCTCGTCTGGTCCCGGTGGACCTGCGACCCCCGCATCTCTCGGCTCTCTCGGTGCCGACATGAACGGATTACATTTCCACAGCGGCACCCCGACTGGCACGTCTCCCATCCCGAACCGCGGCCTGCCCCTCTCGCTGACCGCTCGCGCGACCATGATCGGCGGTGGCATGTTTGGCCAGCGAGGGGCCAGCTTCAAGCTGCCCGACTCGAGTGTTCGCGGCGGTGCCGAGGAGGAAGAGGACGAGCTGCGCTTCAACAACCGTGGCAAGTCGAGCTCTGAGGAGGCCGATGAGCGAAGGAGAGACAATGACGAGCCTGCCTTCGGGATCGACAACATGGATCTCTGAGAGGTCCCTGCGTCCTTCCTTTCGCTTTCGGGTTTCTCCATCTCTTCTTCCAGTTCTCTTATAGTTTAGTGTCTCTGGGTCACATTTTTCTCTTTCCAAACACACATCGGAACGTAACCGACTCGAATCCATTCAAGAAGTTTTAAGGAAGCGAGGAACGAAGATCGAGAACAAAGAGTTCAAGTTGTAACCACAAGCCCCTGTACTGGCGAGGCCAAGCCCATCGGCCACCTGCCCGCATCGCTCGAATCCGTTTTCATATAGTAGTCACACGCACAACGCAACGTCTGACCAGCCACCCCTGCGACAGACCGTAGAAGAAGTATGAAAGAAGTCAAATGAACCAAGCTGCAAAGGTCGACTCGACGTCGCCATCAGCCACGGACGCTGCGGTCAGTGCTTGTGCGGTGGGCCAGCGCAAGGACCAGTGCATCAGTCAGCTGAGTGCCGCATCTGTGCAGCGTCAGTGCTGTGCCCATCATCGCCGACCAGAGCATCGCAGTCGAAGCAAGGGTCCGAACTTTTCAGCACAGCATGCGTATTCCCACGATGTTACTCGTTTCTCGCCACTGGGCCACTGGCCACTAACAAACTGGCGCGGTGGCCAAACGCGTGTGTTATCCTCGGTGCGATGCCCGAGCCCAGCACATTTCTTTGAGGTACGCAAGTCCCAAGGCGAGAGTCAGCTGAATGGCGACAAGAGCCTGACGCGATCGGCGGACCGGGCTCGGTACCCGGAGTGGGTGCGCAGCTGCATTGAATAGGCAGAGGGCCTCGTGCCCGCGGCTCGTGGCGTGGGCAGGTGATCTTCAATATTGGCGAATGCGGTCCTGGCGGACCTACTGCAGCGGACCTAGCGGACCTTATTCTGACAGAAATTCGAAACAACTTTGCTTTGAATGTGGCTACCCATTCAATGCCTGCTAATTCAGCGGGCGAAGCGCCGGTCCTCCTCTCCTTCGCTCGAGTGCGGAAGGAGTAGAAAGCACAGGCGTCAGTGTATGTTGCTCGTGCACCAGGACGAGGCGCGGGGGTGCCGGGCTCGTGTACTCGTGCCCCGGCGTCTGCGGTGCTCACAGCTCTCACCCTGCACCCCGTGGCTAGAGGCACACTGCACGTTGAATGCTCTTCCGGCCCAAACGTCATGTCGCAGCTGTCCCGTTTCGAGGCAGCGCGTCGATTTAGGCGAGGATGGGGGTAGTCGCCGGCGGGGAAGAGGAACATGTGAACAAAGTGGCAGACGACAGGTTGACGTCATACCGAATCCTCGGCGCTGAGTGGATGAATTGGCCTGTCCCGAGACGGGCGGGGCGGCGATCACTCTCTCCTGAGAGGAGGAGGACTGATCGGGCTGCGGGAGTCAGCTGATGACAGGGGTCAGGATGGGTCGGGGTGACCCGTGCGTCGGAGGCTGCAGACTTGCCAAACTCGGACACTTGGCTGGAACGGATGTGTAGGTGAGCGGTACATAGGACTGGAAGGGGAAAAAGGGGCAAAAGATTTGTCTCTCCACTGTGAGTCGAACACAGGACCTGCGGATTTCTCACTCAATCGAGTGGGAGGATTTGGATAACCAATTACAGTCCGACGCTCTACCAACTGAGCTATAGAGAGGCGAAGAGGAATTGCTGGTCGTGAGGGGCGCAGCGGGAGTATAACCGCGCCAGACTTTGTCGAGCACGTGAGCGGCACGTGTAACACGTGATCCGAGGCGGCCGAGGCCGTCCGAAAAGATGGAAGGAAGTCGAAGCCGACAAGTAGTCTGACGAGGTTGACTGGACTCGTCGGCTTAGTAAGCAAGCCCAGTTGCGGACTCGATGAAGTTGATAGCCACGGGAGATCTCACGCAACACGGCGCAACTCGCATGCTGACTCAGCATATGGCTGATTGCGGCTTTCATCGTCTCATTTCTTGGCTGACTAGATTTTGTCTGCGCATGCAGATCTTCCAGCTGAGGGAGCACATGTCCAGTTCATGTTGGAAAGGCACGTTTGTATTCGCCGAGCTAGCCAGCACGGCGCCGAAAGGCAGAAGGCGCAAGCCTGCAAGCCCAGGCAGCCCGGGCAACCAATCCGAAGCACAAGTGACGTTATTGTTGACACGCTGGCAAAATGCGGCAGACGCGCGCAAGCTGCAGCGGCAAGTGGTCATTTTTCGGGGGCTTTTCCGATGCTTGCCGACTGCCCTTCCTGTGCCCGTACAGTGACCGCACCAGTGCACGCCGTCCCCGATCGTACATAAGGGCTTTTTGTTTTCCGACCTATTCCCCACCGTCTTTTTTTGACAACACACAATCTACATCAAAACAAAATGTCGGCCCCCTCTGCCATGATCCAGAAGCCCGCTCCGTGAGTACATTCGACAATAGATCCGACGCAGCATGCGGTACATGCGACGGAACAGGCGACAGAACGAGCGCTATAACGCTGGTTATTCAGCAACGAGCAGCACAAGTCCGATAAGCGTTTACGGTATCAGCGCCGAGTCTGCTGCTTCGCTATGACGGTTTGCGGCTTTCCAGTTTGTCTCTAGTGGCGCTGCTACAGGGAGAAGAAGCTGTAGTTGCTCGTCTCGTCGGACCGCGGACTTTCCGGCTCCGTCGCCTTCAAAGGGCCTCTCGGCGCTCTGATGGCCTGCTCCGAGCCTCTGCTCGCTCTGCACCGTTCGCATGTTCGTGGCCTGCTCTCTGTCGCTCCCGCATTTCTCCATCCTCTGCAGCGCAACAGCTCCGCTGACATCCAGCGCCTTCCAGGGCACCCTCGTCCAGAACGGCGAGTTCAAGGAGGTCAAGCTCTCCGACTACGAGGGCAAGTGGGTCGTTCTCTTCTCGTACCCCATGGACTACAGTAAGCCGCTTTAAAACGCTCCAGAATGCTAACGGACAGCTTGTAAGTGTCGAAAAGACGAAGAAAATCGAGTTGGAAGCTCGTAAGAAGAAGTTCGGGTGGAGAAACGGACTATCGGACATGTCCGTCCGCCTCACGTCCGCAGTGCCACACTTGCTCTCCTTTTCGCTTGCTCTGCGTAGCCTACTGTGAGGGCTTGCTCTGATGGTATACTTCGAGGGCAGGAGGCTATGGGGGGCGTGGTGATATGCTGCGGGGTGGTTAGCGGCCCCCGAAACCATCTTGACTCGAACTTCCAGCTACAGCAACTTCGTTCCGAGCTAACCTTCAGTCGTCTGCCCCACGGAGATCCTCGCCTTCAACAACGCCCTCGAGCAGTTCAAGGCCATCAACACCGAGGTCATTGCCTTCTCGACCGACTCCGAGTTCACCCACCTCGCCTGGTCGCAGACCCCCCGCAAGGAGGGCGGCCTTGGCCCCAACCTCAACCTCGGCCTCCTCTCTGACCGCAACCACTCGGTCTCGAAGGCCTACGGTGTTCTCCTCGAGGAGGAGGGCATCACTCTCCGTGGCACCTTCTTCATCGACCCCAAGGGCACCCTCCGTGCCATGCACGTCCACGACCTCCCCGTCGGCCGCTCCGTCGAGGAGACCATCCGTGTCGTCAAGGCCTTCCAGTTCACCGACGAGCACGGTGAGGTCTGCCCGGCCAACTGGGAGGAGGGTGCCGACACCATCGACACCGCCGACGCCAAGAAGTACTTCTCCAAGCAGTAAGCGTCTCCCTGTGCCTGCGCCGCTGGCTCTGCTCTGCTCTAGGGGGTAGGAGCGGCGAGCGCGCACTTGCAACACCACCACCACATCCAAAATTCATTCATTAGACCACACCTTAGATGGAATCTGTGCATCTTTTATTCTCGAGAGGTTAAAACCACGTACCACTGCGGACAGTGACGTGACGTGCCAGGCGAGCCACCGACGTGTGGAGCCCGCGCGAGACCCTCGAATGAGCAGAAAGAAAGACAGCGTGTTTTCCTGAAATTTCCTGGACTCCTGGGACCGTTCCGTTATCGTAGATCGAGATTGCGCGATCAGTCCGGCCGATAGCGGCCAAGAGCGCTCAGCGCTGGGGCGTGACGCCCACTGACGTTCTCGGCGCGGTTATCTGGCGTTCCTTATCATGTCCACTCACCTCGATAGACTTCCGCGCATCCCTCACATTCCTCGCATCATCCCCTGCCCAAGATCTGATTCGCTCACACTGTTCCAGCGGCGAGGACGCCTCGGCTTCCAACAAGAGGGAGGCCCCCGGTTCGGCCGAGAAGCCCGCGAAGCGCGCCAGGGCTTGATTCTACATCGGTCATGCCAGCGACATCGGCCTCGTCGGGGCGATGATGTAACCTGCGAGGATCGAGGCATACGAGGTCACCGAAGTGCCGAGACCACCGTCGTTTCAGCGACTGGAGTAACTGAGGACAACAGGGGAGCTATGTGGTTAGATGTTGTTAGACGGGTGTAAGCGAAAAATTAGAAAATGTTTATATCGTTAGTGTTAGTCGGATCGATAGGACGCCTGTTGCTTGTTAGCGGCTGTTGGTATACATGCAGTCTAAGAAAGTTGTCTAGTCCGTCCGTCATCGTGTTACATGGTCGCACGCTCATCGCCCAGATCGCGCAACGCTGGAACGCCATCAGTCGAGCTCCTCAACGGTGACCTCAGGGAGCTCTTCGATCTTAGCTCCCGTGGGCGCTCGCGACGAGGGGCGCGCCTTCTCGTCGGAGGGCATGGCGACGGGCACCGGCGTAGGAGCAGCCGGCACGGGCTCCTTGAGTGCGGTGTAGACCTCCTCCGCGGACTGCAGCACCCGCTTACACACAGTAGCCCAAGCTGCGGAGCTCACAGCACCTGTCGTCAGCTTTCTGGGGTGCTTGTTAGCTTGCCACTCACCCTTAGGAGCGCTCGGCCAGCGAAGCAGCCAGGCAATGAACCCAGGCACCCAACCTTCGGGAAGCCAGAACACGGCGCTCTTGCGGTACCACCAGACAACAAAGAGCTGGAGACCGGTCGTAATGAACCAGATGAGCGAGCTAAAGCGAGTCGCGAAGGCCGCCTTCGACGCATTGATTGTGTTATCTGTGGTTAGCCGTGGCTGATACCGTACGACAGCAGGGTTGTCTCTCTTCCCCAACCTGTCGCTTGGATTGTCAACAGAGAAGATTGAGCGACAAGATCATGTGGCCGTGCCGGCCCAACCTGCCGCCATGAACGTGATGGCCGTCTTATTTAAAGCACGATGAAAAACAAAGCCGGCCGGGCGGGGGCCGCCGTCACTATGCCGCGGAGAACGTGCCCTGGTGCGAGACGTAGGTCGTGAGACTGAATCGTTCACGGGCTGATGAGAGCGGTGGAGATCCTCAATGACAATCAATTGAAGCTCAGCAGAAGCTCGTTCAAGAGTTGCGCTCAGTGCTCTCGGCACACTCCCCCAACAGCTCCCACCTTCGTCTTCCCCGTGACACTTCGTCTTCCAGAGCCCGAGTACTCACTCTCCTTCTCCAGTTGCTCGAGGCCCTTGTCCACCTTGCGCTTGAGGCGGGCCCACTTGGCAAACTCGTCTTGCGAAGACGTTTTCTGCAGCTCGGCCTTGTCGGCGAGAACTTGCTTGCGGAGTTCTCGCTGCTTCTTCGCGTTCGCACCGAGCACGAACTTTGAGTACGCGTTGAAGGCAACGTCCTGGAGGAAGGACTTGCCAACCCAAGCGATCACCTGGGTGACCAAGACTTGCAGGAAGATAACAACCGGGAGATTCGGCTTGGCCATGTCGTCGAGAGGTAAAGAGAACGGTGTCTTCGACAGATAGACAGCGGCTTCGCCTCTGATCTGTGGACGTCGATGGAATCGTAGAACGTCATCCTCGGACATGTCCCCGCCACGTGGTGGAGAAAATGCAGAAAGTGGTATGGGAATAATGTAACATTACCGGATCGCGACCGTGGTTTGGTTCCGCTAATGATTATTCGGCGCATGCAGTGAGACGCCGAGCCTGCATGTACACAACGGTAGACATAAACAAACAATCGTCACAGGACAAGGACACCTCCGAACCAAAGTTGATCCATCCACCATCGCCGCCGAAGACGTCGCGGCTCCTAACTGTCCAACGGCGACCACAGCCGGCCTCTCAGTGCCATGTCGTCGCGATCGGCAGCCTCGGGGTCACGAACACCGCATTCCCATAGTTCCCGATCCGAGGCGGCTAACGGCCGCAAGCGAGGCCACGATGCGACCGAGGGCGCGTCTAAGAAGACGCGGAAGCAGGTATGTTTCCACAATTCCTAGGACAACTGTGCTGACTCTAGAAACACTGTACGTCACGGTCAAACAGCTGGAGCCGCGTAGCTAATGCATGCACAGCGTTCAAGCCGAGACCGATCAGTGATACGGACGATGCTATGGACATCGACATTCCACCCCCACCATCTGAGAAGAAACCCGCGCGACGACGACAATCAACGGCAGCCAAGATGGCCCGAATAGCGTCTCCCGCTCCTTCAAGAATCGCTCGGCAGTTGTCTACCGCTGCTTCAGACTCCGAAGATGAAAGCGTCTCGATGGGAGCGAGGAGCACCTTCACACCTGGGCCGAAGAAGTCTGTACCGCATCTCACTTTCAAGCCGTACAATCGGCCTCGGCCGAGCGTCGCTCCCCCGCCATCTCCCGGCCGACCGCGACAAGGTCGAAAATCCATCGCTGGGTCGTCACGTTCGGGCCGTCTGTCTATCCTGGAAGGAAGGCAGTACGTCGACTCTGTCCAACCTTTACCGGTACCAGATACCCCCGTCCATCGCAGGAAGCACGAGCCCAGGAAGAGAGTCACGGAAGCTCGACCCTCGCTGGGACTGAGGGGACAGCGCGGATCGACATCGTTTGGCCGCGGCGAACCGACGTACCCACATTCCAGCGTGCAACCGCACCAATTCCACAGGCATATTCCCGTGGAGCTCCCGGACCCCGTGAAAGTGCGATGGCTCGTGTCATGGTGTGCTAAGCGAGCTTACGAAGAACACACCTCGAAGGGAAAAGTGCGAGCTCGTGATCCTGAAGCCGACCGACTGCTCGGAGATGTCATCGACCTATTTGTCGCCAACGTCGCCAAGGGCGACATTGACACGAATATATATGACAGCGACCCCACCTCCGCATCAACTTCGAACGGTGTCCGACCCCACGAGAGAAATGTCGAGAACCGAGCGACCAAAGCGAAAGAGGAAGGCATCATCAAGCGGATGAAAGCTGAGGATCGGGATTGGTCACGGATAGCGGCCCACGCCAACGCCGAGCAAGACCGTGTGATCAGAAGCCTGCGGACGAAGGTCGCCCACCCAGAGGAGCCGGTGTTGTCAGGCTGGTTTGCGGACGCATGCCGGATCACGGACGGCATCATGGCAATGGGAGACGAGGACATCGGGACAGCCGCGGACTTCACCGAAGTCGAATACGAAGTCGACACTCTCCACCAGAGCACACATCAAGCTGCCGCCTATGCTGCACAAGCACGGCGATTCCTGGACGGCATCTACGCCTCCCTTGCTTCCGACCTGCGCAAGCAAGGTGCCCCACCGGGAGACGATGACCGCGAAGAGCCCGCGTCCGCTGTCGAAAGTGCAGTGGGCGGCCCCGCTCGCGAACCTCAGAGAGACCCAATTCACATGCTCCGTGCGCTTGCGGCTGCCGATACCAAATCACAAACCCCCGACACTGTTGCCAAGGCAGCAAGCGTGGCAGTTGCACCGACTCCTGCCACTTCGACTCACACGCCTCGGAGACCCCAACCGGCCACTACTCCGCGAAGAGCAGTTTACGGACAGCGGACTCCCGGAGCCCCTCGATGACTGGCCACCAATTCTTTCACCATCGTTCTGTATTACGGATGATTCGTATTTTTGCTCACCCCTAGGTATGGATTTTGTATGACTAGTCTCTCTTTTGTGTTGCCAGCACCCTTATGTAACACGCTACCTCTTGCTCTGCCACGTCCAGTCACCCGCAGCGCCCTGTTTGACGATTGACTGTATCAGATGTTTTGCCACCCAAAATGCTGAACCTCCACCCGCATCCACCCATAACGGGGGTGTGCTTTTAACAGGGTGCCTTAGCTCAACCGCTCTGCAAAACAAACTCAGCCGAGCTCAATCTATTTCTCATCATCTTCTCAACTCATTGACCGGAGCGCCCCCCGCGTACTGCGTGATTTCGCAAACAATCGGCATCCGACTCCCACGGACTCTCATCGCTGGCTCTACTGCCAGCTCGGCATATCAGCAAATGGTTATACCTGCTTCAGTGCATTGATCAGCACGCACCTGTCTTCCTTCCTGCACCTGTCACTTGCCGCTGGACTTCGCAACTTAGCTGGAAGCGATGCCCGCCATTATCGATCTTTCGAACCAAGCGTCCGACGCATCGGACTCCGAAGACGAGCCTCTGTCGCGTTCAGCTACCACACCGTCTTCCCCATCTCGCCTCAATCGACGAACCATCCCCTTGCATTCGAGACCTCGCAGCTTGCTCGACCCGGCTCAGGCATCTAGTTCCTCCTCGGTCGCTGCCGCGGCTCAATCCACGGCAACTGCCAATTCATCGAGCTATTCGTCTCGGGGTTCGACTCCGGGGGCGAACAACATTGCCACTGCGCAGCCCCGCTCCTTCTTTAGGTCAACTCTCAGTATCCCCAACGGAGCTGGACCAAGTCGACAGCGATATGACCCGCGACCCCGTGACAACGAGGTCATTGAGCTGAGTGACGACAGCGATGACGACTTTGAAGTCACTGGTGGACGAGCTGCGCCCCCTGCTCGTCCCGCAACTTCGAGGCGCGTGCGAGGTACGCCTAGAGCACGTATCGATCATGCCGAGTTTCGTCGTGCGTCTGAGGGTGAGTGCATGTGATGATCTCCATAATTCTGACCGCATAGAGCTGGACCAAGTTCTTCAGCAGCGTCGAGAAGCCATGCAAGATCTTGCTCGTGTGAACAACGGCGACCGAGACAACGTGCAGAACCGCCTGGACCGGGAGGTTCATTCTCCTCCCCCTCCTGTCCCCCGAATTGGGCTCGGCGGGGCTGTCTTCCGCGCCGGAGATCGTGCGGTTCGTTTCGCCCCTGGTCGTCCAACCATGCGGTTTCGTTTACGTGGCGACGAGCCCGTCGAGGAACAGCGCGAGCGCATCCAGCCACCACGTGCGGCTCGTCTTGGCGGCGCTTTTGCCCCTGGCGCTGGCAACCTCGGAGCTGCAGCCGCCCACGAGACGTACATCCAGGGCTTGGGCGGGCTGTTCGGCCGGGCTGAGAACATAATGAATGCGCTCCTTCACCCGCTCAACCACATGGGGGGCGGTCCCCGCGCCCAGCCAGTACAGGACATCCAAACAGTACTCGCAAAGGTGACACCCGAGAAAGTTCCGGTGGCTCAGCGTGGCTTCGCTCGCACTTGGGACGCTGAGGTGCTGGTGGAGGAAGGCGAGAAGCAGCGCGGCATCGTGTTGGATGACACTGGGGATGTAGTGAAGCAGCAGATCAAGCCCTACCTTTCCTGCTCAGCGTGCCCCGAGCCCCTTCGACTGGGATCGGCCGCTCGCGACGACAACGACCGGATTTTCGCTCTTCGTTGTGGGCATCTGCTGGACGGCAAGTGCACGGCGGCACTTGCAGCCGGCCCGTTGGAGGATACTGCTCCGCCCACGAAGAGGCGCAAGACGCGTAGTGGCAACAAGAACCGCGAACACGTTTTCCACTGCCCAGTGAAGGGGTGCGGGAGGGAGCATGTGAGTGTTCTGGTCGATGGCCAGTGGGCCCAGAAAGATGGACTGGGAGCAGTCCAGGTATACGTGTAGAGACTAGCGCTAGCGCGCAATTTGTTGTATGTATGTGCCATTGCCACCAGAATGTTCAACTGGCTGCAGACAGAGAGGTCGGAGGTTGACACAAAGCTGTCTTACTTGCTGCAAACCGAGATTGCAGCAGTTTTGAACGCCCTTCGAGCGAGCAGGCTGACATCTATCATCACCCGCTGGGCCAACAGACTAGACCGGGTCTGCGGCGCAAGTCCGTCCAACTCTACATTTATGGTGACCGCGCAAGCAAAATCTTTCAGGTCTGGGGACGCTTCTAGGAACTTTGATGGAGCATTTCACAAAGGGAGAGTGCTGCCCCGTCGCAAGAGAAACCCGCAAGTCGCCCCCTCTGAAAGTGTTCTGCGTTTCAGTTCCCGGAAGCTGGGTCCGGATATGCCGGAGTAGTGCACACTGTGGAATGCTTCTCGCAGACGGCGAAGTGACCGAAGACTGGGCTCAAGATTAGCTCGAGGTGCCAAGGAACTCGAGGAACACCTACAGCATAGCAGCGTAAAGGGTGGAACACCGCAGTACCGCATTGCCGTAGTGCGCACCGCGCGTAGGTTCGACTGCAGGGGATGGAGCTTGACGGCCAGAACGAAGCGCTAAGAGCCTGTTTGACAAGTCACAGCGAGGAGCCGTAAGGCGCATGTGCATGAACGCACCTGTGCACTCACCGAACCCCGCAATACGCGCAATACGTACTTGAGCCCCGCATGCCGCTTGGATTGTGGGCCGCAGCGGTGGAGCGGCGCCCTGCAAGCCTGCCAGCCTGCTCGGTTGCAATCCCATGCGCACAGTTCCCTATGCATAACCGACGCCTATCGCTTGCCCGACGAGCATGCCAATGAGTCCGGGGGATGGGCAGACTTGGCCGCCCCCGCGCCTTCAGCGCCTCAGACGTCTACGCCTCCGCCAATCCCCTCGAATTGACGATGTACGGCGCACACGACGTCGCCTGAGGGGATGGATGTACACGATGGTGTCGCAGAAGCATCCCGAAGCCGGGCCCGGCACGTCAGGCTGCGCTAGAAGGGTGGGGAGAAAGAGTCTAAAGCGGCGCCGGCACGCCCGGGACCATAGAGATCCAGCTAATGCTTGGGCGAAAACATTGACGCGTTGACAGACAGGTACTCGGTCAACAAGCATCGCGAGAGGGGCCGGATGACGTCGTATACAGAGGTTAGTGTGCATAGCACAGCCTGCCTAACGCCTAGGGCCAGGGTAGCCATCGTTTTACGCCTGCGGGGGCGGGCGAAGCCCACGCCAGACCAGCCAGGCGATTCGCGGCCGGCGTATGTCACTAATGCAATTGGTTAAACGACCCCAAGCCCAGTTCAATATGTAATTTTCCTAATGAGTCAGGCACACTTGAAATCAGCGCGCCACCACTCGCTGAATTTGCCACTGGCCGTAGTTGCATCCGAGCCCCTAAGCTCTAAGCTCTGGCGCCGCTGGCTGCTGACCTCTGCCTGGGTTCACCCTTGGAGCGTCGTTGCGGTGAGGGCGGTATGAGGCCCCATCGATCGACGACTGGGCTCCATCCCACCTCATCACACTCTGTCACTCTCCTTCCTCTACATTAAATCCCTCTCATTCTTCCTTGACATCGACAAACTCGCCGCTCACTGTCCGTTTGGCCACTCACCACTCTCATATTCTTGTCTTCTCGATTTCAAGCTACGACCTTTCGACCTACCCATCGACACTCTCTTTCCCCTTTCGCAAACAAGTCTGACGTCGGCTCTCGTGACTCCCAGCGCAGACACTACCCAGCCCACGTCTCACTTGGACCACCGCCGCCACCACTACTGCACCAGCACACGACCTCTTTCAAGCCCTTGGATCGCCGTGTTCGCCCTTCACCATGTCCTATTTCACCTTCGCGTCGTCAGAGTACGACCTGCCGCATCCGACGCTTTCTCGGAATCAACCTCGGTTCTACATACATGATCGACCAGCTTATTCGCCTGCCCAGGCTTCGACTCCGCTAGTTGGCGGAGAGTCGCTGCATTCCCGGCACCCATCGATCAACAACTCGATGTACTCTGGGGCAAGTACTCCATACCACCGGGGTTCTTTCTACGGCTCCGGATCCCGAACTTCGCTCGCAGCGCTGCGTCACGCCCTGCATCACTATCGCACATACTCGGAGAACCCCACAACGGATTCTCTGACGCCTTCAGCACAGCTCCCCAGTGTTCCTAGAGGTCAATGCCCGCCTCCACCTCCCGGCGCACGACCGGAAAACTACGACGGAACCGCGTACGAGCAGTCTGAGGCCTCGGGAGGACCGGTAAGCTGGGACTCTGATATGTGGCGGATCCCTGGCCAGCCATTGGACGCCCTTATCGATATCCACCGTGTCCTGTACCGTGGAAGTGAATTCGAGGAGGGAGAAGACAACGCTGCCTGGTCCGAGCACGGAAAAGAGGTCAAGCGAGTCATTGAACAGTGGTTTGAGGGGGACTGCGGTAAGTAAAACAGCATGGCGCCGTTTGTGGCGTCGTCTACGTGGGTTCGTGCTGACCCCATCAGTCTACGACCACCCCCTCGTCCGGCTGTCTTCGAGGCAGTCCGTGCTCACCCATTTCGCCCTCCTGCAGCTTCTCGCGACTGCTTATGTGCCATCCTTCACGCCGTCGTCGATCCTGCATCACGCTCGAAGCGTTACCAGCTATGCCCGTCGGGCCCTCCTAGGCTCTGACTCGGACGACTTAGCTGCGGACCAGGCCCACGACATTCAGGTCTCGCCGTCAGGACAGGTCGATGAGTGGCTTCAGTCTTCGGGGCCGCAACTCATCAGGAGGCGCAATGCCGACCCTAACGGCTGGTGGAAGTTGTGGGACGTATCGGCTGAGTGCCGTGACATTGGCTGCATGGAGTGCTATGGTGAGTGCGACGAGCAAACCCGTCACAGTACGTTGCTGACTTGAAACAGAGGGTTACCACGTTGCTCTCATCGACCAGTGAGTTAGGCTTCCTCAGCTGAGGAGCAAAATTCTGCAGCAAGCTAACCAGCAGCGTCATCTCTCTGACGCTCTTCCCGTCGATCATCAAGCCGAGGATGAACAGTCTGTCGCCTAACGTCTCGACCGACTCCCTCAACTCGACTTATGCTTCGCGGTCGTACTTACACTCGATCGTTGCGTCGGTTCTGCAGGAGTTTGACTTCCTGCTGCACTGGGACCTGCCTGTCTCTACCATTGTTGAGTTCAATGAGGTCGGCAAAGCGACGCACGTCCGAGATGTCGTCGATGTGCGCGACGTGATCGACACGTTCGTGCCGTTCGCGAAGCGCTTCAACTGGCTCTCACGACGTCTCACGGGTGTCCTCACTTCGACCATCGGCTCTGTGGCCATGGCCCTCATCCCTGGCCACTCCGTAGTCATCGGAGACCCCATCAGGATCTTGGATGAGACGCAGGCTGCGAAGGCAAAGGAGGAAGAGGAGAGCCGCGCGAAGATCAAGGAGCTTGAGGCGAAGCCCGACATGGGATCGCCTGCCGGCTTGGAGTCCCACGTTGACGACGGCTTCTACCCGTGCCCGAGTGGAGTTAGACATAATTCTCTGGGTTTGGAAGGTGTCTCGATGGCGCCTGACGTCGACGGGGTATGCCAGGATGCGTAGTTTGAGGAGACGAAGCTCATGACCCACGATATACCCTCGGATACGATATACGCTCAGCATTATGTGGTGTAGGATATAACCCGCCGTTCGATTCAATCAACAGTTGTTCATAGTAGTATTCTCATTTCTTGCCATACTCCTTGTGACGCATGTAAAATCATCCCACGACATTGATAATGAAATATTACGATTCGTTTGTAATCCGATACTATTATCCGTGCCTGAGGGTGCCACGTAACAATCACGGGTCGCGTTTCGACATTCGACACAATCTCGGCTGGCAGGCAGCGTCACTCGTATCTAGTCATTGCCTCTCTCCTCCGACTCAACCTCGTCTGCACTCGTTCGGCCCGTCAAGATGGTGAGCTGTTCACGTGTTACGGTAAGCTAACAAGCAGGCCAACCTATCGCTCTATAACGTCACGGCGCTGCTCGTCCTCGACTCGGAGGGCAACCGCGTGATGGCCAAGTACTACAAGCCCCCCCACGGACTCGCGGCGCAGGACCTGAACATTGGCGCGGGCGGCCCGGGGATGCCGGGACTGCAGACGCTGAAGGAGCAGCGGGCGTTCGAGAAGAGCATCTGGGAGAAGACGCGGCGAGGAGCTGGTGAGTCATGCGTTCTTGGCTTCATGTCTGTGCTGCGGCGTGCCGATGTTGGCTTCCTCGGCGGTCTTCCCCGGTAACAAGCGGCGGGGAAGACAAAGCGCGGGAAAGGACATCGACAGTGATCGACCAAACTGGTCGTCCCGCTCGCAGATAGCTGTGACAGGCAGGTCGTGTAGCTGACATTACAGGCGACATCCACCCGCTGCCCCCGCACGTCATTCTGTCGCGCACATCGACCGACCTCCAGTTCCACATCGTCGGCCCGCTCGCGACGAGCAACGAGCTCATGCTTCAGCAAACGCTGACTGCGTTCCACGACGCTGTCTCCCTCCTCCTCCGCGGACAGATCGAGAAGAGGAATGTCCTCGAGAGCCTCGATCTCGTCCTCCTTGCCGCTGACGAGACGATCGACGACGGGTGAGTACGACCCCCTGTGCCAGCACATCTTCCCTGGGGCTCTCTTGTGGTCTATGTGGTTCTCGTGTTCTCAGCGTCACTTCCGGACTTCTGGGTACATCAAGCGCTGCCGTTCATAAAGCTTGCGTGCCCCCAGTGTAGTCCCAGGTGCCCGCTGCAGAAAGGCCGAGGAAGAGTGCAGGAGGTGTCATCGGCGGCTTCCCAAAACAGGCCTTCCAGCTGACAACCAGAATTATTCTTGAGACGGACGCCGCTGCCATCGCTGGCCGCGTCACGCGTCCCCGGCCCGACACGACGGATATCGTTATCAACGAGCAGACGCTCCTCAACGCCTACTCGACCTTCAAGGAGCGTGTGTCGGCGCGCATCCAGCAACTCTAGAAACAGACAGACAGATGCCCTCGTTCTCTTTATGTATATCCGCTATGTTCGTAACCCGGCTGGGCACTCGAGTGAGGCGCCTGATTGGGGGCGAGTTCCTCTGGGAGGCTTTGTGTCCGACGCACTGGATTATACCATCGCCGGTCGGTCCAGTGGCCATGCCGAGCATTGTGGTCCCTCCTTTCACCGGACGGTTGCAGCTCGAACTAATCTCACCCACACACTGAATGCATGACCCAGAAAATACAAATGATAACACCATGGGCAGAGACCGCTTAGTAGGAGCGGCCGAAGAGGGCCCAGCGCTTGGCCTTCTTGTCACACTGGGCACACTTCTGGTTCTCTCCCTCGGGGAACTTGCCGAAGCGGTCCTGGTCGAAGGGGATACAGAGCGACTTGGCGCCGGCCGAGGGGGCCTTGGAGTCCTCGTCCTGGCCCTTCATGGCCTCCTGCTTGGAGCGCTCCTTGATGTCGTCCTCGCACTGGGGGTCCTCGCACCAGGGGGATGACGACGGCGCACTTGGCGTCGAGGGTGGGGACAATGTCCTTCCACTGGGTGACGGGGCGGACCGAGGCGTTGAACTTGTCGAGCGCGCGGTCGAAGAGCGCCTTCTGGATGTCCTCGAGCTTGCCCTCGACCGTCTTGGCGATGCCCTCGAGGGGGTACGACTCCTTGAAGTTGTCGTAACGGCGGACGGCGAGCGTGGTGCCGGCGGCAATGTCGCGGGGGCCGAGCTCGAGACGAAGGGGAACACCACGCATCTCCCAGTCGTTGAACTTCCAGCCAGGGGTGTAGCCCTCACGGAGGTCAGCGGTGGCGCGGATACCGGCGGCAGAGAGCTCGTCGGCGAGCTTCTGGCACGCGTCGTAGATGGGCTGGTTCTTGCCCTCGCCCTTCGAGAGACCGACGGGGACGACAACAACCTGGGTGAGAGCGACCTTAGGAGGGAAGACGAGACCCTGGTCGTCACCGTGGGTCATGACCATGACACCGATGGTACGGGTGGAGAGACCCCACGAGTTCTGGTAGACGTTGACCTTGGTGTCCTTGCCGGCCTCACGGTCGGCCTGGGTAGCCTTGGGGTCCTCGACGTTGATCTCGAACATCTTGGAGAAGTTCTGGCCGAGGTGGTGCGACGTTCCACCCTGGATACCACGTCCAGTGGTGGGGATGAAGCCCTCAACGGTGGTGGTGTAGTCGGCACCAGCGAACTTCTCGTTCTCCGACTTGACACCGGGGATGACGGGGACGGCGAGGTAGTCCTCGTAGACCTGGCGGTAAAGGTCAAGAATGTCGGTGACCTCCTTGTCGGCCTCGGCCTTGGTGAGGAACGCGGTGTGGCCCTCCTGCCACAGGAACTCACGCGTACGCAGGAAGGGCTGTGGGTTCTTGAACTCCCAACGGACGACCGAGTTCCACTGGTTCAGCTTGAGGGGAAGGTCACGGTGCGACTTGATCCACTTGGCGTAGTAGGGGTACATGACGGTCTCCGAGGTAGGACGGATAGCAATGTGCTCCTCGAGGTCAGATTTTCCGGCCTTGGTGACCCAAGCGACCTCAGGGGCGAAGCCCTCGATGTGGTCCTTCTCGCGCTCAAGACGGGCCTGCGAGACGAACATGGGGAAGTAGCAGTCCTGGACGCCGAGCTTCTTGATGCGGCCGTCGAAGAACTCCTGAATAGTCTGCCAGATGGTGTACGAGGCGGGGCGGAGGATGTAGCATCCCGAGATGTCGTAGTAGTCAATCAGCTGACCCTTGACGACAACGTCGGTGTACCATCCGGGGAAGTCCTCCTCCTTCTTGTGCTGAATAGCCATCTCGTAGAGGTCGTCGTCCTTGGCGGCCTTCTTGGGCTGCTCCTTGGCAGCAGCCTTGGGGGCAGCCTTGGCCTGGGGAGCAGGGGCGTTGGCCTTGAGCTCAGCAAAGTCAACGACACGGACCGCCTCAGGCGAGGGAGCGATGGACTCGAGGTAAGCCTTGACGTCGGTTCCCTTCAGGAAAACGGTCGAGGCGGAGGTGGTAAGGTGGAGGGCGAAAAGGTCCGACGACGAGGCAACGGCCTTGTCAAGGACGATGAAGAGGGTGGAGGGGACGGGGGAAGGAAGGGGGAGGGCGGAAACGTCGTCCTTGGACTCGGCAGAGGGGATGACCTGCTTGATGAGGTCCGCGGCGGCGAGACGGAGGTCCTTGAGCTTGAGGAGAGCTCCGAGAGGGCCAGACGAGGTCTCGGTGTCGTCCTTGGCGACAACGAGAACGGGAGTGGGCTCGGCAGACTTCGCGGTCTTGGGCTTGAAGAGGAGCTGCACGCGATTGTAAGCTAACCGATCTCCATCACTAAGCGCCGGAGCATGAGACGTACAGTCTTGGTGAGCTGAACACCCTTCTGGCCGATCTTGTCAAGCTCGGCGCGCCACTCGGCACCACCCTGAACGGCGGCGTGCTTGTGGACCTCGGGGGCGGCGATGTTAAGCTTGCCTAGCCTCGAGATGATCTCCTGGTCGGAAACGGCCGCCATAGCTGGATACGGGACGCGAAGCTTCTTGGGGGTTGAGTAAGTGCGGCGTGCGAGTAGCGAGGCGGTCGGAGCCTGTAAAGTAGGAGTTCGAGCTGCTTTAATGAATGCCGCGAACGGGCGTGAGAGCATAAATAGCGGGGAGAACGGCTTGGATGCTGTTGTCGATGCCGGCGCGAGTCGACCTGGTCTCACCTGCCTTTCCTAGTCGAACAGTCCATGCGTGCACGAAATAATTCCGGTACACGTAATTGTCTGTGCCTGGCGCGTACACCCTGCGCGCCGCGTTTCATTGTGCACTAAAGCAATCCGTGGCCCCGGATTCCGGGCCTCGTACTAAGATCTAGAAAGGACTGTCTGTGGTGATCGTCCGCAGGCTCATGATAAGCGACCGCCGGCCGCCTTCGGCTCGTATTGCAGACTACAGCTTGGAGCTCGGGGTCTTGTTGTATTATTTGCACCTTCGCCGCCGTCATGTGTCTCCTGACTCGACTTAGAGGTACCCGCTCTCAAGCCCCCACCCTGCCGGGTTCCGGCCATCTCCAAGCACGGAGCTGAGTCGAGAGGACGGACTTAGGCACTACAGGCACTGGTCCTTGGCCGGTAAAGTTCGGCAACCCCGGGGAATCCCAGTTCTACTAGAGTAGCTCACGGTCTCTTGTCTTTGTATGGACAGCGGCGCGGAGTTCATCGGCATCACTGTATGGCATGCATTCTCTTGTCTGGAATAATGTCGTGATATTTATGCATCCGGGCCTAACCTTGCGAGCAAACCCGGACTGATCAATCGTCTGTTGCAGGACAGACATAAGCGCTGGGACGTGGCCGGGCAGCAGTGCATGCGATGAGAGACCACGCAATATCTGCTGGCTTCGGGAGCGAAGTTGTCGAGTCATACGGCGTCGAGGTGCAACCACGACAAGTGCTCGGCGAGCAAAGGTCGGTATAATCTGCTGTTGTCATTCGAAATACGTCACAGCGTTGCTAGTCCCCATAACGACCTCTGCCCTTGCGATACCTAACAAAGTCATCGACTCAGGCTGACCACATATAACGAAGCATGCGCATCGCGTTTGCGCGCGAGGACTATGATTATTGTGAGGCTTGAGCTAGCGTGCACGTATCGTTAGAAAGGAGGGGTGCTTGTCAGTGTTGATGCCAATAATATTTCCAGTCAGGCAGCAGGAAAGCACGTTGTGCAGACCCGAAGCGGCAGGATCACGTTAGCGGCAGCATGTGGAGCGAGGAAGCTGTATAGCAACAAAGACACGGCGAGCAAGAGCTGTCAAGGTTGTGATGAAGTGTGCGGTTGGTCAGGTCTGAATGCTGCTTTGGATGCAGCGAGCGTGCTCGCATCGAAACTTTCGGACTTAAGGAAACGTGGTGGTTCAACCCTCAGGACGCTCTGATTGGGCAGTGTCCCAAGCTCGAGCTGGCGACCAAAATCGGTGGCGATGGGCGAAATTAGGTACCGTTGGTGAAAATTGCTCCCGTTCGAGGTCTCGCGCGGAGGATCGTCCTGGCTCTGCATAGCGAGGTCGTGATTGTTGGCTCTTCACTCAACCGTCAAGTACCAAAAAAGTCGTGAGTAACAGAGGACATCCTTCGCATAACAGACGTGCTGACGACCTCCGCAGAAAATGGGTGTACGTATCCGAGATTCGACGACGTCAAAGCGCAGTTACTGACCCCGATTAGCGTGTTATCCGTGCCCAGAGGAAGTCGGGTGGTATCTTCAAGTCCCACACCCACCACAACAAGAACCCCGCTCGTCTCCGCAACCTCGACTTTGCTGAGAAGAACGGTTACGTCCGTGGTGTCGTCCGCGAGATCATCCACGACGCCGGCCGGTGAGTAGGAGTCAAGGAACGGGATCGAAAGGTTTTCTGCTGGAGCTGGGTCTGGGTCAGGATATGGAGTGAAGAACCGAACTGCAATCGACATGAACGACGGCGCGCGCAAAACGACGGTGGAAAGCTCTTGGGAGGACATCGAGAAGAAGAGAGGGAGGGACTCGGACGGGAGCGATGGAACGACTGGTGTACGAAGTGGGAACTGGTACGGCGGTGGGCGATGGTCGAGCGTAGCGGAGTGCAAGGCGGAGCGCGAGCAGTCGGCAGTGCTTCCCTTCATCGGTATCACGCAGCCTGGTCGCATCTTTCAGCATCTGCCCTTTCGTGCTCAATCTTGACGGAGTTTTGAGACCCAAAGCAGCGGAAACCTTTCATCCCGGAGACCTCAACGGACAATTTTGCTGACTTTACAGTGGTGCTCCCCTCGCCACCGTCGTCTTCCGCGACCCCTACCGCTACAAGCTCCGCAAGGAGACCTTCATCGCTGCCGAGGGCATCTCGACCGGCTCGTTCATCTACGCCGGTAAGAAGGCCGCCCTTTCCATCGGCAACGTCCTCCCCGTCGGCCAGTGCCCTGAGGGTACCATCATCTTCAACGTCGAGGAGAAGGTCGGTGACCGTGGAGCGCTCGCCCGTACCTCCGGCAACTACGCCACCATCATCGGCCACAACGAGGACGGCAAGACCCGCATCCGTCTCCCCTCCGGCTCGAAGAAGACCATCTCGTCTTCTGCCCGTGCTACCATCGGTGTCGCCGCTGGTGGTGGCCGTGTCGACAAGCCCTTCCTCAAGGCCGGCCGCAAGTACCACGCCATGCGCGCCAAGCGCAACTCGTGGCCCCGTACTCGTGGTGTTGCTATGAACCCCGTCGACCACCCCCACGGTGGTGGTAACCACCAGCACATTGGTAAGGCCTCTACCCTCGCCCGCGACGCCTCCGCCGGTCAGAAGGTTGGTCTTATTGCTGCCCGTCGTACCGGTAGGAAGACCGGTAAGGTCGTTGTCGAGTAAACTGCGCGTTTCTGTAGCAAGAACTCGAGAAGCGATCGTCCCTAGCAGCTGGAGACGAGACCGTAGCTGTGCATGTATGTTTAAGGGTCTCACGCGCATCTAAGTTGCATTTCTAGACCATCAAGCGCGAGCCTGGAGTCTCTCCAGCTTGAACTACTCACTACAGGGCGACTGAGTGATATCCCTTGGCGTCCGTTTGTTTGGTGTCAAGGACGGAGAAGTATCGTCGAACGACAGGAAGCTTCACAACAGCGTGCTCCTCTAGGCGGCTCGGTTCTATGTGTGGACGTCAACAAGCTTGAAGTACGCTTAAAGTACCAACCTCGGACACAGCTGACTCAGCAGCTTCGCCGGCTCAGAACTCTTCCTCTCTCTCGTCATCAGCAGCTTGTAGCCGGCACGAGAGAGCACAAAAGGCGCTGTACTGTACCTTCGATCCCCAACTCCACAGGCGGGGAAACTCAGGCTCAGGCATGATAATCTCAGTCGCGGAAATCATCCAACTCTCGCCATTCTCTCTTACGCCAAGGAAGCAGTACCCGCCATTAGCAGTGGCACCATGCGTGGCAGCCACTCATGCCAGGACGTTTCCGAGGCAGGCCGACAATATATGGTCAAGGTTTAGATTGATCCTCGCGTCGCTGGATCGCCTCGGCTACTTGTCCAAGCTCGATGGGGCTTGAGCTGCTATCAACTCTCAGACCAGACTCTGCAGTCTTCGCTGCGGCATCGTAAATCCTGTCCTCTGTGCAGCGAAAACATATCGATGAGGCTGAGCATTCTGCTCTCGACTGAGGTGACGATATGTCACGTGAGGCTTTCGGGTTGGCACGACGAGACCAAGCTCACTGCTTCACTAACAACAAGGTCGCGCGGCACTATGGGAAGGCGTCTGACTGCGAATCTTGCCTCTCTCTTGCATGACAGGGAATAACCGGCTTGCATAGCGGTCGCCCGGGAACTCAGCGACGCAACGACCTCAACAGCTAATAGGACAGCGCGGGTATCAGGGGCTCAGGCGGTGCGTTGCCGCTTGACGTTCGTCCCTTGTGGCACCGCCATGCCCCTCTTCTCCAGCGTCGCCATGATATCCTTCAATCCCGCCTCGAGCGCATCGGTCCGCTGGGCGAACTGCGCCACGACGCTGCCACACGCCTTGGTGCGTTCGTCCTGCGTGCTACTCTTGCGCTCCATGTCCTCGACCCTGGGAGCAGCAAGGACCTCGAAGATCGTGATCTCGCGGCCATTCTGCTCGATGCGGTCCGCAGCCTTCTGTCGCTTAGCGGCCAAGAGGCCCTGCTTGTGATTCCACTCCCACTCGTCCGCGCAATAGTAGTCCTTGAACTCGAGGCTGCAAACTCGGTTTTCAAGCTTGCCTACGCTGAGGCCGAGTTCTCCCGCTTTCCGGTCGCGCTCTGCGCGCTCCGCCTTGCGTTTTGCCTCGACACGCCCGATCGCCCGCCGCATGTCGTCATGCTCGATTGACTGCGCGGTGACGCTCTCGCGCAGGGACTCGATGTGCTCGGTGAGCGTCTCCTCGGCCTTTACAATGCTGTCCTTGAGGTCGGCGGCAGAAGTGTGGGGCGACGGCGGGGTGGGGTCCGATGGCACCGTCGCTGTTAATTTGGAAGTCCGCGATGAACTGGCCACGGGTTGAACAGAGGTCGACGTGCTCGGGCGCGGAGGAATAACCCCTGCCACTGGGTAGGGGTCCATGAGGGGGTTGTACGGGCGCGACCGGTCGAACGTCCGGGAGGCCGCCGTCGATGGCCCAGCCTCAGCCTGTGAGCTCGAGGATGATGGCGTCGTTGTCCACGGCAACTCTGCTTGTCCTTTCGAGGAAGGAACCGACGCTTTCGCATCGGCAATCAAGGAAGGTGTCGACCGTTTCGTCACGGGCGTCGTCTTTGTCGGCGTCAGGACAGTTTTGCTGCTCTTCGTCGCCGAGTTTGGGACCGACTGCGTCGTTGCCACCTTTGCAATAGTGATCCGGTCGCCCTTGGCCTTGGGCGAGGCCACCTCATCCCGCTGTTCTTTCTGGCGCTTCGTTTCGGCGTCGTTCTTCGCCTGCCGCTCACGACTCTCGCGATCCATCCTCTCCATCAGCTCACACATCTGGCCGAACGAGTACTCCTTCTCGGTGCTCCGACGAGTACTCGCCGTCGGAATCCTCTCTGCTCGGGACGCCGCACTGGCATCGTCGTCGTCGGCCCGCGTGGAGCCATCCAGGTCATCGAGCCACGAGAGGTTTCGCTTCTTCCCCCCTCCATGAAGCTGTTTGTGCGCCTCGATCTCCCATGCCATCGCCCTTTGCACCCTTTCTTCGGCCGCCTTCAGCTTCTGAGCGCGACGCTCGTCCTCCTGCGCTTTACGCGCTCTCTCCCTCTCGGCCCTCCGCGCCTCCATCATTTCCTCTTGCTTCGTGTTTCTCGCCTGCTGCTTTTGCTCCTCTTGAGCCTTCCTCGCCTTCCTCGCCCTCTCCATCGCCTCCTCTTGCGCCTTGCGCGCTTTCGCCCACTCCTCCTCCTGCGCCTTCCTCGCCTCCTCTTGCGCTTTGCGAACTTTCGCCCACTCCTTCTCCCGCGCCTTGCGCGCCCTCGCCTTCTCCTCCTCCTTCGCCCGCTTCTGAGCCACGACCACACCCTCAATCTGGGCATGCAGCTTCGCAGCAGCGTCAGCGAGTTCACTCCGATGCTTCGCAGCGTCCTCGCGCTCATAAAGTGCCTGCGCGGCGTATCCCTTCGTTCTTGTCGCGAGCCACCCCGCCTCTTCTAGGATCACGTCGAGCATGCTGCCGCTTATTGGCTGGCCTGTAGCGAAGGATGCGAGCGTCTCGACGCGCTTCGTGCGCCAGAAGGGCGACTGGAGCAGGATGGCGGGGACGGTTACGCTCATTGTTGGTACTGTTGCGGGGGTGTTGTGGGGTGATTCAGGAGTAGGCGGGAGAGGGGCGTCCAGGGTGTCGATCTTCCTGCTGTTGTAGTTGGTTGTTCGATCTGTCTGCCGTACGCTCTCTTGATGTCAAGAACGGGTGCTCTTGTGCTCTTAAGGTGGATGTCGCTTGTCGTAGGAATGTGAGGGATGCAAGACACGAGGAAAGACAGCGAGGAATGACGCGAAAGTCAGACGCGTCTCATGTCAACAATCCCAGCGGCCCAGCAGACGTGACTGGACTCTGGGGCCCCGCATGCCTTTCAGGTCTCGGCGGTTTCGGACCGGTACCCTGCAATCCCATCTCCACCCTTCACCCTTCGCCTCGCAGCAACCGCAGCTGCAAGCTCGAGTATGCGTAGACATGACATACATCTCTCACAGGTACAGACAAGAATGAATCCCGGCGTCCAGCGCTGGCGATTTATACTATAGCAAGATGTGACAAGAAGTACACGAAGACCATATCCTACCCTCTCCTCCTGTGGGCCCCTCGCTTTTCTCCAGAATGGCGAGAGGCTCGCCAACGCTCGCCCGTAGCCTCACCAGCCATGCTGGTTCTGGCTCGGCAGCCTCCTCAACTGCGGCTGCTGCGGAAACCCTCTCTGCGCATACCCCTGCGGCTGTGCGCGCACAACAGGCTGCGAGTATCCGACCCCACCCCACTGTTGCGGCGGGTACCCGCTCGGGTCACGGTCCACGGCGTACATCGGCGGCGGGGGCGGTCGGCGGGCCGGTCCACTTGGGCCTGGTCGTCCAGGAAGGGGGCGGTTTGCGTTCATGGGTGGACCGCGCGGCGGACTGCGGCCCGGCTGCAGGAGTAACTCCCTCGGTACGGGCTTCTTGAGCCGGTCCGGGCCGTCGGTCCATCTCGCCTCGACGGGGAGGTAGCTGTCCTCCTTCCGTGATTGCCAGCCCGTGATAAGGAGCAGGAGGGCCATGAAGACGGCCATGATGGCGAGGACGACCGCGAAGAGCACCACTGTGTGTCAGCTATATGTTGGACTGTGAAGGAGCTGGCGAGGCGACCGGAATTTTTGACGCGAGCAACCGGGAAGTGTAATGTTGACAGTGCCTCACGCACTTCGTCCGCAGGCTACGCACTGTTGTCTCCCAGCTGGTTCTCGAAGAAGAGATACCCCTTCCCGACCGACTTGGCCGACTTGGGCTCCCACTTCTCGACGGGAAAGTCGGACGGAAAGATCGTGATGTCTGCGAGTGTCAGCTGGATGAGCCCCTTCAGCTGCACGCATCTTCCGGCCCTTGTCCTTGACCAGTTTCATGCAATCGCTTGGCACATCTGCCAGATCAAACAGTCTCAGTATGAGTCGGGAGAACCCATCCCAGCTGAGACCGAACCGAAACCGGCCCTTGAAGTCGCTTCTCGAAGGCTCGAGGGCCGGACCCACGAAAGCTCCTCTCGACAACGCTTCTCGCATCCAAGATAGAAAGGGAGGCAAGGTACTCACACTGCGCCTGCTTCTGCACCGTCGGCTGGCCCGCGACATCCAGCACCGTGGTGGCGAGCTCGGTGGCGCTCAGAGTCGGGCTCGCGCTCTGCGTCTTCGCATCTGTTGTGGACGTCTTCAGATCCTTGTCCTTATCCTTCGCATCTGCCTTTGCCGCCGACGACGGGGGCGACGACGAGGGCGAGGACGAGGACGACGCCTTTGTCTCCGTCTTCAGACCTGGCAGGGCCGCAGTCTTCGTGTCCGTCTTCGCATCTGGCTGCTCAGGTTTGGCGGGCTCTTTTGTCGTCTCGACAGGCTTTGCTGGGTTCGCTGGGTTCGCTGGGTTTGCAGCTGCAGAGGTCGTTTGAGGGTTGGCATTGGGAAGCTGCGGATTCTGGGCCGCGGGGAGCTGGACGGCCGTCGTCTGCGGCGGTTGCGCCGGCGGGGCGACTGCTGCCATCGTAGCTTCGACTCTGCTGTGTGCTCGGTGCGGGGGGAAGTATGTCAAGGAGTGAGAGAGGGAGTGGATGGATGCATCGTCGTTTTTTAGCAGATCTAGTGTTGGAAGCGCAGAGCAATCAAGCGTCCAGTGCAAAGCGGCACATGCAACAGCCTCGCAGCGCTTGTAAGCCTTGGTTCTGAAGCCATGAGCTGGTTCTTGGTTCTTGCGCCGGTCGCGCCGGTCGTGAGACGCGTCGCGTACCCCATCCCCCTCGTTTCCTTCGTTCCGCTTGGCGTCCGATTAGCGCATGTTCGGGGCTACGCCGCAATCTCGCAGGCCCAGGAGGCGACGCCTCCGCGACCCAAAAGCCCAGAGGCCAGAGGCCGGAGGTCCAGACGTGTCCGCCCAACGGGATCCAGCTCGCAGCTCATGCTACATGACACACGCGGGGTGCGCCCATGAGGAAGAAAGGGGGTAGGCTGTATCTGCGTGGGGGGCGCAGCCGGTATGCCTGTGCGCCTCGTCCCCGCGTCCCATAAGAGTTTATTTATACTTGCCTCCGCATCCTTCGGTTCCAACCCATGCCCTCGTTCCTTCGCCCGGCACGCAGGTGTTTCCCTGGCATTGGAATCTCGCTGGAACTGGGGGTTCTAGCCCGTTTCAGCAACCGTTTCCGGCATTGGAGGCACTGCGTACGGTGAGACGGTTTGTATCAAGACGGAAGCGATACCGGTGGGAGTAAGAATGATGCATATACAATCGTCATTACGCCTCGCCTTCACTGCTGGCTGCAGTGCGCGAGGACGCGGGGTTACAAGTCTACTCTACAATACTTTACACTTGGTGTGTCGGGCTGCTTCTGATCACCTGCCTCTCACCGCCTCGCGGCTAGATCATGACAAGCGAGTGCAGCCCGTTGATCGTCATGGTGAAGACGGAGCCCTCCTTGTAGCTCTTCTCGCGCGCCTCGGCGGCAACGAGGCTGTCGGGCTCCTGGTCGTCGTCCTCGTCGCTGTCGCTCCCCTCCGTGTATCCCGGGACGAGCTCGACCTCGACCTCGGTCGGGCGGTCGTAGACCGCCTCGTCGAACGAGACAGAGTGCTGGACATTCGCCCGCGGGTCGAAGTGGACCGGTCCGCCCGGGGTGGCGGCGCGCGTGTCAAAGTTGTGCACCGTCGCGCGAGGCGAGGAAGGGAGGGGCGGACGAGCAGTGTGCCGCCGCTGAGCCCGGTCGAGGGGCGAGGGAGCGAGGCGGATGCAGCCCCAGCCGAGCTGCTGGGGACGCGACGCCAGGAGACGGTACTTGGCCGTGATGAGGTGGGCGTCGGAGAGGTGCGCGATGAGGCCGTGCACGTGCGAGAGCGTCACGTCGCGCAGCGAGTGAAGCGTCGAGAGGTCTGGAATGTCAGCAGTCTGGCAATGGCGGAGGATGCCGAGTGACACAGGAGTTCGCCGGCCAAGGCCGACCGGATTCAGAACACATCTGAATCCGCACACGACCCCAACGGCCCAACGGGTGAGCCTCGAACCGCATCAGCCGGTGAGTCATACCCGGTCCATGCTCAGGTGACGCACGCCGCACAAGCACTCGGCGGACGAGCTTCTGCGTCTTTGCCGAGATGCAGCTGGTCGTGTGCAGGATGCAGTGCTGTGCGCAATGCACGAGCATGCAACTCGCTCGGCGGTGGCGGCATCCAATCCCATCCTGTGCATTAGTACTCACCAGAGAAGCAACCGTTCGACCAGACGGGGACGTCGACGATGAGCTCGACGTTGGCGTGCGAGTTGCTGCCGTTCGACTCGGCACGGGCCTGGCGCAGCTGCACGACCTCGGCGATAGTGACTGCAAAGGCGCGCGTCGGCGCGTCGATCGTGAAGCGCGGGCGCGAGCGAGAGCGCTCAAGCCGCGGAGAGCGATAGGGCGCCTTGGTGCCGCCGGCGCTGGAGCCGGAGAGAGGCGCGGTGCTGCGTGAACGGGAGCGATCCTCGACGAGGAGCGTGGGGACGGGGGCGTTCATGACTGATGCGGACATGAGGCTGGATATTGATACAGGTCGGGCGGCGATGCAAGACGGAAGACGGAAGACAAGAGGCGGGGTAGTGAGTGGGGGAGAGGAAAGGCGACGGGGTTGTTAAATAGCGCAAGCGAGGTCGGAAGTTGAAATGTGACAGCGATCGAGGGTGATAACGAAGAGCAATGCAGGTGATTGTGTTTGATCGGGCGATGCCAGGGAAGAAGATAAGTGGTCAGCACCTTGTTCGGACAGAGGGATCAACAAGCACACGACCCGTGCGGACTCTGCATGTCTCATGACCTGCACAAGGTACAGTGGTACCAGTGGCGTCTTCCCTGGCGCAGCGTACAGCGAGCAGCAGCGAGGACGTGAGGAACGCCGTGAGACATGCAGAGGAATCCACCAGCCGCCAAAAGAGCCAGCTGTCCCCGAAGCGGAGGAGGCGGCACCAGGCTGGGGCAGTGGTGCGATACTCACACAAATGCAGCAGGGGGGTAGTCTAGTGCGGGTCTAGTCTAGCAGAAGTAAGTCGTCGGTGTCGATGGACTGGGTCGCGGCCAGCGAAGGGCGTCAAGCGTGCGTGGTGAGCGTAGTGGTGTGACTGGTGTGTGAGGTTGGTGGGGAGTGTGGCGCCGATCTGATCGGAGGGGCGACTTCTTTTCTATCTGTTGTGTGTGTGTGTGTGCAAGTCGGGCGATGTGGGAGATGCGAGTGGAGTCAACTGATGATGGTGGTGACTAGCCCTTCGGGATGAGCCGGATGGAGTCTGTCGAGACGAGAAATGGTTTCGTGGTGGAAAAAACCAAAGTCAGTGCTTCGCGGTGCGGGGGGCCTCGCTCCAGTTCGGCGAGGACAGCTTGCGCTTATGCGTCTGGCCCGTCTGGCCCGTCTGGCCGTCTGAGCCGTGGCCACTCCAGCCAGTGGCTATGTCACCGTGACATCGGAGTGTCTTGCCTCCCCTTGTCCCCGCAGTGCCCGCACCCAGCCAGGCCAGCCAGGCCAGCCAGGATCAGCCAAGGATCACCCAGGGGCCCAGCTCCGGGTACTGGCGGGCACTGGCCACTCGGCTCCCCCCATACGGAGCAGCTCGAAAGCGGGACCAAACTGTACGTTGCCGCCGGCTGCCGGGCCCCTCCAGGTTTGAAATATCGGCGCTCCGATCATTCCCACAACTCTTGCCGAGCCTCGCCGCAACGTTGAGATAGAGGGAGGCACGTGGACTTGCTCCCGTCTCGGACGTCTCAGCACCTCGCTAGAATACGACTTCCCGCTCCCCCGGACTCACCACGGAGGTGCGGCCATGGCTCGCAGATCTGGATGCCTCCGAAGCTCTCGAGCCTCCTCACTCGGTATACCCGCTTCGCACCACCTCTCCTTGTCCCGAAAATCACGTGTTCTCGGAAAGTTCAGCTGCTTTCAGACACACATATAGTCCATGACGGTTGATATCGGGTATGGGGTAAATGAGAAAGCATATAGTGCAGGCAGAGATGTCTATCTAAGGTTGAGAACTAAAAGAAACAGGTGTGCTTGGTGTTGTGGCCAAGCCAATGCTGGTGGAGCAAGGTAGAGCAATACACCGCACAGATCGCCGCCACCGAGTGGTCCTTCCCCACCACTCCATCCTCTCCCCACACTCCTCCTGAGCACAGACAGGCCCGGACAGAGCCGCGAACCCATAGTCCCCGCTCACATCTAACGTGTGGCGTTTAATACGTCACCGTGGATCGTCGAGGCAATTACTTGCCGCCAGTGGTCTTGAAAGTGACGAGACCCGCAAGCGAGATAGCGTAACCAAAGACCTGGATGGCGGTAATCTGCGTGCCAAAGGCAATGACGGACGCAGAGATGAGGAGAATGTCCTTGAGCACACCAGCGAGGGTGAGGATAAGACCCGAACCAACACTGATGAGGAAAACGGCAGCGACATTGAGGGCGAAGGCGATACCGGCGTTCGAAAGGAGAACGAGAAGGCCGACCTTGTGGAGGTCACGGAAGGGAGCGAAGCCCTCAATGAAAGGCATGACGCACGCGTTGATGATCGCGCAGACGGGGGCGAAGTAGTGAAGCGAGACAAGGGGGTCCATCTTCATTCCGTGGAGCAGGATCTGAATCATGACGAGACGCGAGGCCTCGAACGCGATGGCAGCGCACTGACAGACGAAGCCGATCAGCTCGAAGTGAACCTCACCGTAGGCAGCGAGAGCGCAGCCAAGGGAGATCATCAGAACGATGGCGAGCAGGCGAGCGTTGGGCTCCTGGATCTTGAAAGCGAACGAGATCAGGAGAATGCCGACAGGGTTGAACGCCTTGAGCATCTGGATGAAGGGAACCGAAAGCGTAAGGTAGGCATAGTTCGACAGAATGAGCGAGCCCGAGAAGAGGGCACCGATGGGGAGGATCGAGCGAACCCAGCGGTCGCGCTGATGGTCAGTTTGAACGCCGTTAACAAAACTCACAGTCATCTCAATGTCCTTGGCGCCATCGATGAGGGTCGTCGTGCGCTGCAGGACGCGAGTAGCAATGGCCGAGAACGTCAGGTGCCAGGTGGTCAGGAAGACAGGGTAGGGGAAGTCAAGGTTGGTGAAGACGTATTCTGATGGTCAGTCACTCGAGGTTCCACAGATACCTCACTGTTGTAAAGAATGACAGAGATAGAGCATGCCATCCAGATGGGGATAACTGCGCGTCAGTAGTCGCCTTTCCTAGATCCCTCACTAATGACACCAGGGATGACGATCTTCTTCTGCTGCTGGTGCTGGTGCTGACGGACCGAGGACGAAGCCGAGCCCCTGCAGTGTCAGTGAGAACCGAGTGAAGCGGGGAGGCCGCGCCATTGCTTTGCGCAGTGAAACGCGGCGTGTCCGACTCACTCCTCAGCCTTCTCGAGGAGCTCAATCTACGAGGTCAGCGTCCCGCCAAAAGTTGAAAGTGAAAGTGTGAAACTGATGCCCGGTGTGCTGGCCGCAATGTCGCCCCGGGACCGCCCTCCATGCTTGTGTGCGCATTGACAGAGCGGTCCGGAGGACGCGTCTAGCCATCTTCCACGCGCCAAGTGGAAGTACTCACGCTGTCCTGCTGCTTCTCTTCGGCGGCGGCCATTTTGATTGAAGTAAGACGCGTTGGTGGGTGTGAAGAGACGGGTCAAAGTTGAGAGAACGTGGGTGCGGGTGCCGAGTCCGTGAAGAAGGGCGAATCGGTCGAATGCGGACGGAGGAGAAGAGGTGGAGGTGGTCGGGGTGAAAGGAGGCGGAGGTTGGTGAGAGGAAGGAGATGATGAGGATGGAGAAGGAGATAGGAGGAAAAAGCTAGTGGGTGGTGAGAGTGTTCGAATGTGGGTGTCCTGGAAGTGTGTGTCCTGGCTGGCGGTGACAAGATTAGATGAATCGCTCGTCCAGGGTCAGAGGTACCATGCAAGGGCACAGGGGTTTCGCGCCGCTCGCAGCGAGGCGGCAGACTGCGTGCGGCCAGGCGGGCATGGCCAGGCGGGCTGTCGTCCCGGCCTCTGATCAGTTGCTTCCTTGCTCCTGGCGCACTCAGGTGTCCGTCCTGGCATGGCACTAGAGTGGCTGATCACTTCGAATGCATGCCTGTTCCCTGGGGATCCGCGGCTGTGGTAGGTTGTTCCTCCTCCGTGCTCAATTACCTCTGACAGACATTCCGGCCAGAGTTCCGTGCATCAATAACCTGGTACACACCTCCGCTCCTGCCTTCTTCCCAGGTCATGTGTCTGCAAGCTCTCATCCTCGACCACTCTAAGCCGTGCTCTCCTTGCTCTGCTCAAAAGTCTCCATCCTGCCAGGCTCGAGAGGAGGGGGCGCACCCTTCGACTTCTGGATGCAGAGTGTAAATATAATAGCAGTTGATTAGCACAGACCTTTCCCGTTTTCAATTTTTAGGCTCTCGATTACGTTGATTCTCACTCCCGAAACGTGTTTGTGCTCTCTCCTGCTCATCCCTCAGGTTGGGACGAAAGCCAGGAAACGCGCGGGTGCCTTACTGCAGAGCTCGTAGCCCTCCACCACGCACCGCTCGTGGTCTTCCATCTCGAGGGCTACGCAACTCTGTAATAACCTTTCTGAGGCCTATGCTTCTTCGTCATCTTTAGGGGCAAATCTACGCCGAAGCTCTAGCGTCGGTTCTTGCAAGATGCTCCGACAGCAGTGCACTAACATCCCATTTTGATCGCGGCGCTGTTTGGATTCCTCGAAAACGCGGGATCGGGAAAGCACGTTGCTGGAGATGCACTCGCTATCAAACCTCGGTCCCGCTTGCTAGCCCGCTCTCCCCACCCCGACCCGCTAGTCGCCCAGTTGCTCCATACCCAGCAGCCCAGCGTCGGCGGAACTCTCGGCGGTCGGTTGCGGGCAGGGGCTTAGGGACAGAGGCCCCACCCCTCACGCCCACCCTAACAGCTTAACCTCGACATGCATCAGCTCAGAGTCGCCAGTCCTGTGAGACGGACGCAAATCACTCTGCGGAGATGCACCTGTCTCCGAAAAGCAACGTGCTTCTCTCGTGGTAAACGTGCTCTGTTTCAAGTGACAACAACGGAGCGGCTCGTTTCAGAAGCACGGGAGAGCTGGTTATCAGTTGCTGCATCCCGTCAGATAGAGTGGCAAAGGTGGGCCGGACCTGACAAACCTCGGCATCTTTCTCTGCTCATCGAGGGCACAGTATGGGGCAGGTGTTGAAAGTCGAAGGCATGTCTGACCCAGCTACCACCGCCCACGCAACCCGTCTAGTCGTTCGGGGACTTATCCGCCTACTCGGCAGCGTCGGCAGAGGAATGCCTCCTCGCACCGCCTGACGTCGGCGGCCGTAGCCTGAGGCTTGTGTGTCGAGGCCGGTGCCCTCGCTGCCAAGACGCCGCCTGGCAGTGATGGAACCCTGCTCTGCAAGACACTGAGCCATGTCATAGTTGTGTACGCTTTGACTGGGCGATATCAGAGTGTTGCAACAGCCTGGTCAAAACGAGCAGCATTGTGACTGAAAATAGCCGTGATGTTGAATTCCAGAGGTGGGTCGATGCCGGCGTAACGGCCCAGGACTTTTTGATTCCGCTACGCGCGAGCGCGTCCATCAACAATCCACTGCTGCGCAGAGCACTGCCGAGATGAATGTGAGCTGGTGAGCCTCCCAAGTCCAAGCAAACGGTTCAGCCCTGAACATCCATTCCTGGTATTTGGCCATCCCTCCCTTGCCGCTTCTTATCTTGACACTTTCCACTTCATCTCCAAATTCCCATTACAGAGTAACATGTCGGCTCAGGACGTAAGTGAGCAAAGCCTCACATAGCTGACAGCAGTACTACGGCGGCGGAAAGTAAGTGCCTTCCTCCATCACACACGGCTCTTGGGTCAACACACGGGTGAACAATACGACAACGCCGTCGATGGCGCCAGATCCCGCGGACATTACCACTTTCTCTCAAGCCCACCGTCCCATGATCAGCGAAACAAGGGGCAGGAGGCACTCGCCCAGCAGTGCCTTCCTGTGTTGCGTTTTGTGTTGATGGTGGCAACAGAGATGAGGTGGGCCGCAGTGGTTACGCCAAGGCTACGTCGAATCTGGCTGCTGCGCAGCAGCCAGGGCTTGCTACGACAATTTCTATCCAAGCCTCCCCTTGAAGATCATCAAAGTCTGCAAAGGCTCGTCGGATGATTGCACAATGCGGGGTCGTGTTGCCTCCTGTTGTGGGGATACATAGCGCGGTCAATCGGGGCGCTAGTGCGTCGTCCACGGCCCATTCGGCGCATTGCTTCCCATCTCGCTCTGTGCGGTCTAAGCCCAACACTGCTTCTTCTCAACATTTCAAGACGCTGACCACCACAGCCCCGGCGGATACGGACAGCCCGGTTACGGCGCGCCTCACGGCGGCCCTCCTCCCCAGCAGGGTGGCTACTACCCGCCCCCTCCTCAGCAGAGCTACCAGCAGCCCGGCGGATAGTGAGTATCGCACGTGGGGACGCTCGTTATGATTGTTCCCATGAAGAAGTCGATGCGTACACGACCCGTGACCAAATGACATGTGCAATCGTGACTAGCGTCATGTCATCTGCACCCAGTCTTTGGGGGTAACGCACACCTCCTTTACAAGATGCCAGGTCTGGCTCGGCATCTTGGCGCTGCCCCCTGCGCGCCAAGATCGGGTTTCGCTAACGTCAGCTACCCTCAGCCCGCGCCGCAGCCGGTCTACGTCCAGCAGGCTCCCCAGAAGGACTCGGGCGGTGGCTGCTGCACCGCGTGCTGCGCCTGTCTTGCTGGTGGTAATTATGGCAATTTCTTCGCGGGTATCGCTGATTCCCAGTCCTCTGTTGTTGCTGTGCCGAGGGGTGTCTCGACGCTATCGCCTAAGCTTTCGGGTCCGGTTATAATGAGTTCTTATCGACGTCTTATCACGCGCACCCTTGCGCGCGCTCAAGTGGTCCTCCTGTATGGGATATGCTAGTGTCACGATTAATTTCCTTTCCAAGCTTCTGGGCACACCTGAAACAGCCACTGACCAGGTACGTTGGGCTTACCACGACTTATTTGACGGCCCTAATGGCACACGATGTACGATCTTCAAGCCCGCCTTACGATCGATCACTGGGCATGGATCGACAGGAACGTTCACGCGAGCTGTATACCGCGTTGAGGTGTCGTCGCGGCCCGAATCCTCTCCTTCGACGATCCAAGTCTTCGCTTTCTCTTGCTCACTACAGGCCATGGTACCCAATTCATGCTTTCATGCTATATGTACAACGAAACCATAACCCTCTCAAGCTGTTGCTGTGATTACTGATCCTCGGCAGCCTTCTTGAGCGCCTGGCGGCGGGTAAGGCTCTTGGGGTCAAAGTAGGGCCTCTCGCCGAGGGAGACGGAGCGGGTGCCCTCGCGGAGGCCGCCGTCGATGTCGCTGGTGGCGGCGTGGAAGGTGCTCCTGTTGTCCCAGATGGCGAGCGAGTCCTTCTCCCAGCGGAAGCGGACCTGGAGGTCGTGGTTGCCCTCAACGAGCGCGAAGAGGTAGGTGAGGATGGCCTCGCTCTCGGCCTCGGGGAGGCGCTTGCCGGACTCGGTGTCGAGGAGGTGCTTGGTGAAGTTTTGGTTCACGAACAGGCCCTTCCAGCCCGTGACAGGGTTGGTGCGGACGACGGGATGGATGGCCTCGAGGTCCTGGCCGACGTTCTCGGGCGCTCCGCGGCCCTCGCGCAGAGGCAGGCCGGCGAGTTTGGCGAGGTAGATGAAGCCGTCGCCCTTGTGGAGTGCGGAGAGGCCCTCGAGGAGACGCTGGTACGAGGGGGAGAGGCGGTCGTACGCCTCGTACGCCGAGGCCCAGAGCGTGTCGCCGCCGACCTCGGGGAGCTTGCGGATCACGAGCGACGCATAGTCGGACGGAACGGGCTCGAAGGTGATGTCCGAGTGCCACTCTTTGGCACCAGGGCGCCGGGAGAGGATATCGTTGTCGTTGCGCTTGAACGAGCGCCCAAAGACGTACTTGTTGCTCACGATCGTGATCTCCTCCTGCTCCTCCTGGCCCTCCTGCGTGCACGGGTGCACGTGCAGGCGCGACGTGTCGGGCTTGCCGCCAAACTTGCCGAGCTTGTCGACGAGCGTAAGCTGCTCCTCGGGCGTGATCTGGGCGTTGCGGAAGAACACGACGCCACGCTCAGACACCAGGCGGCCCAGCGCGGCCAGCTTGGTGTCGTCGGCGAGCACGGTGCGGATGTCGAGGACGGGCTTGCCATCCTTGGCGAACTCGCGGAACTCGGTTCCGATCGAGGGCGTGTTGTCGAACGAGCTGTAGGCCTTCAAGTCGAACTCGGGCGCCTCGGGGGAGGAGCTGCGCGACTCGGTGACGGTTACGGAGGAGATGCCGTCCTTCAGGCTCTCGATGGTGGTGGGAAGCACCTGGGACTCAACTGCGACGGGGGCCATGGCGGATCTGCTTGTCTTGTTCGTTTGGTAGGAGAGGCGGTGAGGTGACGACTGCGATTGTTGGTTCTGAAGGTTAGCGTGCGTCGCTGCGAAGAGCTATATACCCCCTCGACCATCGTGCGGTCGGGCGCCGGGAGTTCCAGCATAGAGGTCGGGACGACCGCGATCAATATCAACCTTCGCTCATCTCCGGCATCATCATCGCTTGCGTGATATAACTTGCGGTGGCGCTGGCATGCAAGTTGCCGACCCCCCATTCCTTACGACGTCACGTCACTCGACAAGTCGTCTGAGCTGTTCACATGGAGTAGGCGTGCGCATGCAAAGCTTTGGTGAATAGCCAAGGAACTACTCTGGGGTACCTTGCCCACGTTCCAGCCCACGTTCCAGTCGCAGCAGCAGAGTGGTGGTGGGCAGGGCCCTCCTTTACACACTGCAGAGGGTGACCACCGATCACGACGCACCGGACGGCCGCCGTACATTGGATATCGGCGTGTATCCTCCAGCCGACCGAGAAGGTTTACACATCGTAAGCGCCAGGCACCTGCCGAGCCGCGCGACGGTGAGTCGGACGAGCAGCGACGATCCGTTGTCAGGCCGGAATGACCGTTCGGTTACAGCAAAGCTGGGTCGTACGGGCCGTGCGTGGGTGTTAGCGAGCGTAGAGGCGTCCGTGATGGCATCAACTGCGGTTGAAACTACGCTAGTATGTGGAGAATGTCGCAAAGGACAATGATGGATGGCGTGATGGCGCCTCATATCGCAGCGCAGAGCACGGCAATTTTCAGGCACGTTCCCTTATCAGCGGGCCGTTGGACGAATCGTGTGGCAGCACTCGGCGTTCCTGGTGACTTTTGGTGAGTATTGCCTGCGATGTCAGTCGCTGATCTCCTCCCCATGCATAGATGCCGCTCAGCTGTTGAGACAGGAACCAGGGAGACTCAGTTCTGCTGACATCGTCGACGCCTCACAGGCCTCGGACAGAAGCTTTAGGTTCGCAGATAACGACACGCGAGCAGAAGGCCTTGCCAGCGTGTGTCATACTGTGGCTTTTACACTATAGACCACGCTAATTTCATGGTCTGAAGACGACATGAAGGTGTGACCAACCCGTCATGAAGGCCGGTATCTCGCTTTTCGCAGTAATCTCAACGGCACAATGCAGTCGCGCTACTCCGTCCATGTAGATTTTTCCATCGTCTAGCGCCGTTATATAACATTCGCAGTGCAGGGCCGTAGTCCCCATCACTCAACAAGCCCCTCAAGATGTCTGTTCCTCACCTTGGAAAGGACGACAAGCAAAACTCAGTCGTCACCATTGCCGGCGCCGACCATTCGCCCAAATCCTCGTCGCCTACTTCCCCAGCGCTCTCCGACACTTCAGAAGACCCTGAGAAGTACATTGGCTCGCCCTCCGACCAGTCTGTGCCATACGAGTCCTCATCTGCTGCCGATGCCGACCTTATCAACCGGTTCTACGAGCCCCCTGACACGTACGAGTCCAAGCACCGATGGGACCCGCTCGCTACCTGGACCGAGGCTGAGGAGAAGAAGCTGTACCGCAAGATCGACATTCGCGTGTGTCTCGTCGCGTGTATCTGCTTCTCGGCGCTCAACCTCGACCGATACAACATTGGAAATGCTGTCTCCGACAACATGCTCGACGACCTCCACATGACTCGCGGTGACTACAACATCGGTCAGACCATCTTCTACGCCTCATTCCTGTTCGCCGAGCTGCCGTCGCAGCTTATCTCGAAGAAGCTCGGCTCCGACGTCTGGATCCCGATCCAGATGATGTCATGGTCGCTCGTGTCGATCATGCAGTGTTTGATGGTGAACAAGACTGGCTTCTTCATCACTCGCTCACTCCTCGGTCTCATCGAGGGTGGGTTCATCGCCGACACGATCCTCTACCTGTCGTACTACTACACGGCCAACCAACTCACCATCCGCCTCGGCATTTTCTGGATTTCGCTCACGGTCACCAACATTGTCGGAGCCTTCCTCGCCGCGGGCCTGCTCTCTCTTCGCCACGTCACAAACTGGGAAGGTTGGAAGTGGCTCTTTGCTATCGAGGGTGCGATCACCTTCCTCATTGGTGCCTGGGCCTTCTGGTACATGCCGGCCGGGCCTACGCAGACCAAGCGCCGCTTCCACAAGGGCTGGTTCACCGAGCGCGAGGAGGTCATCATTGTCAACAAGGTCCTCCGTGACGATCCGACCAAGTCGAGCATGCACAACCGCGAGGGTCTTGGCTTCCGCGACCTTTGGGACTCGTTCTGCGACTTTGACCTTTGGCCCCTTTACATCCTCGGCATCGTCATGTTCATCCCCACCGGCACGGTTTCTACCTACTTCACGCTCTCGCTTCGTGACCTCGGCTTCAGCACGTTCCACACCAACCTGCTCACGATTCCGAGCCAGGTCCTCACCATCATCAACATCCTGTGGATGACTTGGCTCCAGAACCGCAGCCAGCAGCGTCTCCTCACCGCTTCGATCAAGGGCTGGTGGCTTCTCATCCTCTTCATCGCTCTTGTTTGCATTCCCGACAGCACGAACAAGTGGGCTAGGTGGGCGCTCTTGTCGCTCATCACGGGCTACCCATACTGCCACCCCATCATCGTGTCTATGACTTCGATGAACTCTGGCTCGGTCCGCACTCGCACAGTGGCTTCATCCGTGTACAACATGTTCGTTCAGGCTGCGACCCTGATCGCCTCAAACATCTACCAGCCCAGCGATGCCCCCTACTACCACAAGGGCAACCGCGTGCTGCTTGGTCTCGTCGTCGCCTCGCTTGTTCTCTTCGGCTTCGCCAAGTTCTGGTACGTGACCCGCAACCGGTCGCGCGCCAAGAAGTGGGACGCAATGACTCAGGAGGAGAAAGCGCACTACCTTTCCACCACCACGGATAAGGGCAACAAGCGCCTCGACTTCCGCTTCAAGCACTGAGGTGGGAAAAGCGCGCCGCGCATACTGTAACATAAGAAATAGCCTACGGAAGGCTGGGATCTAGATGAGACATAGACTGGGTAGTAGATCCAACTCTCACCCCGGGACTCTCAGTAGTACACTTTCACTGCTTGTAACTCTATGGCATCTTGCATGGGTATGAACGTCATGACTTGAAAGAACACAGCCTGGCTGGGCACTTTTCCGGCGTCCGCAACTCCGACAAGCTGCGGGGGACTGGTTGGAAGAGATAAGCGCGTTATATCTACCTTCCTATGAGCTGTAGGACAGTCTAAGTAATGCAAGGACTGCGTAAACTACGACAGTCGTGAAGTTCACCCTCGATCCGACGCGAGAGCCTTCGTCATCCCGCCCGGCCGTTCACTTCCATCTCGGTCGCGTGGCCCAATGGCAAGGCGTCTGACTACGATTTTCGGAGTTATCAGGAGATTGCGGGTTCGATCCCCGTCGTGACCTTTTTAAGCGCATCCTGATGATGTGTTAGAGTTGTTTTTGGATTCTGGAAAGAGAGGAGGAGTGGTTGGAACCTGGAGCATCGAGTGTAGTCGTTGGAGCGCATATTCGCCAAAGTGCCACAACCACGAGGCCGACCACTACGCCCCATGTTTCACCCAGTGCGCCCTTTGAGGGCCTAGACTGTGCCCTGCACAGCTCGTGCGATAGGCTTACAGTGGTAACAACGAGTAGAAATGCGGCGTTCGAAATGCTTTTCTACGTGTTGTTGCCTCTGGAAAAAGGGCGCCTCTGGAAATCATGCATCCCGATGTGATGTACAGTGTGCACCGTGTCGTGGTCAACGGAGGTCACGAGGCAGAAAGGGTTGATCGTGCCGGGTAAAAGGTGTAGACGGTACTCGCAGGGCTACTTGGTCGGCTCGGCGGATCCGGGTTTCTAGTGCGCAGTGCCTGTTTCCCACTGGGAATGACAGGGGCGTCTGACCCTCTGGTGATTGGGTTTCTCCTCCCAGAGCGGTATCTAGGTGGCAAGACCTCGACAGGGTGGTTCTCATCCCCAACATCTTCAGCATCCTCCTCTTGAACGAGAAGCGCGTGGACCGGTGGTAGTTGGTTCGTGCCACTTGTTCTACCAGTGGGTGGTTCTCGCTTGCGAGGTCCAGTTTCTTCTGGACAAGTACGTGTGATCCCGTTGGCAATAAACGGGTTCAATATAGGGTCGCCCTCATCCACTAAGAACAGATCGGGTAGAGCTGACTCGCGCTGGCGGCGGAGGTAGCGACGAATGAGCCAGACGATCAGAGACGTGACGATGACTATGAAGCTCACGCCGCCAATGACAGCTCCGACAATTATGGAGGCGTGGTTCGATCCTTGATGTCCACTCTCGCTGCCGTCGCCTGAGGGGATCGTTGGGCTGTTTGTTTGGTGCTCGTTGCGGGGGTTGCTGAAGGTTGTCAACGGAGGCATCCTGGGCTCTAATTTCATGTCTTACTAGAAGAAAGGGTAGGTTCGGATCATATTGACGCCGCACTCTTTGCCATCGTATCGAGGCAGAATCTTCATGGTGTAGCTCACGGTAGGATCGAGTGGGAAGAGGAAGAGGTTCTTGAAGGAGATGTTCAGAGGCGCAGCCTGCCACGCCATCGGGGGACCAGTAGATGCGTTCCACCAAGCCGGCAACGGATCAAGGACGGCAGTACAGACAGAAAGATTCTGTCTTTCTGTCATCACCGGACCCTGGACCTGGAGCAGAGAGACGTTTGTTGGCACAGTATAGTGTAGCTCGGTCATGCGCTTCAAGAACACTGTCTCCCCATTCCGTAAATCGTAGTCCGGCTCGCTCGGCAGCTCGGACTGAACGTCCTGAAATATGTCTCCCGAACTAAAGGTTGATACTTGGATTGATGGATTGAGTTCCCCATTCAATAGAGTAGGAACCTCACTCGAACCGCTAACCATCGCATCGTAGGTCGGACTCCAGGTGGTTAGCTTCAGGAATGGTTCAGGCGGCTCACGCTTCGGTCACGATCGTCATGTTATACTGCAGACTGTTATATTCGATGAAGGTTTCAGGGCCGTAGTTCACTTCAACTTGAACAAGCGTGTTGTTGGCTGCAACATCCGATAGAAGTTCGGTCATGCCATCGTGGGTGACGAACGTACTAGGGTTGCCACCATTGACAGAGCCGGACGCATTCGAGCCGCTGATACGTCCAATCAGGCGGAAGCTGGATCCTACGAAGTTGATGCGGAACGACGTCGAGTCCGATGGCTGTAGAGGAGTAGTGCGATGGAACAACGCCTCGTCGTCGGACCACTCGTAGGTCCACTGGGGATCGATGTTATGGAAAGGAGAGACACCATCGATTGTGAAGTTGGCGACAAGCCGTTGGGCCGCAGCTCTGGAGGAGAGACGTTGTATGGCCATGACAAGCAAGAGGCACAGAATTGAGACTGGAGACGACAGGGCAGTACACCAGATGAGGAAATGTGGACTGTACGATGCAGGTAATGGGCTGAGTAGAGGGCCGAGACGGTCCAGAAGATAGTCAGTGAGTCGACTGGTACTTGACTAGGGGCGTGAGAAGTCATTGCATTCGCCAACCCTGCACCGGTTCCTGCGCTTGGGGTTCGACGCAATGAGTGGGGTCCTCAGCTGTCTCACACAGAAGGTCTGCCAGGAATCGTCCTTTGATCAGTGACTGGCGCCGCCGGGTAGATCGTCGCCCGAAATTCGGGGACATAAATACGAATATTGCGACCACGTGCCACGGGTGGTCGCGGAGGCTAGGTTCGCAAGGATCAGCGTTGGCCGAAGAATGAGTGGCAGGGCAATTCCGCATATGTGAGAGGTTGGGGGTAAAGCAGAGAGATGAGTGAGTGAGAGGGTAGTCCCAACGATGTCAAGAAGGCGCGGAACCTCAGCGCTCGCACCGACGCCGTCAGCGGCGTCTCCTGGAACCGCGCGACGTTTTCGAATGGTCGCGTGGCCCATGGCAAGGCGTCTGAGTACGACTCGAGCACTGTTCAGCAGGACTCAAGTACATAGTTGGACCCCTGGGACGGATGCATGCTTGGAGAAGGGTGTCTGGAGGAGCTGAAGGTGAGCTGAAACACCGTTCTGAGTTACGCTGGTGATGATGGGTGGAGGTGTGTGGCAATGTCTGATGGTTATTCGTCATGTAAAGTCAGCATGGCCGACACCATCTATACTGTGACTGCGCGCTTGAAGATTGGTCTCCTTGTGATGTGTGTCGAGTGGATATTTGACAATGACGACTGCATCAGTGTCGTTCATGTCGTCGCTCTCGTCAGCTTCGCAGTCTCGCTCCCTGTGAGCTGATTGTCTGGCCGGTCAAAAAACGCTTCTCACCTCCGGGGCTTTGTGTGCGCCGTTGAGTCTGATGAACTGGCGTTGCTACATAAGCAATGCCCGGCCACATCAGAGCGTGCTCATCACTGACAACCCGGCCATGAAAGCACCTTCGCCGCCCGGCACGCTTCTGGACAGGCGCAACCGTAAGTTAACGTCGATCGAGCCGACATGGAGGCCAGGACTCGAGTTCGTCCCTTCCTCCGCCCGTGGGCAGAACTCCGCTCGACCATCGGCAGTCCCATCTCTCCCATCGGTAGCGACGCCCACACTCAAGGAGCAGCTGCGCGACAAGCTGAACAACTTTAGCTTCAAGCGGTCGACCCGGAGCGGCGCTGATGGCACGCTGGATGGAGAGTCCAGCACGCGCAACGGGAAGGGGAAGGCGAAGATCAAGGAGGAGAAGGAGTTTGAGCAGTGGGTACCGGGCGTGCCGAGGAAGAAGGCTGTCATGACCGCCGCTGAGGCTCTGGGGCGGGTTAATCCCCCAGCAACGCAGGAGTACATTTCCAGGGTCGCACTCGCCCAGGAGAACGTCAAGCGTCGGGATGAGCACGGCCATGCCTCTTCTTCTGGAGGGTGGACCGACGAGAGTGGCGAATGGTTCAGTCGAACGATCCGCCGGCCAGTGTCAGCTTACTCCCCGCTTGACCCCGTTGTATCCCCCAGCGACCGTCACATTCCAACGCCATCTGTGTTGCAGCCGCGGGCCTCAACGCGGTCATCAATGCCGCCGCCGTCTTCTCGCCGCTACGTGCCGCGGGGCTCGGCTCCGCCCCTATCGCATGACGCAAAGACGTCGATGCCGCCACCTGGCCTGCATCACCCGCCACAGAACGGTCCAGCGAGGATGTCGATGCCTCCACTGACGGCGAACGGAGGATGGGCTTTCAGCCCGCCTCCCAGCGCACAAGAGCCACCACCGTCTGCTGTCCTCGGATATCTTCCACATGAGCGGAAGTGGATCCAGCAGCAGCAACAGCTTCCTCAATACTCGCCCTACCCCCCTCAACTCTCGCCCTTCCCTCCTCAGCAATCACTTTACCCTCCGAGCCAGCACTCGCCCTACCCTCCGGCGCAGGACCATCAACTCCCTCCCAACCAACACCGTCCTCAATACCCGCAGCTGCCGCCGCAACTGTACACCGACCAGCTGGGCAACGTAACACACGGTCCCGTGCATGGTGGCTTGACCGGCGTCAACGCAATGAGCCCGAACACCGTCCCGTTCAGCCCCTACCCCGAGCAAGGGCCATATCTTCCCCCGATACCGATCATGTCGCCGATGAGGCCGTGCTTTGAGCCGCCTACGGGGCTACAGCTGCCGCCGCCGCCGCAGGTCCAACGGCAAGTCCGCCACGAAGACAGCAGACCCAGTCGCAGAACCCACTTCCAGCTGAGCCCCCGCTCCCAGCCAGATCCTCGCTTCCAGCCAAGCCCCCGCCCTCTGCCTGGGTAGACCGCTTCCATATGAGGCGTTGATGCGTGTACTGAATCGTGGCCGTGTCGATTAAGAGTGCCTGTTGTGAACATAGTCCGCGTCATGTCAGTTCCAATATCCATACTGTCTTCCCCCAACGTGAGCCACTCGCCGAAACCGCCCTCCCCGCACCCCGGCCACTCCAGCCCTCCCCGCCCCTCGTCCTGTGTACCAAAACCAAGCCCCAGAAGTCCAAAAGAGGGATCTACGAAGCCCGTGTTCTCCGCCAGGGAGTCGAACCCTGCTCTATCGCGCACCCATCTTCGCAGAAGGAAGAGGACTGGCTCTCGCTTGAGAGGCGATTATACTAACCGATATACTAGCGAAGAGGACAGAGGCAGAATCTTCATGGTGTAGCTCACGGTAGGATCGAGTGGGAAGAGGAAGAGGTTCTTGAAGGAGATGTTCAGAGGCGCAGCCTGCCACGCCATCGGGGGACCAGTAGATGCGTTCCACCAAGCCGGCAACGGATCAAGGACGGCAGTACAGACAGAAAGATTCTGTCTTTCTGTCATCACCGGACCCTGGACCTGGAGCAGAGAGACGTTTGTTGGCACAGTATAGTGTAGCTCGGTCATGCGCTTCAAGAACACTGTCTCCCCATTCCGTAAATCGTAGTCCGGCTCGCTCGGCAGCTCGGACTGAACGTCCTGAAATGCAGATAACGACACGCGAGCAGAAGGCCTTGCCAGCGTGTGTCATACTGTGGCTTTTACACTATAGACCACGCTAATTTCATGGTCTGAAGACGACATGAAGGTGTGACCAACCCGTCATGAAGGCCGGTATCTCGCTTTTCGCAGTAATCTCAACGGCACAATGCAGTCGCGCTACTCCGTCCATGTAGATTTTTCCATCGTCTAGCGCCGTTATATAACATTCCAAGGGGGGCAAGGGGGAGAGGGAGAAGGGGAAGAAGGACGAGGGATACACCCTCTCTGGGCGGAGTGGCGCCACGCTAACAGCGGCGGACATCGCTCCTCCCCTATCCCCATCAGGCTCAGAGCGAGATATAACCCTCACGCTCTCAAGTCTGGCCCATTGCCTCATCGACCTCCGTTCCTGCCCCCTGCGCAATCTCCATCTCGACCGTCTCTCGTCGTGTCTCCTCCTCCTGCCCTCCTCGCCCGTGGGCGTGCTAGCACACCGCCTGGCATCCTGCGTGCTCTCAGTCCCGAACTGCGCCCAGTTCAGACTGCACGATTCCTCCTCTGTCCTCCTGAGTTTGGGCATTCAGAGCTATCCCGTTATCGAGGGGTGTAGGTCTATTTACACCATGCCCGCACCGTTTCGGGAAGAGGAAGTGCAAGTGGGAGGAGAGGGAGGAGAAGGGGGCCAGGGCCAGGGAGAAGGGAGGTGGGACAAGGTGCAGGACTTTGACTCGCCCACCGGCGCCAGCAGCAATTGGCGCACATTGACGAGCGACGAGCAGGCGACGGTCAAGGACGGTATCAGGACGAGCGTCGAGTCCGGAAATGTCAAGCCCGCCCTCGCCTCTATCCCCTCATAGACACATGCATCATAGACACATCAGGCCCATCGTCTCTCCAGCTTGCATCTTGGCTCGAGTACTTCCTCTGACCTCCTTGTCCTCCCCACTTCTGCTCGGTCTCAGCCTTCAGCCTCCGGCTTGGATCTCGTGCTCCAGTCTTCGCTCTGCGCTCTGCGCGTCTGCAGCCCCGACGAGTCATGTTCCGGTCTCGGGCCTCCGGCCCTCGCACCCTCGACCTCCGCGTCGGCTACTGATGCATGCCTCTACAGTTTTACCAGCACCTACACCAATTGATCGCTTATGCAAAAATACCATGTTGCTTCCCTCTCGTGTCCTTCTTGCGCCAGGACACCGCCGACGGCGCCGCGCTACACAACCCGAGCTGGCAGTATCACGATTTGTGCCATGACACTGCCTCTCGGGCGTCGCTGCGCTCCACTCTACACGCTCCGCACTCCAGCTTCCCACCCGCCGCACAGCCTCCGCTCCAGCTTGCACTGCGCAGATTGACCGGTCCTCCGGGCTGTCGCCTTCCGATCGGCCACCGCTTCCGCGCCTCGCGTGGCTTCGCCATCGGCCCGTCAGCACAAGCTTCCACTCCCCCTCCTCTCCAACCCCAGGCTCTCCGCGTACAGCACGGGGCTATGCTACTGCGCCGGGCTGCCGTCGAACCCGGGCACGCCGGGGGGCACGGGCGGGTTGGGGAGTTGCTGGAAGTGGGGCTGGGGCGGGGTCGGCTGTCCGCCATAGCTCATCTGGGACATCTGGCTCATCTGCGGCTGCATCTGCGGCGCCTGGTGCTGGTGCCCCTGGTGCTGCTGGTGCTGGTGCCCGTGCCCGTGCCCATGCTGCTGCTGGTGCTGGTGCATCTGGCCCATCTGCCCCATCTGCTGCCCGTAGAACATGGGGCCCTGCGGACCCGGCCGTCCGGGGCCGTTCGGGTGGAAGTGCATCTGGGGCGGGATGAACTGCGCGTTGGGCGGCATGCCGTTCGCAAAGTACATTGGCACTGCGGTCAGCGAAGCCACAAGGGGGAGACTTACTTCCATTCGGACCGTGTTGCGGGCCCTGCTGCATGTGCGGGCTGCCCTGCATCTGCGGAGGCACAAAGCCGCCGGGACCAGGGAACATCTGGCCCATCATCGCGCCCTGCATCTGCGGCGGGACATTGACGTTGGGCTGGTACCGGTAGAACGGGAGCAGGTTGGGCGGAATGCCGCCCTGCAGCATCGGGGGCGGGCCGGGGTGCGGCGAAGAGGGGTCGTCGCCGCTGCCGGTGCCGCCGCCCGCGCCGCCGTCATAGTTTTGCATCGCCATCGGGTGCATCGGCTGCGAGTACGCGACACTCGACCGGCGGCCAGTGTACGGCCACTGCGGCGTGACGCTCGACGCGGCCGGCACCTGGCCGTGCTTGAACGGGTTGAAGTCATCGCGGGGGTTCACGACTATCCTCTTGGGCGGCCCATCCTTGTAGAACGGGTTCTTGGGCGTCGCGGGGGCACTCGAGCTGGCAGTAGGACCGGGTGAGACCGAGGGGGGCGGGGCGGGCGAAGTTGACGGTCCTCCGACAGAAGGAGGACCGCTGAGCTTTGTGGGCGCAGCCTTGGGGGACGTGACGTCGCCGGGCTTGAACGCGGCGGCGGACGGGTTCGGCTTGAACACAAACGACGACGCGTTCGGGTTCAGCTTGGCGTGGCCAGACGTGACCGACGCGTTCGACGGCGTCGGGCTCGTAACGGCAATGTTCTGGCTCGCAGTCTCCGGCACAGGCACAGCAGGCGGGACCTTCTTGCGGAAGGGCGGGATCTCCGGGATCTTCATGACGATCTTCTTGGGCTGCTGCTGGGCCTGGACAGGGGGCTTGGGCAGGTTCAGGTTCGGGGAGAGGGGGTTCGGCTTGGCGAGCGGCGACTTGGCGGTGGCCGCTGCGTGCTTCTTGTTCTCCTCGGCGTCCTTGAGCGCCTTGGCCGCCTGCTCCTCAATCTCCTTCTGCTTCTGCTCATCCTTGGTCAGGATGGGCAGAATGTCCTTGGGAATGGGCAAGGGGACCTTGAACTTTGCCTGCCACGACTTGAACTCGGCCAGGACGTGGGCGCGCTCGTTCTTGGCCATCGACTGCTTGCGCGCAGTGACCCGCTCACGCTCAGACTCGACAAACTGGCGCGCCTGGTCGACGACAGCGCCGATCGGGGCGGGCGCGTGGGCCGCGCTCGATCCGCCCGGCGACGTGCCGCCGTTCGTGGTCGCTTGCGTCTGAGTCTGGCCTTGGGGGATAGAGCTGGTGCTGCGGGCCATCGAGGTGGCAGGACCAGGACCGAGCGAAGACGAAGCGATGGCCGGGTCGATCACGGGGTCAGCCGACAGGCGGGGCCCGTTGTTGCTGGCGGTGGCGGGGGGAGGGGTGGAGCTCTGGGGAGTGGGGAGTTTGGTGTTGGCGGAGGCAGGTCCGTTACCCTTGGGCATGGGAGGAAGAGGAACGTCGGTCGTCGTCTCCTTTTCAGCAGGCGCAGACGCAGCAGCCGTAGGCTTGGGGGCCGAGGCGGCGGCAGGTGCTTCCTTGGGCGCGGGGGGAGGAGTCGTGCCGTCCTTGCGCACGGGGAGGCCTCCACCGGTCGCCTTTCGTGCACCAGGAGGCACGTACGCGTTGGGGTTGCGCACGACGCCCGAGTACTTCTCTTCCTCGTCCTTTGTGTCTCCGGCAACGGCCTGGCCGCGCTCCTCGGCAATGTGCGAGTTGGACGAGGTCTTGGACAAGATCTCGTTCGCGAGGCGGTCGGCCTCACGCTCCCGCTTCTTGTAGCCGGGGCTCGACCGGTCGAGCTTGGTCGTGTACAGCTCCTCGTCGTAGTCCGTCTTGGCGCCGAACAGCCGCGTGTTCGTCTCAAACTGGTCCCAAGGAATATTGCTGACAGGCCCGCCGAACGTGATTACGTCGCCGCGCGCACCACCGTTAGTGGCCGCGCCGCCGTTGGACTCGGGCTCGTCGGGTACCCACGGCTTCAGCTCGCGCTCGCCGGCACGGTTCGACGCCGAGATGTCCGTGTCAGTTTGGAAACCTGCTGTTAGCTAATAATGCACCGTGGGATCAACCAGGCGCCGCGGTGGCGTCGTCGCGTGTTCTGGCTCACCCTTTCCGCCCTTGTCTTCCAGCTTGGCCCTGCGGCGTGTCAGTCATTAAGCTCTGTGCGCGATAGCCCTGGTTGATACGTACTCGTTGGTGCGCGGCGATGCGTTCGCAGCGTTCCGGTAGCCTGTCGAGCCCGGAGGCCCGCCTCCGCGCCATGGACGTCTGAATGTTAGCAATGCAGGCAAGGCGGGCGGAGCGGGCAAGCGTGCGCTCTGATCATGGGCACTGCAACGGTCAAAGGAGCGCCTGATGGTTGCAACAGTGGAGAACCATCATCCGTCCGAGACATTGTCTGCTTCCCAGACTCACCTCTCGAACGACTGAGTCGGGCCGCCGCGTGCACCGCGGCCACGGCTGCGCATCGAAGTCATGTTAAGCCGGTCAGGTCACGTCGCGATCTGATAGTCAGTAACGAGTCACTGTGAGTTGCAGTCAGAGGGCGGGCACGGGCCCCGTCGACGAGGACAATGTGGGTTGGTGGGTCGTTGAGCGGAGGGAACGCTGGGAGTGAGGGGCGCAGCGCGTAGTCGGCATGGCCCTTGGGTGCGCCATCAAATGATGCGGTGTGTTGGCCAGCGGCGAGATGGAATTGCGATAAGGCATGCGTTCCGTCGGAGAGCGGCGTAATGTGCACTACGCCGTCATCGCCGCCTCGTACATGACTCGCCTCGCTCGGTGTGGTTTCAATGTCCCAACGTGACGGCATAAGGAACGCAGTGGGAATGCGGCGGTCCATCACAGCGGCGTTCGCTGCGCAGCACGCGATGCACCCTGGAACTCCGCGACTGCCTGCACACGGGACTCGTCGGGGCGGGGGAAGCAGACAAGAGAGGAAAACAGTACTCACGATGAGACGGAGTGAGTTGCGCGGGGTTCGGGGTCTTGTGCCCTTGTTCGCGCGGGTGTGCTAGCTGGGGATGGTCGAACAGCTAGAGCCGCATGCGCCGATGGGTGAGGGGCACGCGATGACAATGCCGGAGGGGGGGCGTTGTCGAGGTGTGAGGTGTGAATTGTTCGGTCGCTGGTCGCCGGACTGGGTAGTCGAGCGTTGGCGAGCGTTGGCGAGCGTCGAGCGTCGTGGAGGGGAAGGCCGACCGAGAAGTGGTTGGTGGTGGTCAGGTCGGGGTCAGGTGCTGCTTGCTGGCTTGGAGGGCGCGCTGGCAGTCTGGCGCACGGACGGTGTCGACCTGGGGGTTGTGCTGTGCAAGGAGTGGGAAGCCTCTTTTGACGAGGGAGCCCTGCTGCTTGTGCTTCTGTTCGCAGAGGCAGGCGATCAGGCGAGCAGGCGAGGCGGGGCGGGGAGGGAGTTGGGATGGTGTCGATGACTTGCAAGGATGGGATCGAGATGGATGCTGGACGTGTGGTCGAGAGAAGGGACGGGGCCATCCGACGGCGAGCGAGGGGCAGCTGTGAGGGCAAGGCAGGCAGGCAAGGCAGGCGAGGCGAGGCTAGGGACCTGAGCTACCGACGGCGGGTCTCGCGCTCAACGACCACTGAGCATGCAATCTGGCACTGGAACCACACCCTGAACCATCCACACCCAGCCAACCCTGGCTGGCTCTCACCAACAGCGAGCTCAATCTGCTTCCGCTATTCCCACATCTAATCCCTCCTTCGTGTGATCACCACAACATTACCCCTCATTACCTCCATCCTAATCTAGACCCCAAATATCCACTCAGCCATTTCTTCACTTTTCTCCCACTCGGTACCCGCTTAGCACCTTCCTTCGCTACTTCCGCCAAGCCCTCCACTCCCCCTAAGCAGCCCCGGCCAGGCCATGACTAGCGTGCAGGCGTCGACGCTCGCTGCCACCAACATGACGCAAACAACCCATTGTTTCTGCTTCAAGTGTAGCATGCATACAGACAAAAGATGACAATGAGGGGGGGAAAAACTATAGCGTGCGAGGGAGGGGGATAAGTGGGGAAAGACGCAGCACTAGCCAATGTGGCTCGTGGTGCGATGGTACGTGTTGTGATGATTAACATTGCGGGGGGTATGTGTTGCTTGCTAGCTGCGGGTGACGGCTCGCGGCCGTCATCGCGCTTCGAAGACCTCTACGAGCGCCCTCGCCTCGCTGCCTTGAGACACTCGTCCTCGAGTCCAACGACACGGCGGACCTCCACACCTCCCTGGTCGAGGATTCGGACACCCTCACACTGGACAAAGTCGGGCGGCTCCTCGACACCGAGGAAGACGGCGCGGACATGCGCACGCACAAGCTCGAGCGCGCAGCTTGGCCCGCCCGATGTCCGCACCGAACACGGCTCCATGGTAGCAAAGCATTCGCTCTGTGCGAGCACATCGTCGGCAGTGGGGAGGTTGGGATGCGACGCCTCCTCCTCGAGCTGGTTCATGCGCTCGCGGAAGTTGGTCAGGGCGTTTGCCTCCGCGTGCGTGTTGCCCGGGATCTGGCGCGAGTAGCCGTCGGCGAGGAGCAGGCCGGCCGGCTTGCCCGTCGTCGGGTCGTTGAAGATCGGGAACAGGTCCTTCAGCCGCTCGTAGAAGGGCGATGAAGCGGGGAGGAAGAGCGTCGAACCGACACAGAATGCGGTTGGGGACACGGGACATTGCAGAGTCAGGTCCAGGCAGTGCTTCATGAGCGCGAGGTTGAGCGGGTCTGTCATGTCAGGTTCAGCAGAGGTGAAGGTTAACTCACCCTCGGAAGTGGTAGCAGGGGCTTGGGCGGGCGCCTCGATCGGGTTGGGGGAAGCGGCAACGTCGATGGTGACAGTCTCGTCGGTGTTCTTCTTCTCGTATACCTTGATCGTCGAGTCGAATGCGGCCGAGCCGGCATCGCGCGCAACGAGGTTGACGAGAATCTTGGCCTTCTTGTTGGGCTGCAGCGTGACCGTGATGCTGGGGGACGACACGACCTCGCCGTTGGCAGGCGTGACCGTACCCGAGGGAACGTCGTCCTCAGGCGTCGGCTCCTCCGCAGCGGAAGTCGCGGTCGCAACGCCGAGCTCGCCAAGACGCTTCTCGTACTTTGCAATCTTGTCGGCCTTGTTCTTGCGCCGAGCGATCTTGAGCTTCTGGAGCAGGCCCTCGACCTCCTCCTCCTCGCCCTTGGAGAGAGCGGAACCGGCGTCCTTCTCGTCGCGGGACAGAGAGACCTCAGCGAACGCAGCGTCCGTGACCTCGGATGCCTCAATGACGAGGGTGCGCTCCGATTTGGACGTGTTGGTCACGACGAAACTGGCACAGGTGGGCCACGTGCCTGGCGCATTGGGTGCAATGTCCAGTTTCGTCACGTCGAGGGAGAAGGTCGGCATCTTGCGCACGGTCGCCTTGACAAGCACGCTCTGGTCGTTGTGCGAGTCGAGGACGTTCTCGACAGTGATGGTTTCGTTGTAGTTGCCAACGAGCGATGGAGTGAAAGAGAATGACGCAACCTCCTTGCGCCCAAACGCGGATATGACTCCGTACCGGCCGACGCCCAATTTCAGGTTACCGGACGCGATTGATCCCGAGGTCCGCATCCTGAAAACGCCCACACAGTCGCTCTTGTTGTGGATGACGATCGTGCGAGACTTGGTGTCGCCGCGCTCGCAGGTGCCGAAATTGATGCTTGACTGCTGCACCTCGAGCACGGAGCGCACACACGAAGAACGGATGACCAGGTCACGTACCGGCAGCTCATTGACGTCATGACTGTCGCCGACGACAGCGTTCAGCATCGTCTTGTCATAGTCGACAAGCTTGATGAAGATGCGCGACTCGGCTCGCTTGGCGCGCGTTGTGATGTGCGGCCGCGTCGAGCCGTTCGGCGTCAGGACAACGATAAGCTGCCTCGACGAGCCAGGGGGCACTGTCAGCGTGCGCGCAGGCACGAATTTACCAGCCTGCACGGCATTCTGCAGCTCCTTGCGCAGCGCAATCAGACGCTTGACGTAGTGCTCCTCCTCCTCGGGCGTAAAGTGGTTGACGGACGTCTGGGCCCGCTTCGCATCGTGCTGCTCCAGCGCGAGGATGAGTTCGTCAGCCGTCAGGTTCGCCACGTCCGTTCCGGACGGATCGCCCTTTGGCTCCTGACGCTTGCCAGTGAGGGCTGGCGACTTGGGACCTTGGCTCTTCAGCAGGGACTGCTTCAGGGCCGAGGCGCCGGTCGGGTGCGAAGGGCTAGGAGGCGTGGTCGGCTTCTTCTCAGTCCGCTCCGATCGGGACGACTTGGTAGGCGTGGAGGGATCGCGCTTGCTGCCTGCGGTCGACTTGGACTTCTTCGTCTTCACGTCCTTGCTGAGCAATCCGTTAGACTTGGCAAGGGCTGCAAAGTCGATGTCGGGAACACGCGGGTGCTTGCCGGCCAGCTTGGTCTTGTCCTCGTATGAAATGTTCTCAAGCTTCTGGTCGCGCTTCGAGTGCTGCGGTGCCGTCTTGTGAGACGTTGGCGGTCCAGTAGCAAGATCAAGGTAGTCCTGGTCGTCGAGCAGGGAGCGGTCCTTGAACATGACACTGTTGTCGTAGATGTGCACATGCTTTCCGCGGTTGCCCTTCTTGAGGGCGAGCGCAAGCGAGGCGCCGAGCGATTGCTTATCGTGATCCTTGTTGTGCGACTTGGAGTTCTTCTCTCGCTTCGCTTTGGACTTGCCCTCGCCATTCTCCTTTTCCTTCTCCTTCTCCTTGTCCTCGAGCGACTCGACGAAGCGCTCCTTCAGGTTGCCATTCGCTGGTCGGTCAGCCTGGTCGAGGTGTGCGTATCGCGCTATGAGCGGGTGCGCTTTGCATGGCGTTGGCGGAGCGTCGGACATGCGGATGTACATCTCGACGTCCTCGGGCTGCGACGCGGACAAGTCGAGCGTCAACGGCTTGTGAGTCAGGTTCTGGAACTGCACAGTGCGGACAGTGGGCGAGTTGATCACGACCGAGCCAAAGTCGAGGAAGTTGCTCCCCGACGGCGTCAGGATGCGGTACAGGTGCGAATGCAGTGTGACATTGTACACGTCGACATTCTTGGACCGGACCTCGACGAGCTGGTTGTTGTGCTTGTTCAAGAGGTTGCGAACGAAGACCTGTTTTTCGTAGCGCTCATTGATGCGGCGCGGGAAGAAGTCGAGACGCTCGTTGACCGTCTCATACGGCGGAATCACGATGATATTGCGATTCGTGTTGAGCACTTTGGAGATGGCGGCGACCTCGACTCGCGCGGAAAGCGCAGATTCGTTCTTGATCGTGATCGTCGTCGACTTGGACGCGCCAACAGTGACCTCGCCAAAGTCGATGAGGTGGCCGGAGGGAATGGAGATGATGGACGTGCACGACTCGGCGACGCAGTGCACCGTGTTCTGCGAACGAGGTGTTGGTCGCGAGCGCTGCGACGACAGCGCCGAGTCGAGGTTGATCTTGAACTCGGACGTCCTGAACGCACCCGCAATCTCGGGCGGGTTCACCAGATCCCGCTCGGGACGGTACATGGCGAAGACGCGGTACTCTGTACCCGGGCGCATGGTGAGTTCCTCAATCTGGTTGGGGATGTCACGGTCGCCCTGGTTGTCGAGGTGTCTCATCTCTGCCTGCGCTTCTGGCGCGACCTGGAGATGCTGCGACTGGGAGGGGACATCGTCCTCGTCCGAGTCAATGTCACCCCGTGTCGGTCTGTACGAGGACGCTCGCGACGTCACCCGTGATAATGACCGAGAGGGAGGGAGGGAGCTGTCACGGTCACTAGACGCGACGGCCGAGCCCTCGTCAGCGTTGGCGGCGCTGACGGCGCTGGATCCGACCGATCCGCCATCGCTGAGCAGCTGTGACCGCGTCAGATTGCTCAGCGAGGACGCAACGTCTGAGCCTGCTATGCGGCCACGCGACCGGTCATCCCTCGTCGACGTCCGTGACAGGGGGTCAGCCCGCTTGTCCCTGGGCAAGCGAGTGGGCAGGTCCTCGTCGATATCTTCCCCCGCAACGCCTGCCAATCGGAATACGACCTCGTATCCGGGCGTCGCTGAGAAGTGGACGTCGATGGGCCGATCTCCGATGTTCTTGGCAACGAGGAGCTTCTTGCTCCACACACCGTCGGGAATCTGCCCAAAGTCCAGCATGGACCCGCTCAGGATCCGCAGGTGGTCGTACTTGCCGTTTGCGGGGCACGAGCCCACGACGTGGCATGTGACAGCGTTGCCCGACTGATGGGCGTTGGAAATGACAAAGTCAAAGTCGAAGTCTGCAACAGACGCGTTCGCGCACAGCGTTAGCCGCAGGTGCCGCGACGAGAGCGGGGGTAGTGGCACGGGCTCGCTGGACGAGTCGACGCCAAACACGTTCTCAGAGTCGAGGTCACGCAGTTGGAACCAGACCCGGTCCTTGAAGCGCGAGTTGACAACTGCAGACGTCCACACGAGATCGATTTCCGATCGGTTCACAAGCAGAATGTCACGGTGCACCTCGACGCCGACGGCCGTGTCGCTGCCAAAGTCGACCGTGAGCTGGCCCTGAGACAGTTGGGGACCAGAAGCAAGACCCGACACCGGATCAATCACGCCGGCCGTGAACACAGACTTGCACACACTCGCGAAGAAGGGGAGAGTGATGTTCTGATGCGCGGGCGGGCAGAGCACGTCACCCGTGTCCTGTGTGGACACGTGAATGAGGATCGAGCCGTGAACAGAGTACGAGCGGTTGATTGTATCGGATCTGCGTGCGTTCACGGCGCCGACCGACAGTGATAGGCTCGATGTAGACATTGACGTCGAGTCGGACAGAATACTGGTGCCGGCCGACGGCAGGCGGCCACCTGGCACTGGCCCTGGATCTATCGTCGGTACCGATGCAGCTATGCGTGGTGTGACACCGCCTTCGCTCGATGGTGTCAGTGATCCAGGAGTGACGGGTTCGCTGCCAGTAGGTTGGAATGCGAGATAGACCATGGCCGAGCTCGAGCCCGGTATGCTGAGGTTGAGCGTCTGAGAGCCGATCGCGACCGAGGACAGCGACGACGTCGTAGACAGAGCGTCCGAGTCATCGTCTGCGACCCAGAACACCACCTGGGACCCGAGGTCAGAGGCGATCTCGACATCGACCCTGCCTGCCGTCAGGTTGCGGAGACCAAACTGCCGCACACGTCGTTGTCCGCCCGCCGAGTCGACGTAGGTGGACTGCAGGTGGATCCAGCCACTCGGAACATCGAACAGCTGCACGAGCTGCGTCTGCTGCGCGATGCGGGAGGCTAGCGACTGGCCAGCCGAGGTAGCTGATATCGGCGAGGTGGCAGACGCCGGCCCCGCACTCGCAGCCAGGTCGCCAGAGGACGATGAGACAGGGATCGCGGTGGCTTGCGGTTGAGAATCAGATGCCGGCTGAACGCGCGAGTCGGGGTGCGCTGTCGGCGTCAGGTCGGCCTTGTTGGCCTCGGTCGCCGGGGTCTGGGGTGCGCTGTCCGCGTGTGCGCCGACTCCCATGTAGTCGATGAAGCCCTTGACGCCGGCCTCGACGGCATGCTCGATGCTCTGGACGAGGTGCGACATGTCGCGCGAGGGGTGTAGGGAGGGGAGCAAGAGGGGGAGGTGTGTCAGGAGGAGGCGCGGCGGGCGGGGAAGCTATATGTCCTCAAGGCAATAGCTTTCAAGCACCTCTTCGCTCGAGCGACACCCTCCAACTTTAGGGTGGGTACGTGATGAGATCGCCGGCCGGCGTCGTGCTTCGCGTGCCGAGCAGAAGGGAAGGTGGAGAAGCTGAGGACGGTTGAGCAGAGGCTCTGCACGCTCTGAACCTGAGCTGGCAGGACGCGCGAGACTCAGGGGAGGCCGGTGTGGTCGGGTGAGGAGGGGAGGGGACTTGCGGCGTGGAGAAAAAGCGCTGGTGCGCTCAATGAGTCTTCATGGTGGATTTGTCACGCGAGCAGGCGGCGATGAGGGGTTGCCGGCGCAGGGAGACGGGAATGAGCTATTGTCGAGGTGTCCGTGGGACCCTCAGCCTGCGACGGAGACGGAAGAGGTGGGGCGGGTGTGGGTTGGTGACAAGTCGCTGTTTATTGTGTCGTGTGCGGATAGATTCGTGGGTGGGGGTTTGGTGGTGATGTTATTGCGCCTCCACACGGTGACGGGTCAGATTTGGAAGATTGGGTCGTGTGGGGAGCCGGGGTGGGGGGCGAATGCAAGAGGGGTGGGAGCAAATGTACGGGGACAGGGGGATGGGATGTGAATGCTTGATGTGTGCGTTGGTTGTGGAAAGGATACGATGGTGTGTGGAAGAAGGTGGGTGGTCGTGTTCTGTGGACTACTGATGGCAGCAATAGAACGGCTGGCTGCAGCAGTAGTAGCGATGGGGAAGCAGCGATCAACAGGCGCCGGCTGGTTGGCTGGCGATTTGGTTTGGCTGGCGCGCTAGGATTTGGCTCTGTCAGCCTAGGAGCATTAGGTGAGCTGGGTGAGGCCGCCCGCCAGCTGAGCACTCTGACATCCAGGATGGTCCAGGATGAGCGGCGAGGGGAGCGAAGTGCGGCCCGGCGGCCCACCCAGGGTGAGTGAGCTGCACCTCGGCTACGGTGGTGTACCTGGCAGTGTTCCTGACTCTGGACCTCTACGCAGGCCAAACTGTCCGATGAGTGGTCCACTCTGCGCACATGCGCACATGGGCATTAACACTGTCAACCTAATCACCTCCTTAGTCTGGCCTAAATCAGCGGGAGCAGATCAACTCCTACTTCACCATGCCTTGACATTTGATAGGTCCCCCACCAAGCTGAGGTCGTTGCCTGAATTTTCTGTCTTTTTCGCTCCTATCCTGCGCAGGATCGCACGACAGGATCCTGATGCCTGATGGCCGAGCGACTGGGCCTGAACGGACAGCTGTACGCCTGCGAGGAACCCGTTAACCCGCTCAAAGTGCTGCCAAACTGGCACATAGGCGGCGGCTGACTGGCGTACTTGTAGCGCAAATCGCAGACCCGCAAACTCGCAGGCGCAAGGAACCAGCCTAGCCTGCGGCCTGTGATTTGGGACATCGGCTCGACCGCTCCGCCCAAAACTCGCCAGAGCAGCTGTGAACTCGCAAGGCGGAAAACAAGATGCACCTGAAGTTTCCTTTGATTGCGGACCTGGCCTGAACCTGATGACCTGATGACCTGATGACCTGAACTGACCTGAACTGACCTGAACTGCAGGGAGAACAGGCGCTCTAGAGCCTTCCCCAGTGTGCATATGTGCTATCGCGTACATCGGCTGTCGCACGACTTTTCGAGCAACTCGCAGCTCACAGCTCACAGGCGCCCGAAGCGTCGGCGCCCTCGCCGCATGCCTGCGCACCTGTCTGAGCGGACACTTGCTCCCACTCATCTCTGCATGCTCTGCATGCTCTGCACACGACACAAAACCAGGTGCCAGGTGAAGAGGCGGCGAGGCGCCGGCGCCATGTTGCATTCACGGCGCATTCACGGGTCCGCACAGACCTGCATGTTCCATCGCCGGTTTCTGGCCCCGATCCACACAACATTCTGTGGAGAACCGCACTCAGCCGCCGCCGTGCACCTCAACCACTACTGGCCGAGCCTTCGTATGCCCTCTAGCCGTCGAAACAACTTATCCAACTCACCTTTCGAAACTGCGCTTATACTGCAACCACCATGTGGTCTGCACGCTGCTAACCCGACTTTGACGCAAGCGGAACTGATTACGATGCATTTCACTGCTCGATGCTCAAAAGTAGGGGTATCTAATCGTGACCTCTCTCACCCACTTCTCCTCTCTCCACCCTTCACTGCGCCTCCACTCTTCCAGACCGTTCCTTCAGGCGCTCAGGACCGCGTCTGGCCGGCCCAGGCAGGCCATAGGGCGTCAAGGACTCCTTTGACTTGTCCTTTTGACCCCACTCCATTCCTGCACTCTGCACTCCTCCCATGCATCGCTCAATAGCGGAGGATCGCGTGCCCACGCGATCCACCACACCGCTGCCACCATGCCACCACCGCAGCCCGGAAAATCTAGTGCATGACAAAACCCAAGCATCTCTCAAGTTCGGACAGCACGTCGTCGTCGTTTCGTCTCGTCAAAGCGCGAGCTGCGCAGGGCGTGCTGGGCGTGATTGGCCCAGCTTACGCCGCTGCGCCCTCTGGTCGCACGGAACCACCCTAATCGCTCTCTGCAGGTTACGTCAGCGCCGTTGATTCGTTACAAGCCCCGAGATGAACGTCACTGCTGCGAGACACTCCAGTCACGGTCACGCTCATCTCACGTGAGAGCCAGGCTAAACTCACCAGAAATCAGAGCCACAATCATGCGGTACAGGTAGTAGAAGAAGCAGATGAGGTAGAAGCCGAGCTTGATGAACGACTCCTTCTTGTGCGCGGACAACGTGCGGAAGATTTCCGTCGCGTCGTACATGTGGTTTTTGGACATGATCCTGCGCACGGGCGTCAGCTCTCCGACCATTGACAAGATAAGAGCTAGCACCTCCTCCAAAGGCGCACGGAGATCACTCACTTGTTGACGTTGTAGGCGACGAGCGGGGCGTTGATGAGGAAGGCGAGCCACTGGCCCGAGAGGAGGAAGAGGAGGGTGATGAACGCGTGGGCGATCATTTCGGGGAGAACAAACTGTTCCGTCAGCTACCGGCGGGCGATGTTCCAGCTTACCTGGTTGAGCTTGTTGCAGAGGTCGATGGGGTTGATGTAGTCTGTCTGTCAGCGGGGTGCTCGGCGTGCGCATAGCCGCGTCCTGGTTAGTCCGGCACGGCGGTGGCCGAAACGAAACCCGATCGCTGTATCGTGACACATACCGCACTCAAGGTCCGAGAACATGATGATCTGGCTGTCAGTTTTGAACTGTGGTGCGAACAACTCACGAAGAACACCATCGTGAAGAGGAGGACCGCGGCCATGACGACCGCGAAGAGGAACAGCCATCCTGGACGTCAGTGATCAAGTAATTTCGGCGGGCACGGCGGAGGGTTTGCGGGTCAACATGAAACCAAGAACCTTGATTTCATCATCGGACCCGCAGCCGGCGGATGCGGGCTCACCTTCGCCACCCATTGTTGCTTTGTTTCTGTTTTGTTCGGCGTGTGTCGGGGGTGTCTCGTTAGAAGCAGTGAGTAGTTGCAGAGGCGATGCGGATGCCGGTGCTGGATGTGTCGAGGTCGAGACGTGATGAGAAATGCGACACCAAGTGTCGTCGTCCTATCTCGTGCGCCTTGCGCGTCTGGCAACCAGTCCACTATTTTGCTTCCGCCAGCCGATCGTTTGGTTGAGCCGTGAGCCATGAGCCGGCGGCCCGGCCACCCACCCACTGGGCTCTGCATCAACAACCCAGCGGCCAGCGGCCAACTTTCGACGCGTCACCCAGTCTACGCCTGCTTACGCCATCGTTCACATCGCATCTCTCATGTCCCGCTCGAAACCGTACTCCCGCCAGAGCAGCGGCTCGGGACCCTCTGGAGGCAAGCGCGACACAGACGCTGCCTGGAAGCACGACCTGCACGACTCGCGCCCGGCTCTCCTCCAGCGCCTGGGATCCGGCTCGCCTGCGTCCTCGGCATCCTCGCTCAAGTCTCGTTTGGGGCTCGACTCCTCCTCCCCCCGCGAGCGCAACAGTCCGAGCTACGCTGGCCGCGAGCTCCTGCCCGGAAACAGTGGACAGGTCCACGGCCTACGTAGCGATAGCATCGGGAATGCGGGGAAGGAGCTGCTCCCCGCTGGAAAGTCGGCACGGAGCGGACGCGGATCGCGGCCGAGGGGAAGCAACGGCAACGAGGGCGCTGCGTTTGCGGCCAACGCGCTCGGAAACCTGAGGCGGGATCGCAACGATCGCAGTGACAGAGATAGGAGGGACAAGCCTGTTTCGATTGCTGGCGCCGCTCGTGCTTGGGTCCGCGTCGAGCATCTGGCTCCGGGCACGACAGGCGCTGATGTCAAGGTATGTCGCTGCTGACAGATCCCCGCGAGCTGATTTGGGAGCTAGATGAGCTGACGTCAGTCCGCCTTTGCGAGTTCGCCGATCCAGCGCGCCGAGGTCACCTCCCGTCCGGGAGACAAGGACGTCGTGGTCGAGCTCGAGCTTCCGGACGAGGAGGCCGCGCGCGAACTCGTGCGTCAGTACGACGGCGTGAGCGCCGATGGCCAGCGGTTGCGTGTATCTGTCATCAGCCGCTCGCCCGCGCCGCAGCAGAAGGATCTGTCCTCGCGAATGGGCGGAGGACGGAGAGAGGAGAGCGGGTGAGTCTACCAGCTGATCCTCATCCATGTAGCTAATCAAAACAGCAAGATGTACTCGGACCAGATCCAGATGCTGCAGCCGCGTCCGCCACAGAAGACGAGCCTCGCGGACCGCATTGGGCGCCGTTAGCGAGGTGTGAGTTTCCTTTTTCCCGGGTTGAAACTGACGATCAGGCCATCTGAGAGATACCGGGGTCGGCCGAAGAGGAGTGCTGTGGGAAGACAAAAGGCCAAGAGCCAGCGTGTATGTAAACTATGCCAACTGCTGCGACTGCTGCAAGGGAGAGTCCGAGATATCCATAATCATACACTAATCTAACACCTCGCCGTTGCTTGACGAGTCGTCCTCCAGTCTTGTAATCTAGCGGCCAGAGGGCTCGCTTACTCGAGCGGCTGGGCCTGGAGCTTCTCAACGCCGCCAGCCTTGCGGACCATGCGCTTGAGCTCTCCGGGCGTCTTCTGCCAGACGTTGAGCTTGCGGTCGAGCGCGGCGCGCGAGAAGTCGTCGCCGTGCTTGTGCACCAGACGCGTGAGCCAGATACCCTCCGCGGCCGAGGTGTGCGCTGCACCGGGGCCGACGTAGCGGCGAGAGCCTCGAGGTCTGGGGTCAGCTTGGACTTCAAGCAACAGCCTATCACTCCGCTACTCTCATCTGGAACCACCCTGCAGACTTAGATCATCTGAGCTTCAGAGAGCGGGCATGTGGTTCCAGGTCGGAAGATGAGAGCAGCAGCTTGTAGATCACTCACCTCGGACAACCTGCGTCTTGGCCTGGACGGGCGCCTTCTCAAACTCGTCCTCCTCGGGGTTCAGCGGCTTGCCCCACCGCTTGTCCTCCTCCTTCTCCTCCTTCTCGTCCTCCTCGCCGTCGATGATGATGTCGATCACATTGCCCTCCTCGTCGCGCACGATGCGGCCGAATCCGATCGAAGGCGCGCCCTCAGGTAATGACTGCGTCGGGAGCTGGACCTTGGCATTCGCATTCTCCGGGAGCGGGATCGAGGGAAGCAGGCCAAGCGCGGCGTAGCTGGGGTCAGCTCATCATAGGGGCGGGGGAGCTCAAGAGGCGGCGGATAAAGGCTCGGCATGACCACGCGAGGAGGAGAGGACAACTTGCGAAATGCAACCAGCTCCCAAGCCTCTACAAGGATGTGTCGTAGTTTGCCCCTGTAACCATGCTCTACACAGCATCTGTAGCGTCCAAACTCATGGCCAGGAAACCCTCTCGCTCAGCAACCCAACTCACTTCTGGAACACCGTCTTCTTCCTGTCCCAAGCGTTCTGCAGTGTCTCAGGTCCGAAGAGCGGGTGCGCCTTGCGCAGCTTCTGCTTCAGGCGGCGCTTCTGGAGGAGATTCGGTTTGGTCGACTTGCCCGAGCGGGACTTGGCGCGCTGGCGGGGGTTGGCCATGGTTGTTGGTCGTGGGTGTAGAGAGGTGCGTAGGCAAGGTCACTCTTGCGCAAGTGGAGGTGAACCTCAGGTGCCAAAATAATTGCAACGGTTGGTGGCGGGAGTGGGACACCGTGGGAAGGCTGGCTGATGTCACTCCAGGGCTGGTGTCACTCCAGGGCTGGAGCTCCAGGGCCGGTAGTTGCCGCCCAGCCTGTCGATTTCGGACTGGTGGTCTCTTCCTCGCTGCACGAGCTGTAGTTTGGGTTGTGGTTCCAGACAGGTTACACAAGACCATGCTGCACGGCGTCACGATTAACCCAATTCATAGTGTTCTAATCTACCATAGTCCGTTCTAGTCCTGAATCTGCACCTTGATCGCGCCCTGGCTCGGGTCCGCCGCGACCTGGAACGCCTCCACGGCCTTCTCGAGCGGGAAGCGGTGGGTGACGAGCGGCTTGAGGTTGATGAGGCCGCCCTCAACGAGTCGGATGGCCTTCGGGTACTGGTTCGCGTACCTGTACTGGAACTGAAGGTCGATCTCGTTGGCGCTGCAGTATCCGAAGGGGTAGCTCTGCTCATCGGGCCCGACGCCGATGACGAAGACCTTGCCGCCAAAGACGACAGAGTAGATGGCAGCCCGGATCGAGCTCTCGACACCAGTGCAGTCGAGCGCGACGCGGAGCGGGCCCCCGGCAGCCTTCTTGATTTCCGTGGCCACATCTTCGGAACTCTGGCCGCGCGCAATCGTCACCGTCTTCACGGTGGGGACGAGCTTGCGCGCAAACTCGAGACGGGACTCGAACAGATCCGTGATTACGATGGGGAAGCAGCCGGCGGCGTGGCAGGCGAGCAGAGTGACGAGTCCAATGGGACCGGCACCGCAGACGACGACAGGGTCGCCGAGCCGAACGCCTGCACGCTCCATGCCCGCAAGAGCGACGGCGAGCGGCTCACAGAGCGAGCCCTCCTCGTAGCTTACGTTGTCGGGGAGCTTGTGCAGCCACGCCGCGGGGTGGGCATGGAAGCGGGTCAGAGTGCCGTGGTACGGCGGGGTGGAGAAGAAGACGACGCGGGGGCCTGCATGTCAGCTTCAAAGAACTCTCGAACCGAAGCTGAGGAGCCAACAACTTACAGGCATTGTAGCGGCCGGTACGACACGGGTCGCAGTCCGGAAGCGAGCACGGCACACCGGCCTCAATCGCAACACGGTCACCGACCTTGAGGTCCGTCACACCAGGGCCGAGCTCGACAACCTCACCGGCCGACTCGTGCCCGGCACCGCACTCGTCCGTGACGATCATTGTAGGACCGATGTGGCCATGCTTCCAGAAGTGGACGTCAGAACTGCTGTCAGCGACCTGAGTCAAAATACATCATCGAAGCTCGCCGCTCAGGGCGTGATCTGGTCAGAGTAGGACTCACCCGCAGATACCGGTCGACTTGACGTGCACGATGACCTCTCCCTCGCGCGGCGTGGGGACCGGCTTGTTGATCATGTGCACCTCGTGGGCGGGGTTGTAGGCGCAGGCAATGTTCGCCTTCTTGTCGGCGAGGACGGCATCGTCGGCGTTGAGGACGCGGAACTCCTTGCTCTTGAGGACGCGGGCGGGGTCGTACGCCGCCTCGAAGTGGGTCGGGGTAGCGGCAGCAGCGTTGACCGTCATGATGCGAGCAGCGGGTGAGCTAGCGAGTGAGTGGGCGGTAAGTGAGAGATGAAGAGAGGGGAGAAGACGATGCAGAGGGAAGTTCCCAGACGATATACAGAAGCGGACCGTCACGACGCAGCCTCAGGTGGGCTTCAGCCTGGTGACCCAGACCTCGCCGCTGGGCAATGGGTGTTTTGAAATTGTCGGTATGACACCCAGGCAGCCTGGAGGGACCGGGCCGAGTGCCGATCAGGAATCTGATAACCGCCGCTCAGCCTGCGGTTGTTGCCCTGGCGCGAGGCGGGTATTGCCCGGTTCTTGCCCTTCTACCGAATCGCAGCTCCCCTCTCTCTCTATACGACACTTCATTGTCGCCAGTTCCGGAACGGATGAAGGCTCCTGTGACACGCTGCATACGTTCGCGTTCCGAAGATCCCGAGAAGACGGCTATAGGCTGCTGTCGCCGCTTGGCAGTCCTGGTACGGAGACCAGTTGCCCGCGGGGAGAGCGGTATGTCGGATATCTCCCGGCGGTTCATTTGCTTCCCTCCTCGCTTCTGTCGACTCGAGGTGTTCCCCTTTGGACATGCAGCTGAGGCTGTTGCTTTGCGACTCTACTTATCACCTGAGGTCTATGATGCTGTCCTCCTAAGACTCCCCACCTGGCTGCAGACCGTCATCGGACTACCTTCACGGTGCCGACATTCGACCCCTATCTGACCTACAGCAGCGCTCTCGCGAGAACTGAGAAAGCCCTCTCGATCCCACTTGCTCACTCCTCTTAGTACAGACTACCTCCAGAGCCCTAGAGTCTACAGAGCCGCCTCGCTGGCACAACTGATTAGAATCCGACCTCACCTGGTGACATTCTCCCCACCGACGGCTTCGACCTCTCGAGCTCGCCAACCGCTCAAACGGGCCACCCTTCCTCAGCACTGGGTGATGCTACACAATGCATAAACTGACAAGAGGATAACCATTCAGACAACTTTCGTTCTTTAGCAGCCACTCTATTTCCTCGTGGCGCGCTTGATGAGCGCGGCCGCGACGATGCCCGTGATCGCCGTCGCACCGGCGAGGATGCCCATGCCTGTGTGTCAGCTTGCAACCGCCTGGCGCCAGCTGAGGCAGATTGAACCTACCGATGTAGCCGTCCCGGGCGACGGCGCGGTCGATGAGCTGGCGCAGCGACTGGGCCTGCATGTTCTCGGGCTCGACGGCGAGGAGGAGGTCTGCGAGTCAGCTTATCCATCACGAAAGAACAGCTGTAGTTGGAGTGTCTGATGCGGGGAAGGTCAGAGCGAGGGGAACTGAGGACATGCAAAGGATGCTTCAGAGTCCAAGACTTACCGTTGAACTTTCGTGCGTACGTGTAGTTGCGCAGCTTGTAGTATCCCACCGCGATGTAGTAGGTGCACTCCCTGCGGTGGCTCGGGGACGCCGAGTAGATCTCTGTTTGTCCGATGGGGCGCGTGACAGCAACATCGGCGTCATCCACCATCACGATGTCCGGTAATAAGCGTCAGGTCGTTCGCGGCGAGTTAAATAGCGCGACATGACGTGTTCGGGGAATCGGTTCAGACGTGAAGCAAGCGTGATCATATCGAATGAGCGGAGATGGTAGAAGCACGGCGTCAGCTCTCGTCCCCATCAGCAAGAAGAAACATACCCTGCAGCAGCTTGACGCCCTCCGTCTGTAACTCGGCCGCGCTCGACTTGACCAGTCCCCATCCTGCTGTCAGCTATCAGGTCCTGCAGAGAGAGCTCACCATAGTTGAACTTGGACTGCGTCGTGACGTGCCCGCTCTCAATCTCCTTGTAGTACTGATTCCTGAGAACCTGGTGGGTCAGCTATGTCACTGGAAGTCCACATAGCTGCTGGCGAGAAGGACGAGTGCGTTCCGCAAGTGAACGGCGGTCATTGATTTCCGGACGCAGTCTGCGGTGGAGCAACACGTTCGAGGGCCGTCGACATTCGTGCACCGCCATGCATAGCCCAGTGGGAACTGCGATATGGCTGCCACCCGTCCATGACGAAAGGCAGTAGCGCGCAATGCGTCAAAGCAAGGAGCGCCGAAACACCGACACCGACACTCCACCTGTGTCACTCGCCACCCAGACTCACCTCGAGCTCGTCGTAACTCAGCGACGTCTCCGCCTCAGCCGCGTACGGCAGGTCGGTGGCGATGGAGGCCATTGTCTGCTGTTTCGTAAGGTAGCGTGAAGGAGAAGCGCGGGGTATCGATCGAAAGTCGAAAGTTGGAAGGTCGGGGCACCGAAGGATGATCGAGGAGGAGCGGACAAGTACAGCAACAAGCGACGCCTCAGCGCCTCGGCTTGGTGATCGGATGGAGTTCGGGACACCACGAGGGGGAGCGAACCGGGCCTAGCTTGGAGTGAGCGTCATGGGCGTTTACGTAAGGGTATGACCGAACCTCCACTTTGCAGATCCGCTGATCGCCCTTCTCTGCGAGTGGGCCCAACTCGAGTCCGCTTCTGCTTGCTACCATCGCCAGCCCTCTCCAGCGATCAGATGCGACTTTGACAGCTGCCGTTGGGCGGTGTGGTGAGTTGGTGTGCGGATGTCGGGCCTTGCTCTGCTCTCGCACCGCCGCCACCGGCGTCGCGCCCCACCCGCCGACGGTCCCATCGTGTCCTCTTCGCTAGTATATCGGTTAGTATAATCGCCTCTCAAGTGAGAGCTTCCTCAGCTGTTCTACAGCTGTATGGTGCGCGATAGAGCAGGGTTCGACTCCCTGGCGGAGAATGCGGAGCAACAGCTTCTCTTTTGGCCTGTCGCGGGGCTTCTTTTGGGCTACTGATGGGGTGAAGGAGCCTCAGAAGAATGGGGAGAGGAGATGAGTGAGAGGAAAACTGACTGAACGAGACAGATGTATGGCACAAATGATACATACATGGCTTGACTTGTTGACTTCTGATGATTCTATGCTACATTTCTTCTTCTCTTTCTTCTCTCGCCCCCACCGCTCAGGCATCGCTCTCCACATCGCTCTCCTCCGCCACACCCTCAGGCTCGGGACGGTAGTACTTGCGCGCAAACGCCTCGTCGTCGCTGTCCCACCCAAAGTCCTGGTTGACAGGGATGTACGGCTGGGTATAGGTGAGCGCATCCTGGGCGATGAGCGGGTCGGCGCCATCCTCCCAAGCGCGGCGGGTCATGATGCGGACGTGGCGGAAGTTGGGCGTGCCGAGCTGGTCGAGGCGTGTGTAGATCGGCGCGGTCCAGTCACCCGCCTGCAGCATGTTGCGCGGCTCGAGACCCACGAGAGTGAGATTCAGCATCGGCAGGCCCTGGACGATCTCCACGAGCTGATTCGGATTCGCGTCCCCGCCCGCTGCGTTGTGCCAGACCAGCGTCAGGCTCTCGAGGTCCGGCAAACAGCGGAAGCGAGTGGGAAGCAGACCACGCTCGCTGTCGTAGTGCAGGTGCAGGACCGCGTGCTGGGTACGGGGGATGAGGAACGCGAACGGCGACGCGAGCTGCCCGTCGGCAAATTCGAGACCCCAGCCTCCCGCGTCGTCGAACTCGGCCCAGCTCTGCACCAGGTTCAGGTAGCTCACGAACGTGGGCGCCTGCACGCGCCACTTGCGCGGGTGGCGCTCCCAGTGCCAGTCTGGCTTGGAGCGCACGAGCTGCACGTCCTTGAGCCCGAGAGCGAGCTGCTTGATGCGGCTCTTCGTGCTGTAGAAGTCGAGCACGCGCACGTGGCGCAGCTGAGCCATGCGCGAGAAGTACGCCGCGTCCAGCGCCGCCGTGTCGTCGCCCTCCTCCTTAAGCGGGCCGAAGTACTCCTCAATCGGGTCGTCGTAGTCCCTGTGGTCTGGGGCTGGGGCGGGGTCCAGGTCCCACGGCACGAAGGGAAGACGGTCGCCCCAGGGTGAGAGCAGGACGAGACCGCTCGCACGCTCTGGCGTGCACAGCAGGACGTGGCGGAAGAGTCGTGCGTCGACGCGGTCCTTCACGGCACGGTTCACAAGACGAAGGACGAGCAACCCCGCATGCGGCGTGAGAGCGAAGATCTGGTCAAAGATGTGAGGGTACGCCGAGGCGTCGAGCTTGGCCCCGAGGTGAGGTTGTGCAGTTGAGGGGGCGTGCGGCGAACCCTGCGGCGTGGGAGGCAAGCTGAACGGCGTTGAAGGGCGCGAGTCTTCCTCCTCGAGCGGAGGTGAGAGTGGGCGCGTCTGCCTCGCCCAGTTGCCGAGGGTACCAGTGGCAGCGTAACTATCGTCCTTGAGCGAGCCGAGCGCCTCAGGCGTGAGCGGGTTGCGGGGAATCCAGAGCTTGCCGCGTCCCCGCCCACGTCCACGGCCACGATAATTGGGGTAGCTGTAGTTTGGCGTGTTGTCGGATCTGTTCACATTGTAGGAGCGGTTGTAGAAGCCAGGCTGATCGATGTCTTGGAAGCTGAAGCGGCCGCCACGTCCGCGGCCATAATCACCACGACCACGGGGTGCAGCACGGGGGCCTTGGTCGAAGCGAAGGGGAGCATTCCAGGCTGAGCCTTGGAGAGACGGAGGCGTCGCCGTGGCCACAGTGTAACCGGCGGTTGAGAGACTGCCCGAGCCGAGCCCTCGCTGGCCCTGCGTGCTGAACAGCACGGTGCCCGGCGCCGATCCCGCATGGGACGCCGCACGGGAGGGAGCACGTGAGGGCTCGCGTGAGTCTGGCATGTCGGACCATTCGATGGTCTCAATCGGTTCCACCTGCGTTCTCGGTGCTGCCGATGCGGGGCGCGAGGGTGCAGTCTGGAACCATTGCACCATGGTGGGGTCTGCAGTTCCGGGACGAGAAGGTGCCGGGGGTGGTGCATGTGGTTCGGCCCTCGATGGTGCCCTCGAGCCGTGCAGCGACGGAGGCGCCGATGCGGAGTAGCCAGGAGTCACGGTGGAGTTGCTGGCCGGAATGTCGCGTCGCGTAGTCGGGGAAGGCGGAGGTCCACCCCGGAAGCTGCCTCCTCGGCCACGGTGGTTGCTGAATCCTCTGTGGTTGTGTCCTCTGTTGTAGCCTTGACCCCATCCTCCTCTGTTGCCAGCCTGTCCAGCGTGGCCTCCTCTGGCGTGGTACCCTGCATTAATGTAACCTTGCTGCTGATCGTTCGCATATCCACGCTGAGTACCGGGAGCGGGGTTTCCCCCATCGCCGTGCACGCGCACGCTGTCGCCACCGCGCCCGCCGTTGCCAGGTGTTGTCGGTGCACCAAAGCGCCCCCTCTGCGCACTGAGAGGGCGCGGTGGTAAGTTGGGGTTGGGTGGGAGCATCTTCTAGGCGGCTTGCGGAGGTGTCGGCGTGCTGTCGCCCTGAGCGAAGTTACTGAAAGCAATTCTCTGCTTGCTGCGTCTGAATAGTAGGGTGGCGGCGAAGAGCGCCCCTGGGAAGCGGCGAGAGCGCCCTCGGAGGTGGGGACGGGTGAACGGCGACGCGCGCCCGAGGAAGGTGAACTTTCTCTGTCGAGTCGGGGAGGGGAAGGTGAGGAAGGTCGGTTGGTCTATCGGCGAGCACGCCCGAAGAGTGTGAAGTTAAGAGGAGAGTAGACGAGAAGGAGGAAAATGTTTCCAAGGGGAAGGGCGTACTTGCGTTAGTAGTGTCATCTGTGTGGGTGAGACGCGGCTCGATCGGGGTGTGGGATCTGTGGATGAGTGGATGCGCGATGTGGCCGGGAGACGAGCGATAGGCGCGAAAGCGGCGATGAGGGATCGTCGGCAATCAAGATTGATTGTCGGCCTAGCATCCGGTTAAGCGTCGCTTCGATCGCCTTGTTGCTGATTACGCTGCGTTCCATTTGCCTTCTGTCCTTACCACGCAGAAGCGTATGTTGGTGCTGCACAGCCCAATGCCAGAACCAACGATACATACAACAAACCAGCCTAGCTCCACCAATGCTTCTTCGTCCCCTCCACAGCGCCGACCTTGATCTCCTCCTTCTCCCTGAGGTCCTTCACATCCCTGGTCCCACCCATCCCAACACACACCTTGCCCTTCTCATTCTTAATCAAAATCTTGGACTGGTCCCCCTTCTTCAGCGTCGTATAGCTGCTCATCGCCATGTCGAGGTAATCGTCCTGCTCCCTAAGCGCCTCGGGGACATACTTGCTAATGCCCTTCATGAGCTTGTGAGCGCGGAACTTGTTCTTGCGCCCCGCGCCCCGCTCGCTCCCGAGCGGAATCACGTTCGTAGTCCACAGATCTTCGTAAGGGTTTACGACCTCGTCGAGCTGCGGTCTGAGGATGGAGCCGAACACGGGCTCCTCGCCGCGCACGTGGATCGGGCCGAGGAAGTTCTCAGGCAGCAACAACAACACATCGCCCTTGCGCGTCTCGACCAGCAGGTCGATTTGCCGGTTGGCGTCCAGCTCCTTCAGATCAATGAGGATGCCGCCGCGGTCGGAGCGTACCTCGACACGCGCCTTCGTCCGGCCCTGCTTCACTTTTGGCGGGATCGTGCCGTCCGGCCCGGGCGTGGGCGCAGGCGACGGCACGCCCCCGCCCCGCTCATCGACGACTGCGAGCGTGAGGCTGATCCCCCCATTCTCGGTCTGGAACTTGGCATCCGGCCGCAACACGTAGTGTTTCGCCAGCCCGCCCAGGCCGCCAATCGGCGCCCCGATCGTCCAGTTGAAGTCTTGCTCGGGGTACGCCTCGACTGCACTCAGGGCCGCGTCCGCCGTCGTCGTCATCGCCGCCGGAACCGTAAGGAGGGACTTCTGGAGACATGGATCGAGGTAGGACACCTTCGTGATTGGCTCCTTGCCCGCAGCCTTCGCCTTGTCCTTCGGCTGCGCCTTTGGGCGATCCTTCCTCGGCGGTGTGGGGGCGGGGAGGGAGGCGGAGGCGGTGGCCTTGGTCGGCTTCGGGGGCTGGGATGGGCCAGCGCCGGGGGTGGCAGTAGCAGAGGCGGGAACTTTGGCGGGAGCCGACGCCGCCGAGGTCTGTTTCTCGGGCACTGGCGGACCAGACGTCTGTTTTCCGGGGGAGTGGGTGCCGGCGACACACCTTGTGCAGCTTCCCGTCCCTCGACGCTTAGTTGAGCCTTCTCTGATGGCGTCGGTCGGCTCTCTACAGCCACGGTCGCTGCGCGTAGTGGCTGTTCCAGCTGTGGACACCCCGGTCTCTTATCGGCAGTCGTCGCCGCTCGGGACGTGATCGAATGCGCGTGGGCACGTGTCTGTGGCCCCTCGACGGCAATCGAAGCCGCGCGAGGTGCCTGTGGCATTGTTGGCCGCATCCGTGTCGACAGAGCGTCAGGATGCTGCCCCGCGCCGAGAGAGGTAGCGCGAGGCTGTCCCTGGCCCATTCCCCTCGGAGGAGCACTCGCTGCTGGCTGAGTTTCCGTCGCGACGGGTTGACGGGTCCACTGGATCGGTGGCTGTGACCTCTGGATATCCGCGCTTGTCCTCCGAATTCTCTGCGGGCTAGTCGGGACAGGAGTCTTCGTGCTCTGCTGCGCGTCCGCTGTCGTCGCCCCCGACGGCGACAGAGGCGCATTCTGCACCGTTCGTGTCCGGGGCGACTCGGGGAGCAGTCCCTGGGACCCGTGAGAGGTTGATGTCTGGGGAGACCGAGGCGGGGGCGTGCGCGACGATACCTGTGGAATCTGAGGCAGCGGTCTGGACCCACTAGTCGTGCGCTGGTGCGGGTGGTGTGACTCCCGCGGCGATCCTCTCGGCGTCAGCGGAGGTGTGAGTGGAGAGTTCTCGCCCAGCTCAATCGGAGGCGGAACGCGCCTCTGCCTCGGAGGCGACGGTGGACGCTGCCCGATCGGTACGGGGGCGGCGACTCGGTGTTTCTGAGCCGAGACTGGGGACTCGGGGGCGATGGAGACAGATCCACTCCGCGAGGCGGTGTACTTCGGGACTGTGTGCGCGGGAACCTTGGGCGGGAGTGGCGGAGGTGTTGAGGATGCTGAGGCGGCAGATAGCGTGGACTGCGGCGAGATCGTGAGTCGTTCCAACCCCGCTGGTCCAGAGGCAAAGGACGTTGGCTCATCGCTCACTCCGCCCTCTGTGGCAGGATGGAGGCCATACTGCGCGCCGGCTAGGAGACGGTCCGAGGCGCCGGTCGGTTTGCGCTGAGGTTGCGTGTTCTGCCGCGGCGCGACGGGCTGGTGCGCGTGGTTTGCACTCATCGCCAGATGCGCTCACAGGTTAAGCAAGTGGAGGTGGTCGTGAGAGTGGAGGTGGAGCGATGTGGTAAATCAAGAGTTACAAGCAACAAAAACCACGAGGCAAGCGATCGCAGGCAAGCAGGGCGCCATGCTGCAATGAGCGAGGCTAGCAAGGAGTTATCACCACCAAACTAGTCCGTGATTGGTATGCAGACGATGCCGACGTTGACGGCGGAGTTGATGACGTCGGCCCGGCCGTGGACGTTTCGGACTCCTAAATTAGATCTTGTGTCATCTTCCCACGGTCGAATACCACGTCCCGTCCCAGGTGATCTCTCGAGGGTCAAGTGCCCGTCTCGAAATTGTACTGCACGCCATGCCCCTACCTGGTTCCCCACTTGAACGTAAGGGAGGTGGGTGGTGCGGATTTGCAGCAGAAAACAGCACGACGAGTTTCGGAACGCTGGCGTCCAACGAGGAGGAGAATTAAGTGGACGAAGGGTAAAGTTGGGTTGTGATCCTCAGTGAAATCGGTGAGCTCCTGCGACGCCTCTCGCGAGCACAAGCCGTGTCCTTTGCCCAGCACACTGGTGGTCAAGGCGACAGGGATCAAGGGACGATGCGGACAAGGAGGGAGGGACGAGTAGGGTTTTGCTTGCAGCATTCACTGGCCGCCGCACTTCGAGACATGAAACGGCCACATGCGATGGCGGTGATACGCGAGCCGATACACGCGACACCGGCCCCGATCGCCCCGATTGCCCTTGCCGCTTCGACGGTCTCTCCATCGCATCTCATCTCGTTCATCCGACTGCCACCAACCAAACTCCTGCAATCCACCTGGAGACTGAGACTCGACCGTCGACAGCATGCTGCATGCAGGATGCTATACATCGTGCACGGCGCCATGTAGGAGGCTGGAGGATGGAGAAATGACCCTGCGCTTCGAAACCGTCAAGAGCGATCTAGGCGGTTGCGGCGCGCGCTCGGACCCCCGCACTCGACCCTAGTCTCGCTCTCGTCGTATGCTCATCGGCCGGAGACACCACCAGGATACCACGTCGGCAAGCACAATGCGCTCATGCAGGGCTACGCAGCAAGCCCAGCGTCCCAGAATGCGGTCCTGACGAGTTCCTGCACGGCCTGGTCCGAGCACACTCCTCACCTCCATCTCTACGTCCGCATACCGCTCTTACATCCTCCTAGCCCTGCTCACTGACCTCGTGCCGTGGCCAACGCCGGCCCCGCCCACAACCCAACGCCTCAGCCTCAGCCGCAGCCCATCGCACACCTAACGACGACCACCACCACCACGGGACCATGCTCGATGCGCACTAACTCTGCTCGACCACTCCCAGACTACCCGCACCCAACTTTTTCCTCTTGACACCCCTCCATCGACATTTCACACCGCTACTCTCTTTCACTGTCCGTCTATCACTTACCCCTTATCTCATATCCATACCTCCCCGGCGCCAGTAGCGATCCACCAGCCGTGCGAGTCCACTCAGGTCGAGGTATCCGGTAGCGTCAAGACCAGGTGTCGAGGTACGTGGACTATCTAATGGGAGCCGCCGTGAGCGAGGATGGAGGGAGGGCACACACACACACACACTGAGGAGCGTCGAGCTGACGATCACAGGATGAGCACCCACCACCGGCAGAAGCGTGGGCGACGAGGGGGTCCTGGCCATCGACCCGACCACCGTCCTCCCGGGCTGGTGAGCGGGTTAGCCGAGCAGCCCGGGCAGCCGCTGCCGTCGCCCCGCGTGTCCATGTCGTTCAACACGCAGCCCGGTCATCCGTTTGCGCCTCCCCCGTTCAGACCGGGGGCGCACACCCGCCAAGAGTCGAGCTTCCAGTCGCACGCCTTTCCTCTCCCAGGCATGTATCCGTGGTCCACTCCGCCTATCCCCTCGACCCCAGTCAAGCCTAGCCCCTTGGGAAACAACTCGACCACTGCTTCTGCTTCTGCCTCCAAGTTTGGTCCTGCTCCATATCAACCCCAAGGCAACGGCAACGAGCCTCGAGGATCAGTCCACCAGCGCAGTCCCCCCACCCACTCGCAAGAGTTACCTACAAAACGCCAGCGACACCGCCAGGTAGAGAACGGTATAGGTTTGGGACGCCCTTCCAGGCTCTCCATCTCGGTGACCGCCAGCCAGGCGGCCAAGGCTGCTAGGAGCGCTACGGCTCCAGGCGGTTCTGCGGTCCCAGTCCGACAGCCCTTTGGCCCATCGAACCCCTCGGACGGTCCTCCGCCCTTCGCCAACGGTGCACGGAGAACCTGGGCTCTCGACCCCTCAGCTCGCGCCACTCTCGGTCACTTCCCGCACTCGTCGCTGTCGCTTCCTCTGTCCGGCCAGCCGCTTCCACGACACGGAGCAAGACAGTCCGTGTCAAATCCCGGTGGCGCATTCTTCGGACCGAGGAAAACGCACACATCACACCTTTCACGGTCCCACGAGCGAACCCCGAGCATTCCACACAGGGTTGGACCTCCACCCAAAGCGATCCTGGGTGGACCGGGCGGTAAGACATTTGAGGAGCTCCGTGTCCCATCACCTGCTCGCCCTGCACCTGCACCCTCTAGCCCAACCGCGGCCGCTTCTTCCGACCTTCCACGTCCATCTTCACCGTCGGCAGCTCCCAACGGTGACACCATCAGCAGCCCCCCGAAGCCGACAGCCAAGGAGCCCTTTGATGTCAAGCACGGCGGGACGACGGTGCGTGTGGCGCTGCCCCCTGACGTCTACGACCCGCCCGACACACCTTTGGAAGAAGTTGCCGAAGACTCTGAGGAGGCGGACGGTGCTGAGCTTGCTGAAGACGATACTACTGTGACGCAGGACGGCGAAGCTGAGGTCAAGGAACTGGACGCTGCGTCTGACTCGGTACTTGCAGCGGACGAGAAATCTGGAGAGGACGGAGAACCAGGTCAAGATACCGAGACTGGTGAAGAGGCGAAGGACCCTGGCTCCGACGACAACGCCAAAGAGGCCACCGAGACAACTGAGACTATCGAGAAGCCCGTCCGGCCCTCGAAGCCGCCTCGGAAGGAGGCATTCCCGTGGCCTGAGCGAAAGGTTGCCTCGCCCAAGAGTATCCCTCTGCCGCCGTCGCCTCTCGACGAGGAGCTCGAATTGAGCGACATTGAGAACTGGGTCGCGCACGACACTCCCCACGGCTCCATCGATATCACGTCGTCTTGGAACGGCAAGGCCGTCAAGGTGTCGATGCCACCGGTGAGCTTGGGAAAGTGGTTTGCAAGCTGACGAGACAGGAAAGCTTTGAGGCATTGAGGGCCAAGAGTATGTCTCCGGGTTCGACGGAGCCCTCAGCTCTGTACGAGGATGCCGTGGACCAGGTCGAGCTGGCGCTGGACGTGGAGATGCGCGAAGCGACTCCTCCTGAGAGCGACGAATCCGCCGAGCCGGCCGATCCTGGCACCGCACGTTCCCTCCCGACGCACCTGAGGAGCGAATCGATGCAGAGCAACGCCACCGCCACGGGCTCAGACGCAGACAGCAGTACGATGCCTTCGCAGTCCCAGCGCCGCCACACGAATCTCAGCCTCAGCAGCAACCCCTTCTTACAGCGCTCGTTAGGCGGCATCCTGCGCGGCGACGGGCGCGAGAACCGCTCCAATGCCCCGTCCCCCGTCAGTGCAGCGTTCCCGCAGCGTGGAGAGCTGCCCGACTGGTATCACGACCCGACGATGCAGAACACGCCCTCGCCCAGCCAGTCCAACTTTATCGGCTCGCAGGGATTCCCACAGGACGGGTTCCCGCAGCAGGGCTTCTTGCCCGACTGGCCCACGGACATGCTGCCAAAGGCGGAGGTGGTTGGAGGGAAGGAGGCAAGTCCAGAGCCCGATGCTTCAGAGGAGGGAGAGGGCTGGGGCACGCCACAGTCTACACCTGGCAAGGAGCACGGACACTCTGCAACGAAGACAGAGACAGAAATTTCCGAGTCACTCTGGCCATCGACGTCGGCGTCAAAGGCTGACGAGGAGCCGTCCGCATCTCCGACCTCGACTGCGTCGACCGCTGACGACATTGTTGTCTCTGTCCAGGTGACGAGTGGCCCTCCGAAGGAGCCGTCCGCAAACACGGATGATCGTACCGTCACTGAGGAAAAGGATCTCATCAAGCTTGACTCGGACACCCCCAGCTCCGACACCAAGACCCGCGAAAGGCCTCGGCCCAAGGTCGCCACTGGCTTCTTGCAGCGCCAGCTGCAGAGTATCATGCGGTCGGACAAGTCCAAGGCGAAGCCGCCCCCTGCTCCCACTGCTCCTGCTCCCACACAGGAGGCTGAGGCGTCGACCTCTCCAGACGTTCCGCCGACGCCCCCGCCCACTCAGGAGTATAACGCTGGCTTGGAGCAGACCTCTGCGAAAGAGGAACGTGAGAAGATCGACGACCGTCAGGGATCCGACTCAGACTCGGAGAACAATGACGGAGGTGATGAGAGCTACAGCCTCGATGGCAGCGACGGTGAGGAGGACTTCGTTGACAGCCCATCCAGCCCGTTCAAACCCTCTGATGGGCAGGACGGAGAAATGAACGGAGACGACGCACCGCGCCACAACAACCCGAGCTTTAAGAGTCTCTCGCCCATCGGCAAGCTGAAGCCGAGTGCCTCTGTCTTCGTCCCCAGAGCTGTCGTTACTTCTCCCCCGCGGATGATGCCCAAGGTTGAGGCGCCGCAGCCTGAGCAGCGACCACCTTCTGTCACTTCGTCCGCCTTCACATTCGGCTACCCATCGACCGTTGAGCACCGCAAGCTCTCGCTGGCCTCAACCGCCAGCCCGCGAAACCCATCCAAGGTGCTGGCCTCGCTCCCTATTCTGCAGCCCTCTGCCCCGGCGTTCAAGCCAACGGCGCCTGCCTTCCAGCCCAGCGCTCCCGTCTTCCAGCCAGGTGCACCTGCGTTCCAGCCGAGTGCGTCCGTCTTCCAACCAGGGGCGCCCGTCTTCCAGCCCGCCGGCACCGGCTTTGGCGCGTCTAATCCCCAGACCGCCGGAACTGGTGGCGCCCTCGGCCTCTTCACCTTCACTCACAACCTGCGTCCAACTGCCGCCGAGTTCCGCCCCAACGGTGTTCGCCTGGGAGCCTCGCCTCTGCGCCAGAACGCGTCTCTTAAGCCCCACCCTCCCGAGCTCGACTTGTCAAAGGCGGACCCGACCTCGAAGCCCTTCGAGCTCGGCAGCGCCTTCTTCCCTAGCAATGAGGGCAAGCTGGAGTTTGGCAACGGCGAGGTGTCCCTTCTCATGCGCGAAAAGCGGCCGGTCAAGATCGAGCGCCCCGAGCCGCCTGCTGCACTGCTCCCTCGTAGGGACCCCGCGTCGCCCAGGCAACTCAGCCAACGAGAACGTGATTCGATGTCCGAGGCTGTATGTTTTGCGTACGGGAGAGCTTAACTGACCGCAGGAGGCCGTCTCTGACGAAGATCGCGAGTCGCCCCGCCGCCGCAAGCACACCGCTAAGAGGTCGTCGCAGAACTCGTACCTCCCGAAAGCGGCCAACTTCCCGAAGACCCCGGCTTCGCCTGAGAAGAAGGACGACGTCAACATCTACCCGTCGCAGCCTATCAAAGCCCCCGCTCGTGCTGAGCCAGACACGCCGTCCGCGTCGACCCACCAGAAGCGGCCCAGCCTGAACCCGACAGCTAAGCCGTTCGTCTTCGGTCAGGGCTCTTTCTCCTCGCCCGCCTCAACGCAGCTGCCTGACGGCAATGGCTTCTCGGGAGCGAGCAAGCGCGCCGCAGGTGCCGGGGTTCAGGTCGCCGACGCGTCGCGGTTCCGCTCGTGGGTCTTCCCAACCTCGGCTAGCAACTCGTCAGCCGCCAAGTCAACGCAAAAGCGGCGTCACTCGGACTCCGACCACAGCCGGAGCAGCAGTGGCGGCTACGATGACCGATCGTCGGCCGCCGACATGCACGGTCTGGATACTGCGGCCGTCGAAGCGATGCAGCGTGACATGGACGGCGGCGACTGGTCCGACTGGCCGGGCAGCCCGCCCAGGATGAGCCAGCTGCGTCCTGTTCAGACTGGCGAGTCTGTCGAGTTCCCGCTGCGACGCGATTCGGGACAGGCGATCGAGGTCATTAAGCCGACGAACGACACGTCGTCGTCCAACTCGCCTCTGTCGACGGCGTCTGACGTCGCCATAGAGCAGGGTCTCGCTGCTGAGATCCTCGACAAGCTCGACTCGCTCGAGCAGCAACTCGCATCCGTGAAGGAGGAGAATGAGCGTCTTCTTGAGGAGGCGTTCGATCGTGTCGATGTCGCGCACGAGTCGAGTGCGGTTCGCGCCCTAAACGCTTTGAGAGGTGAGCTGAGCTGCACTGGTCATAGCTGACAACAGACAACCTGCCGACCTCGACCCGGGCATTAGAGAACGTCGCAGCCGTCCTGACATCGCACAGCACGCTGCTGAAGGAGATCCAGACGGCGATCAACGACAACCTGATCGCGGATGAGGGCAGCTCGCGTGACTCATCGCAGTCCTCCGTCGCGGAAGGCGACACGACTCTCGTCAACACCAACACGCTGAACACGACCGCAATCCAAGAGCTCCTAACTTCTCTGCAAGCGGGGCAGAAGGCGATGATGGACAAGATCAGCCTTTCCGCGCAGAGCGCGACGATCGCCGAGCTGCGCGAGGTGAAGGCGGCTCTTCTGGACCTGCGCGCGCGAGAAGCCGAGGCTGACGACGCAAAGGCGAAAGAGATTGCAGAACTGAAGGCCATCCTGAAGGAGGAGCGGTCCCGGCGCGAGCTGGCAGACAGCAAGGCAGCCGTGCTCAAGTCGCAGGTCGAGACGCTCCGCCAGCGCCGCGACTCGACCGAGGACGCGTGGCGCACCTCGCTCCTCACCGAGGTCACGACGGCGAGCGCAAAGGTCAAGATCATCCAGGCGTCTGAGACTGAGGCGCAGCAGGAGCTCGTCTCCCTGCGACAGGAACTGAGCAAGCAGAGCGAGCTTCTCAAGGCTATGAAGGAGGAGGTAAGCTACCAGCAAGTGACGCAGCTGACAACAGCGCGACGCCGCAGCGCAGACAGCGAAGCAGAGACACGACGACGCGACTCTGCTGCAGAAGGAGATGGCGTCGTTCCACTCGTCCTTCTTTGAGCGGCTCGACAGTCTCACTATTTCTGGCGACCCGAAGCGCGTACAGGTGCTCGAAGCAGAACTCTCTGCGGCCAAGGAAGAGGTAAGCTAGCTGGGCCTCGCTGTAACTAACACACAGCTCAGGAGCCTGAAGGAGGAGACCTGCACCCTCCGCGTCGAACTCGCGGAGGCGAAGGCGAGCATAGCCCTGGAGCGCGAGAAGGGTCTCCGTGCGGGCGAGAACCACGCTACCGAAGCACGCACGCTCGACCTGCAGCTCAAGGCCGAGAAGGCGCGCGGCTCCTACCTCGAGAGCAAGGTACAGAAGACGACCGCAGAGCTGGCAGCCCTCACGCAAAACCTGGACGTGTGGCGCAGTGCCGCTCTCGAACAGCGCCTGCGCGCAGAGCAAGGCGCCGTCCACATCGCGGCCATGCAGCAGGAGAACTTCCACTGGCGCGAGTTTGCACTCGGCGCAGACAGGCATAGGCTGGAGCAATGGCTGTCCACGCGGCCGTTCGAGGGTCTCGACCACCTCACGGTCGCAAAGGCGGCGCCGAGCGTCGTGTCCAGCGATACGCCTACGCCAAGGGCGCCGGCAAAGACCGCGCTTCCAGCCAAGGCTGGTGTCGCACCCCCCGTGCCGAGTAAGCAGGATGGGCCACCCGTTCCTCCGAAAGGAGCAGTGACGCCCAAGGCTACCCCGAGAGCCGCACCGAGGATTGTGGAACCCTCCGCGTGAGCTTACTACTAGATAAAAGTGACATCCCCCCCGTTCTTTACATAAATGACTAATGATGACGACTTGTGTATGCATGGTATGAACGTGACGGAGTATTTGTTCTGCATGCCAGCACTGCAACGATGTGATCATGACCTAATTCCCTTGCATAGTTTTGACGACTTCCAACCCCTTTCCCTTCCTACGTCTTTTGAGCGCCTACAGATTCGTCCCAATACCAGTCCACAGAGTCCACTAGCTCTGCACGACCATGTTCTCCTGCGCCTTCCAAGCCCACGCGTCCTCCCAGAGCGGCCTCTCCCTGCGAGCCTGGTATCCGAGCGCGCACTCGTCAAACTTGACGCGGGGCAGATTCTGGAAGTATCCGTCATAGCCAGCGTCGAGGGCGTCGGCAAAGCTCGTCACCTCGCCAGTGGGGAAGAGCGAGGCCCAGGGCTCGCGGCACTGCTGCCCCTGGCACGTCTTGAGCACGAGGAGGAGCGCGTCGAGGCGCTCCGCGACGCGCTTGGTGTCCTCGTCGAGCGAACCCTCAAGTCCACGCGAGGCGAGGTCCAGAGAGGCGGCGGAGGCAGCAGCAGGGGCGGACGCGTTGAAAGCGGCAAACCGGCCAAGGTCGTTGTGCGCCTTCAAAAGGTTGCGCACCTGGTGCGGGTCCTCGTTCAGGTCGTGCAGCTCGCGCTCGCCCGTGCACCACACAGAGTACGAGTACTTGTGCTCGCCGTCCGAGACGCGGAGGGTGCGGTACGTGTTGTTCGGGCGGGGCGGGTGCGCCCAGGGTCCCTCCTCGATGGCGAGGATCCAGTACTCGGAGAGCGCGTGGCGGGGGTTGTCGTTGGCGTCGGGCTTGTTGTGGCCGGGGGCGTTGCCGCTGTTTCCCGGCGCGTTGCCGATGTTTCCGTTTCCGTGGCCGTTGGTCTGGCCGAGATGCTTGCCGTTGTCGTGCTTCTTGTCGCCCTTGCCGAAGAGATCGATGGCCTGTCCGTCATTCTCGTAGCTGGTCTTTGCACCGCCGAGATCGAGGATGGTGCGTCCGAGATCGACAATGCCCCACGAGCCCGTCGTGTCGACGCGTCCCTTCTCGACCCCCGGGCCTCGGACGAAGAGGGGCACACGCGTGTCCTCCTCGAAGCCCAGCGTCTTGCCCGGCTGCCTGCGGTGCGAGCCGAGGGCGTATCCATTGTCAGACGTGTAGATGACGTACGTCTCGTCGTGACGCCGGCAGCGTCGAGCTTGGCAAACACGTCCCCGATCAGCGCGTCGATGGGCTGGAGGGCGCGCAGACGCGCGCGATGCCAGTCGTCGAGGTGGTCGATCTGCGTCTGGTTCAGGCGCGGCAGGTCCTTGACCCACGAGACGCCGGTGGGGAAGTCGGGGTTGAAGCCCTCGTGCCGCTCGATCGAGTGGTCCGCAAACTTGCCAGCGTCCTGGGGACGGTACTGCGGGATGGACATGCCGGGGATGTAGTCGTTGCTGTTCTTGGCTCCGGGGATGTGGCTGTGCGGGCCGATCGGCGCGGCAACGACGAAGAACGGCTCGTCCTTGGACAGAGCCGTGTCGAGGTGTCCGAGGACCTTCTGCGCGACAACGTCGGACGAGTAAGACCCATTGTGCACCGCGATCTGGCCCGTGTTCACGTCACAGAAGCCAGGCGACCAGTAGTCGTACGTCCACGGGTCGACGAGGAACTCGCCCTCCGTCACGCCCGACACGGGGAGCGACGCGCAGTTGTCGATGTTGTGCCCGTTCATGAGCTTGCCGGTGTAGTACGTCCCGTACCCGGCCTCCTGCATGAAGTTGAGGATCGTCTGGTGCGTGTAACCCAGCTTGTTGAAGATGGGCCACCCGCCGTACGGCTCAGACACATACGTCACGTTGTGGTTGTGCGCGTGCTGCGCGCGGAGCAGCGAGACGCGCGACGGACAGCAGAGCGACACGGGGGCAAAGAACTGCGTGAAGTGCGTGCCCTCGGCCGCGATCTGGCCGTAGAGGTGCGGCAGCACGTCGGGCGAGAGCGTCGACAGGTCCTGGTCGTCGGTCACTGGGTGTCAGCGGATGAAGCGAGCGCTCTCTAGCTTGAGAACCAGAACAAGCCCCGTGCTCGATCACGAGCTTCGGATCGATCACGCCGCCCGATCACATGCTCCGGACTGATCACATGGTCGAGATCCACCGCGGCGAAGTGAGAAGATGCGCCGCACGACCGCGGATAGCACTGCCCCCAGATCGACACTTACGGATGAGGACAATGTTGGGCTTGCCCTTGCCGTTCTTCCCAGGCTTGCCGGGCTTGGCGTTGCCCTTGCCGTTGCCGTTGTTCGCAGAGACGGCGCTAGCGGCCACGAGGCCGGCGAGGAGGGCGCCGAGTCTCATGTTTGGTTCGAGTCTAGAAGGTCTAGGGCGTCTAGAGGGTCTAGAGTGTCGATGCAGATCTGGGCCATGACGCGCAGTGGCCGTCCTTCTTATAGTAGTTCTAGCGGAAGGCTGGTTGCGCACCAGTTAAACTCGAGATTTGTTGCAAGTTTCGTGAAATGACGTGCCGGAGGGTTTAGGTCCGGGGACCCGGACTCGGTGATGGGCCTGATGTGGGGATAGAGTTGGGAGAGTTTTTGCGGACGATCGTAGCGGATGTAGAGGGCAGGGGATCTCGGCGGGGACATGGCCGATGCGCGCGACGCGACTTGACGCCGTAGACGAGCTGCTCGCGCTGCACACTGCTCGCGACGGTGTTTGGAAGCGTCCAAGTGGAGAAAAAAAGGGTGCAGCCAGAGATCTCCGAATCTCTGAATAGACACCGACGTCGGGTGCCGCGATAAGGAGTCAGGGTTTGCCTCTTCAGAAAACGTGAGCTACGAGCAAGGAAGGGCTGCAAGGCACCGGCGGAAGCCGATGGCGTGACGTTCTGCCTCGATTGCGCACCCTGTCAGACCTGCCTGCTGCCAATGGTACATGTCCCTTGCTGCTAGATTTTCGGCTCATAGCTCGTTGCAAGCTATCGCGACACTAGTGATCATGCCTTTTTGTTGGCTTTCGCTCTCCCTCGCAGTAACCTGATAGCCTGTCCCGCGGGAAGATCTGTCCAAGCGAGAGACTAACTAACTTGTTGCCAACGGCCCGCGGAGCGGCGTGACAGGTCGGACGAGCGACGCCACCGGTCAGAGCGCAGTTACATCCCAAGAAACTAACCACGAGCGTAAACTCTTTCCTGCTATCTCTTCTTCTTGCCCACTAACACTAGCGAACGAGCTAGTTGCCCGCGCTAGCAGATTTTCTCAGTGTGTTCAGCGCGTTCTGCGTCTTCTGCGCCTTTCCCGATACAACACACTGCCCACCAACACAGGACACCGATAACGGCCCCGAAACCTTAAGAAGAAACGTTCGGCGCCGGGCCTCCGAGATCACGAAGAGCCCCTCAACTTTGTCTCACCTTGCTTTACCCAGACTCCTCCACATGCCCGGAGCAGGCGAACATACCCCCCTCCTTGTGGCTTCCGAGCCGACGCCGACGACCCGGCGTTTGGTCGTCGCGACCTCGCTTCTTGCGGGTTTCCTCGGGGTCCTCGACCTGACGAGTGAGTTGCCCACTCTGCGTGCTGGGATCTCCCCCAGTCTCTGATCTCTCCCCCACCCTCCCCCACACGTCATGTGCGCTGCACATGCACGCTCCGCATCTCGCGCTCCGCGCTCCGAGCGAGCTAACGTCTAGTCGTGGCTACATGCATCCCAACCATCTCCTCCGAACTGCACTCCTTCGACCGCTCCTCCTGGATCGGCACGGCCTACCTCTGGTCCAACGTGACATTTACGCCCCTCTATGGGCGTTTGGCCGATATACTCGGTCGGCGTCGGGCGTTCCGCCAGGCCCTCCTCCTCTTCACGGTGGGCACTTTGGGATGTGGTGTCGCGCCTTCTTTTGCGCTGCTGTGCCTCGGCCGCTTTGTGGCTGGTATGGGCGGCGGGGGCATGAGTACGGTCTCCTCGGTGGTGGTCGCGGAGACGTTCCCGCCCGCGCTGAGGGGGTTCTACCAAGGCCTCAACATGATGGTCTTTGGGCTGGGGATCGGGCTCGGCGGGCCCATTGGCGGGTGGCTCACGGAGACGTTTGGGTGGCGTGCGGCTTTCTTCGGTGAGTACCCCGCGATCGCACGATCGACCCGATCACGAATATAATGTGGGCAGGCAGTAGGCGCTGACACTTCAGCTCAGATCCCGATCGCGCTCACGCTATACGTGCTCGTGGGGTACTCTGTCCCCGGCAAGGCGAGGGGGCAGACACGCTGGGGCGACATTGATTTCGGCGGCTCGTTGACGCTGTTGCTCTCGATCGGATGCCTCCTGCGCAGCCTTGGGTCAGAGAACTCTGCTGTTCCCTTCGCTCTGGCTTCGGCGGGCTTCTTTGCAGTCTTCATCTTGGTTGAGCTGTGCTTCGCGCGCGTTCCCGTTCTGCCATTGACGTTGTTGAAGAGGCGTGTGCCGCTCTGTATCGGGATCATCAGTGGAGTCATCGCCATTGTCAACTTCAACATGCTCTACCACCTCCCCATGGTGTTTGAGATTGTGCTGGGGCAATCGCTGTCGAGCGCCGGTTCGCACTTGCTGCCCAACTCGATTGCCATGGCCATCTTCTCCCCATTGGCGGGCCTCTACGTGAATCGCGCGAGGCGGTACAAGTGGGCCATCGTTCTGAGCGCTTGCGGCCCGCTCCTGTCCATGATCCTGCTTACGTTCCTGGGCCCGCACAGCAGCGAGTTTGTGCAGTGGACAGCCGTGATTCCAATGGGCACGGGTTTCGGTGCGTTGCTCACGTTGACACTCGTCGCGAACCTGGAAGCAGTCAGCCGCGACGAGATTGCGACAGCGACCGGATTCGTCTTCATCTGGCGTTGCATTGGTCAGGTGCTCGGCGTGGGGATCAGCGACGCCGTTTTCCAGACAAGTCTGGGGCACGAGCTCGCCCTCCGGTTCAAGGATGGAACCCTCATCGATCGGTTAAGGAAGGCCAGCAGCGTCATCAAGAAGCTGCCCCTGTCGCAGCGTCTGCTCGCTAGGGAGGCGTACGGTGCCGCGCTCAGGAATACCTTCATCTTTGGCAGTATAGGTGCCGCAATCGTGTTGGTGACGAGTTTCTTTGTGAGTGTTTGCGGGGATGAGAAGCTGGGGTTGGATGCAGATGAAAGGGCCCCGCTGACCAACAGATTCCTGATGAACCCCTGCACGAGCAGGAAAAGCCCGTTTCGACGGAGCCGCGGGCGTAGCGCGCCCCGCATAGATGGCGACGCACAAATAGATCTAATGTATCCATTAGGCTGCACGTTTGCTTCTGCGGCGGTCACTGTTGCGCACCATCTGTTGTCGTCTGAGACAGCCTGAGAGGCGTGTGTCGGAGGCGTTGTCCAGAAATCTGAGCCGTTGCTCCGCGGCCGCGAAGAAGTGATCGTAGAATGAGTGAAGGAGGCGTGAGTGAGAGTAAGCGGATAGAAATGTGATCACAGCCGGCGGGGATTCCGGAAGAGAATGGCACAGCTAGCCGTGCTTAACAGTTGTCTTGAGGGCGACGGTTTGCAACGTCAAGAGATCTCGAGGTGGAACAAGAAGCGGTGTGGTGCTTATCAAGAAGAGTCAGATGTCAAGGAAGGCGCGAGGAAGGCGTTGTCGTATCTATCGCCAGTGCATGCCGTTGCTTGGTCGTTTAAGGTGTGGTTCGAAACGGACCAGAAGTCATGTGATAGCCGCTGGGAACGGGGAGAGGGCGGGTACTGACGGCAACACAAGACAACGGAGATCGCACGATGAACGTCTCGGCGGTGGTCAGCCGGACGGCGTGCGGGGCCACGGGAGACGCACAAGACGCACGGCTACGGGGCCTAAATTGGCCGGGTATAGGGCTATCCGGGCTGCGTATCCGCGTATAGCCAGGCGCGCCAGCGTGCCGGGTCTGCCGTATGTCCTTGCACCGTGCCGTGTGCCGTGTGCGGAGTCATGCATGGGAATGGGCGTCACTGTGCTGTGACGATGCATGCGGCGACCGGTCCGGCACAGCACGGCGGATAGCGGTACGGGGGGCACCGCATGTAAGAGTGGGAGACAAAGGAGGGTGGAGGGGGTGGAGGAGTGGGCGTGCATTGGAAACACTCGATCACTTGCTGTGCGTCACTCTTCTCACGCCGCTGGCTCCCGACTCTCAAGCTTCAAGACGCGGTACACGTTCCAGGGGCGGGGCAAGTAAGGTTCCAGACGTTCCAGTAGCCGATGTAGTTTGGGCATAAGCCACATCCACACAGACAAAGACAAGGAATACACTGATGGTCGCTGTGTCGGGCGGCGCAATGCAGGTGCAGCGTAGCGACGAGCAGTGTAATGGGAGGCCGGCACGACGACGGAGGACGCCGAGGAGGGGATGTACTTCCCTGTTTACGGCGGCCACTGTGTCATGGTGGAAAGGAGCAAGCATGGAATGGCTCATGGATTGCGGGCGGGGTGTACGCGTGTCGCGAGTGGAGGAGCCAATCCGGTCAACCCGATTGACCACCCACCCTGCGTTTCCCTGCGTCAGCCGGGGGGCCCTGACGTCAGTCCTCCAGTGAATGCATTGGGCGACCAGCCGTTGGTCAGCCAGCCAGGCCAGCCAGGCCAAGCAGTCGTTTGACTGCGTGCCGGTGTTGCGGGCCCAAATCTTACTCTTTCGAATTCTGTCTGTACCGGCGGACGATCTGTGCTGCCCTGCGATGCCCTGTCGTTGCCCTGCCCTGCTGCCTGCCCTTGCCTGCCCCCCTGCTCAGCCTGTCGCCTGCGATGCATCGCTCACCCTCCAGCATCCAAGATTTCTCCCCCGGCCTGGCCAGTAGCCGGTCGCCCTTTTCACCAAACCGTGCAACCAACGCTCATCGCCGCCCAGGCTCTCTTTTAATACCCAGGCCTGCCTTTCCTCTTTCACCCAGCACATCCATCAACCCATCCTAACAATGTCCAAGGAGATGAAGCAGTTCACCCGCGACGAGGTCGCTCAGGTTAGTAGACGGGCTGACAGCTCACAGTCACTCTCCAGAGAGCTAATCCGCACAGCACAACAAGGAGGGAGACCTCTACGTTATCATCGACTCGTACGTCTACGATCTTTCCAAGTTCGCCCGTCTCCACCCCGGAGGCTCCGTCGTTCTCCTCGACAAGGATGTCGGTGAGTAGCAAGCAGCATGCACGCTGGTGGCGACGAGCGGCAGTGACGTCTTGGGCTGGGCTACTGTTGTGCCTGGCGGGCGTGTCGTCACGGATCGCAAGACAGCTTCACACGAACAAACAACTGACTCGCGCAGCCGGTAAGGACGCCACCACCGTTTTCTTCGGTCTCCACCGCGACGAGGTCCTCCGCAAGCCCCAGTACCAGCGCCTGCGTGTTGGCCAGATCAAGGGCGAGCAGGAGAAGATCAAGCCTCACATGCCCGGAGACCTTTCCAAGGTTCCCTACGCCGAGCCTACGTGGCTTACCCCCGCCTTCAAGTCGCCCTACTACAACGACTCGCACCGCGCCCTCCAGGTTGCCATGCGCAAGTACGTTGACGAGGTCCTGTACCCCGACGCTCAGGCTTGCGAGGACAACGGCAAGCGCGCTTCGCCCGAGGTCCTCAAGTCGATGGGCGACAACAACCTGAACCGCATGCGTCTCGGCCCCGGCAAGCACCTTCACGGCAAGGAGCTCATCGGCGGCGTCGACGGCAAGGAGTTCAACTACTTCCACGAGCTTGTCCTCACCCAGGAGCTCACCCGCTGCGCCGCCCGTGGCTACGGTGACGGTCTCAACTCGGGCATGGTCATTGGTCTGCCTCCCGTCATGAACTTCGGCCAGGAGCCCCTCCGCTCGCGTGTCCTCGAGGAGGTCTTCTCGGGCCAGAAGGCCATCTGTCTTGCCATCACTGAGGCGTTCGCCGGTTCCGACGTCGCCGGTCTCCGCACCACCGCTGTCCAGCGTGAGGACGGCTCGTGGGTCATCAACGGTACCAAGAAGTGGATCACTGGCGGTATGCACGCCGACTACTTCACCGTCGGATGCCGCACCGACGGCGGTCTCACCGTCTTCCTCGTCCCCCGCGGCGAGGGCGTCACCACCAAGCAGATCAAGACCTCGTACTCCACTGCCGCTGGTACCGCCTACATTGAGTTCAAGGACGTTGTCGTCCCCAACGAGAACATGCTCGGCCCCGAGAACGGCGGTCTTCTCGTCATTCTCTCCAACTTCAACCACGAGCGCTGGATCATGTGCTGCTCGTCTGCCCGTGGCTCGCGCGCCATCGTCGAGGAGTGTCTCCTCTGGGGTGCCCAGCGCACTGTCTTCGGCAAGCCCCTCCTTGCCCAGCCTGTCATCCGTCAGAAGTGAGTTTCGCCACTGGTCGATCAAACCGGTGGACGGGTTGTTCTGGCCCGGCACGTGACTAGCCTCGTGGCAGTCCAGGGTCTCCAAACCACCATCTCAACCGCCACCTGCTAACAACAACAGGCTCGCCCACATGATCGCAAAGGTCGAGGCTGTCCAGTCCTACCTCGAGAACGTCACCTTCCAGATGTGCAACATGACCTACCGCGAGCAGAGCAAGCACCTTGCCGGCCAGATCGGCTTCCTCAAGATGCTTTCGACCCGTGTCGCCGGCGAGATCGCCGACGAGGCCGTCCAGATCTTCGGAGGTCGCGGACTGACCAAGACCGGCATGGGACGCTTCATAGAGCAATTTCAACGCACCCAGAAGTACGTTCGGACAATGGGTTTGACGTCCTGGAAGTCAAGGAGACCTCTGGGAACGCTCAGAAGAAGTTTTGTGCGAAGGGGACATTGCTGACGTAATCTAGGTTCGACGCCATCCTCGGCGGAGCGGAGGAGGTCCTCGGAGACCTCGGTGTCCGGTGAGTGTTGCTCTGCGTCTCCTTCATGTCCTGGCAAAGTTTGGGAGCCCAACTCGAAGCCTGGAAGGAGATATCGAGATTTGCGGTCGACCCCTTCTTTTTCGAGAGGTCGTGAGGTCGTGGCGAGGTGGTGAAGCTCGCGTGGCGGGGTGCCTGATACGCGCCTGGCTTCCGTCTCAGCTAGCGCCCTCCTAGCGCGAATCACCATGGGCCCCGCATCCCCCTCTCATAACTGCCAGGACTCGCCCGATCAAGCAAGAATGCACGCTGACACCCCCACAGCCAGGCTATGAAGTTCATGCCCAAGGACCAGCGCCTGTAATCGCGCTCTTTTATAGTACTAGGAGACAAGAAGGGAGCCCCTTAGTTGTAATTCGTAGACTCGCTGTACATATGCAGCCTCTGAAGGTTCACCGTGTGTCGTGGGTCGAGAGTGTGGCGAGTCGCGGCCTGGGTGGCGACGAACCGGGTCTGGGTGGCGACAACGGTGGGTGGCGAGGTTAGCCGTGGGATCGTGGGAGAGTGAACGCTGTTGTCGAGCGCGACGAAGGGGGTAGCGTGCAGACCACGAGAAGGGCACGAGAAGGGCGCAGGGGCTTCAGTCTGATCAACGCCCAAGGCCCAAGGCTGACAACACCACGCACTCGCTTTCCCACTGACCACTGACATGTCTTTCATATCATTCACTCTCATTCATCTCGTCCACGCTCGTTGATTCATGGAGGGTAAGTTCTGCTAGCGCTCTGACGAACTGACCACAGTATCACAGAGTCGCCGGACCCCTCCGTCCGCTAAGGTGTGTTTCTCGAGTATCATTTGTACATCGTATGGGAAGACTGGAGGAAGAGGAGAGAAGGGTGAGTTGATGATGGTTTCATCGCGAACTGACACCAGCGCGGTGAGAATGGAAGGGCGGAGAGTGAGTTACGCCACGGCTTTGAAGGAACTGACCACCAGTATCACCCGTATTCTCCGTCATCGTCGCTGTGCTTCTCGATTGTCACCCGCCTATCGGGGACATGGACCAGGGGAGATGAGTGAGTTGCAGAGTTGGTGTGTTAACTGACCCCAGCCAGATAAGAATAGAGAGACGGAGGGTGAGTTCTCGGAGACCCCGATTGAACTGACCACAGCGTCATCGGATCCTTCATCGCATTCGCTGTGCCTCTCCACAGTTACTCAGTCACTCAACGGAGGGATGAAGTGGGGAGATACAGTGAGTTGGGCGAGCACCGTTGGGAACTGACCTCAGCACGGTGGAATCTGAGAGCGGAGGGTGAGTTGTGCCACCGCTGGATTGAACTGACCACCAGCGTCACCGCACCACAGTCGAATTCGCTGTGCGTCTCGAGTGTTACTTTTGCTCGCTCAACGGAAGGATGAAGCGGGAAGATGAAGTGAGTTGGGAGGCCTTTATCTACGAACTGACTCCAGCGCGGCAATTGACCATTGGTGAGTTCAGGTCGCACTGAACGAACTGACCACAGTGTCTCTGGACGATTATTGTTCTCACCGTGGTCCGTGGTTGTCTCTCGTTTGTCGGAAGTATCGTCCCGGATCGGTAAGAGCAAGTTGATACTCCGTTGACGAACTGACACCAGTGCCGGAAAGGAGGGTGAGTTATGCAAGCTCCCAGATTGAACTAACCACAGCATTATTGAACGTTCGCTAAGGACTGAAGGTGTCGGTCGCTCGTCGAAAGGAAGACCAGGGGGGGAAGTGAGTTCTGATAGGTTTCATCCTCCTGTGAACTGACCCCAGGGCCGCCACGTGTGGCAAGTTAAGTCTGTAATGAACGAACTGACCACAGGGACGTCGAAACTTCGCCCTCTTCGCGATGATTCGCGAGGGGTTACCCAGTCAGCCGAAGAATGAAAGTAGGGAGTAGAGTGAGTTGCTTTCTTGTCGTTGCGGAACTGACCCCAGCGCGGCATTTGGTGAGTTAAGCGCTTGAAGACAGAACTTGACTCAGCTCTACCCCTCTGTCTCGCCGCCTTTGAACGCCACTCCTTGCAATAAGGAGCTAAAAGGAGGGCTGTGAGTTGACCATACAACGTACGCGAACTGACTCCAGCGCAGCAGTGCGTGAGTTCCGAGCTACTCAGACTGAACTGACTCCAGCATCAAACTTATGTTGTCTTCGTTTTCGTTTTGGGCTATCCCTCGAACAAGGAAAGGAAGAGTGAGGATGGATGTAAGGGAAACAGTGAGTTGACGGCCTGGTGGAATGGACTGGCCCCAGTGCCCGGGGAGGCTAAGTTTCGTTGTCGCTTTCGTCCTAACTGATTCCAGAACATGAGCTCTGTTATCAGGCTCTCTGGTCCGCATCGTCCCTTGCTTTCTGGAATGTCGAAGAGAGAACGGTAAGCTGGCTTGGCTCTTAGCTATGTAGCTGACGCCAGTTTGGCTGGCGGTGGGTAAGTTCTACGTGCCTCAGCATTAACTAAGCTCAGCCACGAGACTGTCCCATCACTTCTAAGCAACAAGTGGAGGCTGGGCGGCATGTGAGCTTGACCCTCACGTTCCGATCTGACCCCAGCCGGCGGCGGGTGAGTTACCCCGCAGACGAGGCAACTGACCACAGCGCCATCAACACCTTGGCGTCAGCGTTGAGCGTGGCTGACATGTGTCAGTTCCGAAGCGCAGATGTCAGAGCTGATGGCCAGTCATCGCATGCGTTTTGCATCCTGAAGTCTCGACTCTTCGACAGCCACCATCGCGTTAGATGCCGAACAGATTGAAGTGAGCTATAAGGGTCTGAACACTAGCTAACAACCAGATCGACACGAGTCGATGACTCTGCTGCGGCTTGTTGAGATGGGGATCGAGGCAGTGAGTTGGGCAGCCTGTGCGAAACTGACCTCAGCGCATTTCGGGACTCACGGTCAGTTAGGTCAGAGTGAGCTGTCGACTGACCGTCAGCTGAAGCTATCCTCGGCTCTGCGAGCTTGCGTTGTGTAACCCTCTGTGCCGTGCTTCCCCCTCACAGAACGGGGTCGGTTTGCAGGTGGTCCCTGAGCTCACATGCATTCGGACAGCTAATCACTCTGGACCAGGCGTGCCCGTAAGCTATGAGGCACAATCCTGAAGCTGACTCCAGACTACGGGCACCGAAATCGTCAGAGGTAGCAGTTATCAAGAGCGACTCGCAGCTGACGGCCAGCTATAGAATTGCCCTTACCCACTGAAACCAAACTGTAAGCTACAAAATCGTCCCAGAAGCTGATCCCAGGAAACCCGTGGCTTTGAAACGTCATTGGTGGCAGCCGAGAGGGCATAGCTGACTGCCAGCTGACGGTATTCTCACTCTCTCGTTTTAGTTGGTACGCTAGAGGGCGCCATGTCATAGCTGATCCCAGACCACAAGTGCTGAGACGGGGACAGGAATCAGGCGCTATGCAGCTGACCGGCAGTCTTGCTATGTTCAGACGCGCGCGCGAGAGATGTGACAGGAAGCTGTAACCCACAGTTCAGCAGCTGACAGCAGGCCTCCTGAGACAACAGATGGTCAGTGGGATGGCGCTTTCTGGGTACAAGACATCAGTTGACGTCAATTCCATTCTTGCAGCTGATCCCAAGCCTCAGGAGATCGCGGAAGCGCCTGGGCGCTCTCCATCCCAGGAGGTCAGTTGCGAAGTGCTTCTGAAGCTGACTACCAGCTATCCTATGCCCATCTCACGATAATGACCGTGAGCTCCTGCAATATCGTCCCCAGCTGACATTAGCTGGCAGAAGCGTCGGCATCTCTGAACGACCTCAACACCGAAGGGTTCTCTGCAATACGCGCTAATTATGGAGGATTGCAGGGCGGAGGTAAGTTCACTTTCGCGACTTTGTGAACGAAGAGCAGGAGAACAGTGAGTGGCAGGCGCCGGGAAATGCAGTACTGCTAGTACCTCGCCGCATCTCGACGATACTTATCTCAAGAGATGCCGAAAATGAGTGGAGGTTTCGTAAGAAAGTGATCGGGAGGAGCAGGCTGAAAATGGCTCAGCATTCCGCGATCGTGCGGCATTATGAGGAAAAATGTATCCGACCCACCCATATAGGCTCAGGGCCTCGGCCAGTAGAGTTTGAGCAGCGTCGCGCAATGTCGGGCCAACGACGCAGACGGCTGACAGGCGCAATCTGCTGGCCACCGCCGAAGCTACTGCTACGAGACAACGCAGTCATGCTTTGATATCGCACACTCCACCTCGCGACCTCTTCTTGAATACCTCGTTTGACGACGACGGCGTTGACCTGCACTTGCCATGTCGCTTTTCAGCAGGCAGCTGCCTGAGATCCCGCAGGAGTTTCAAGTGAGTACAGACACCCGGTGGAGGCAGTTACTGACCCCAGATATACAAGTGAGTCGGCCATCTGCCCACATTTCTGATCCCAGTTCATACGAGGTCGATCCCAAGTGGCAGCGCAAGTTTACGATCATCTGGTGCTCTGTCCTCGCCTTCACGACCGTCGCCTCGATTCCCTGGGTCGTGCACGCCTGGCGCAATGGGACGTTGTACAAGGGCCTCTCGATCCGGGAGAGCCTGAAGGACCGCGCTCCAGAGCAGGTGGAGCGTGATGCGCCCCCGCCGCGGATCCGGCGTAACACTCTCGGAGCGAAGGTCGTTCGTCTCGGGCAGGCGATCTGGCAGAGCGTGACCCTCTGGACCATCCCGGCGCCCTCAGTTCTGTGGAAGCGCGCCGGCGACTGCTGCCGGCGAAGCTACCTATCGCTGAGCGTTGGTCAGATTGTCCTTATCTGCGCATATATTGCCGCCGTCATTGCGTGCTTCACCGTCGGCGCCGAGCTGACCGACAACTCGAACCGACCTGGCTTCCTCGCTGTCGCCCAGCTCCCTGTCGTCTTCCTGTTCTCCATGAAGAGCCCGATGCCGCTGCCCGTGTTCCTCCCGTCGCTCTCGTATGAGCACTACAACTTCATCCACCGATGGGCGGGCCGCACAACCTGGCTTGCGGCAACGGTGCACGGCGCGCTGTGGCTGAACCAGTTCATCGAAGTCGACTCGCCCGAGCTACACAAGGCCAAGGTCAAGCGCGGCCTTATCTCTTACGGCTTCCTGTGCATGGTCGTCATCACGAGCCTGAAGCCTGTGCGGCGCAAGTTCTACCAGCTCTTCTGGCTCAGCCACATTGCGTTTGTGCTTGGCTTCTTCGTCGCCATGTGCTACCACACGACCTATGCCATGCCATGGGTCTATGTTTGTGTCGCATTCTATGCTTACGAGTGAGTTGATTTCCACCTCGTGAAAACTGACCTCAGCCACTTCGTCCGCCTGCTGCGATACCGATTCAAGGATGCGACGATCGTCCCCGTCGACGGCTCGACGACCCTGATCCACATCCCCGACTGCGACAAGGGCTGGCTGCCAACTCAGCACGTCAACATCCGTGTTCTGCGCGGCGCTGGCGTCTTCGAGAGCCACCCGTTCACGATCACGAATGCGCAGCGGAACGAGCTCTCGTCCAGTCCTCGTGGCATCGTGCTCTACGCCAAGGTCGCAGGTGATTGGACGCGGCGGCTGCACGAGATGGCCTCCGACCGGGGCCTCGAGTATGGTGATGACTATGAGAAGCGCATCGCCTTCCTGGCAGCTGAGGAGGACGGGTCGGCATCTCTCCTCGATCACCCGGGACGGCATGTCTACGCCACAATCGACGGACCGTACGGCGGCCTCAAGATGGATTTGGGCCGGTACGAGTCTGTCCTGACTGTCGCGGGTGGAAGCGGCGTCACCTTCCTGCTGGGCAGCATCGAGTCTGCTCTATGTGCGACGGAGGCGGGTCGCGGTCCTCGTGCGATCCGAGCTGCATGGGTCGTGCGCGAGCTGTCTCTCGTCGAGGCTCTGGCGCCGACACTAGTCCATCTGCATGAGAGTGCGGAACGTCTCTGTGTCGAATTGCAGCTCAGCATCTATCTGTCGTCTCCGCCGAACCCCCTCCCTCAGCCCCATGGACTGCCAAAGGGCGCGACTGTGTCGCCGTACCGCCCCGAGGTCGCGCAGCTGGTCCGCGAAGCTCTGCCCGTAGGCGAGAAGCATGGCGGTTTGGCTGTCATCGCTGCTGGTCCCGAGGGTCTTGTCTCCGAGGCGCGTAACGCCGTCGCATCCCTCAGCGTCTCCCAGCGTGTCCGTGCCGGCGGCGTCGGCTTCCACGATGAGGTGTACTGCCTGTAACTCCGCAATGCTCTGTAGTCCTAGTCCTAACCATAAGCGTAGCCGCAATGTATTCTATCTAGATCCTCAATCCTTGATCCGCTTTTCCAGGTGGGCGAGTAGCAGCAAAGGAAGGGGGCGATGGCGTGCGTATAACTCCTCCGTGCGCGCAGAAATAGACGACGTTAGCGATCTCAGCGACTCAGCGGGCGTCGTGCCGCCGGCATTCCGGACCGGAATGTCATTCGTCCGTGTTTTGGTTGGTTGATGCGGGGCCGCGATCTGCCGCCGTCCAGCTCCTGGGCGGGGATACCCAGCGGGGATGACCGAAACGGCACACCCGGCAGGAACGGCACACCAGGGACGCAAGTTACCGAGCTCTCTCCGCCAGTCGCGACTGGTCCAGCCGACTGGGCCGAAGTCAGTGCAAGCGCTGGGCGGCTGGGGATCCGGATCCGGCGCACAGTTTGTGGGCGCGCTATCTCTCGGCACCGTTGCATTTGTACATACCACGAAAACATGTTCAGGCCGCTACTCCGCTCTGCCCTCGGAGGCGCTCGCCGCGCCGGTGCTGCCTCGAGGTCCGCCGCGAAGAGGACGATCATGACGGAGGCTCGATCTGGTGCTGGAAACAGGCGCGCGTTCGTCGGTGTTGCCGGCGCCGTCTTCCTAGTGAGTCACCACACCCTGCTCGCTGTCATGGCTCTCTCCTGCCCGGACTGCAAAGGGGGCCCGGTCTAGGAGATGGAACGCGCAGCTGTTGAGGTGGTCCACATGCTAATATCCAGGCCGGAACCGCCGCCTACGCTTTCAGCCAGCGCGCTGAGGCCGACTCGATCCCGACCCGCGTCGTGTCGCTGCAGGAGCTCTCGAAGCATGCGTCGGCCAGCTCGCTCTGGGTTGCTATCGATGGCAAGGTTTACGAGTGAGTCCAAAGGAAACTTCCGCGATCGGCGAGGGCGCAAGGCAGACACGTCATCTGGCTCGTAATGGACCTTCCCTCCAGACGTCTACCACTCATACAGCCTTGTCCGTTTAACAGTGAAGAAGCTTGGTAATAGGCTGGGACAGCTAACATCAGCCTGACTGACTTCCTGAAGACGCACGTAAGTCATCGCGAGCTATGTACGCGTAATGTTGAAGCTGATCGACCAGCCCGGAGGCGCCAAGATTCTTCTCGACAACGCCGGCAAGGACGTGAGCAAGTGAGCTCCGTACTTCGTGGCTGAAGCTGACTCCAGGCTCTACAAGGGTATTCACCCTCCGGGAACGCTCGAGAAGTACGCCGAGGTCGCCGTCTGCATCGGCCGCCTGGACGAGAATGGTGCGTTTCTCGCACTCTAGCTGCTGTATGACCGATCGCGCAGCTAACGACAGCCATCGAGGCCGCGAACCAGCAGACGCCCGAGGAGGCGCGCATGCAGGCTGCCCGTGACGCTCTGTTCGGCATCGACAGCGTTTCTTCTCTTAACGACTTCGAGGTGAGCTTTCGCAAGCTTGGCTGAAGCTAACGGCAGCGCTATGCCAAGGACGTCATTCCGATCCACGCGTGGGCTTACTACTCGACTGGAGCCGACAGCGAGGGCGGTGAGTCTCCATCATCTTCCGCCAGCTACGAACCACTTTGTGAGCTGACTCCAGCTCTCGCTGAGAACGCTGCCGCGTTCACTCGCGTCTTCTTCCGTCCCCGTGTCATGCGCTGCGTCGGTGACGCGACCCCGGAGACCGAGATTCTCGGCGTCAAGTCCAGCATTCCTGTCTACGTCTCTCCGACGGCGCGCAACGGTCTCGGCAACCCCGAGGGTGAGGTCGCCGTCACCAAGGGTGTGGGCGAGGCTGGCGTCTTCCAGGTCCTTTCGCACTATGCGAGCCGCAGTCTCGAGGAAGTCAAGGCTGCTGCGAAGGACGGTCAGCAGATCGGCTGGCAGGTGTACCTGAAGCCCGACCGGTAAGTCCTCCTAAGCTCCTCACGAAACTCCACACGCGTGCCGATAGCTGACAGTACAGTAAGAAGTCGGCCGAGGAGATCGCCGAGGCCGCCAAGGCTGGCGCGCACTCCATCTGGGTCACTGTCGACACTACGATTGTAAGCTTCACGAACCTTGGGTCGAAGCTGACAGACAGCTGGGCAAGCGCGAGGCTGAGCGCCGCATTCATGCCGACCTGAACCCGACGCCGCACGGCGCACCGCTCACCCGCCAGACCGGCGCATACAAATGGATGTGAGCTAGTTTAGGGTGTTTGAGCTAACAGCAGTGTCCACGAGCCCAACATCACGTGGGGTGACATTGCGTGGATCAAGAGCGTTGCGCCTGGTCTGCCCGTCGTTGTGAAGGGTGTTGGTGCTTGGGAGGTGAGCTGAGGTAAGGAGTAAGCTGACAGGACAGGACGTCGTTCTCGCGAAGAAGTACGGAGCCGACGCAGTTGTTCTCTCGAACCACGGTGGACGACAGCTTGACTAGTGCGTTTCTCTCCCACATCCCTTCTCACCGTGATCCCAACTACCATATCCCAGAAAAAGCCAAGCTAACCGGCAGCGCCCAGCCCCCGCTGAAAACGCTCTACGATGTAAACCAGCACGCGCCCCACGTTCTTGGCCAGAAGGGCTTCAGCGTCTTCCTCGACGGCGGCGTGCGACACGGCACCGACGTGCTCAAGGCGCTGTGCCTGGGCGCTAACGCCGTCGGTCTCGGCCGGCCGTTCATCTACGCCGCTGCTGGGTGGGGATCCGAGGGCGTCGAGAAGGCGTGCATGCTCCTCGAGGAGGAGATTGAGATCGGCATGAAGCTCCTTGGCGTCACGAGGCTGGACCAGCTCGGACCGGAGTACCTCGACACGAGCAAGCTGTAGTATGCATTTGGGATCCTGGTTTGTGGCCTGCAAAAGAGGGGTAGGAAAGGAACTGACCGTCGAGGACCAAAAGTGACACCAGGCTTACCACAGAACCCATGGCGTTGTCGCGATGTTTTATCTTGATAACGCGATTGCACTGTGAGGGGTGAGTTAACCTGCCGAGACTGTCTTCACGTTAGGATAAGGTGGCCAGGAACGAGCTGGAGGACCGAGGGACTTAGATCCACATGCCGCTCGGTCCAGGGGGTCTGTGCTTGCAGAGAGTCAAGGTCAAGCCCGATCCAGTCGGCCGAGCGTCTCAGCCTAATCCGGGTTCCTACGGCAGGGAGTGGAACAATGGCATTGCGGCCTCAGGCTCTCTGAGACCGGTGATGCGCAAGGCGCCCGCCCACCTTTTCCATCTGACTCGTTAACAGTCATCGTACTTCTCATATCACCTTCGTCTCGCTTTCCCACCAGCAACAGCTCCGACTCTTCGATTAACTCTGTTTGCAGCTCTCACAAGATGGTCGGTTTCATCGACTTCAACACCCACCCGCATATTCTCGGCGAGATAATATCGTACCTCGATTTTCAGACAATGAACAAACTTCGCCTTGTCGGCTCGTGCATGAAGAATGAAGTCGACCGCTTCCAGTGTCTTGGCTGCTCAGCCACTATCTCCTTCCCAGACGATATGGACGACGGTGGGCCGACGGGCGTCCCTGTTTCCGCCAATGTGCACTTTCGGCGCCCGTTGGAGCTCCCTCCCGCGCCCGCAATGTGGCTCCCGCACCGAGATCCCCTCAACTGGCAGGAGTGGTACGCGGGGAAACCTCAAGCTGCTATCCATCATGCGGCCCAACATCGTCCTTTTCAGATCAATATCAACTCTGATATTCTGCTCTGGGATATGATATCAGCAGAATACGGCGGGGGCGCTGTTGCCGAGCTTCCCAGCCCACTCCGCCAGATCCTCGAGACGACGAGCGGAGTGCGCATGCTCCACACTCATGATATGTTCCTGGATTCAGTCAAACGCCTGGGCGTAACTCTCCCAGAGGAGACAAGCCCGGAGCTTCCCTCTAATATCAAACGCTTACACCTGCGGCTGTGGGACGACAAGTGCTCTTGTCGCATCAGACTCGGCCACTCAGCTGAAACGCTGCGCATCTCCCTCGATCGAGGGCTCGAGGCCGAAGTGAAGCAAAGCCCACTGTGTTGTCTCAGCCTTGATGTGTTCAAGCCCTGCGTCAAGCGTCTTTCCATACAGGTCGACCTACTGGATGACGCCGTCGAGTATCTGCAGGCGATCAAGTCCAAGCCGCAACATCCGAAACTGTCCGTGTCCGTGCGTTGGATCAGCCCGCACATGCGCGTGCTGGCAGAGCAACCGTCTGCATTGAGAGAGCAATTGACGGCAATGCTTGGTGTGCCTGTGACTGTCACGTTGGCAGACGAGGCGTGGCCGATTAGGTAACGACTTGGGAGGAACAGACTTGGTCTGGCCACAGCAGAAGCGTGGACAACAGTCGACACTGCGCCTGCTTCCGCCGGCGGGCGCATCCCCACGTGCGCCATGTCGCAACCCTCCTCCTCTTGTTCCCTTCCCTTCCCCTCCCATCGCTCTCCTTGCAACTTAGCAACTTCTCTCGCCGCGCTCGCCGTCCCCTACTCTCCCAGACTCCGACTCCGACCCCGAACATTGTCTTTCAGCTGCTTCCTCGGCCCCCAATGGTCGCCTCGATTAGCTACGTCGGCTTCCCTCACATCTTCGAAGAGGTGGCGGCTCAATGCGACTTCAACACACAGTGTAAATTGCGTTTGCTCTGCTTGGCTACGAAGGAATACATCGATCGTACCCACTGTTGGCTGTTCACGGCTTACCTTCGCCTTCTGGGACCTGTCGATGACACTGGGCCGAACACCATTCCACAGCAGGCTACGGTGTGGCTTTGCTATCGCGACGACTACCCTACCATGCCTGCCATGTACATACCAGAGCGATCCGACGACGGGAGGAAGAGGCATGAGCAAGAACTCCAGCACTCGCTTAAGATCACATCCCGCTTCCCGACTTACCAGGTCTCGCTCGACTTTGAGCTGCTGCTCTGGGAAACGACGTTCCAGCGCTGCGCAGATTATGAGCATTACGCGCGCCCGCTGCAACTTCTTGAGACGGCCTCTAGAGTCAGATTGCTTCACTGTCATGCAGGCTATACCGACAGCCTGAAGAGGTTGAGGCAACCTGCTGAATCGACCTGCCCGATGATCCCCCCTAGAGTCAAGACGTTGATTATGTCCCTCGACGAAGACCTGTGCTTGTGTCAAAGCCGAATCAGCCACTCAGCGGAGACGCTATACCTCTCGCTCTTCCGCAACTTGATCGAATGCGAATGGGGGGATGATGATGTTAGCTGTGTGTGTAGTCTTTCTTTGGACCTCTTCAAGCCCTGCGTCCAGCACCTGTACTTCGAAGCCTGTTACCCCCGCGATGTCACCGATTACCTCAAGGCAATCAGCAGCAAGCCGCGCCACCCAAATCTGACCGTGACCGTCGTACCCTCCTACACTTCAACCGACAAGGAAACTCAGAAGAAGACAGACAAGAAATTCCAGAAGGCTGCGAAGGATTGGCCGGCGGTGCTTGGTGTACCTGTGGTGCTTGCGAAGTATGAGGACGTCTGGCCAGCAGTGTGGCAGTATTAAGACGAGAGCTTATGCATTGTGTAAGCGTTAGGATAACTTGTGCATTGTGTAAGGTTAGGACGACGGGCACAGCGAGGAGGGTGGCCAAGAGACTTTTCAAGTGAACCAGGTGTGCCATGCAGAACAGTACACGCTAGACACTGCGCCCGCTTCCGTCCATCCCTGACAAAGCCTTGTCCTAGCTTCGCTTCCTAGCAATCTCACCCCTCCTGTGTTTGCTCTTCTTCCCAACGCATTTATCGCCACCGACTCTAGTCACACCACCTGCGATTGCTGCTGTCTTGCAGCTTCCAACAATGGCCGCCGCAATCGACTACGCCTGCTTTCCGCACATCTTTGTCGAGGTGGCGGCACAGTGCGACACTCACACGCAAAACAAGCTTCGCTTCCTGTCCCGCCAGGCAAAACGGGATGTCGACCGTCTCCAAGGGCACACTACATTCCCTCTCGTCTTCGCTGGTGTCTTGGCTCAGTGTGATTTCGACTTCAAAACTCAGAACAAACTGCGTCTACTGTCCTCTTGGGCTAAGCGCGAGGTGGACCGCCACCAGACGTACCGGTGCACCTTCTCTGTCCAACTGCCGACTGAAGAGGGAGAGGCTATCGTCAAGTTTCCGCCTCCTCGTGGAGGCTCGTTCATCCTTTCGGTTCCCTTCCAGTTTTCCCCAACATGGGCAATACCCGTGTTCTGGACTGCTGAAAAGGAGGCAGCGCGCGCGGCGGACTATATATCTCTGGATAGTCTCGTGGACGAGGCCTTTGCTCTGAGACATCGGGCCCATCGGGTGGAGGTCGACTTTGACTCTTTCTGGTGGGACCACCTTGCAACGGTGATGGCGAAGGAAGGCAAGGTCAGGTACGACAGTCCAATGAAGACCCTCGAGACAGCGACCACCTTGGAACTGCTTCACTATGGCAGATACGATCTGGCTATATTCCGCCAGCTCGACATGGTGTTTCCTGATCCCCCAGACGCCGTCATACCACCCTCTGTTGAGAAAATAGTCGTCTTCAACATGAGAGAAGAGTGCACCTGCCACTATCGTCTCAGGCACTCGTGCCGCATCATTCACTTCGAGTTCGAAGATGACCTGCCCTGTCTTGATGACATTGGCGTTTGCCAAATGTCCCTCGACCTCGTTACCCCTAGCGTCGAAGAACTCAAACTGAAAGTATACCAGAGTCAGGAAGCCTCTGTCTACCTTGAAGCAATCTCAAGCAAGCCCCTCAACCCGCACCTCTCGGTCTCCGTGGTGGCGGTCTGCGAAGAAGAACTCGAAGATCCCAAACCAGCTGTCAGAGGCACTGAGCTACTCCAAAGTTGGAGCGATATGCTGAAAGTACCGGTGACATTGGAAACGTACCCTTGGAAAGTCTGGTATGAAATGAGGTTCTGAGTGGTCCCGATAGTGACTGTTTATACCGCGAAACGCACCAGCCTCACCGGCCGCCCAGATGACACCCACACCCTGTAAGAGGTTGCGATTGGCGTCGGCCACCAGGCATATGCGCCCGCTTCCGTCGTGACAAGTACGCCTGTCAATGCATTCGTTGTCTTCCTAAGTCGGCTGCTCCGGACCTTTGCTTTCTGACACTCAACTCATCATTGCCCTCTGGAGTGGTTTCTGCTCAACATCGGCACCCGCGACCAAACCTTTCCCACGATCAATCCATCTTAAGCCACCATGGGCACCACGATAGACTACGCCTCTTTTCCTCGTATATTCGTGCAGATTATAGAGGAGTGCGACTCCGCCACTCTGGACAAACTGTGTCTCCTCTCCTCCGCTGTCAAGCAAGAAGTGGATAAGCAACGTTATCAATCCGTCGACATCGCCATCAACTGGAGGAAAGACGGTGAGCAACACGATACGTTCACCCTTCCGCCAACAGATCCCAAACGCGGGAGCGTCATTGTCAGGTCGACCGCCTTCGACATTCCTGTCCCAAGGGCGCCGGAGAGCAAGTCGGATGATGAAGCTCTGCCGTTGACAGCCGGCATCGACCGCGCCCAAGAGTTTGTCATTCGCCAAGCTCGCACGGTGTCCATCTGGTCCACGGACTTCATGTGGGACAACATTTGCGCCTCAAAGTATGGCGCCGATTACACCAGCCCATTCACGATGGTGACAGCATCACGCCTCCACTTTTACCTGTTCGACATCAATATTTCTGGCCAAGATCATAGAGAATGGCTCCCGATCAAGTTCCCACCAACGGTCCGCGAGCTATTGATTCATATCGTGAACGAGAGTTCCCTCGATGGCATAGAGGTGACGCACAGCTGCACAGCCCTCACACTGCTCATGGAGGTGGGATGTGGCAGGCGACTGGTGTCGTACGGGGTGGCGAGAGCTGTACTCGAGGCCGTGAAGCGACGGTAGCTATCGAGAAGAGATCCTCTAGATGAAGATATGAGACTTAGAGTATACAAGCGGGGCGCCGTCGGTTTAGTCAGGAATGACTAAAGCGCCGTAAAACGATTCGAACCCATACATTCGATAGCTGGCTAGGAATGAAAGGAGTAGGTTTATATATGTTGCTATCGAATGGATGAGTTCGAGGATCGAAGAACTAGTTCGGCGAGGCCGAGTCACGTGATGTGCGTGTGGGGAGCCAGTGGGGCGTACGAGCGGCACGACAACTGGAGTACGACCGCATTGGCTCGTTTATCATTGACGTCGTCACGCCCGACGTGAAGGAGCTTCTTATTCTTCCCGACAGGCTCAGCGATGTCCTCATCTACCTTAAGGCTATTCAGGATTGCGAAACCCACCCCCAGCTCCGGATCGTTATCGCTCCTTGCTACATACTTCCAAAAGAAACAGCTCATGCTTTGCGGCAAATAGTGGCCGGCATGGTCAACGCTGAAGTAGTGGTTTTGCCGTATGCCTAGATGTGAACTGCTTCGGTTGTATATAGGCTTGTAAGCATGACTTGCGTACCTTCAGGCGAAGGTGGTGAGCAAGAAGCAGGTAGCAGCGCAGTGTCTACGCTCATGTTGATCGGCTCACTTGATCCAGTAACGCTGTGCACAGGAGCATGGAGCCGCGTCTCCTTGGTGATCTGGGATCGACACAGGGCTGCGCCTGCTTCCGTCCCGACGGGAGCTTGCTCCTTCTTCCCCACTTGAGTCCTTGGCTGTTGGTCTCTATCCGTCTATCCTTCATAACCTCATCTCCGACCCAGAGCGTTCACTTCGACCCGGATATCATAGCAATCGATTTCGGCCCAGGCATGGTTTCCACACTCGACTACGCATTCTTTCCCCACCTCTTCTCCTTGGTAGTTGGGCATTGCGACTTCAAAACGCAACTCAGACTGCGCCTTCTTTCCTCCATCGCCAAGCTAGAGGTGGACAAGCAGCTCTGCCGCCAGATCCACGTCTACATATTCCCGACGGAGTATGAAGAAGACCATCCACCAGACCTTGAGTCCCCACAGTGCCTGCCCGAAGAGGCAAGCTTCAGCATCACTATCGAAGTTGGTGAGGCGAGGCTACGTGCTCCCATACTGTGGTCAGCAGGTTCTAGCCCAGAGATGGAGGTATCGGACATGACAACTGCCATCCGCCCTGCCTTTATCTTTGCGCTGCGCAATGCACACATAGTGACTACACGATCTGAGTGCTTGCTCTGGGACCATACCAGTGCGACGAACGCAGCACAGGGTGGTACTAGTTACCACAGTCCCTTCGAGGTCTTGAACCCCTCCCACATGAACCTCTACGTTGACGAGTTCCTCTGGCTCGGCGGTGAGTTCATGGGACCGAACCCAGTTCCTCTCCCCGCCTCCGTTCGTCACCTATTCGTTCACTTCTGCGACTGTGGTCCGGCCGCAGATTCGTGGTTGGCACACAAGTGCACTACTGTTACAGTGAGACTCGAGCTTTGCTATCCCTTGAAGGAGGAGGATGCCTGCACGCTCATGCGTGAGCTCATCACACCTTGCGTCCGGGACTTTATTGTCGTCGTCGATGATATGAACGACGCCGTCGCATACCTGAACGTGCTCAAGAAGACCGATCGCCACTCATTGCTCGCCATCACCGTCGAAACGACAAGCAAAGTGGACCCTTACGACCCCGATGAGCTCCAGGCGAGACTCAATGAGGCCGCTCAAACGGTAGTTGTAGTTCGTCCGCACAGTGGGTGACTCCGCGCATCGGGCTGAGGAATGTGGCAGTACAGCAGAGCGGTTTAGGGTGGAGAGGCGACTCAACAGTGATTATCACGAGTACGTTGTTGGAACCACAATGAGAGCTACGAAGGGCACCTGATGCATTTGATGCTGGATGTAGTTCTCTTGCTGTTGCAAGCTTTTCTGAGACGTCTTCGGTACTCACGGAGCGAGTCGGAGATCGAGACGATCGAGACGAACCGCGCCTGCTTCCGTTTTTCAATGAGCCTGCCTCCACTCACCGAGCTTCAGGTCGCACCCCTCCACATTTCCTCACCCCAACTGTGTTCATCGCAGTAAATCTCGTACCTTCTTTCTGTCTTCCCCCTCTGCTGGAGCATAAGTCCCAGGGTCATCGCCTCTTCGACATCAGCATTGCCACCATGGTCGCTGCACTCGACTTTGCCTTCTTTCCTCACATCTTCCACGAGATCATAGCTCAGAGCGATTCCAAGACACACAACAAGCTACGCCTTCTCTGTTCGGCCGCTAAGCTCGATCTCGACAAGTATCAGTGCCGTGACGTCCACGTTTCCATCTATCGGACCGATAGGGGGATCCCCCCTCTCTGCCCTCGTTCGCCCCTGCCAGTTCAGGACGCAAGTCTCTGGGTTTCATCTCGTGCACCCGTTCTGTGGGCGGCGCAACATGGGCCAGAACATGAGGCACCATCAATGACGGAAAGTATCCGTCCAGGACAAGGTTTTGCACTCCGCCATGCACGTCATGTGACTGCGGATTCTGAGATCCTTCTGTGGGATCACGGCTGTGCCTCCGACGCACAGGCTAAGGGTACCAGCTACGACAGTCCGTTTCAGCTCGTTACGGCGCCTGGAATGCATCTCCTCGTGGAGGACGGCTTGCTCCTCGGGAGTGACTACGAAGGGCCCAGCCCGGTCCCAATCCCCCCTTCTGTCCGTCACTTGTCGGCGACTCTATATGATACGGGCCCGAATCCAACAGGGGACACGAAACTGGCGCACAACTGCACCACAGTCTAGGTGAAGCTTGAACTTCTGGAGTCTTTGGAGTTTCTTGGGGTCACCGAGTTCATGATCAGCCTCCTCACGCCCCGCGTCCAGCAGTTCACTCTCGTCTACGATGAGCACAATGATGCGATCACATACCTCAAGGTCCTCAAAGACCACGAGCGCCACCCACTGCTATCAGTTGTCGTGGAGCCCACCAAGAACACAAGTCAATGCGAAGCCGACATCCTTCAAGATAGGCTGAGCAGGCTGATTCAGAGGGATGTGACTGTTCGACTGCACAGCGGGTAATGGATGGGGATCTGAGCAGTTGTGAACAACTGATGAGCTGAAATATCTGTTTAATGTTGCTTTTGTGTACGCTGGATGCACGCCACTCTGGCGGCGGAGGCCACTGGCGCTGGTTTTTCACTGATGTTGTTCGACAGATTCTCGATGCTAATTAGGACGCCAGGTAGTCCGCGTGGTGAACAGTGAAGCCTCGACGGGTGGCTGGGAGGGGTGCGAGTAGCTCTTTGCTCCTTGTGCATCAGTGCGAGAACACAACGCACGAAACGAGGGCGACGGTGCGACAAGAACGCCCTTGCCCCCATAGTGAACAATGAAGGACAGGCGGCCGTGCACAGTGACATGACCCGTGACGTTGTGGCTCTCACTTTCCTCTGTCTCACCAAACCTCTTCCCGTCGGGTTCTTCACGACCGGATACGACAATGCCTACCGTCTTCGCCCTCCTCCAGCATAGTGATATCCTGGACACAATTCTACTCGCGTGCAGCTTTGAGCCCGCCACCCTCAACGCCTTGCGCTTGGTGTGCACAGCGACAGAGCAGGCGGTGGACGCCTTCCACTGCCGCGCAATTCGCCTGCACTTTGTTAGCCAGGGACCTCCGTCTCCGGCCAACATCGGTATCTACCTTACGACGCTCGACCCCCTCGATCTCCCGCGAGAGCGAATGCCTCAGTATGCTCCGAGCCCCGCCCTGGCTTTCGGTATTCGCGCATCGGTTCCGCCCGATGCAGCCTTCGCCATACACCCCGCGGTGACCTTTGCGCTCAACCACGCCGCGTACGTCAGCGTCTACCTGACCGACCTGCATCACGACCACTTCTGGTCTATGCAGGCCAGCCAGAGACAACTGGCGTACCACTCCCCAGTCCAGCTGCTCTCCCGCGTCGAGTGCCTTGCTGTCTATCATTGCGGCTCGCTCGCTCTCGGCACCCTCAACCACGCCACCATCAACCTCCCCGCGAACCTAAAGGAGCTGCGCCTCACGCTTCCCGGCGGCTTCTGCCATTCGAAGGCGCACTATAACCATTCGGCCTCCGTCCTCACGCTCTCCTTCCCGCAGCACGTTGTGTGCGTCTGCGGATGCGCCACGAGAATGTTGAACTCGTCCGTACGCCATCTGAGGATAGTCGTGCGGAAGGCAAAGTATGCTACTGCATACTTAGAGACACTCAAGCACCGCGTCGACCTCCATCCCTCGCTCTGCATAGACGTCTTCGCCAAGCAGCAGCTCGCTGCATGGCAAGAGCTCAGCCTCGGTCAAGCTTGGTCGAACATGGTTATGGATACATGGTAGGCTTTCCTGTCGAGGTTCGCAGTGGTGCGAGTGAACTGTACCCCCAGCTTCTTGTTGTTGTAAAACAGCGCCATCACTTATGAAAGTCCACAGCGTGCTTCAGTCGGCTACCGGCCGGCCGCGACTGCAATACGGCGATCCTTCACGCATAGTGATCTTGCCACAACTCTTTACTGCCGGGTCTTGGTTACTAACCATTGTGCCAACGGCAACGGCTGGGCGGCCCAGATCATGACTTTTGGCGCCCTTCGATGTTTTGCAGCACGTCCTTCTCGCCAGTCCTACTCGCTGGTTATCGTACGCAAGACAACGGCTGCGGGCCCGCGGCTGCACCCGGTGATGCACTGGACGCTACCATCGCCCACTTGCATTTGGCCGACAGCATTGGTCTCCGTGCAATCACAGTCACATCTTTAGGACTCTGACCGCTGAGCAACCTTGTGCTTCGGCTCTGGTTGCGACTTTTGGCGCCCAACGCCTTCTCATCATTCGATCAATACGAATTCAGCCTCTTCAGGAGTGGTCGTTCCGACCTACATGCACCCGTGCTCAGCAGCCAGTATGGTACGTATCGAGGAAAAAGGTATTGACCTGGAGAGGCGCTCTCACGCAGTTTGTGCCTTCGACGCCATGAGACCCTGTACGCTCGGGCTGATATGGCCTTGCGTTTCTGACCACCCCAAAAGTGCACACCGCGTATGCCATGTGCTCTGACGGGGCGAATGGTGCAAAGGCTGCGGTCACGCGGACTCGATACGGGGACTGTGGCTCCACTACTCCGCACGAAAGAACGCACGGAGGTCACACTCTTCCTTCCGCTCTCCAAGTCCGGGAGCCGAACAAGCAAAAGCTCGGTGTCGAGGAACGTGAGACGGCCACGGAACCTGTGACCATGTTTGCTCGGTTTGAAGTTGTCCGATGATTCCGTGCCAATTGCTGTCTGCTTAGGCTCAACAGCGTGCCCCTTCATTCCTCGATCGCATAGCGCGCACCGGAGTCTAATGGGAGATAACATCATAGTGCCCAACTGATCTGGACGCAGAGGGCGATTGGCGTGCCACTCACGACGAAACAAGTTCATCCAGATCAAGCAAGGTTTGGCGTTCATTTCAGCTGCCCTGCGTGAGTTGTTCTACAAGGCACGATTCTCACCGCAGCTGTGGCACGCTGAAGCACCGATTGAAAGATGATTCATTTCTGCCCGCTACAGGAATGTCTCCTCTTGCTGGACTTCAGAGGATGCCTAAATTTCCTGCAGCCCTGCATCTACTGGCAAGTATCCAGACGTTCTCACTGTCCCACTCCGACCGTTACACTTAGAACGCGATCTGACAGGCCAAGCCGCACAAGGACCAAATTGCCTTTGATCGGACTGTGGTAGGCACATGAGACACCAAAGAAGAGGGGTAGTCAAACATTCCGGCCTCTGCCACTCAAATCTCAGGTCTGGAGACTGCATATAAGAGGCGCCTGCTGGTGTCAATCTCGATACATATCAGAACACACCATGTCCACTTATATCATTGGCGACAACTCCGGCGGGAAGTACATCCCCGGCAAGGATGGGAAGGATGCCGAGGAGACCCTCAAGCTCCCCACCCACTTTCTCGACACTGACAAGGACGCGGATATCCTCGGCCTGAGGCTGCTTCATGACCGCGGAGCTGTATACACATATATGAAGGAGGGTTCCGACTGGAAGAAGAGGCCGGCCATGGCCGCAACGGGTTCCGACGCGGTCATCAAGAACTTCGAGAAATGGGACGGAGATGACTACGAGACAGCGTACGCTGTCGTGCCATACACGACCCACACCGAATGCATGGTGGGCTTCGGAAGCCGCAAGATATGGTTAAACAACGGCAAGGAGATGAAGAGCCGGATGGTTTCAGATGGGTCCAACAACAACAACATCGAGCTCCGGGACGGCACTGTAGTCATAGCACTGTCCGGTTTCAGTCCCAACGGTGGGTTTAACAAACAGATGCCGTGATGAAACTAATGTACCAGGCAGGTTTTACTTGTACGCTGTCAAAGCAGACGAGATGCTGGCAGGCAAGGACGGAGAACGTCTGGACGAGCTAGTTTTCGATCCACCTGGAGACGAGACGAAGGACCTTAAGCTTGTCTCCAGCGATAACCGCTGCCTGCTATGGAACAAGTCGAACAACGCGGTCTACGAGCTCATCTTCAAGGACATCAAAACGCAGCCTACGTCCAACGTTATCTGGGACAGCGAGAACGACCCGGTCACCAACATCTTTGGCGGCACTGACGGCCGCTTCGCTATCTGTACGACAATGGGTCAGTATCTCCTGAACGGTGACAAGCTGGAGAAGCTCGATATCCCCGACAAGTACATCGACGGCGAAACGGACCGCTTCCTCCTAGGCGATGGGTGGGAGCTGTTCTTTGGATGGGGTGCGATCTTGGGTAGGGGCAAGAGTATGTTCCTGTGGTCTGCGGAGGACGCCGCTGACAGCCAGACCTTAACAATGTGCTTCAGAACGAAGCCAAGGAGCTTAAGGAATGGACCGAGATCAAGTTACCGAAGGATGCGTCGGGTAAGGAAGGTCCTTTCGAGCCTGGCTACATGCAGCATCTCTGGGCAGCTCCAAAGGCGTGGGCGTTCAGATTGCATTAGGAATAGCAACTTGTCGACAGAACGTGAGGGCGGCCGATGCGTAAGTGGAAATGCGGTTTAAATATTCGAGACGCGCTCGTCGATAGGCCCCAAATCAGTCTTCTTATCAACTGTCGTAGTTTCAGACACTATTAATGAACGGGTGCTGCAGCAGACATGACATCAATGAGTTGTACTACAAACATTGTGTCAGCATTAACAGGTCCGAGCCGAATAAGCAGTGCGTTGCCACGACGACTCGGTCGTCTGCTTCGTTACAGCGTGATGAAACTCGGTCTGTCTCCCCACTAGGACGCTTCACGCTCTACTACCACATTCCTCACCCTTGGAGCCTGGCGGAGCTATCAAGGATGTTGTGCACTGGCTCGACCATCCCTAGGCCTCGATACGAGCGCAACTGTACTCCTTGCCAACCCCTCAATCGCGCGAGCTCTTCACGATTGTGATGATCGCACAGGTGGTGCTCTTAGGTCCTGGAGGCTGTTCCTCTTGCACAAGCCAGCTCGCTGGTGCATGGCAGCCTGTCCGGGGTCACTTCATGTGAGGAATGGACCCTGAAAGGGAAAACAAAGTTTAAGCCCTTCCATGTGGGAATGCGGACCTGCATTTACCTTCTTCTGGAGTTGAGGCGCTTATGTTATTGCTCCCTGTCCAGATAAGATACAGGTGAGGTGGCTTCGATTGGAACAGATTTGTTCTAGCACAAGGCTGATGCGATCAAAGTTCCAAGGTGCCGCGCGCGTCCCTGTCCACACACGTAATGACATTGCACTTTCGCTCAGCATCATGTGTCCCTCGTTGGTCCTCGGATTCAGTGCTTCCCTGTCATCTCATGGGCTAGAAGCCTGGCGCTAGAGGTGCATCGGCCGATGCAAAAGGGTGCGGATGGCACTGCAGGAGCATTGACTAGGGACGCCCACAGGAAGTGTCCTCTCCTCTCCTTGATGCGGGACTGGTAGTCTGCGCAGCCGCATGCGGTCACATGCTCAATCGGGCCGGAAGCGTGTTCGACCGCCGCTCGCCAGAGATCCGTGACTGAGAGGAGAGACTGCCCAAACCGTTTTTGCACTTCCAGGCGCGGGGTCAAACCTTCTCCTCACCCCCACCTCAGTCGACAAACGTGGGATCATAGGCATTTGAGCCCAGGCGGGTGCTTCCTGGAAGAGACAGCCCCATTACACGTCCGTGGGTGGAGTTGACCGCATGAAGTTCGGTGTCTTCCCCAGGCACGCGGCATGCCAGAGAGAGCGCTCGATCGCAGTGATCCGCTCGGTTCCCTCGCGCGCACGGAGCCACAGTTGACGCCCATGTCCTCAGCTGACACTAGATCAGTCGTAGAGAAGGTTCAAGCCCCTCTAATGTTGCCCTGCAATCAAGGGTTGCCCTGCAATTCATCACTAGATATTACGCCCTTCCGCGTCCAAGCAGCACAGTTCTCACTCCACCGAAGAAGCTGTGCAACATCAAGTGCAAGCTAACAAGGAGAGTCACCGCTGCGCAACTTCGGCATGTGCCCTACTGCTGGAACGTGTGATGGGGCAACCACCCGATACATCCGGCTTCCCTGAAGTCGTACGCCTCCATAGCTGCGACGCCGCGCTCTAGCTTTCTATGCTTCCGGACGCAACCTGGGGCGGCCAAACAATATCGGGGACAGATGGTTGCACGAAAGAGCTCCGCGAATCACATCCGTCCGCCCTTAACTCATTGCCAGGTCTCGGAGTCACATATAAGAACGGCGAGGAGCACTCCTGTTGCTGCTGCACGACAGAAATATTATGTCCACCACCTATATCATCGGCGACAACACTGGCGGAAAGTACTTCGCTGGAGAGGGAGGCAAGCCCGCGGAAACGACCCTCAAGGTGCCAACGCAGTTCCTCACCGCCAGCGATGACAATGCCCAGGCGGTGAGCCTGAAGCTCCTTCATGATCGAGGTGCCGTCTACAGTGCGTACCGGGACGGCCCCGGCGGCGAGAAGAAGGTCGCCTTGGTGAGCACTGGACCCGACCCGGTCATCCAGAACTTTGAGAGATGCACTGGCGAGGATTGGGAAATCGCTCAGTCCGTCATCCCCTACACTACCCACACCGATTGTATGGTGGCGTTTGGCGGCCGCAAGTGCTGGATGAACAATGGTGCCAAGGTGAAGAGCGCGGATAGGACCGATGGCGACAACTCGAACAATATCGAGCTGTGGAGCGGTCTCATTGTCATCGCTATCACTCGGATTGGCGACGGTAGGTCACCGCAGTTTGAACAGTACCTGACAACGCCAGACGGGGCTCGGCTGTACGCTGTGCAAGTTGACGATTGGCTTCTTGAACTGGATAAGAGCGAGCGGATCTTCACGCCCCCCGGAGAGCAAACCAACGAAGTCAAGCTCGTGTCCAGTGACAATCGATGCCTCTTCTGGAACAAGACCGATCAGACAGTCTACGAGATAGTCTTCAAAGGCGTCATCAGCGAGCCTACCATCAAGACGATCTGGGACGCCAAGGATGACCCCGTGACGGATATCGTCGGGGGTACCGATGGTCGCTTCATCGTTGTGACTTCCAGGAGGGCCTTCCTTCTCACAGGCGACAAGCTGGACGAGATCAAGATCCCCAACGAGGAGCTCGGTGGGGATGCCTACAAGTGGGCTCTCGGTCACGGGTGGGAGATCTACTTCGGATATGACAAGATCTGGGGTCGAGGCAAAAGTAGGGGCCAGTGGTTGTGATATGGCTGTTGACACTACCAGATGTTTCCAACGTCCTTCTCAGCGACGCGAATGAGCTGAAGGACTGGACTGAGATCAAGATTCCCAAGGACGCCTCCGGCAAGAAAGGACCTTTCGATGCGATCAGCATCCAAAAGGTCTGGGCGGCTCCCAAGGCTTGGGCGTTCCAGGTCTGGGACGATTAGTTCTGTACCGTACCGATGTCTGAAGCGAAAGCAGAATTCGATCGAGGATGTCTGCACAACGTAGGGTAGCGGTTCATGATGTTAGCACCTTGGAGACACTAGCCATTCTAAAGTGCTCTGCATCTCGCGCTGGCGTATCGGGCTATGGTTGCATGAACCAAAGAGCAATCTCCTGGCCCAGCAAGGTTCTGCGCCGGCACCATTGCATGAAACCTGGGGTCCCCTCGTTACCAAGCGGTTCGAACGATTCATACCATGAGGAACATTTTCAGTACAGAAACGTCTCCGGCGAGAATCGAACACTACATCGCTTCGCATCCTCTTGCCTGGAGCCTCGGAGAGAGGGGTGATTGGAGGTGGTTGAGCCCTGCAGCGGAGAAAGACCCGGCGCATGAGCACTCCTTCACCGGCGCTCGTGCATTGCGTCGTTACGACCATTCGCGACCCGAGACCATCGGTCCCCCACCGATGACCGCATCTTCTGGGGCGCCGAGGATGCCAAGCCTTCCACTATCAGATAAAGAGGACTTGTGCCTGTTGAGACGATGAACCTACTTCGACTGCCAGCGAAGTTGACCGCTACTTGGCGGATTTAGGGGGGTGTTGATTGGGTTTCGGGTGGCATTGTCCCCATTCAACGCATCGTGCGTAACTCTCTTTCGGCCGATAAGGTGGGCAACCCACGGTGAACACAGAACAGCCGGGTGCTCAAGAACGATGACGCACAGTATATAAAGCAAGGGGTGGCGCAATGCAAAGGACATCAAGCCACAAGAACAGTCATGCGCCTCCGGATTACCCTTGCACTCGCTCTCGCACTCCCAGCTCTGGGTGCCCCTCCCGCCGTTCCGGCGAATGGCTCGACGAAGCCAGGGAGTTTCATGACACCTGCGTGGAGGAACAGCTCTACTCCCAGCCCGACATCTCTGACTGGGGCAAGGGCGAGGCCAAACCGATCATGTACGGCGACGGGGCGAGAGGTGCTCTGGATCGATGCCAGATGATGATGCTCAACGACGCAAACCGACTTGCCCAGGCTCAGTTTCCGGGCACGAACGTCTTCACCATCCGTACCGACCTGGGGATCGGATGGTATGTCGCCGAGCTCGTAGCGCAAGAGTCTCTCTCTTCTGTTCGCTGGCCGTCCGGATACTACGACTACCACACTGTTGTGTTCAGGGGAGAGGGGCATCTGTACCTGGTTGGAAGGGAGGGTGAACACGAGCGTAGGTGGAGGGGAAACGCCCAGAGGAACGGTGACACGGTTGACTTCTGGTAGTCGCAGGAAGGCGGGGAAGATGACGCCGAATTTCCGTAATTTTGAAAGTTTCCATGAAATAGTGCCAACAGCTGCTCATATGCGCAGAGAAGCCCCTGATCTACGCACGCAGAATCGAACGCCGAACGTCAATTACATGGTCGCGATGAACTTGCGCATCTGCCCTTGCTGCTGAGGCGAGGGGGCCGCCTTGAGGGCTGATGGCAGGGATCAGCGTCGACTGCCTTCAGACGCAGCTCACGTTCAGTCAGCGCCCCACATGTGCTGAGCCCGGAGCAGAAGGGGCGAGGGAACGTTCCATGGGGAGACCAAGTTGCGATGCCTTGTGACGAACAATGACGGCGCGGCAATGTGTGCTTCCACAGTGCGAAGGTGCAACACCACTCGCCTCATCATTGCACCTGCTCCCGCTGAAGATGGACTGAAGGACACGTCTTGCTACCCAACACTTCGTCTGTTCATACTCCACTTCACCCATCGTACTATCGCCTACCAGCTATTTGCGCTGACTATGGTCTCAACGTTCAACATCTACGACTACCCCCACATCTTCGCCCTTGTCGGGAAGTACTGCGACAACGAAACTCGCTTCAAGCTGCGTTTCCTCTGCAAGGCCGCCAGATACGAGATCAACCGGAACAATGACTGTCACCTGCTGGTCACCGTCGTAGTGAATAAGTTGGTCCTGTATTCCTACAAACCCGACCCCGATACGAGATACCTGATGCCCCCCATGAAGCACCGCCTCACAAGGTACTTAGACAAGTGCTTGGCTTCACCTACTCCGAAAATCCGGGCCGCCTTTGGGTATCCTAGGTTGATCAAGGTCCCCTGTGAGACGCTCGAGTTCCTGTACGCGAGTTACGGTAAACTTGACTACCACAGAAAGCTCGGCAAGAAGGGCTCCAAGGTCAAGACTGTCGCTCTTATGCCGCCTCCCCTGCTTGAGCCCATCCGCGAGGACTGCATTCTGGAGTTGAGTCACTTCGCCCCCGACGAAAACTGCTGCCAGCTACACAATTCCCTCCTGCTGCCTCACGTCCACGAACTACGCTTCCAATACTGGCGCGAGGACCGCGGCGGTTGCACATGTGCCTCCGTCGAGCTCGTTCACCGCGCCACTATTCTGCGCCTCTCGATGAATGAGACGACCTACTTCTGCGGTGTTGTCGCCGCCGCGTTTGGACCGACCGTTGAGGAGCTGAGGCTCGTTGTCATGACGGCCGAGTCAGCCACGGCTTACCTCAAGACCATCAAGAGCAAGCCTCGTCACACTAATCTCAAAGTCTGGGTCACGTGCTTCGAGAACCTGTGCTCTGGAGGCGTGAAGCGCTTCAGAAATGAATGGACCAACATGCTCGACGTCCCTGTTGCGTTGAGGGTCCAGGAGGGAGGCTGTTCAGAAGCGGACGGATGGGCGAGGCCGTTCCTCATCACTGAAGACTGGTAGAGTACGCTATGCAAGAGGGGGATGCGGTAGCAAAGCACTGCCAGAGCGCTCCATCCCTAGCTGGACACAGCACTCCCCAGAGAAGGCGGTGGACATCGGACTAACGCAGATTGAAGCGTGGATGGCAGCCTATCTCCTATGGGCCGTTATCTCGGGCAAACGCCAATCAGACGTCACCAGTCGGCGTTTCAAGTTTCGAATCTTGGCAGGGTTTTGACGCTTTTTGACACGAAGGCTGTCCTGCAGTCGTTAAGTGCAGACGCAGGCGGTGCGCCGCTATGCATGTACCACACTGCTTGGTAGGAGACCAAACGCTTCCTGCATCGCCGGCACAGCCAAAGATCAGACTAGCCTGTTATGTGAGCTGCATGGTGCCGGCGCCGTAGGGCATCCTCGCCAGCGGAATATGGTATAAAAGAGGACATGCTGATCTAGACGAACAGCCCATCGACGTTCAACATGCTCCTCTCTGCGGTCTATCTTCTCTCATTCATCCTTCCTGCCCTCGCAGCACCCATGAAGATGTCCTCCGAACTGGACAAGCGCCAAGATGGCAAGCCTGACTGGCTCCAGCAGGCCGAGGCTGCACACTGGGACTGTGTCGGTACAGGCAAGCGGGTTGACACCATCGGCCAGATGAACACATGCCTGCAGGGTCTCGTCAGCGATGCCGTCGACAATGCCAAAGCGGCCTACCCGGGAAACAACGTCTTCGCTATTCGTACCGACAAGGGCATGACATGGGAAGTCGACCGGCTTACTACGAGAGCCTCGTTCCAGTCGAAGCAATGGAACAGCGAAGAGCCTGTAGACTACCACGTCATCGTCTTCAAGGGTGCTGGAACTCTCAATCTCAATGGCGTCAATTTCTACCATGAGCGGAACTGGTCCGCTCCATACGCAGAGAGGGACGGCAAGGTGGTCTTCGATGACAGGGGCGATTAGACCGCCTACTCCATTACAGCGGTTCTTTCCATTGATACTCTAGATGCAGAACGTGTACAACAAGAGAGCGTTTCTCAGCGTCGGTTCCTGCCATCCCTTCCGTGAATTCATGTCAGTACTGACGCATACCCCTTGAAACTTCGGCCTCAACACTCAGCATGGCTCGAGGCCCGGACCCAACCCTCCACTGGGCCCCGCATTGTGGACGCCCGTGCCTGTCGAAACCAGCACCGTTGACGCGTCATGCCGTACGAACTTTCGATTTCCGACTCTAGCGACTCAAACTCAACCGCCATGGCAGCTCTCGACTATGCCAGTTTCCCGCACATCTTCGCCGACGTGATCAAGCACTGCGACCTTCCGACGCAGAATCGGCTCCGCCTGCTGTCTTCTTCGGCCAAGAATGTCGTTGACCGCCAACACTGTCGTTACCTCCTCGTCATCCACGAGCGAAATCGCCTACAGCTCTTCGGGCTGTACAGCCGGGAAGAGATTGCGATCTCGCCCTTCTTCAAACTGCCCTTTCTACAGAAGTGGAAGGGTATGCTTCCAGTCTCGGCAGAGAAGGAGAGCGAGGAGATCAAGGCGCTGGAGTTTGCGATGCGGAATACGCGCTTTGTCGGCCTCCACGCCCCTCACGTCGAGGCCCTCAGCTTGGACCACGGCACAAGTTCCAGCGAAGCGAGCAACGCGAGCGGCAGCGACCGCAGCAGCAACGAGGGAAGCGATGAAGAGGCCACCGATGATCCCGTGACTCTCGACCCACCGCCTTCCCTCCAGCTCTTGCATCGCGACACCTGCATCAAGCTGACACATGCCGTCTCGGCTCTCCCCGACAACCAGCTCCGGCACTCGATCCGTCTTCCCCCTGTCAACGAGCTGCAGGTCGACGTCTTCAACCACCTGGGCAGGACCTGTGCCTGCGACCCGCGGTATCGCGTCGTGCACTCTGCGAGCAAGCTGCAAATCGCCGGCATCATGAACACGTCGTCGTTCTGCAGTTTCCCTGTCACCGTGCTGACGCCCGAGGTCCGTGAACTCGACATTGTCGTCGACGACCTGGCTGGCGCAGGAGCATACATTGATGTGATTCGCGGTCGACCGATCAACCCTAGGCTAAAGGTCACCGTGTACTGCGCTGCCAGCGGAAGCTTCTACCCGGACTGGCCAGACTACCAGAGCCGGTGGGGGGACGATCTCGGCGTTCCGGTGGATATTCGGTTCGACAACTAGGCGTCTCTTTAGGTTCCCATGGCAGAATGCGTGCGAACGGCCGAGATCACGGTCCGCGTCATATGAATGAGCCCTGCGCCTTGAGGAATCGCTGCGCCTGCTCCCGCTCGGTGGACGATGGCGGCGATGGTGGACACTGAAATGGCACACTCACATTTTCTTGACTCTCCTCTTCACTCCCACCTACCTCGGCATTTCACCATGACTGTCAGCATTGACTACTTCGGGTCCCCTCATATCTTCGGCCTTGTGATCACACACTGTGACTTCGACACCCAGAACACTCTACGCTTGCTCTCCTCCGACGCCAAAGCGGCTGTTGACCGGGTCCAGTGTCGCCACTTATCCGCTTACTTTATCGAGGGGCGCTGGTCATTGATCCGAAGTTGGTGGGATCTTCCCGACGGCGATTGTCGTGGAGCTTCAGCGCCTCCTCTCCTGACGTCATGGAACGGCATACTACCGACATCTGCGTCGCTCGACAAAGCACTCGCTTTTGCACTGGACAACACGTGCTACATCCGCATCGACGACGATAAGATCTTGCAAATGTATCGCGAGGCAAACATGAGAGCGAAAGGCCTGGGCAGTGGTAGAGTGTTTGGCCCACCGCACTTCCTCAAGCGTCTCCAGCCCGACTCCGTCCTGGCATTGTCCCACTCCATGTCGACGGAAACTTCCTCTCCCCGGTTCTTTCCCCATTCTCCACGCGAACCATACTACTCGAAGCCGTTCATTCGTCTGCCTCCGGTCAAGGAAGTACATGTCAAGTACGTGCATGCTCATCTGGAATGCCCCTGCGATCCGCCAAAACGCATACTGCACTCCGCCCAGAAACTTCGAATGTCGGTCACAGAGGACGCAGGTCCGATGGCGTTTTGCGGCTATGTTCGCAACCTGTTCACACCGACTGTGAAGCGGCTCGAACTTCTCGTCAGCCATCTGTCAACCGCAGTGACCCTTCTCGAGCACATAGTTTCGGAGACACGCCACCGTGATCTACACGTGCTCGTTATATGCCGAAACTCCAATGCTCAGGAGGCTCTTGAGCAGTTAGCAGTCGAGTGGACTGAGAGACTGGGCTGTGAGGTCACCGCTCAGTGGTATGAGGGTTCGCGATACGAAGGGAGTTGGTTCTGAGGGCATCTTGCAGTGAGGAGTGCTAACCAGTTCATATCCTATAGATCCTTCTATCCGATAACCCTTCAGTCATGATCATTGTGATTAAGCTGTCGGGGTCCATTGTCGAGTGGGCAGCCAGCACCTATCGGAGGCGAGCTGCCGCCCTTCATGCCGTGTACGTTGTTCCCTTTGACTAGACCGTATGTATCCTTGTCGTCGTTGTTCTTGTTCAGCTGATATCGAGTAGTGTTGGTTGGTCGAGTTTCGTTCGATCCGGTCATTGGTCGATAGTTGTTCGGAGTGCTCAACGATCCCAGCGACGAGCGCTCAATCCTCGGATCTCCACCGTAGCAGTTTGCCTCATCGGGCACGTGACCTCTTCGTCCACCGTCCCGATTAGATACCCCACAACGGCCCCACCCGCAGGCCGTGCGGTTGCCGCCGGCGCACGTCCCTCAGCTACTGAGGAGCCACCGTCGCGCCAAAGTTTACGCTCTGGAACCAAACATCCCACCTTGATCTTGCACTCACCTGCTATCAGTCTTCTGCCACCTCGTCACTTCGGCAACCATGGTGACCTCAATCGACTACGCCGCCTTCCCGCACATCTTCATGCAAGTGTTGCGCCACTGCGACCTAGCTACCCAGAAGACGTTGCGCCTGCTTTCTTCTTCTGCGAAGGCAGACATCGACCGGGACCATTGTCACTCCCTGTACATCTCCGTGAAAGGTCGTAAGCTGAGTCTACTCTCATTGCTTGTGGGGACGGACCGAGTCATCATCATCCCGCCGCTGCTCACACTGTGGGATGGGCAGATCTTGACTCAATTCCCGCAAAATGAACGCGTTGTCTTTGCGCTGAACAATGCGCGCAGCCTGCTCACGCGGGACAACGAGCTGGTCAGGCTGTACAGGGTGGAGAATGTGGAAAGCTCCGACGACACAGGAGGGACTGAACCCCTCGTCTCCAACCTATTGAACATGCATCTACGGCCAGACTGTACCGTCTCGCTCTTTCACGACCCCGTCTTTGCGGAGCCAAACTGTACCGTCTCGCTCTCGCACGACCCCGCCTCTGCAGACCGAAACTCTTACTCAGAGCGCCGAATCCAGCTCCCGCCCGTGGCTGCCGTGAATGTCCAGGCTTCCCGCTCTTCACTGCCATGCCCCTGTGAACCAACACAGACTACACATGTAATGCACTCTGCTCGGCAAGTCCGACTCACTGCTGCCGGACAGAATGCCTCATTGTGCGGTTTTATTCTCAACATGGTGACGCCTACCGTGGAGGACCTCACCCTCGTCGTCGACCATCCCGACAACGCCGCCTCGTTTTTCGAAGCCACCAAGCACAAACCTCGCAATCCTAACCTCAAGGTGACGGTCAGGTGCAGGCCAGTGGTGCCTCAGCCGATCATGGTGAAGTGCAGCGAGGAATGGACGGGGATGTTTCACTGTGTGGTGCACGTCCAACACCAGTAGACGGCGGCAGCTTGAGGGGAACGAGACACTCCGCTAGCAATGCAGTCTTCTCAATCTCTCGATGCAGCACTCGAGCAGCAAAGAAAACTGCGCCCTCAGTGTGAACGCTGCGCCTGCTTCCGCACAACGGGAGGTCATCCTCGTCCATGTCTTAAGGTGCCTTCACACTGTTCAAAACCCCCACTCATCTTCTCCCCCTTTCCACGCAAGCAGCCATGGTGGCGACACTCGACTACGATGCTTTTCCTCACATCTTCACGACCGTGGTGGAGTATTGTGATCGCAAGACTTTAAACGGCCTTAGGCTCCTTTCCGCAGCGACCAGGCAGGACGTCGACCGCCGCGACTGTCGCCACCTGCGCAGTATATGCCCTCGCAACAGCAACGAGAAGCCCATCTGGGCACTGACTAGAAACAGTGGCTCCCCATTCCTTGCGAAGTGTAACGAGGAGCTTAGAACCAACAGAGTTGTCACGAAAGACCAGGCGTTCGCCGTGAAGAATGCACGCTCCCTGACCATCTTGGTGGGTCACTTGGACTAGATGTGCTTGGAAACCATCACCGGACAGAAAGGAGAGACTGGAACAGACGCCAAAGCTCGTCATTTACTTCAATACATGCGCCCCGACTGTCGCCTAAGCCTGATCCACATGTTCTTCGACCCCGACAGAGACCCGCCCACAGTCAGCCCGCTGTCCCGCACCATCAGCCTGCCTGCAATCTATGAGCTGACGATCGAATATACCGACTACTTTCCCGAGTGCGCGTGCAGCCCCGAGACACAACTGGAACACACTTCCCCGCGACTGAAGCTGGTGGAGATCGAGCACCGTGACAGGTTTTGCCCTTTGGCTGTCACAGCATTCACTCCGACCGTTGAAAAGCTCACTCTGGTGGTCACAAATCACCGCTGTGTATCCGCATATATCGAAGACATCAAACACTTGAGACTTCACCCCAATCTGTCCGTGACTGTGAGGTATTATGATACAACCGCCATTAACGACAAGGGTAGCCTTCACCGGAAGCTTGAGAGCGTCCAGGCTCACCAAGCCGTGTGGAGTGAAGCGCTTGGTGTGCCCGTTGAGGTGGAAGCGAGACGAGCCCCATCAACAGGAATGTGGGGTTGAGCCTCACGGTGCCGTGCACTGCAGTTCTGGGCGCCTTTCCCAGGAGAGTTAGACTGGTCATGATGAAGAATAGAGGTAGAGACATGCAACATCTGCCCGGAGTGAAATGGCAGCTCCCCAACTTTGCATCAGTGTTTGCAAATGGTACATCAGATCTACTCCTCTACCACTTCACCTCGTGGACGAGAACCACCTTTGTGCTCTCGCCCTGCCACCCTCGATCCCCGCTAGCAGTGACGAGGAAGTTGCCAGTAGGGTCGAGGTTCATGGCCGAGATGATACCACCATGATGTCCCGCAATGATGCGGAACGGCACGCCCTTGCGCTTCGTCTCCTGCTGCTCGTCAAAGTACTCGAGCGTGTTCCAAAGACGGATGTTGTCGTTGGACGCGGAGGCGACGTGCTTTCCGTCCGGGAACGCGACGAGACACGAGATCGGACCCGACTCGGCAGGCGTCTTCAGTGTCTTGATCAGTGACGGCGCACTCGGCGACGCTCGCCGCACGTCCCAGATGTCGATCGTGCCGTTTCTCCGGCCCGCGAGGACCTGCTCGCCCTGCCAGACTGCGGACATGCACCATGGTGGTGCCTTCGAGCCGCCCAACCGTCCCACAAGCGATGGTGAGCGGCGGTCGATCAGCGTGATCTGGCCGTCCATGCTCGATGTCAGAAGGATATCTGGTGACATCGAGTGATACGTTGCCGGGGAGAGTGATGGTGTCGCCTTCGTGTTCGTCGTCGTTGTCGCAGCCGCGCGAGCCGAGGCAGCGGAGAACAACCCAGGGGCCGATGGCGTCGAAGGCTGGTTTTGCGACGGCTGCCCAGGCAGTGCAGGGCCAGTCTGGGAAGATTGCGATGGCGGAGCTGGTGTTGGCGTTGACAATGTCGGCAGCGCGGGTGACGCCGCGGGCTTTGCGCCCGGCAGCGCTAACCCGAGTCCCGGGGCCGGATCCATAGTCACGTCTTCCTCACCCTCAGCATCGTCATCGAACAGGGGATCGTACGACGCATTCGACTTGTTGTCGTCACCGTCCGCGGCTGCTGGCTCAGCTGGTGGCTCGGCCGGTTTGTCACTGGCGTCCTTCATCTCCACATCCCCATCACCGCCGTTCGCTCCATTAGCAGTGCCGTTGGTGCCATTCGCCTCGCGGTCCTTCTTGAAGAAGTCCTCGCCAACGTTGACAGATATCGGAGCCGGAGCTGCGACAACTGGCGGGCGCACAGAGACAGCGGAGATCTGCGCACCATGCCCGGGATACGTCCGTGTCGTCTGTCCAGTGTTGAGGTCCCATTCCTGAAGTCAGTTCTGTGGCCAACGCCGTGAAAACTCACCCTCACGACACCGTCCCAACTTCCGGACAGCAAGCTGGTGTCGTCCACGAGCTGCAGGCAAGACACAACGTTATTGTGTCCTCTGAGACTCGTGATTTGTGTCCCCGGGCTATGCCGCAGGGAGTACAGATTGATGTCACCGGACTGCGTACCGGCTGCGCTCCATAATCCGTCCGGATCGCAGGCTAACGAGAAGACGGGCTCCTGTTTCTTCGATCCCGTTATGCCCGCGGCCGCTCCGCCGTTTCCTGTTGCTGTTCCAGAGCCGGAGGCGTTAACTTGCGCTTCTGGCACCTCAACAGCCCACCATCCCCGTCCAACGCCGGCCTTGTTCACACCTTCTCCTAGTCCAACGACACCACGCTGCTGGGCCGTCATAATCTGCGCGCCATTTACAGACGGCCAGAAATCGTAGGCGCGAACATAGCCGTCCTGACTTCCCGTCAATAGATAGGACAGACAGGCCGTAGACGCGATGCAATGTACCGGACTCGGAATCGGGATACCGACGATGGCCTCGATGCTAATACCTTGCCGTGTCGCTTGCGGCACGAAAAGTGATCGCCGAGCGAGCTGAGGGGCAATGATGTCGACCGATGTCGTTGTGTTTTTCTCGGCTTCTGGCGGAGCATCGGCTGAGGGCGGCGCGGAACCGGGGGGTAGTGAGGGTGTCGGGAGTGTTGGTGTCGGCACGGCGGGTAAGGAGCTGGTGGGCACGGCGACAGAGCCGCCTACGCTGGCATCGGTCGCGGCGACATCGTCGTCGTCCTCCCCGTCGCCGTCCTCCTCGTCATCATCGTCGTCGTCATCATCTTCCTCATCGTCGTCGTCGTCATCGTCCTCTCCGTCTCCATCGTCATCGTCGCCGTCGAGGTCTTCTGGATCTCCGAAAACGTCAAAGCTGATGTCAGCTCATACTTCGCTATATGAAAGCTGGACCTACCCCTCTCCGGTCGTCGCGTCGCGAAACGCCTACTCTGTCAGCTTTAACATCGCTCGCGAAGCTTACATCGTCATCCTCCTCGTCCTCTTCAAAGTCGTGCTCCTCTTCGTCGTCGCTACGCATGCTTGCTATGCTCTGGTGGGTTGATGCAAGCTGAAGCGATTTGTTGTGACAATAATGAACTGGGAGCGGATCCAAAATCACCGAACCGCTCGAAGCGGTACGGCACCGCAGTGTAACAGCGGTGACGATCGGCTACGGCCCTAGATTCCGTGTCGTCACCACCACCTTCACCATCCCCGACCCGACCACCACGACAAGCAACCAACCATGTCTGGAACGGGACCCCGCGAGGCCATCTTGTGAGTGTGCATACGATGGTGCGACGGGCCGCGCTTCGGGAGTCTCTTCGCCGCTCGGCCAGGGAGCTTGTTTGCAGCTGGCCGCCGCCGGGGTGGTCGTCGAAGCTGGGTTTTTCTGATCGCAAGCTGACCACCAGCCCGACGCGTATGAACCTGACGCTCACGAAGGGCCGTCTTAAGGGTGCGCAGACGGGACACTCGCTGCTCGCCAAGAAGCGCGACGCGCTCATGACCCGTTTCCGTTCCATTCTCAAGAAGGTCGACGAGGCCAAGTTGTCGATGGGCCGTGTGCTCCAGCTGGCTTCCTTCTCCCTTGCCGAGGTCACGTACACTGCCGGAGATATCGGCTACCAGGTGCAGGAGAGTGTGCGCAAGGCGACGTACACTGTTCAGGCTCGCCAGGAGAACGTTTCGGGTGTCGTTCTGCCTGCGTTCGAAGGAGTGCGATCAAAGGATGGCGGCGGTGAGTACCTTCCTCCATCTTCCTTCCGCTCTTGATACGGTCTGGGCGATTAGAACCGTAGTTTCTCGGATGATGGGCCAAACTGACTCTCAGACTTCAACCTGACCGGTCTCTCGCGTGGTGGACAGCAGATCCAGCGCTCCCGAGACACTTACGTCAAGGCTGTCGGAACGCTTGTTGAGCTGGCCTCGCTGCAGGTATGCTGCTAGTGAACCTTCTGTAGCTAATCACAGACTGCATTCACTATTCTTGACGAGGTCATCCGTGCGACGAACCGCCGTGTGAACGCGATCGAGCACGTCGTCATCCCGCGACTGGACAACACGATCAAGTACATCAACTCGGAGCTGGACGAGATGGACCGTGAGGAGTTCTTCCGTCTGAAGAAGGTGCAGGGCAAGAAGAAGCGTGACGCCGAAAAGGCGAACGCGGAGCGTCTCAAGAATCTCCAGGCGCTCGAGGAGCAGGGCCACGAGGTGTCCAAGGACGAGGGCATGGGCGGCGGCGCCGAGGGCGGCGGCGACATGCTTCACCAGGACAAGGACGAGGACGTCATCTTCTAATCTTCTCTCCCCGTAGTAAACTAGCACTTAACCTGGCCCGCACGTTCGGGCTTTGTATCATGATGCGCGATGCAGCGAGCATGTAGACTTTGAATAAAAGATGGAAAATGCCATGAACATGTTCTATGGATGCAAATAAATGTAGTAACTACCCTCGATCGTCCTTCCCACCTCTCTCCGCCACCTCACCTCCCGACAACACACCTACTATGAGGTCGGTGCTCCTCCCGGCAGGTCCCTCAGCATCATGACGATGAGGTCCGTCCTCGTCTCTGCCAAAGACAGCATCTGGAGTGCGTTGTTGAGCTCGTCATAGTCCTGCCTGTCCTTGGCGGAGAGGTACTCAACGACCTGCTCCGGGGTGTAATCGTCGCGCTCCAGCTTCTCCAGGAGAACCGAGCGCTTCTCAAGCTCGTGCTGTCTCCGCTGCATGACGTTGGCCGCCGTCTTGTACACGCCAGAGAGAAGGAACCCGTACGCCTTCCTCAGGTCGATGGACCAGAGATGGAAGTCATTGCCGGGGAACATGTTGCGTCCCTTGGCCGCCGTCTTGGGCACCTCCTGGATATCGATGAGGGAGAGCTTCTGGAGCTCGGAGAGAATGTGCCTCGCCTCGCGGAGGGGAATCATGGCGCAGTCGCGCACCATTGTCTCGGAGGCGAATTTGGCCTCGGCGATGACGGCGAGAACACGAGCGGCCTTCTCGTCGATACGCTCGCGCACGAGCTCGGTGAGGAGGGAGTGCTTCAGGGCCGTGCAGATCGCCTCGAGCTCAACGAAGAAGGTTGGTGACGTTCCGTCGCTATGCGTCAGGAAACGGCCGCCACCGCCGCCCGAAGCCAGGTCGTCACCACTCATGACCGCGAGGTACTGCCGCGTGATCTCGGGAATGTTCTTCGAACCGGTGCCGACCATACCGGCCATAAGAAGCTTGTACGCGTGCTGGGGAATGCGGTCCACGATCTGCGTCACGTTGACGGCGACGCTGGTTCGGAGCTCGCGCGGGTCGGACTGGCTGTCGATGCTGGCCGCCAGGGCGGCACGCATCACCTCACCCGCAGCAGCGTTCCAACGGTCCGTGGCCGCCTGGATGATCATCTCGTTTCGGATCAGCACGTTGTACTTGTCGTAGTTCGCGCGGAGCGGCACGCCGTCGACCACATCCCAGTTCTCTCCCTTGCTCTTGCCCTTCAGAGCCGACGAGGACGACTTCTTTGGCACCTTGAGCTCCTTCAGGGCGCGAGACGGATTCCGGAAGTCCATACGCTCGTCCGTAATCTCGTCGATCGCCGCCTTCTTCAGCTCCTGAAGCACAGCTGGCGTGTGCAGCTTCGTACCCGCTGATGCCGACTTCTCCACCCATTTCGTCTGCTGTTAGCTACGAACGACATCTTGCAGCTTACGCGATACCGCCGGTCAATCTGGTCCGAGCGGAGCATGGTGAGCTCAGCACACGTAGGCTCAAGGAATCCTCGTCGCAGCATGAGCGTGACGACACGCCTCAGCGACGACGCCGACATGTCGTACTCGGCGAGAACGTCCTGAATCTCCTCCATCGTGAGCTTGCCGTACAAGAAGATCTGGCGGACGATAGAAAGCCCCTGTATGTCAGCTCAACACCTATCACCAGAACTTACCTCTTCTCCGAACTCCTTCTCCGTCAGCGCCAACATGCGCCCCCAGCGCAGACGCATGAGACACTCGATGATGTCAAACTCGTACATCTCCTCCTCTGGCGGATTACGGCGCGAGCCACCGGTGGAGCCGACGAGGTGGTGCTGGAGCAGGATGATGAGCGACGCCTGCGTGGTCGAGAGCGGCAGCGCTGCAAGCCTCGACACCGTCAGCGCACTGCAGCGCCCGCGGTTCAGGAGTGTCGAAGCGACGCGCTGAAAGTTAGCAGGGCACGGAGAGTTAACTTACGCCGACAACGTCACCGAATGCCTGCCGCACGACGTGCTCGCATAGCCGCACGGCCTCCTTGCCGTTCGTGTTGACGGCGTCCATGGCGAGAGCTGCGCTCGTGTAGCGTGGGGCGGGTGGATGGAAATGCAATCGACTCGCGCACCAAGTAGTTGAGGCACAAATACAGGCAACCTTCAAAAGTCTCGCAGGTCACGTGCAGAGGGGGCATCATACCCACGTTGTTGTAATAGGGTTTTGTTTCCGCTAATCGATCGGTCAAATCGGTTTATCACCCAGAGCCTCTTCGCAGGATCGCAGGGTGGACGAGAGCGCGAGGGTGGAGGTACATGAGCAAGCGGTCAAGAAGAGGGCGGGGAAGACGCGGTAAGTTGCGCGAAAAGCAGTCACCAATATTCAGAACTGTCAAGTCACCCACAACCACACAACATGAGGCTCTGGTCGCTTCATCCCTGCCTTCTCGACCCGAAGGGCCTAACAGCGGCCTGGCGTGAGGCACTCCTCGCCCAGGCCGTCCTCGCAGGCCGTACGAAGGGGTATCGCAAGCACCCGCAACTGGTCCGCTTCGTCGGCCAGGTCGACCCGCAAGCCGCTATCGCTGCATTCCTCACAGCAATTTGGGAGGAGGCTTCCTCAAGAGGATACAACTACGACAAGACGCTCATTGAGCACCCCCAGCCCATGATCGGCACCATCTCTGTCAACCGCGGCCAAGTACTGCTTGAGCTCGAGCACCTTCGATCGAAGCTCTGGAAGCGACACCCAGAGTCGCACAAGAAGCTCCCTCCACGCGCTCAAGAGGGAGAGGTACAGGAGTGTCCGATACACCCGCTGTTCTACGTGGTCGAGGGCCCTGTTGAGGATTGGGAGAGGAACGAGACGAAGCCGAAGAAGCCGGCTGCCAAGCGGAAGCGCAAGGCGGTCGAGGCTGATGTCGATATGGACGCGAAAGCGGAAGTCCACCCCTCCGGCCGAGTGCTCCGCCCTCGCAAGACTGTAAAGTAGACAACGCTCGCTTCCATTACCCCAACCACTACGCCAAGGTATGGCCGTCAACCCCACAGCACGCCGCCCGCGCCGAGTCTGCAGGAGACCGCCGAGAGTCGCTGATAGTTTCGACAATTGTGGGCCAGGATGTGTCCTCCGAACCGCACCGATGCCCCTTGAACTGTTGGAGAGCTCCGACTCGCCCTTGAGTGGTTGCCACTCACGCAACGACGTCATAGTTGCAGCAAACGCCACTGAGCTCTCTGCGTCCCTCCGTTCGCCAATACGGAGCTCTTCTGTAGTCACACCTTGCTATGTATCGATACCTGCCGTCTCTTCTTACCGCGTCTCACCGTTCAGGACCCTCGCGTACGCGTTGCAACCGTTCACATCGCAATCTTAGAACCTTCCTCGCCCAGTCGCCGCCTAAACGCCACTCCACCTCAAGGGTATCGCACGTGATTACCGTCGTCAAGCGCAGTAATGGAAAACAGGTCCCGCTAATGACATGGGATGACATGACGCGCTAATTGGATTCCCAGGAATTACCCCTTGCATCGGATGGCTGGGACGGATTGGTGGAGGTACATGACGCCTGGCGCTGGCTTGCTGCTTTTGTTGACTGAGCCGCCTGATGTGTGCGACGATCACATCCATCTTCTCTTGAACTCCCATCCACAATCTTCCTTGTGCATGTCCCGACACTCGACTTAGAGACACCAAATCAGATCACAGTAGCATGTCCGCCCCCTCGCCGTCGCACCCGAGCGACCTTCAGCAGCAGAAGACCACCAGCGGGATCGTAACCGATCCAACGACTTTGGAGCGAGTCGTACCCGCCAGCCGGAGGAAGGATGGATCGTGAGCTGACAGGCTGAGCGAAGCTGACGGACAGTGTCCGTAAGGAGGTCAAGATCCGCGCTGGCTATGTGCCGCAGGAAGACATGCAGGGCTTCCGCGGTCGTCGAGTGAGGGAGCGCGCTGCGGCAGCTGGCGTTGTGCCCGGTTCAACTCCTGGCGGCAGGAGCCTGGAGCAGATGACGGCCGCTGCTGCTACTCCTCCCATCACCTCTCCTTCTCCGCCCTCCACCTCAGCTCCTACTGCCTCCCCTCCGGCTGGTCCGGCAGGTGCCGCGGAGGGAAGCAGGAGCGGCACAACGTCCCCGCGCCGAGTTCCCACTCCGAGACGATCACCCCAGCGAACCCCGTCCCCCAGCAAGCGCAGCAGTCCCTCCAAGTCTTCCAACGACTGGTTTGGCAAATCCCGACACACGCATTGGGACTCGGAGTCCGAGGACGACGAGGAGACGATGCGCGCCTTCGAGGCGCTCAAGATCACTGGCGTCTCCCGTTCCCCGTCTCGATCTCCGTCACGGTCTCCCGAACGATCGTCAGAACCGTCCGGTATGCGTTCCGCCGGTGCATGGGACAGGGCGCCTCCGCCACCGGCTCGCGGGCGCGGGGGACCGCCGCGAGGTATGTGGGACCGGGGTGGGTTCCGCGGCCACGGCGGACGGGAAGACTTTGGGCATGGAGGAAGGGGAGGCTTTGACAGCCCTCGAGGAGGCTTCGCTGGCCGAGGACGAGGATATCCGTACGGCGGCATCCGGCAGACGACGCCGTCAAGAGCAGACGGGGAGTGGAAGCACGACATGGCTCCCGTCTCGCCGCCTAGGAGGCGGGAGCGTGGCCGAGGAAGGGGCAGGGGTGGATTCCCCTCTGACCGGCGCGAGTCGCACTCCACGCCCTCTCAACCTGCGCAGTCCCCCCAGTCGCCCACAGCTTCGAAGGACAAGGACGACGGCAAGAGCGAGAAGGGCGACAAGGAAGAGCTAAAGGAGGGAGAGGGCAAGCGCCGCGCTCGACGGAGGGGCAGCAGGGGAAGTCGAGGAAGTAGGAACTCCTCGCAGCACAGCGTACCCGGTCTTGCTGCACTCTCCACCCCGTCTAGCGCCGGCACGCCGTCCAAGCCGACCCCCACTACGCCAAAGTCGGCTCCTCACCCGCCTCTCCCCTCTCAGCCGCCTCTTCCCACCCAGAACCAGACTCCTTCCAAACCGACCTCGACGCCGGCCAAGCCGGCCGTTGCCCCCGCCACGCCAGCCAACGGTCAAGCGAATGGAGCGAACGGACAAGTCAACGGAAGCACGCCCGAGAGACCGCGGAGAATCAGACCCGGCGGTGCTCTGGCTGACGTGAGGAGCATCCTCATGGCGAATGCGGCGACGCCGCCTCGGACTGGTCCCGGAGCGAACACTGCTGCGAAGAAATAGACCATTGTGAACGGTGGTGGTTGAGTTTCTTGAAACATCTGTTATGCTTGTACACTGTACCATCCCTAGATGTATCCTGCTACACAATTGCATGCGTCTGCTGAATCAAGATCTAATCTGCTACTATCCTCTACTCCCCTCTGTGTGTCTCTCCTCCACGCACCGCATCTGCAGGGATTGCGGGGGGCTCAGCGGAGCTTCTCCGACGCCGGCGCCGGGCTTCCAAACGGACTGCCCTGCCGTCCCTTGAAGTCCAGCACGCCGCGGCGCATGACGGCGTCCCAGTTCTCGTCCCACGTGCACCACTCGGCCTCGACGCCGGAAGGGATGTACCGGCGCTGCGGGGTCGAGGCGCCGGTCTGCTGGCGGAAGAATTGGCTCAGCTTGTCCAGTTTCGGCGCGGAGGGGAAGCCGGAGAGCGTGTCCTGGGTGTCAGCTCGGCCTGAACATCAACATAGCTGTGACGACCCCGTCCCTCCTCAACTCAAGCAGAGGGGAGACGGTGAGATGGACTAGTTGCTTAAGGCTACTCACGATAAGCTGATCTCCCAACTCGTCGCCCGTGTTGAAGATTCGCCCGTTCGAGCCGTCCTTGACGAGCTCGTCGATGCAGGCGAAATCGCGCGCGAGCACCGGGACGTCGCATCCAAACATATCGACGACCTTCATGGGAAGGTCGCGCCCCGAGCTCGACTGGTGCATGCTGATACCCAGATCCGCACAGCCGAGGACGACGGGGTAGTCCTTCGCGCTGACGAAGAGGCAGCGCACAGCGACATCGGGCCACTGGCCGGACTTTTCTCGCTTCGCGACCTCGGCCTCGAAGGGCGCGCGGCCGGCGCCTTTTCCGGTGATAATGACTAGGAGGCGGGGGAGGGACGGATCCCGCGCCTTTGCGGCTTGGTACTTGTCCAGAGCCTGGAGGAGGAGGGAGAAGTCCTCGTCTGCCGTCCAAGAGGTTGAGGAGACGATGAAGGCCGGTCGGTCGGGGCGCAGCTCCGGACAGCCGTCCACCATGTGCGTTAAGGCCGTCTTTCGGATGTCCTTGGACTGCAGCCAGAGGGGCATTGGGGGGCGAATGTCGGATGTAACTCGTCGGAACAGCTGGATATTAGCTATTTCAGGCCCCAACAAAGCTCACGTTCAATCGGGAGATGACCTCGGTCCGCCCAAAGTTGGGAGGTGGCCGGTCGTGGAACACGACACTCTCGCCCCTGTCCGTCAGTTAAGAAAACTGGCACGCGAACTCACTGGAGATCCCAGGCATTCGTCAGGTAGTCTCGCAGCGCTTTCGTCACGAAGAGGTGAGCGTAGGCCTCTCGTCCATAGGTGCGCTCAAGCCTGAGTGTCAGTGAGCGGCTAAGCAAGACGCAGCGGTAGCACGCACCACTTCGCGAGACGGGTCAAGGGGCTCTGCTCGCCAACGCGCATTGCCAGGATAGAGTAGCCCGTGTTGTGCCAATCGATGATGAGCTTGCATCCCGTCGCCCACGTCAGGAGCTGTGCGATCATGAGTGTTGGGATTGACGGCGGGTTCTGCAGTTAGCTCTATCCGGTATGGTCCCCAGCTTATCAAGGCACTGTCCACGGACTGCCTAGAGCCGGACGATGGTGCACGGCTCATGGGCCCGTGGTTCGACTTCGTTTCAACTCACTTGGACCATGAGAACCTGCGTGTTACATGGCACGACGAAGACGGTGAGCCAGAGGACGCTGAAGATCTGGTAGATGACGCGAATCGGGGCGCGGAAGATCCACGGCAGCTTCAGAAGCGGTTTTGGCGGGTTCGCGACGTGCAGGAGATGGACGCGGGGCGTCTCGAGGAGGGAGGGGATGGGCGGTGTGTCTTGTTGTCAGCTTCATGTCACCGTGGGGGCCAGCTGCTAGCTTGGGGCTACTAGTGGGGAGGTTCCGTTCTGAAGTCCGGCTCCGCTCCGATAGTTCCTGAGCTCATCGCTGTCATCTTGGGCAGCGGTACTCACCTCCGTATCCGACGACGAATGTGTCCCAGCCTGACCGGGCGAAGCTCTCAGCGTGGTACATCATGCGCGGACTACGCCCGATATCGCCGAGAACGAGGATAGTGACTGTGCGGTGTCGGTTGGGTTTGGTCTTCACTCTGCTAGCGAAGGCGGCCGCGAAGAGAAGCGGGGGCGCTGCGAGGGCGACGGCGGCGCCGCCGATGACCCACCACAGCGGAACATCGTGGCCGTGGAGGTTGAGGTGCAGCGGCATATAACTTTGTGAAAGGAGTGTGCGGGGTCGGAAGTGAGTCTAGTGGTGAGAAGGGAGATCGGAAGAGGGGAAGGCGGGGGTGCCGTGGACAAAGTGAGAAACTCAGGTCGGCTTCGGGGGGGGGGTATGACGCCGTGACGCGTAGGCCGTGTGCGTTCCGGGCGCCTAAACGTCGCCGTGCCGGCTGAACCGAGCTTGATCGCTCGATCCATCCGGATTCCGGTCGTTTTGCCTCCGCTCTCTGCACTTTTCCGCTCTGCATCCCCAGTCTCCCAGCCTCCCGCAATCCGCAGATAACATGGAACACGAAACGTGATCAGGGGTCAGGGGTATCAGTATCGCACCTGGTACCACAATTTCTTTCGCGACAAAATCTGTCCACATCCAGATGGCAATCACAGAGCACTTCCTTGCATTGCACACGCAGTCCAGCTGCCTACGAGCCTTCGAGCACTCTATTCACATTTCTACTCCTGGGTCCGCCGCATTAAAGATCAAGTGACCCGTTCTCGCGACCCCATCCCACGAAATCCTGATAGGTTGACGCATCGAGCGACAGGTCTACGAGCAGCGGCTCGGGACCATCCGCACGAGGCTGCCAGAACTGCATGAAGTTGAACAAGGTGGTTGCATCAAACCTCACGTGCAAGTCCTCGCTGTTCGACTCTCCTCCTTCCTCGAACGGTACAACGAACGGAAGGTGGGGGTTGGGTTGGAGAGGGCTCGAAGTTTCAGTGGGTGGTTCTGCCTCCTGACGGCCGCGCACGGAGGATGTCGCTTGCTTAGTATTTTCCTGCACAACACCATAATAAGAACGGGGCGACACAGAAGAGTAAACGGTAGGACGATGTTTGAGAGAGCCAGTGATCGGGTACGGCTTTGGTCGGACGCTTGAGCTGGATGACGCCTTCTTCAAGGCAGAAGTTTTCTTGGAAAGGGTGTTGCTGTTACTGGGCTTGCGACGCAGCTGTGTCTCCACCTTTGACACGAGCGTCTCCTCAGAACTTCCGTCGCTGTCGGGCTCGCTTTGAGTCATCGGACAGGCGAACGACACACGCTTCGGCGAGGGCTTACGTTCTGATGTCTGCTGTGGCTGACGCCGTGTGACTGGGGACAGGGTTGCAGCGCCGTGGGGCGAAGAATCGGGCTTGAGTGAAGGCAACTCCGTAGCAGAGCGCGACAAGTTCGCTTGGTAGTGTTCTCCTTTACTACCGGCCGTGACTGGGGCAATGGGTGAGCTGTAAGGGCCGTAGTAGAAAGGATATGGCGGTGGCTGCATCGAGCTCGGGTGGGCTGGCGGTGGAGGGGGTGGACCGCAAATCCAGGTAGCACTATGAGGGTTGCGCCAAGGTGGAGGTGGCCGATGCGATTCAGTTGAGGGCTGCACAGCAAGCGGACGTGGGACGCTGCGGCTCTTGATCGCCGCGATCTCAGTCACAATGCGGTTCAGAGAGCTCTGCTGAGCCGCCAGCTGGAGACGGATGAACTCGAGCTCGTGACGTAGACCAGCGCATTCGGAGCACCTCTTCTCAGGCTCCGACTCCGGAGCCTTGAAGCTTCCGTGGTAGACGTCCTTTGTCTCAGAGCTATCGACAAAGGAAGGCAGTGACGACGGGGAAAGGCCCGGATGCGGCGGTGAGACATAAGGAGGGGCGTTGGGAAGCGAGCCATACGATGGAGGGAATGCAGCTACGCCCTGCGCATGCTGTGTGGGGAAGCGTCCCTCCGAATACCCGCGCTGGAGCAACGGTGCCGACCAGGGAGTCATGAAAAACCCTGCCGCTGGAAGGGACTCGTGAGGCCGCAAACGCTGCACATTCGATGCGGAGGGAGAGGAGTCGACATGTAAGCCGTTAGTGTCGCTGCTGTTGAGTGCTGGATCGGTCTTCTGCTGGAGTTTAGGCGTGGGCCTAAGGTTGGTCACCGATGTCCTGCTAGTGAAAAAGTCCTCGCTCAACGGCTTGTACCGGGGAGTGGGCGAGCTCTTGACGTCGGGAGTGTTGGGAATGGTGCAGTAGGTGGATGTCTCACGTTGCCACCTGGCCATCCAGTCGTCATGCTCCGATGCTCCGTAGGGTGACGATTTGCCACCCGTTGGCGACTCCTCAAGCGGCATAACTTCACTCGCGAGACTGTCGGACATTGCCTTGCTCTCCAAGCTAAGGGTACGCAGGCGCTCCAGCGTCTCCGTCATGCTGTTGCTGTTCTTGTTTGTCGAGTGGCCAAGTGATGGAAAGACCTGGCCGGCAACCCGTTGAGGGCGCGCGTTATGACCAGTCGGCCAGCGATGATCTGGACTGTCAGCTGGGTTGGAGGAAGTTGCTAGCTTACCTGGGCTTTTCGAGGGACTGTTCTCAGGGGAGGACATACTAGCTAGTGAAGAGTAACAGAACGTCTGGATGAGAACGCGACAGCGATGTTTGTGTTGTGAGAGCGAGCGTGGCCCTCCACGATCAGCGGCACGAAGGTGACACACTGTTGCGCCCCGGGGCTGTTAGCCACATGGCCTCCTCTCGGCCCGTGCACCGTGTCGACAGTCTGCAGTTAGTGCTGAATGATAAGTCAGGCAGCTCTGTGAGTCCAAGGATGCAGTATGCAGTAGATGGCATAGGTGTGCTATAATCGAACACCCCACTGCATTGCTGAGCTGTGAACGACCTGTTGACTGTGCGTACAGTCGACGGCGACCCCCTGAATGTGGAGTAGGCGTTGAAATGGTATCTACTGTGCTGCGCATCTTCAAAGCCCTTGATTCTCGGCTGCTCGTAGTCAGTCTTTGCTAGAGTCATTCGGTAGCCAAGCCGCTACCCAAGTTAGTGAAAGTCAGCCACACCCCTGCAAGGTGCTCGCAACACAACAGCCGCCACTACTCACTGCCTAAAACTTCACCTACCAGCCACTCCGGCAGACCTCAGGCCAAGATTTAACGAAATTCATGCACACTTGAATGGCGGGAAGTGCAATCCCGGTGCGCGCCAGCATCGGTTAGAACGAAGTGTATTGCAGCATCACCTGTTGCCGTTTGAGGTTCGATGAAGCGGATAGGACGCGCGTCACGTCTCTACACTCGTTGGCAGACGTGGGGACCGTGTAACGATGCTTGCGTTGAAACCCAGTCAACGGCTTCAGGTCCCCAAGAGCTGTCACCAGATCATCGAGCGCACGCTTCGTATCCGTGGTACCGGCGTTTTAGGTCGGTCGCAAACCGTTACGGACGCTGCCGAGTTTGGTGCCGCACGGGCCATTCGGACCGATGTTGACGCTGGGTGGGCAGTACCTTCGGTTTGCTTTGTCCTCTTTGGTTGCCGAGCAGTCAACTCAGCCTCCTGTTTGGCTATGATGGCATCGATCTGGGCACAGAGGGAGTCGCATTGCGTCTTCAGGTCGTCGTCCAATGCCTTGAGGATGGCCATGAGCCTCGCCCTCTCCTCCTCCTTCGAATGCTTCGAGCGGTATTGCTTCTGGCTTGGCGGAGGCACGATCGGAGTGAAGATGAGGGACGGCGGAAGTCGTCGCGAGCGCCGTCTGAACGGCGAACCGGATCGCGGCGTAACAGTGTCGGGCATGTGTACGTTGTTACTCAGTGTCTGGATATGAGGTGAACGAACGAGTGAGCCCGTCAGGTAAGATGAGCTGCCGTTGTTATCTGCAAGGACGCCACCCGTCAGCAATAGCCGGCACGGACGGACCGAGGGAGCTTCCGCCCGCGAGGTACACTCGTCCCGTGGACGGTGTTACCAGAACAGCTAGCTGCCGCCCTGACGACGCGGTGCTCGCGCGACGACAGCTCTACGAGAGCGTTACTGCCGCCTCGCGCAATTGACCGACCGATACCTCAGATACAGAGGTAGCCACTGCTGGAATGTGATGAATGGTCCATGCGTATAGGTCGACGCCACATGAAGTCGCCTAGGGATCCATGTATCGCAGCACTATGAGCGAGGCAAGATCGGTTTGTGGTTAGATCGTCGCCTTCGACTCAGCCGCTCGGTCTGAAAGCATAATAACGGGAACAGATGCAGGTAGGAATTGAAGTCGACGCTGGAGATTACACAGATTCAGTCTAGCCCAGGTTTGATAGGAGGCGCCGAGGTTGAGAAGGACGGCTGAATGGAGCTGGCGGGTTGGGCGTCAGTAACAGCAGTACATCACTCAACGGTCATGAATGCGATAAGATGGTGAGGCGGAAGTCCGCTATCGCAGTGAGACCAGCTAGCTGGGAGGACGGTCGTTGGGAGTTTGGAGCGGAGATCGTGAAGTCGCAGTCAATCGGCTGGACATGAAGATGGAAGTTGCGGATTGTAAGTCGTCCACCCTGTTACGTCAGGGCAGGGGTGATCGACTGCGGCCACGAGCCACCGTAGCGGGGCCTATCCGGATCCGTACCTGAGACTTGCCAGCAGTCCACCGTACAGCCTGCGCCGGCGGCCAGCGCTAGGGCAGTGCGACACCAACGTATCCGTCATCCTGTGGCCTTGGCTCCGTCCTCTTCACATTACTCTCCGCTCCGTCTTCCAATCCACCACAGCACCTTCTCCCACAACCGTCCGTCAACATGGGCGGCCCCACCACCTTGTCGCCCGATGACAAGGCCAAGGTCAAGAAGGCCATTCCCACATCGTCTCATACTAACAAAATCATCACCGCCGCCGTCGCCCGTGTCTGGTATGCCAAGCCCGACTCATCAACGTGAGCTATCCTACTGTCGCCGCCGAAGCTAATGCCCAGGTGGAAGTATACCGGAGTGACAGGAGCACTTGTCTTCTGCGTGGACAAGGCGAAGGGAGGCTTATTCTTCCGTGTCGTGGACTTGAGCGTGAGTGGGGCTCATGAGACAACGACGGGCTCGGCTCCCACTGAACTTCGCCCGCACTCAAGAGGCAACTAACAGTCACAGTCGAACCAAGGTGTCATCTGGGAGCACGAGCTGCCTAACGAGATAGAGTACAACCAGGACAAGCCCTTCTTCCACTCATGGCAAGGTGACGTGAGTACCGCCTTGTTGATTCATGATTCTCGTGGCGCCAAGCTTACGTCCAGGACGCCCAGATCGCTTTCGTGTTCACCTCGGAAGCGGAAGCGCATGACTTCTATAAGAAAGTAGCCAACCGCAGCAAGTATGCCAGTGAGTGTCAACCCATGGAGGCCGTGCTGACGTACAGTTAAGGTGAAGAAGGAGAAGGAGACCAAGGATGGCAAGGAGGAGAAGGTGTCTCTAGGAAAGCGTATCATGGGCAAGTTCGACAAGTCCTTAATCTCTGGGCCGGTGAGTTATTTCCTACTGTATTATAGCAACAACTGACGCGGACAGAAAGAAGGCTCCTTCAAACATGTCGCTCACATGGGTTACGATTCCGAGAAGGGCTTCAGTTCATCCGGGGTCGACCCAAGCTGGCAAGTGCTTCTTGAGCAGCTCAGCATGCGTGGATTTAGTGAGAAGGACATCGAGAATAACAAGGATTTCATTCACGAATTCGTCAAGGAGCAGGGTGGCATCGAGAAGGTGAGTTGCCGCGAACGACTGCCACGACTGACACCAGGCGATCGAAATCCAGAAGGCTGCTCCCATACCCGCGCAGGAGAACAAGCGTCCTCCCCCTCCCCCACCGACGACGCGGAGGAAGCCTGCCCCTGCAGCACCACCGTCTCGTGCCCGCGCAGACTCGAAGCCGACACCACCGAGCGCCCCGCCTCCGCCGCCACCCCCGTCTGCGCCTCCGGCTCGTCAGGCTCCGGCGACGCCGACACCCCCGAGCCACGCACCCCCCGCTCCTCCTCCAGCTCCCCCCGCACCGCCTCCTCCCTCACGAACTGCTCCTCCACAGTCGGCCAGCG